GGAACTAGATAGTTGAATCAACTTACTAGCGGCCTTTCACACCGAGCATCCCAAATTGGGTCGTCGCCATCGATGAGGTCAATCTCTGTATTATCTAGCCCATCGTCTCGTGTGCGTTTCCTGGGACTCTGACTGCGGCTCTTGGAGCCGACGGTCCTTGGCGCATAAATGCTCATACGATCCATTGATATCTCTCTAGTCACAGAGCCTTCCGCCTCGACTAATGACAGCCAACGCGCAACGCCGGCAGATAGAAATGCGGCCTGGATAACCACTGACCAAGCGAACCGCGCAAAGATGTATTCGACGGCGAGGCCGGTCAGCGGCTGCAGCTCTACATTGTGGTAGACGGCGGCGAGCTCCTCGGTCGGCGTCCCAGACAGGGCGTGAATGACCCAGCGACCCCATTTTGGCACAATTGCAAAGAGGCGTTGGTCAAAAGTTGTGTGGATATCAGAACGGAGGAGAAGAGCGTTTGCTGTGTCGTCGGTCGCGGCGGTTGCCGACAGGCCAGGTTGCACGGCGTACTGCGCCATCTCATTGGATAAGAACCAGGCACTCTCGCTCCGAGGAATAAGATGAGCGGCTTCAGTACCTAGGGTGGAGGCTGTAATGCGGCAGGACAGGTCGCGTGCGCGGAGAGGATCGTCATTATCAGGTATGTTAAGTGAAGATGCTAGCCATGACGAAGGTAGCTCATTATTGGGAAACCGAAAATGCTCAAAGGATGGCACCACAGGGTACGGAGCGCTGGGCGCGGTGGTATCGAGAGGGACGTGAAAGTAGTACTTGTCTCGCAATAGAACGGTGTATGGGGAACTAGCAGGAGTGTCACTATCAGGCTCCGGCTTCTCGGAGAGGTAGCCATCAAAGCGGGAGTTGGCGAGGATGGCGCAGGCGACACTCGCTGTCTCGTAGTGGATGCCGAAGCGCTGCGAGTTCCTGGGTTGAAGTGGCGCTGTCTGCATGCCCTGAGGAACGGGATCAAGTGCTGGCAGTATGAGGATAGTGTTGGAGCTCTCTGGGTATCCGGGATGGCAGAAACGGACATTGCGTCGATGAGGTTGCATTGAGACGCCTCCGCTCGCAACGAGGCTGCCATCAACGTGTTGGGGACGCGGCAGTCGGCGCCGCACGCTTCCTGGCACCGGTTCGTCAGCCATCTTGGCAAATTTGATAATTTGCTGGCGAACTGATGATGGCCGCGTGGATGCTTTTTAGGCTACAAGTTGGTGAACAGAACAGTGGCCAGGCCGGCGTGCCTGGTTTTGGTTGGAAAGGGGCCACTTGCGATGCGCCTCGGCCTACAACCGACGCATCACAACCGCATTTCTGTCGTGTCTCTCATCGCCTTCCGACCGAGAGGCTGAACAGTATTTCATCTTCCTTACTAGAGTCGGTAATCCATAACATATAGCAATCTTTGATGGACACGCCAAAATCTGCAAAACGTATGCGAGCTGGGGATTCCGAGGAAGTCGAAGATGGATCCCTTCAAGGGGTCTTATTTGCGGGGTTCATTCCACCCCCTCCAGTCCCGTCCCTCCGCAAAGTTTAGCCAACCCTAAGCAAACACGACAACCAGCTCTGGCAGCGATGCCTCATGAAATATTGGGCATGGTAGTCGGCGGCCTCCTCATCCGGCCGGATATCCTCGAGCTGCACTCCAAGCGTCTCTTCAGCAACCCCAAACGGGCCAGGTCATCCGCGACGGCACTGCTCAGCGGGCTGCTATCCTGCCGCTGTAGGGAATGTCTAAAAAGCAATCAACTACATGAAAACAAGATGAAGTAATAACTAGTAAGGATCTTTATCTTTTAAAACTTTTTTTTTGATTCCCTGCTAATAGAGTTTAACGCTCGTGGCCAGTCATGGTTAGGCTTTTTCGGCAGCAGCCGCTCGGCGCCCTCTACGTGCGCCTTGATACGACGGCTCACGACCAATCCATTGCTGCCTAATAATTCGTACTGTTTTCATTTCCACTCAGCAAATCTTATCCGTACTTTTCCAACGTGACCTGCTCACAGCAAGCTCTTTCCACCCGTCTTGCCACCAAACACAACGTCCGGCTTCGCCGCCGTGAACTTGGGAACGTCCGCAAACACCTTGGCCGCGGCCTCGCCCGCCGTCGCCTTGGCCACCGACTCGAGCGAGTCCCACCTGAGGATCGCCTGGATCTGGTACTTTTGGCCGGGTTCGAGCACGATGACCTCCCAGCTCTGCAGGCCGAGGGGCTTCCAGTTCCTGAAGACATGGCCTGTTAGTTGATGGCGCATGGTCGGCGCTAGGTCGGGGGCTAGAACCTACTCTTCGACAATGGTAAAGTGGTGGTTCAGATAGTAGTCTAGGTCAAAGTCAGGACCGGAGGGGTAGAGGACGTTGAAGGTGGCCATGGCTGCAAGAGGATGGATTGGATATTGTGATTTCTATGATTTCTAGAGAGGAGGGATGAGATGAGAAATAACCGCAGGGCCTCGGGATATATATGTCCTGCACGCCCCGCACAGAGACTTGAGTCTCCGTTAATAATCTAAGACAAGTTCTTCCGCCGATCCGGAGCACTGTGTACTGTAGCCGTACTGCTTCTGACAAACACAAGGCCTGCCCAGCGGGGAAAGACACCTAAAATCCCATCTATTCATCCGTCGCATTGACGACAATATTTTACAGGAGCGGCGCAGCTACTACTTGTGCGCCTGCTCTCATATACAAGGCCCTGCCGATTAGCTGTCAAACATGGCCCATTCAAACTCATCCATCGAGTAGCCGTAATTCGCCGGCCAACCTTCAGTCCTCGTTTCCGTCGCGGCAAGCAAGTCATCTAAACCCTGTAATTGCAAATCAGCATCAGGCCATTTTTTTTCTTCTTTTTTATCTCCGCCCTCGGCGAGTGCAGTGGGAACCTCGGGACGGACTTACCGTGAATGCCCAGTCTCCGCTCGTCTCCGGCTGCGTCGGCATTGGCACCGCCGCCTCCGTGGCCTCTCGCATCGCATTACCGAGGCCGCCGCCTCCCGTCAGCTTCTCCGCCATCTCCGTCAACAACCCCCGGCACGTCTTGGACACCTCCGCCGCGGCGCTCAGCAGGTTCTCGATGAGCGCCTCCCTGGACAGGTCCTGCGATATGGCGTCGATGTGCACCGCGATGATGCGGAGCAGCAGGTAGCCCTTGACGTTGGTGTGCCCGGCCTTGATGACCTCGAGCGCCCACGCCTGCGACTGGTCGAGCACGGCGAGCAGGTCCGGCCGCAGCATCTTGGGCCCCAGCCCCTCGCTCTCCTTGAGCTCGGCGCGCAGCTCCATGACGATGAGCAGCGCCGAGTGCATCGCGGCGATCATGAAGAGGCTCATGCCGCGCGTCACCTGCCGCCGCAGATCGTCGGCGGCCTCGAACGGAGACTGCTGCTCGGGGTTGTGCGGCGAGGTAGACGTCGTCGTCGACGCGCTACCGGCCAGCGAGTTCCATACTTTGAGGGCGCAGTCCACCACGACGACCCGCGAGTAGGCGTACTTTGCCTCGTGCATCGCCGCGACAAAGTACGGCACGTGCAGCGCCGTCAGGTACCGGTACATGATGATGTCGAGGATGCGGAGCTCCGCGCCCGTCAGCGCGGCCTTGGCGCCGTGCCCGCGGCAGCGCTGCAGGCGCCGGCCCAGCTCCTTGTAGCTGGCACGGAGCTGGCCGTCCAGGCGGAGCGTCTCCTCATACGAGCCGCCGGACGAGACGTCATTGAGGAACCGCAGCACGTCCAGGCGCTGGGAAAACGTCTCCCGCAGGGCCATCGCCACGGTCATCTGCGTGCACTCGCGCGGCGGCCGCGGGACGGGGTCGGCCTCGAGCAGCTGCGCGTCGTCAAAGTTGCCGGGCGCGCGGGTGTCGAAGTCGCTCATGGACAGGAAGACGGGCCCGCCGGAGCCGAGGCTCGACTGCAGGTTCAGCTCGCTGATGGTGTTCCACAACCGTCGGTGCATCTCGCACGCGAGGACCGTCCGGCCGGGCAGGCGCGCGGGATCGCGATGCAGGCCCATGTACATGGCTCGGCGGACCAGCGATCCCACCGCCATCCACATGGAATCTGCAATGATGCCGAGTCGCTCTTGCGCAAATAGTAGCAGTATATTCGTTTGTATTGTTTGGATGTCCAGTCGAGCCTTGAACTTGGGTTCTGTAAGCCACGACTGTCCTTCGTTGACCCATTGCATGGCGCAGGTCCTCAGCGAAAATGCTTCGTCGTAAGTGACTGCGCCCAATGCCAGCACAAGCTTCACTTGAATGAGAAACGCTGCGTCGGGCGTTGCTCCGGGCTTCCACAGAGCATCATAACGCTCCCGAAAGGTCGGGATGTGGAGGACGCGGTATAGTAGTTCGGTGTTTTCTAGGTAATTTTCAACCAGTGCGTCGGCAAGCGATTTTTCAGGCAGCGAAGAGGGCCGCAATACAGGCCAAGGCGGCGCCCTCCTTGTCTTGATGTACTGAGCCAGCACCTTGCATCGTGCGATGCCTGCCCAAGCATCTGCGCCGTGCTCCTTGAGCTGCTCGTCTATCGTCTCAAAAATGTCTCGAATCTGTCGAAATCAGCCGCTCGAGAACTGACAGGGTGAAGGAAAACCGAATTGCTATACCTACCAATAGAGTTGTGGTCACGCACCAATGGCTCTGGCCAAACATCCTCGTCTTGTGCATCATGCTGCGTGGGATGACGGGGCCGCCATTCCCAACAGGAGTTTCGCACTGCAAATGGAAGACGCCGCCGAGTCTGGACATGGTCGTCTCAATCGACGAGCTCACAGGGCTCGTTGCGCTACCGCAGTCGATGCTGACCCTCGACAGCTGATCCTCGAGCTCTCGTATTCTGAGACGGAGTCTCTTTGCTTCATTTTCGGATGAATGGCTTGCGTCTAGAGGCAACTGCGCTGAATTGGGACTTGAATAAAGAGAAGAAGAGTCCGAATTGGCCGTACCAGCAGCATCAAGGGGGGGGCTGGGGAGGATGGGCGGGTGAGGCTTCCATTGCCTGGGACTCGGTTTGACTGTGGCCGGCGCAGTGTGAGGCGGTTGCTGTGCTTGGTTGGGTTGGGGTTCGTACACGCAATCGCCGGTTCTTGAACGAAGACAATTGCTGCACGGAAATTCTCTGTTGCACTTGATTTTCCTTTTGCGACACAGCACGCATGCCCTAGGACGCCCATGAAGTTAGGCGGCATTCATTGATGCAAAGCGGGCTCGACTTACACTGCAGGCCGCCTCCGTCGCTTTTGTACCTCGGGCATTGCAACGACGTCGGGAAGCAGGTAGGAATTGGAAGTATTGTAAAATAATAAAGAGAAGCTTTCCGTACTAATTTTCGCTGCATAGATTAAACCTCGAAACCGCGAAAGCGATGACATACAGTCTGTCATTGGAAAGCTGCGCACTTGTCCATCCCGCCAGCCGTAACCCGAGAGCAGGCTCCTTAACTCCACCAATCAGAATGTCGAATTGACCGGCCTTTCTGTCTTCGGAATTTACGCCTCGCTGTCATTGTACTGATGAGGCTCTGGGCGTTCTGACAGGGGCTTTTTAGTTTGTGCCTCTTGAACTTGCACTTGATTGATTGGTTTTATCAGCTCGCTATAGCTATCTGGCATTCTTCAACGTTCTTTTACTCTGCTTGCAGCTCAGCTAATCCTCCAGCTTGATCATTGTTATGATAGCTGGTTGCGAATCTATCATGCCCAACTAAAGGCAGCCAGCGAGGCACTGGGTACCTACTGTACGGCAGCCAGCAAGGCTTTCCAGCGCCGGAGATGCTGTGCCTGGCGTGGAGCAAGCAACCAGGAGCTTAGCCGATGCAGCTATTGCACTGCCCTTGCGATATGGGAACATGTATCGAAATGTGGAAACATGGTAGAAAATTGGGCCGCGGTGTCTGCAATTTCAAAAAAATTATCCATCGCCTTGTTCGCTCAGACCTCGGCAGCCGAGATAAATAGGCCGCTGCAGAGAGCCAGGGGTTTCAGTACTTGGCAGGAACAAGCGCGTGTCGTATCGATCGTCTTGGCAGCCATGTTCATTCATCCCTACTAATATTGAGGCCCGTGGATGTAATTCTCGAGTGCTCTGATGAGATTAACGAGTCTACCACAGCTCACACAAGCTCCGGTTAAGACGGCCCAGCTGGACGCATCAACAAGGCTGATTTATCCCCGTGTTCGCGATTGAGGTGATTATGTAACTGCTGAAGACTGCCTCGCAGTTTGCCCCAAAACTGCTAGGCTTTCGGTCGTGAATGTCGGAGTGTTGATAAGCCGTGGATCCGGAAGCTGCGAGAACAGCGGGCGACAATAAAAAAAATCGTGCGTACGAGCTCTCTTTTGAGTCCGACGACGACATCCCTTCTCTATTATAGCTAGCTGTTATACGTACCACCACCGACATGGCCACCGTTAAACCGATGCGAAGTTGTCCCGGCCGATCGGCGACCGACGTCGAGCAAAACTGGTACCACATGCGTTTGGCGCCAGGCCTTGGCATCTGCTCCGCCTGCTACCACCAGCACATCCTCCCGACGCCCTTCGCCTCCAACTTTGCCCACGAGCCGGACTCCTCCGGCGCCCGCCGCTACTGCGACTTTGACGTGCCTCGCACCCGCGCCGTGCTCCGCCAAGCCCTCGCCGACAATGACATTGCCGCCTTCCAGGCGTACTGGACGCGCCGCGCGGGGACCCCCCGCTGCAAGGGCGCCGGTGCCGGCGTCGCGCCCGCGGATGGCTTCTCCTGGTTCCAGCTGGCCGAGCCCCTAGCAGGGGGCAAGCAGCTGGGGGCTTGCAACGCGTGTTATGAGGACCACGTCTTAGCCTCGCCGTTTGCAGAGCGCTTCGCGAGCACGCCGGTGAAGCAGCCGCAGGACCAGACGTTCGAGTGCGACCTGGCCTGGGAGTTTGTGCAGAAGCTGCTGTGCGGTGGGACGCAGGACTGGGCGCAGGTGTCAAGCTGGCTGCTCTTCCGTAAGGGCCTGCCGCGGTGTCTCCAGGCGGCGGCGGGAGCGCCGGAGGAGCGGCGCTGGCACAGGTTGCGAGCGCCGGAGTTCGGCGCGCTGCTGACCTGCGAGGCGTGCTACTACGACGCCGTGCACGGCACCGTCGCCGCCGAGCACTTCCTGGCGTCCCCGGTGGTGCTGCCGCCCGGGTCGCTGACCGTCGTGTGCATGGTCGGCGGGCACGTGGCGCTGCGCGTCGTGCTTGACGAGGCGAAGCGCCTCGGCGACTGGGCCGTCTTCCACCGCGCCGCGCAGGCCGTCGTGCGCAACCCGCCGTGCCTGCGCGAGGGCACGCAGTCGCAAGTCTGGTACTCGGTGGTGCCGGCCTCGCCGGAGATCGACGTGTGCCCGGCGTGCCACGCATGCCTGTTCGAGGCCCTCGGCGCCGGCCACCTCCTGCAGCCCAAGTACGTGCCGCCCGGCCAGCCGCGCCTGTGCAGCATGAACCTCGCCGCGCCGCACGTCGCCGCCATCTACAGGCGGCTGGACATGGCCCTCGACTCGGGCGACCTCGCCGGCTTCGCTTCCTTCCTGCGCCTGGTCGCGGAGCTGCCCGCCTGCCCCGGCAACAAGCCCGTCGCCGGCCTGCGCTGGTACACGCACGATTTGTTTTCCTGCTGCCCCGCCTGCTGGCACACCGCGCCCATCCGGGACACCAAGCTCGCCCAGTGCTTCGCCTCCGAGACGGAGGTCTCCTCGCTGCTCAAGTGCGACTTCTACTCGGGCCGCGTGCGCGACCTCTGGCGCCTCGCGTGCATTGAGGACGATCTCGCCGGGTTTGCCGGGTTCATGAAGAAGCGGCACCAGATCTGGCAGCAGACGTACCCGGCGATCCAGCAGCAGCTGGCGATCATGCGGATGAACCTGCAGCGGCAGTCGACGCTGATGATGGCATCGGTGCTCAACACGGGCGCGAATAATATCGTCTCCGCGGCCTCCCCGGTGGGACTGCAGGGCCATTACGGCAACTCGGCGATCGGGTACGGGTACGAGACCATGGCGGGCGCGCAGGGCGCGATACAGTTCAACCAGGCGACGAGCATGGGGGGAGCGAACGCGGCGCCCGCGATGGTGATCACGCAGCTGGAGGGGCTGTGGAAGTCGGTCGAGTAATGATGAACGCGCCCTCCGACTGACATCAGCGCCGAGCTTGATGAGTGCAGTGATTCCAACACCCTGTCTATAGTAACATTTAAAGTTGAAAAAAGTCGTCATATGACTCGGACTGGCCTCACTGCTCTTGGTTGGTGTCGTTGCCTGCGGGCTCGAGCGATAGCCGGGTCTGCTATTATTAGTCTATGAAATGAGAAGCTAGCTCCCCAGTAATAATACCCAGTACTCACCTTCTTTAAACGGCCGCTACTGATAGTTTGTGTGTTAGCTACTTCCGGTAAAGTTGGCACAGGTAGGTCGGTGAGGGAAGGGCTCCACGACTCCTCAGGCCCTTATGAACGTCTCCCGCACTTAATAGTGCGGAGTGCAGCCGTCTTATTGCTTGGCCGCATATCATCATCAGAGGTCCGTGCATCAGCTCCGTATGGGCATTCATGACCTGACTGGCCGAAGCCCCTGACAGGCTATCACTCACCTTATTCGTCGAGACACAGGGGCCCTGCAATGACTGACCGTCGGTCTGCCATTGGACCAGGGGTTCGTCGCCCCAAAATGCTCCCCTTTCCGGCGAGAGGAGACATCTCGCTATATTAATATAGACATGCATACCTATAATGGACTGCCTCGATTAGGTCACAAGGGTGCACCAATCCCCGTCCATAGCTCGGCCCCGCGAATGGCTAGGGCTTATTGCAGGCCATCCTCTTGGCCATCTTGCCCTCCATTCACAGTTGGCCGTCTTGCTGCCAGTGTCTGGTTGGTACGACACTGTCCTCGCCTGGTGGAGGAAGGTGAAATGAGAACCACATCTCCTGTCCGAATTGCATGCATACGCTAAAATCCGGTGATATAGAGCATCATCCGCATGATGAGGAAACAAATCCATATACGTCGAGTATTATTGCCGATGATGAAGCCAGACTCCATGGACGCGATATAAGAGACTGTGATGCGCCGTGAGTGCTTCCAAACTCTTCAGGCTTGCCTTGCACCTCTTACACACTCCTTTATTTTTCTTCTTCATTCTTCTTACTCGAGCAGCAATGCTCTTTAATACCATCTTTACGCTCCTTTGGGCGGCAGCGCTCGTCTCTGCCTTCCCCTCCCTGTCCCTACCGAAATGGTCGCCATCGCGTCGCAGCAGTGTCGCAGCGGCGCCGGCGCAGCCCGAGCCAACCCTGGTCACCTCCGATCTCGCCACCGTGCCCGGCGGCTTTTGCGGCTGGGTGGCCGTGGAGGTGCCGGTAGAAGGGCCCGAGGAAACCAAGACTGAGGAGCACACCGGACAGCAGCAAACCGGACAGCAGCATAGCGGCCAACAGCATAGCGGCCAGCAACACGGCGGCAAGCAATCCCAAGATGAGGGACAGCACAGGGCTTCTGCGCCCAGTCAAACCCTGGCCCCGAGCGTCCACTGGAGCTGGGATACCAGCGCCGTGGAGAATGTTGAGCCTGTTGCCGCCAAGGACGATTCAAAGATGTACTACGGTGTATCTGGTAAGTAGACTGTTATACGATCATAGCTTGGCCACTGACTAACTGACTGGGAAACAGAGCCGGCCAAGGAGGGCTACTTTGCCTTCCTCACCTATCGCTTCACGCTGCCATCCGTCAACCTTGACCACTCCAACCACGTCCAGGTGGAATACACCAAGGACAGTAACCTGGTCGTCAAGTTCAAGACGTCAGACTCATTTGAGCGCGCCGTTGAAAGTTGGGAGACCGATAAGGACCTGCTGCTGATTGCGACTGCTGATGGCTGCACCGGCCCCTCGGCCGAGGATCGCTGCTACTTCCGGGCGACCAGCTGCACGGTGCACGTGGAAACGCGGGTGATTATCGCCGTCGGAGCGCCCGAGCACCCTGAGAATGTCATGGAGTCTGCCGAAACCGAATGGGGCTTGTGGGCGCCGCACAGCACACCCGGGGCGAACGCGACCGGGTCGGCTGGCAACTCGTTCAATTACACGACCGGCTCTTCTGGAAAGTAAGTCGTCGATGCTACTAGTACTTGTCAGGGTGAAAAATTGCTGATCGGATTTCCTAGGGCACCTTCCACTCCCTCACATGACGCCCACGGCTTGGCGGTTGCCTCGTTTGGCCCGTCCTTTGACAGCGCGCTCGACGACGCGCTCGGATACCATGCGCTGCTTCCTGGCTCCGAAGCCTTCCTGAACCGCATCATCGCCGACGGCGAAGCCATCGCCACTACCAAGAACACTTCGGCCACCGACTGTGTCGAGCCCGGCTCCAATGCTCTCCGTCGCCGTCGCATGCTCCAGGCTCGCCGCGCACTGCACGCGCGCGGATGGTGGTCCAACCTGTGGAACGGCTTCGTGGACGCCGTCAAGACGGCGTATAACACCGTCGCCGACGCGCTCTCCATCAAGGGCGACTTCAACGAGCCCGTGTCCTGGGACCTGCCCGGCGCGGACATCCCTCGGGAGGCTTCGCCGTGGAGCCCCAACTCGATCGCGCTGTTCAAGCACGAGACGACCTCCGAATCCGGCGAGTTCCACGAGCACGTCCACATCTACTGCGTCGACTGCGGCGTTTCCGGCCAGGCCGTCTTCTCCGGCAAGGCCAAGATCACGCCGCTCAAGGGCATCTTCGACGCCGAGGTCGCCCTGCGCGCCAACATGAAGGTCGTCCTCAAGGTCGGCGTCGACGCCGAGATCCGATTCAGCAAGAGCATCCAACAGGACCTCTTCGCGTTCGGCCTCCCCGGCCTGTCCTACGGCATCGTCACGGTCGGCCCGTACATCTCCGTGGCGGCCAAGGTCGGGTTGGAGGCGGCGGCGCGCGGCAAGCTGCTGGTGGGCGGCGAGATGGGCCTGACGCAGGCGCAGGCGACGCTGCACATCTTCGAGCCGAGCCGCAGCTCGGCGTCCGGGTGGACGCCGTACTTCAAGCCGGTGCTGGAGGCCGAGGGGGAGATCATGCTGGCGGCCAGCGCGGGGCTGCCGATCGGCATCAAGGTCGGCCTGAAGATTTCTTCGTTTGAGGCGGCGCTGGGCATCGTGGAGGAGCCGACGATCAGCGCGGCGGCGCAGGTGGCGGGCGAGGCGAGGTATACGGAGGCGGGCGGCCTGATGGCGGGCTTCAAGCCGATTGACGGGTGCGCGGGCATCAGCACGAGCTTGAACTGGAGGAACAAGCTGTCGCTGGACATCCTGGGCGTCAGCTCGCAGGTCCTCCACGACACGGGGTTGCAGCCCATCGTCAAGGGTTGCATCAAGTAAGTTACAGTCGACCCTGGTTACGTCGTGTGGTGTGTTCTAACAAAATTGTGTGACTAGTTTCAAGAGTTCTCCCCGTCCCATCGCGAATGCGGGTGCTCTGGTCTCCGTGGTGCAGAACAAGGGCAGCGTCAACAGCAGCAGTGCTGGCAACAGCAACATCACCATGTCTGTCAAGTCGCAAACCAGCACCAGCATTCGTTTGCCTAGCACAGTGTCCAGTACAGTGTCCAGCACAGCTTCCAGCACAGCTTCCAGCAGCACAGTTTCCAGCACAGCTTCCAGCACAGTATCCAGCACTCTACACAGCACCGTGCCCAGCAGCTGGCCTGTCGTCCCTTCAAACAGCTCGACAAACAGCTCCTCGATTAAGTCGACAAACAGCTCGTCCATTTCACCAGTCAAGCTGCCAATCACCTCTACCACCACCGCGTCAATCAGCACTACCAGCCTCCCCATCAGCTCTCAAATCAGCAGCACCTCCGTCCATTCCGCAACCACCACGTCCTCCAGTGCTCCTCCTCCCGCATCCCCCCTCGAAAGCAGCACGCCCAAAACCAACGTCACCTGCGTCGAGGACGATGCCACCACCACCCCGCAAGTCTTCAAGGACGGGCACGCCTTCGACCTCGCGCCGCTCCTCACCTCCGCCGGCGGCAGCATGGTCGCCTCCTGCAACGACGGCAACGTGTACGTCGCCGCCGCCTCCAACCGCACCAGCAAGACGTGCAACGCCCTATGGCCGACCTCCAAGGAGGCCGTCGTCCCCTTCGACGGCAACCTCAACGTCATGCACTACTATGCGGGCGCCATGGCCGCCGTCGGCGTCTCCCGCCTGCGCGCCAGCCCGCCGCACAAGATGCCCAACGACGCCGTCGTCGCGGTCCTGGTGCCGGCGCCCGCGGCGGACGGCTCCTTCTTCTACATGGCGGCCGACGCGAGCGACAAGGTGTTCTACCCGATCGTGTGCGAGTTTGCGGGTGGCGCGGTGCCGCGTGTGTTCTTGGCCAAGGAGGTGAGCGCGGGAGTGAAGATGCTGGAGGGCGGATCGGTGGCCGAGTCCATCACGGGCGCAAAGGTGGACAGGTGCTTCGGCCTCTCGCTGTCACCACAGCTGTAGTGTGGTCGTCGGTATTAGTCAAGTTAATGTTTAGTGTAGTGTTTATTTATTAGCCATGGCGTCCTAGCCTTGTCTCTCTTTATGTAAATAATTAGTTTTCGTTGACTCTTTCGTTGGTAAAATGACAACTTCAATGTGATGACTACTCACTAGTAACAGCCAGCTTCCACCACCTGAGGTACGTACGTAGCTGCGCGTGGATTTTCGGTTGTCTCGTACGCATCTACTAATACAAGTTGTGATGTAATCAGCGTCTTCCGCAACAATCTTCCGAAATGCCAAGAAAGGAGGTGTCATCGTCGCTTTTAGCCCACTGAAACGGAGCTTCTGATTTGGTGTGGTTGTGGTCGCTGCTGACAGCTCTCCAGAGCTCCCGTCGCGATCCTTTTTCCACCAATCGGCTAGTCTTGCTGGGAGAACCTTAGTTGCATTGTGAGTATAAAGGGATCTGGCATCGCCAGCATGGGTAAGTCTTATTTTCATTGTAGTAAGTGCTAGCTTGAACACTACACAGACTGCCAGATTCAGATTGAGTATTGCAATACCTCCCCAAGCACACACGATATACATACAACCTCGACCCTCCTCGCACAATGCTATTCAAGAGCCTCCTCGTTGCACTCTCCGCCACTACGCTGGCCCTCGCCGGCAGCCCCGTGGAAAGCGGCAACTGGGTCGAGGACCACCCCAGCTTTAGCACGCAGCAGTGCGAGGGCGGCAACGTCAGCGGCGACACCTTCTCCATCCCCAAGAGCCCCTCCGGCTCCGGCGGCGGAGCCGGCTGCTCCAACGGCCACCTCCGCGCCGAGCGCCGCTACAACGACGACTACTCCTCCGGCACCCACCAGTTCGGCGGCACCTTTCGCATCAACTCCATGTCCGGCAACCGCATCTCCATCAAGCAGACCTTCAACGGCAACTCGGGCCCGTACTTCATCATGGGCGTGGAGCAGGGGGGCCGCCTATACAGCGTGGAGGGCGGCAAGACGATCGCGGACGGCGTGGCTAAGGTGGGCGCGAGCGTGAGGATTAACACGGTGCACAACGTCGACCTCAAGCGCTTCAGCGTCTATGTCAACGGCAAGGAGATGTTTCGCGATAACAACGCGCCCGGGGGCAGCTTCTACGACAAGATTGGAGCGTACACCACGAACAGTGGCAGCGGCGACCTGAGCATTACATGGTCTGATGTTCAGTTGTGGCATCGTCAGTGATGTATTATGTGGTAGGAAAAAGGGTAGTTCAAACCACAGACATGTCCATTTAATTAGAAAGAAAAAGTGCTTTTATCAAATCAAGCGTCAATCGGGTACGTGGGCCGAGTCAGCAGCATAGGGCGCGAAATGACATCTCACCAGATTAAAGGCGCATACTGGTCATCATACTTGGAATTGCAGCCAGGTATTTAGTTGGTAGACTCTCCACCATAAGCTCGCCTTTAACAAGCCAACAAAGCGGTGCGCGAACCATTCTACGCCGCCTAGGTAGCGTAGATGCGCAAGATGCTACTGTTATCGAAAGGCAACACCCGTAATAAAGACGTTGACATACTTTTATTAGCGCGCCGGAATCAATGAAGCATCAAGACTTGCGGCGCGCCCTGTCGAGCTCCTTTATCTGCAAGGGCGATGTCTTGAGCATTTCCTGAGGGTCTGGAGAATAATTGCAGGTAAACCAGGCTCTGGTGGCTCACCTTGAAGGGTTCTTTATAAAAGGCAGTCGATGGACTCGTTGAGTTGACCACTCCTCTCTACTCATCGACCAACCGAAACAAAACAAAAACATCTACAACAATGGCCGCCCTCACATTTCGCCGCGCCACGCTCGACGACGCGCCTCAACTGCGCGCCCTCACCGAGCATGCCTTTTCCACCCCCGACTCGCGGCCCGACTGGACCGGCGACGCAGTCCTCGCCGCACACTTCACCCTGACCCTCGACGCCATGAAGGCGAGCCTCACCGCCTCCGACGTCGTCACCTTTGCCGTCCTCGATGCGGCGGGGGAGATTATCGCCTCTGCAAGCGTTGGGAAGAAGGCCGAAACTGGCCGCATCTCGATGCTGGTCGTGCACGACGCGCACCAGCGCGGGGGCCTCGGCGGCCGCGTGCTGGCGTACGCGGAGGAGCACTGCCGGCGGGAGTGGGCGGCGCGGCGCATCTCGCTGAACGCGCTGTCATCGCGGACGGCGCTGCGGGCGTGGTACGCCCGGCGCGGGTATCGCGAGACGGGCGAGACGAGCCCGTTTCCGCGCGAGTCGGGCCGGTTTGCGGCGCTTGCAATCCCGGACGACTTGTGCTTTGTGGAGATGATCAAGGACGTCGAGCCCATGCAGGGTGACAAGAAGACAGAGGAGGAAGAATAATGACGAGGAGTGCTGCGGAGAGTTGGTATAGATGTAACTGTTGCTGGAGTTGGTCCCGCTTCAGCTTTTTGATATTGAATATGGTTGTTGATACGTGGCAATTGGAGATGATATCAAGAACAAGCTGGGCTCGCCGAAAAGCGAACAATAAGTGAGGCATCTATAGCATATATCAAAGCAGGGGTGTTTCGCAATGGCGGACATGTTTCAAATGTGCAGAGTTGCTATATAGACGCTTTTAATGTTTGTAAATGGATACTGTTGCATTAAGATGATGATTTTCCCAACATTCTATCTGACGAAAGCCTTCTCTCACCGTCCGTTAAAAAGCAGCGCGCCTACCCTATAGCACAGCAAAACATGGCGAAGCCGTCTACACCATATCATAGATGGACTATAGAAGACACAGATTGTCAAAAGGGGTCAGTATCTACCAATTATCAGTGGAATAGAATTGCCCAGAGGGAGTAAGAGCTCAGCCTCGCGTACAAGGGCCTAACGATTCAGTCCATGTAGCTTACAGTGCGCACGTTCCACTTCGCACTTGGCACTGTACATCGGCCAGAAACACTCGTGAGCCTCAGTTATTATTACCTTGATTTGTAAACAACAGAGACAACAGGAACCAAGTAAATACAAAGCAATTTCGACCACCAAAATGTGTCTATTTATGCTCGTCAACTCTTCGGGGCTGGATTTTGGATCTGCAGACAGCCCTTGAAATCAGGCTCCAGCTAGGCCAGCAGCAGCACCCGAGAGTCCGTCAATCGCCTACGTAATGGCCAACACCTCCTGTGCGCCAGCAAGTCCTACAGCATACATCTATACGATTACTTGAAAAAGAGGTGAGCGATTCTCATCATGATGGTGCTCTACTTCATCTTCGTGACGGCCCTGCTGGGCTGCGCGGCCGGCCGTTTGATCATGCCCTCCGCCGACCAGTTCCGAGCCCTCCTCACCCGCGACGCTTTCCAGCAGCCCCTCGGCCCTTTGAAGCAGTCACCCTTCTCCTTCGCCGGCGGCGGCAGAGGCCCGTACGCGAGCGGCAACTTCACCCGCATCCCGCAGGACGACACCGTCTGCCCCTCGTACGGCGAGGCGCAGTGGGCCGGCACAGTCAACGTCGCCGACGACCGCCAGCTGTTCTACTGGTTCACGGAGAGCCGGGGCGACCCCTCGCGCGACCCGCTCCTGCTCTGGATGAACGGCGGTCCCGGCGCCTCGTCGCTCGTCGGCCTCCTCACCGAGCTCGGCCCCTGCGTGCTCCAGCCCGGCGCCTCCGCGCCGGTGCCCAACCCGTGGTCGTGGAACAACAACGCGTCCGTAATCTTCCTGGACCAGCCCGCCGGCACGGGTTTCTCGTCGGTGGCGGAGGGAGGACGGGCGCCCTCGACGGACGAGGACGGCGCGGCCGATTTTCAGACCTTCCTCAACGTCTTCTTCCGGGACGTCTTCCCGGAGAAGGCTGCGCTGCCGCTGTACATCGCGGGCGAGTCCTATGCGGGCCACTTCACGTCGACGTATACGAAACACATCCTCGACGCGCGCGCGTTCAACTCCAAGGATGCTTTTTGGGGTGAGATTGCGGGGCTGATCAATGTCAACGCCGTTTTGGACTGGACGGCGGTCAGCATCGGCGTGTACGAGCTGCTGTGCTCCGAGTACCGCGGGCGCGACTTCCTCGATCCGGAGGAGTGCGACAGCATTCGTCTGGAGATGCCGGAAGTTGTGAGACTGGGACAGGAGTGTCGCATGGGTACCGCAAGGTACAGCTGTCTTGGACTGATGCTCTTCTTTCTTGATCACATTGACCCGGCGTACCGGAAGCGCATCGAGGCAGGTGAACGCAACAACTACGACGGTAGGACAGAGAGACGATACTTTGCCCTTGGAAATGTGCTGACTGGTGTTTTGCAAAGTAAATCTTCCCTGCGTGAACCAGAATGGTTTTTGCGAGGACACCAAGCACGGCAACATCACCCGGTACCTCAATCAGCCTCACATAAAACAGGCCATGGGCGTGCCAGAGTCGATGACGTTTGAGCTGCTCAACTCCATAGTCGGTGGAAATTATGCCATTGAAATGTCCAAAAGTAGAGCAAAGACTTTGGAGTCGGTTCTGGACGCGCCGCCGAGAACCGGCCTCGACAAGATCCGCCTGCTCGTCCTCAACGGCAACGAAGACTACATCGTCAACACGCCCGGCCAAAAGTGGCAGTACGACAACCTCTTTTGGAGCGGCTTCGCGGACTACCGAATTAGCAACTGGCGTGAGCTGCCGGACGACGTCAAGGCGAGCGGCTTCTGGAAGGGCACCGATGACGGGCGCCTGGTGTTTGTCGGGGTGGACGGCGCGGGCCATGGCGTGCCGGGCTATCTGCCGGAGGCGAGTTACCGGATTCTGCAACGGTGGATCGCCAATGAGTGGCGTTGATGCCAATCTGGCTCTGGCTCTATCCATACCTATTACTACCAGTAGGCATCTCAACAATGCAGGCAACTCAAGCATTCGCCTCGTGCTGCCTAGGGGCCTCGGATTACATGGCGACGACGATTTCGCGTCGAGTGAGACTGTAGCATTTCACAGCACAATTCAACTTGTAACAATAGATCATGTCGCATTTGTCATGTTGTATCAAGGTAAACAACAGTGCAGGTATCTTGACGGCGACCTCCGGTTGGTCTGCTTTGTCGCATCGTGCCGCGCCTTCAACTAGCAAAGCCAGACCATCAACAAGCAACCGCACGGGTCAGGATCATCAGCACATGACCATACCCATAGGCCTAGTTTCTTACTTGTTGTCTTTAAACAACTCTAGTATAGGCTACGTTACTGCCACCTTAATATAAACTCTATACGCTACGCCACACATAGGTGGCGTGGAGCTGTTAGAACGACGTCGTTCCAATCGCATGCCAACCATTCGACCAGCGACCACCTCCATTAGGAAGTCGATTATTCTTGGCGCACGCGACGACGCGGGACAAGTCTTTCATACCGGGTTTAAATTAGGGCCTGCATGAAAATGGGCAATTCCGCAAAAGGCGCGGCGCATGAATTGACCGTCGCAGGGTTGCAGCGGGAAATAGATTGCTGTGGATGCTGGGTCGGGCCAGTCAGGATGAAACCGTTCAATATTGGCCGACGGTCGGTTTGCCATGCGAATGGCGCGCATAGGGTACAGTTAGAATATAAGATCGTACAGTGTTTTCCGGAAGTGGAAGGTAGCTGTTTCAAGTCTCAGGTTGACAGGAGACGGGTTTCAGGGTTGCAAAGCTACGATAGCTTGCTGCTATGATATCGACGTTGCGGGAGCATCAGTCCTTCATGTTACAGTGTCATGAGAGGATCCATAGGAACAAGTGAAAATTCTTCACCTCATGATCACAGGTAAATATGTTGTGGTTCACCGACTATATAGTCTTCCTCAAGTCTCGCCATTGCAGTCTGTCCAACAAGCAGCAAGCTCTCATCCCAATCAAGACATCATCAACCAATCACTCTACCGCGCAAATATGAAGGTCCTCAGCGCCGTCCTCGCTGCCCTCGGCATGGCCTCCGCGGCCGCTGCCCATATGGAGATGAAGAGCCCGCCGCCGTTCCGCTCCAGCTTCAACCCCAACACCGGCGACGACATCGACTACGACATCCGCTCGCCGCTCAACTCCGACGGCAGCGACTTCCCCTGCAAGGGAGACCTGCGCCTGCTCGACACCCCCAAGGGCCGGCCCGTCGCCACCTGGGCCCCCGGTGGCACTTACTCCTTCGTCATCCACGGCGACACCCCGCACGACGGCGGCAGCTGCCAGGCCTCCGTCTCCTTCGACTCCGGGCGCACCTACAAGGTGGTGCACTCGTACATCGGCAACTGCCCCGTCTACGGCGACTCGAGCTACCGCTTCACGCTGCCGAGCGACACCCCGTCCGGCCGCATGATCTTCGCGTGGAGCTGGTTCAACAACGAGGGCAACCGCGAGATGTACATGAACTGCGCGGTGATCAACGTGGCGGGCAAGCAGCGCCGGGACGCGTCGGTGCCGCTGGCGAGCCGCCCGGACATGTTCGTGGCGAATGTCGGGAATGGCGTGTGCACGTATGAGGGCACGGACGTCGAGTTCCCGCAGCCGGGGCCGGACGTGACGCGCAACACGAACCGCGCGCATGCTCCCGGTAGCGGCAGCTGCAACAACTGGGGCGGCGATGGCGATGGCCAGTGGTGGTGAGGGGGGCGAGAAAGCGCAGAGGTGGGAGTGGTAGGAGGATGGCAAGATACAAGGAAGCAGGCTCCTGTATATAGCGGATGTTAGGCACCCTTCACAGTATATATTTATCAAATTCTTTTGCTTCTCCGTGTAGTTGGCATGTCATCCCTGTACCTGGACAGTCGATAAGGCACCGTCGTCGGCCTCAATGCAGCACTGTGATCTCACAACGGCAACCCAGAACGCAGATTTTATGACTATTGATATTTACCAGTACTTGACTTGAGTTCGCAAGTTTGCGCCGTATTTTACGACTAGGAGTAGAATTGGTCTTGGTATTTTAGTGTATGCGTTCGACCCCTATGCTGAGCTTAGGTAGGTTGCTTGTGACGGGCATGGTGGCGTACTGGCTGGACAAGAAGCTATAGAAACAAAGTGGAAAAAAAACCGCCCGCTAGTCCTTGAGTACCCAGGTTAATAATTGTGAATGAGACACTCGTTTCTTTGCATTTACGCTCTTACACTATCTTCGACCCGTTGTAAGCATCCGTGTTGCCTCCTTTATCGGCGACCGGATGACTGTCGGGAAGGTCCTCCGGCGCCGTTCCGGACCCCTCTTCCCCCCGCTCACTATCCCGCGCGAAGGTCTGAATGGCTACTTGTGGCAATTTCGAGATGTCAGAGATACTCTATTGCGGTCCATTTGGAGGACGGCCGTCCCGACAATCCCCCTTTGGCGTCTTGGTTATAAACCCGACACCAGCCAGTCCATAAACCAACGACGGACTCTGCACCAACGAATCTACTAGAGCTCAACTACCGTATCCTTTGTTGCAGAATATGGCTCCTCACTGCCCGCCCCGCGGCATCTACGTGCCTTGCGTCGCCTTCTTCCACGAGGATGAGACGCTGAACATGGAGGCGATCGGCACGCATCTTACCCGAATGGCCAAGGCTGGCGTCGACGGTCTGGTCATCCAGGGCTCCAACGGCGAGGCCATGCACATGTCGCACGAGGAGCGCATCGAGGTCCTGAAGCTCGCTCGCTACACCGTCGATCAATACGGCAAGCCGGGCGCCACCATCATCGCCGGCTGCGGCGCGCAGTCCACGCGCGAAACCATCCAGCTGTGCACGGAGGCTCACGAGGCCGGCGCCGACTACGCGCTTGTCCTCAGCCCCAGCTACTGGCGTGAGTGAGAACCGGGTTCACGGAAGATCTCCAAACAATTAACCAGCTCGCGAACAGTCCCCGCCATGCAGAAGCCGGTCATCTACAAGTTCTTCGACGACGTGGCCACGGCGTCGCCCATCCCGATCCTGCTGTACAACTTCCCCGGCGTGACGGGCGGCATCGACCTCGACTCGGACACCATCATCAACCTGGCCGCCGCCAACCGCAACGTCGTCGGGTGCAAGCTGACCTGCGGCAACATGGGCAAGCTGCAGCGCGTGGCGCACGACCCGCGCATCGGCCGCGACTTCGCCGCCTTTGCCGGCAAGACGGACTTTATGCTGCACGGGCTCGTCGGCGGCTCGCACGGCGTCATCGCCGCGACGGCCAACCTGGTGCCCAAGGTGCACACGGTGATGCTGAGCCTGTACGACGAGGGGAAGATCGAGGAGGCGCAGCAGCTGCAGACGCGCTTCAGCCGCGCGGACTGGGCGCTGGTGCAGCTCGGCGTCGCGGGCCTCAAGGCCGCGCTGGACAAGTACTACGGGTATGGGGAAGGGCGCAGCCGCCGGCCGCTGGGATCGGTGGACGTGGCCAAGTTTGACGGTGAGGCTGGCGCGCCGCTGCGCGACCTGGTCGAGTACGAGAACTCGTTGCCGGATGTCAAGCTTCCCACTACGTTTTGCGGTACTCGTTGAGAAAGAAAAAGGCTGTTATAGACTGTGATGCGTGGTAGTTCCACGGAGGAACGCGCGTACGAGCCCTGGTGCGGTGTTGTGAGACTCGCACGTGGCCACATACTACTTGACTGCATTATAATTGATTTTTTTGTACGGATTGCGTGCGAACCTGACAGATTGATACCAATGTGCAGATGATCCAAATTCTGCCACCAGAGAGTCGATGAATCGCTGTGCTTCACTCCTCCTTAGCAAGTCCATCACCGTGTGACGGTTTGCCGATCTGTTGCCAGACCAGCACAGAAGCCCCTCCCTGATGAAGAACGGTTTCGGTGGTTTGTCTAAGAAATGCGACAGCACAATTCCGAGCAAGAGACTCGAAGGACCTTGGCCTTGCTGCCCGCAAGCGACGGCACTCTTTTCTTCGTCCCATCTGTGCAATGTCTCGAATCTTTGTGCCTTTGGCGCCAGTGTCATCAGGTTCCCCTGTCGCCCGTTCCCCGATGAATCCAATGCCGTCCAAGCGGGCCAGGGGTCCGTCGCGGCCAAGTCGATAGAACGCCCAAAAACAGTGTGCCTGCCCGAGCTTGGCGAACACAGCCCATAAAACAGAGTTCAAGCCCTCGGAATTGCGCGACCAGTTAGGATGGCTGAGGGGAGGGGATCTGCTGGTCCACATGCGTCGCGACTCAGTGGTGGCCGCTGGGTTCGTAAGTAGCGAGAGAGTTGATAGAAGAGAGCCAAAAGTACCACGGCATCATTTTTGCTTGTGTGATGTGGTTGAGTTGAGAGAACAAGATGATTCCAAGATGAAGTGGCTTTCAGGATTAATGGCCGTACGATGCTAATTTGAGACGACTCGATCGAGACATGATGGGTTGACATGTCACATTGCGTGGCTTGCCTTCCTTGCAGGCTGTTAGCCACTCTGGGCGGTAAAATGCGAGAAGCGCAACGACGTAATTTTATTTGCGCGGGGAGCCAGGAGCCATGGGATAGATTCCATGTGGGTTGTGGCCTAATAGATTGTCGAGCAAGAAAACGGTTTTTCTTTTGCAACTAGTTATGGACTATGGATGTATTGTGTAGTTACCTGCGTAGTAGGTCTGACAACTGAACTGACTGACCGGTTCCAAGTACTTTGTATTTTACTGCTACCATGAGTATGCAACGGTCGCAACCCTTATGTGTAATTAGCAGGTTGGCAGGGTCTAGACTAAACTTTGCAACGTGCATGGAATCGTGTCGGCATATCTGCCTGATTTCATCTGTACAAATTACCCATGACACGATCCTCGTTGCTGATCCTGCGGCTGGCCCTGGAATCTGGCACTGGGTAACTAGTGGTTGGGTAGTGGTTGGTGGCCATTACCTCACTAGTCAATGGTAACTGATAAGTCCAAGGGCCCTGGACCAGGCTGCGAATACTGGTCCTCGGCCCTGTTCCGCCCCTCCAAAACGGCAGAAAGGGCATAGCGATTGGTGGTGGTGAATGGCTGTGGGTGGATGGTGCAAAAAGGCTTTGAGCCCAGCCGTCCAAGTTGAGACACATTCCCCATTTTCTTTTCTCTGTGAGGTCCCCCCATCGATCTCTTCTACCCTCCTAGAACCAAGTTGAGAATTCCTCCTCTTCTCGCATCCTGGACCGTCGCTTGGGAATTTCAATTTCATCCGTCCAGCGCCTGACCCGCCCTCTATGCAGGGCGTCCGGGACGAGAGCGCCACGCTACCTAGCCACCACCGACTCAGAGATTTTTAACATCGACTTGCCTCGCTCGCTGCGTTCCACTCAAAAGAAGCTGGCGGCCACCACGTTTATTTATTAGCGGCCTTCAGCTTATCGCCTCTCTCCCCCAGCCAGCCCAGCGTTGCTCACCGCAAACCTGATTTCATCCGTCGAGGCAAGCGGCGATTGTCATAGACAAGATCCGACCATGCCTAGCGACATCACGACAATCATCTAGATCTAGATCTTGTCCTCGTCGCTGCCCGTCCCCATGGACGACCCGGAGCACTGGCCGTGGCTCGTCGCACGGCTCGACCTCAACCAGGTATGCAGCCACCCGCCGCATCCCCGCCATTTACATCGCCTGCCTGCCCTCTTTGGTGGAATTATCACCATATTGGAGTCACTCACCTACGCCCGCTGGCCTGGTTACTCGCGGCTCGGCTACATGCAGCTAACATAGATGTGTGCCCGTACAGAATACCGATCCCCGCATCAATTCTACCCGAAACGACTCGAGCGGCCAAGGCACACTCAGCGCGACGGCAAACAGCAAAAGCCCATCACTCTCCAAGCTCGGTGGCACATTCATCCCCATCGGCATTATTCTCGGAGTAACCGCCATCCTCTTCTTTTTCCTCCGTCCTAGATTGAAGCGCGTGTATGCCCCGAGAACCATTCACGCCATCCGAAGGCCGCTGTATGTGCCAAGCCCGTTGCGGAATGTCGAGTACTGGAAGGCTTGCGCTGACATTTCACAGAGAACCGAGCCCAGAGTTGCCCAGCGGCATCTTCAACTGGGTGGTGCCTTTCTTTAAAACTCCTGATACATTCATTTTGAACAATGCAACCATCGACGGCTTCTTCTTCATTCGATACCTCAAAGTACTACGGAACATTTGCTTCGTCGGATGCTTGCTCGCCTATCCTATTCTATTCCCGATCAACGCGACTGGTGGTAATCACAATTACCAGCTTGCCGCTCTGACCATCGGCAATGTCAAGGATCCCAACAAGCTGTACGCGCATCTCTTTGTTGCCTGGGCCTTCTTCGGCTTTGTTTTATTCACCATCGTTCGAGAATGCATCTACTACGTCAACCTGCGCCAAGCATACCTCTCTTCACCCCACTACGCTCAGCGCATCTCATCAAAAACCATGCTCATTACTGGCCTGCCCGAGTACTATCAAGACGAAGCCCGCCTTCGAAAGTTGTATGGGGACTCGGCAAAGAGAATATACCTCCCACGAAGCAGTAAAGTGCTCGCCAAGCTTGTCAAGGAGCGAGAACAGACCGCAAAGCGACTGGAGGACGCGGAAGTGAAGCTTATCAAGCTGGCCAACCATGCCCGCAACAACTACCTAAAGAAACACCCAGACCACCCTGTCAACGAACCGCCGCCAGGACGCGCCGAAGAACAATGCGAGGTGGATGTTGAGTCTGCAAGCTCTGAGCGACAACTTGCATCGGCGTCGTCAGCGTCTCCTACCTTGACCAGGTTCTCAAGCGACAAGCTCCAGGTTGACCTCCCTGGTCCAACGCTACTCTCCGACCAATCGATCGAGCATTTGCCGCAGCGGAATTCTGACGAGACCAAGGTCGACGACACCGAGAAAAAGGAAGAGCGCGTCAGGACCGAAGAGGATCTGGATTATGTGCATCCGTATGGCTTGCACGATACGCTACCCGACCTGCGCGGCTCCGTGGCGTCCCTCTGGATCCCGACCAGCAAGCGCCCTCACCACCGCCCGATTGGCAACTTTTTGCGCCGCGTAGACACGATTCGTTGGACCCGGAACCGACTTCGCGAACTCAACCTTCTCATCTTCAAAACGCGCCGTGTCGTGCGACGTGGCGAGGCCGGCGCGGTGTCTGCCGCGTTTATCGAGTTCGACTCGCAGGAGAGCGCGCAGGCGGCGCAGCAAGTCCTCGCACACCACCGCCCACTGCAAATGTCGGTGAGGCTGCTGGGCATTCGCCCGGACGAGGTCATTTGGAGCTCTCTCCGCATGAAGTGGTGGGAGCTCATCATGCGACGCACGGCGATCCTGGCACTCGTTCTGGCGGCCATTGTATTCTGGTCGATTCCGGCCGCGTTTGTTGGATTGGTGTCGAATGTCGACTCGCTAATAAAGCTTGTGCCGTTCCTCTCGTGGATTAATAAGCTTCCAAAGCTCATCACCGGATTCATCCAGGGCTTTCTGCCTGCCCTGGCCCTCTCACTCCTCATGGCAGCCGTCCCCTTTATGCTTCGCTTCTGTGGCCGCGTCTCGGGCCTCCCGTCCACTATTCGAGTCGAACTCTTTGTGCAAAACGCCTACTTTGCGTTTCAAGTCGTTCAAGTCTTTTTGATCACTACATTGACCTCTGCCGCTTCCGGCGCCATCACGGAGATTATCAAAAACCCTCTTGGTGCAAAGGATCTGCTGGCAAAGAGCTTGCCATCCGCATCCGATTTCTATCTCTCATACATCCTCATCCAATGTGTCCTCAGCGGCTGCAAGGATCTCCTACAAATCTGGCCATTCTTGCGTCATGTCGTCCTGGCGAAAATTACAGACAACCCCCGCAGCAGATACAAAGCTTGGAGGGAACTGACAACTCCAGGTTGGGGAGGCATCTTCCCCGTATACTCCAACATGGGGGTCATTGCGCTAAGCTACTCTTGCATTTCACCCCTAGTCCTGCTATTCGCGGCAGGCGGATTATGGTTCATCCAGATTGTGTGGAAGTACAAGCTGCTATACATCCTGGACTCTACACATGATAGCAAGGGTCTTTTCTACCCGCAAGCCTTGCTACACCTCATTGTCGGGCTGTACTTGGCGGAAATTTGCATGATTGGGCTCTTTGCCCTGAACAGTTCGTTTCCGCCCGTCGTTTTGATGCTCATCTTCTTGCTCTTTACTTTGCTTGTCCACATGTCGATAAGCGATGCCATTGCGCCGCTTTTGGTCAGCCTGCCGCAGACCATGAAGATTGAAGAAGAGATCCAAATCGAGGAGAAGCAAAAGGCGGTAGCCGCTGCGACGGCGGCTGAGGCAGCGTCAGAAGCCCCCACCGGCGCGGCAAGCAGCTATTACGACGAGGCTCAGTCATTTGGCGAGGAGCGCATCGAGAGCGAGGAAGAGGAGGGGGAGGAGGAGGAGGAGGAGGAAGGGGAAGAGCACGTGGTGACGGGAACCAGAGCGATGGAGGGCGCCAGCAGCGTGCGGTCGACGGCCGTGGAGTGGTTCAAGGGAAGCACCAAGAAGAAGATCAAGACTGAGTTTGAATCGCCGTTCCTCAAGCATTGGCTTGGCAAGATTGGCATCAACATTGGTCCGGAGAATGCTGACAAGCCCAACTTCTTTCAACGCTTCCTGCACCCGGAAGAATACGAAGACTTCATCGCCCTGCGAAAGCTCATCCCCGCCGACAGCCTGCCCAACCAGGTGTACGCGGAAAACAACAAGTACTGCAACTACGCACCGCCGGACATGTGGATGCCGAAGCCGTCGCTTTGGATCCCGCGAGACGAGGCGCGCGTGAGTCGACAGGAGGTGGCGCACTCGCGAGTCTTTACACCCATCTCGGACCGCGGTGCTGTCCTGGACAAGGATGGACGGGTTGTTGTATATTTTGACCAGGCACCGTGCCACGAGTCAAACCTGCTGTTGTAGCATATAATTCCCACTTGCAGCGAGCACTGTATTTCCTTTTTGGTATCTAGCGATTCACAGTCTTTATTCATATATTTCCTTGCTATACACGGACAGATCTAGCGACGTGCCGTACTGTATCGAGCAGGGGATAGCCGCATCCAAAGCGCCATCCACGGACCCTCATCAGTCGTGACGTTCCCATCCGTGGTCGTGGTTCTTTTCTTTTTCATCCGCCCATCCATACGCGGCCCATTGTCTGGCCTTGTCGATGCCAATCTGCATCTAGTCCATGACCAGGACGTTGCGAAACCGGGGCTTCCCGGCAATCAAGCTGTCCACCGCCTTCTGCACATCCGCGAAGGGATACTTCTCAACCATGCACTTCACCCCGTGCGTGCTCGCGAAGCGGATCGCCTCCTCGCTGTCCAGCGCGTGCCCGCTCGGCCACCCCTGCACGCTCGCGCCCTTGAGCACCAGCGACACCGTGTCAAACTCGACCGGCCCGACCGGCGCCAAGCTCAGCAGCTTGCCCTCCGGCGCCAGCGCCTTCACCAGCGGCCCCACCACCTTGGGATTCGGCGCCGTCTGCACCACAATCGCGGCGCCGCCGAGCTTCCTCAATTCCTCCGCGGCATCCTTCGCCTTGGTGTTGATGTAGTGGTGGGCGCCGAGCCGCTTCGCAAAGTTGGCCTTGTCGTCGCCCGAGGAGAGCACGGCGACCTCGTAGCCCATCTTGGCCGCGTACTGCACGGCCAGGTGGCCCAGGCCGCCGAGCCCCTGCACGGCGACCAGCGCGCCCTGCTCGACGCGCAGCTTGCGGATGCCGTTGAACACCGTCACGCCGGCGCAGAGCAGCGGCGCCACCTGCGCGGGCTCCATGTCGCGGGGCACGCGCGCGACGGCCTCGGCGCGCAGCAGCACGTACTCGGCGAAGCCGCCGTCCTTGCTGTAGCCGTTGACGAGCTCGTTGTCGCACATCTGGAACTGGGCGCGCTGGCAGGCGCGGCAGGTGCCGTCGTGGCCGCCGTGCCAGGGCCCGCCGACGCGGTCGCCCACCTGGAAGTTGGTGACGGAGTCGCCGACGGAGACGATGTCGCCGACGATCTCGTGGCCGGGGACGCGCGGGAAGACGTGGCTGCCCATCTCGCCGCTGGCAATGGCGACATCACTAAAGCACACCCCGCATGCCAGCACCTTGACGAGCACCTCGGCGGCGGCGGGCGCGCGCAGGGGCCGCTGGACGATCGAGAAGGGCCCGTTGGCTTTTTCGATGACGACGGCCTTGTAGGTGGAAGGGAGGGAGGAAGACATGGTTGGAGAGGGATGGAGGTTTATGCGATGATATGACTAGGGTGGATGAGAGAGGCTGGAGAGAAGGATTACGAGGTGAACTGGAAACTACAAGCTTTTTATACTTGCGGCGGGATTACTGGCGACCAGCAGAAGCAACCGTCGGACGGTCTGGGAAGTTTAAAACAAAATTGCATTGGTAATGCAGTCTATGCGTGGCTTTGCTCGATCCGTCGGAGACGTCTTGGTGGCGGGCTTGTCTTTCCGCCTATGACATCAACCACGTCATGTAGGAACTAGGAAGGGGCTAATAAAGATGCATCGCCTTTCTTGGGTACCTTTGACCCCGCTCGCTCGGGCGGACACAGCAAAGAAAACAATAGGGCGGGAAGTCCCAGAACTGATTAGAAAAAGGGTGCATTCATCAGCAGAAAAAAGGTGAAGGTGGGATAGGGGGTGGTGGTGGGTTGATGCAAGCAAGCCCACCTTCGGAGATGCAGGAGTGGCGCGGAGAGCCAAAGCCGATGGATTGGCGATCACTGTAGTGGTGCGGGGGGGAGCATCTAATAAACCCCGAAATCGCGGCGATGGCGATGAACGAACTGGGAGAAAAGAAGGATATGAAGGAGGGGGGCGAGGAGGAGAAGGAGGCGACTTTGAACAGCGAGCCAAGAGTTTACAGCGGTCGTGGTCGCAAATCAAAAGCGATGTTGCTGCACGTTACGTGAGGACGACGAGATACTAATGGTACGGTGTGTACAGGTTATGTGTAGTTATTGCACAATATTGTATGTATGTATGCACAAGTCAAAAAGGCTGCCATGCCACAGGGTGGCTGAACTATCCCTCAGTAAAACGTTGTCATTTTTGTGCCAAGATAATTTTATACAACAAACAAAATAGAGCAGAGATGGTGAGCAACTAATTCATCAACACTCAAATCAGTGCCTGTCTCTGTGTCTTTACTCCTCGCTCGCAGGAAGCGGCTTCGCAAGGCCGAGTCTCTCCAGAGTGCTGGTAGCCGCCTTCTTGGGATCGGCGTTGGCGTCGACGATGAGCGTCTTGGGCGCCTTGTCCACCAACAGTCGGATCAGGTCCGGGCGCATATAGTGGCCACCCTATTCAAATTTTTTGTCAGTTTTTATCTTCCTACTTTTCTTCTCGTTTCTGGGTTGACTTACAAAATCGGCGAGCCGCTTCGTCAGCAGGTTCTCGTCCAGGTCCACATCGACAATCACCAAGCCCTCGAAAGTCTTGTCCGGGTCCTCGACCGCGCGGTAACCGTCCGGTCGGTAGATGCGAGTGAAGCCGTTTCCGATGACGGCGAACTCGGCATCAACGGCCGCCTCGTCGTTCTGCAGCCGCTTGGGCAGGTTGAGGCGGGCGCCCTCGCGCGTCACCACCTGAGTCGGGGCAAGCGTCCAGGTGCCCGTCTCGTAGGCGTACGCGGGCGTCACGAGCTCCGACTGCACCTCGGAGATGTTGGTGTAGGGGTCCGGGTACTTGAGCGACGACGCGGGCGGGTAGACGGGCCAGGCGGCGACGTGGATCTCCTCGTGCTGCGCGCACGCGAGTGCCTTAAGGAACGGGTTCATCTAAGAAAAGGGGAAGCGTGAGTTTTCTGGGTAAACGTATGTAGGTTTGCGGTTGGCTGGTTTGACGCACGTTCTCCCAGCAGTTAAGGTGGCCGAGGCGGCCAATCTCCGTCTCGACAACGGTGTTGAGCGAGTCTCCGGTGCCCTCGCCAAAGACGAGCTTCTCAACGTGAGTGGGCTTGATCTTGCTGCGGTGGTTGATGACAGCACCAGTCGGGTCAATGATGATCTGGGTCGTCCCCAGCGTGTGCCCATCCACCTCGGAGTAGCCCAGCGAGACGTAGATCTGCGCAGTCTTAGCCGCGGCCCGGATCCGCTGCATCTCGACCGAGTCTGGCTTCAAGCTGTTCTTGTGGTACTCCTTGAGAAGGGGCAGTGAGTCCTGGTAGTTGACGCGCCACTGCCAGTAGGGATACCTGTATCCTGTTAGTGAGTGCCGCGCCGACTTGTGCGGTTTTGCTGTAGTTACCCAGGGATCCCTAGATTCTGTTAGATTCGGCCTTCACTCGGAGTCGTCAGGAATACTCACAAAGCTCGGGGAAGGCGATGAGCTTGCAGCCCTTCTCGCCAGCCTCGAGGATGAGCTTGATGGTCTTCTGGACGGAAGCTTCCAGGTTGAACCAACCAGGCTCAGCCTGGACGGCGGCTGCCTTGTACTGTCGGATGGTTGCAGACATGGTGATTCTTTTGCGATTGGCGTGCGATTTTCTGTTGTTGAAAGTGTCTTGAGAATGAGGTGTGTGATGAGCTGAAATGGGAGTCTCAGCTGCCCGTCTTATATACTACAGAAGTTCCATGCATGCAGCAACCCTTTTCGTCGTTTTCAGGCATCGCAACGTCGCTCTCGATATTCAGGCACGCAATTAGCTACATCTTCGGAGCACGTCGGCATCGCGGGAAACCGGAAAGACATTATGCAATCCGGTGGTTGAAGTTGGTGATGCAAGATGACTCGAACAGAATAGCAATACCTTGGAGTGAGTAAATCACAAACGTGGTCCACACGGGAGCTCGGCCGCGGGGGTGTATTAAATCACGCCATGACTTAACACAGCAGAAAGCAGCGCCGCGGAGGTCATCTCTGACATATGGTGGATACAGCATACAGTAAAAGTGAGTTGTCGGCGTGACCCGCCTCGGGCTCCCGGACGGACGCGCAGCCGTGCATCCGTGATCAGGCGGTTGGCAACAGCGTGCTGGCTACTTCGCGTTCATGGCGATCTTTGTAAGGCGAAATTCAGGGAGACGGTAGCGAAATAACCTTGAGAGACTGTATTCTGGGGGCCAAGACCGAATTAGAACCGGAACGTGCCTGATCTCGGGATGCACATGCATGCGTTCCGGTTACCACAGAGCCAGGGCGCATTTGCCGACGGGCCGGCTGCTGCATCGACAAACAGCATCCGCATTTCAGGCAGCTTTTTTTCCAGCATCGTATTCGATACCGAGATGTATTGTTGTCTATTCTTGACGGATAACTCCGTTGGTGGGACTCGTGCAGAGCCCCTTATTGTTTGGTAGACTGCAGAAATTTATCAACAGCCTTCATCGACCACCCGTTTGGATATCCGAGCGCCGAATCCAGTACGGGCTGGACATGGGCCTCGTCAGGCGCCATTGTGAAAACGAGCTCCTTGCCCGCCACGAGCGCCACCTTGTCATCCGAGTCCAGCACGACCATGTCCGCGCCGAGAAGCTCCCGCGCGAACTTGACGCACGAGTCAAACAGCGTCTCGCCCGCCCCCGACGTTATAAGCATCCTCCTTGCCAGAGGCACCGGCGCCGCATCCAGGGGCTTCCCGCCCGCTGCTCGTGGAAACGCGGCCTTCCACACCGCGGCGGCGTCGTCGGCCTCGATGGGCGACGCCCACACCTCAGCCGGGGACGGGGGCTCGAACAGCCGGATGAACACGTCCATCTGCTGGGCGGACAGGTAGTCGGTCTCGTGGTTCGCCGTAAACGAGGCATCGGTGGTCGTCATGCCCATCCACGGCGAGAAGAGCGCGACGGCGCGGAGCTGCCTGCCTTTCTCAGTGCCCAGCTCTGTCAGCGGCGGCGCGTAGGGCGACGGCCGCGCCACGTGGGCGAGCAGGCTGGCGAGCAGGTGGCCGCCCGCACTGTCGCCCGCCAGGATCAGATCGCGCGGTCGTACGCCCACATCGCCGTCGGCGCCGGGCAGGGGGTGGTTCAGCAGGTGCTTAGTGGCGGCGACCATCTGGATGAGCTGCGCGGGATACGGATGCTCCGAGGTCAGCGCGTACTCGATAAGGACGACGCGGGCGGCGCCGCAGGAGGTAGCGCACCGCAGCGCAAAGGGCATGTGGCCAGGCGCCTGCAGAGGGTTCAAGTATCCGCCGCCATGGGCGTAGAGCAGCGTCGGGCCGTTGACGGGGGCGTCAGCCGGGGTGACGACATGCAGCGTCGGACGCGGGACTTGCGGTGCAAAACTGTCAGCGAATGGATTATTAGGCAGATCCACGGCGGCGGCGGCGTAGCTGAGGCCACGGGTACGGCAGTAGGCTTCAACGGCGGCGCCGGTGAGGCGCTGTCGGGAGTGCGCGAATGTGTGTCGCGGGTTGAGCGTCCGGCGCAGGGCTTGGAGCAGAGATATCGACAACTTTTGACGCCATTGCAGCGACGACGAGTCAACGGTGCGTGATGCAAAGGTAAAGAGCGCGCGGGCAACTGTGATGCAGGGGGTCGCATTGATCAGCGAGGGCTCGTTTGTGTCGGGTGAGGACGCGTTTGTCATGTTCAAGGCCTACCAGTGAGAGGGACAAGCCACGACAATGACAGCCTGTCAAGGGCGCTCATTGGCCTTGGCACAAGGTCTTTGGCCGACGACATGACTTAATTGACGGCCAGTAACTTTTCAATGCGCAGCTTCTGAATAGTTGCGCAACGGGTTCCCTATGCTGGAGTCGGACGGAATTAATTGCAGTGATGACCTCAGCTGATGTAGCGTGGACGAGCGAGGTTAAGCGGCTCGGCCGGCCGACAAGTGCCTCACTAACTACTTCTTCTTTGGTCGTGAACTTGAGGCGGAACCGGGCCGCGTTCCCCAACATGACCGACCGTACCGTGGCGCTTACCGAAGCGGAGTAAAGCCCAGCCCGTATCGGACAACATTGCGTTTCTTCTTACCAAGATTTCCGTGGATATTCTCCGATTTTTGCCTGGATTGGGGGTGTACTAGTTATGTAACTACGTAGGCCATTGGACGACAACTCGGTGCTCGTAACCACAGCCACTCTTACCTACCCGGGAGGGATCTCCTCTACATGAATTTCATGGAAACTGCCGACTAAGACGTATAAGAAAAAAAGGTCTGGGGCTACCCGCGAGGCCGGCTATTCGCAGCTGTTCGTTTTGCAGTTGTACTATTCCAATTTTCTAGTTATGTGAGCCGGATTAACATGACTATAATAAGGGAACGTCGTGCTTCTCCGATCCCATCTCTTGTGCAGTTATTACCCGTATGAACCAATGCTAAAACTGACCAAGTATCGATTTTCTAAGTTTTTGCCCTTGTGCTAAAACGTGAATACTTTACTTGACTAAATACTAACAACTTCACGCGTAAGCATCGTCAGCCCTTTTTAGGCAACAGCCTTGCTCCGACCAGCGAGCCTTGCTGCAACTCGGCCTTCCGTTATTTGGAACATTTGCTGCAGCCACGTCACACATTTAATCACCGACAAAGCCGAAGTCTCTCTGCTCCAAAGCTATCATGCCACTAAAACTAGTAAATGAAGCAACTCATCGGCATCGACTAGCGGCAAGAGGGACGTTACTCTAGCTCCGAGCCGAAGCCGACCATCATGATGTATAAAAAGACGGCAAACCTATTGAACTGGCATCCGAGACTCGAATACCGCATCCGCAAATCCAAATAGCCAGAAGAACCCCATTTATATCATCTACCCGTACCTCTCCCTAACCATGTCTTCTCCCATGCCCCTCTCCACCAAGATCGCCCACATCACGGCGATCGAAGCCGGAGCCGAGAAGGCCTTCGTCAAGCCGGACCCCCATCTCGACAACGCCGTCGCCAGCACCGCCCGCCACGGCATGCCGGCCATCCAGGTGTCCCCCCTGCAGGGCCAGCTCCTCGCCATCCAGGCGCGCCTCGTCGGCGCCAAGACCGTCCTCGAGGTCGGCGCCCTCGGCGGCTACTCCACCATCTGCCTGGCCCGGACCGGCGCCCGGGTGACGAGCGTCGAGATCGACGCCAAGCACCGCGACGTCGCCCGCGAGAACCTCGCCGCCGCGGGGCTCGAGGCCGACTTCATACTCGGCGACGCCAAGGACGTCCTGCCGCGGCTGGTAAGCGAGGGGCGCGTGTTCGACATGGTCTTCATCGACGCCGACTGGGGCGTGCACGCGGAGTACTTTGGCTGGGCGGTGCAGCTGACGCGCAAGAACGGCTGCATCTTTGTGGACAATGTCGTGCAGGAGCTCATTACCTGTCATGGCGGTGACGTCGGCGAGGGCACGCTCGTGGCCAGGATCGGCAAGGAATCGAATGTGACGGCGACGCTGGTGCCCAAGATCAATGGCAAGGAGGGCGTGGTGGACAATGCCTTGATTGACGGGTTCGTTCTGGCCATTGTTCACTAGTAGGTATGCTTCTAGTCGCTCGACCAATCCGGAATTGGCTGCTGTTCTACAGTTCATCATTAATCTACAAGTTCGTGTTGGCTATGCCATGCTAAGTACGTATCCGGCTTGAGTGGAATGCAATGGCTTAAATTAAACGCAATCCCGTATTCTTCTTGAATAGTTGATTACCCTGAAGGAGCATGCACAATTACGACGACCTATCCTCTAATGATGCAACCATCCTTGTCTGCCAAATCCACAGCAACAAGCTTGAGATATCACGGGTGGAAAGCTCCCCTGTTACGTTTTAGATTCTGTACCGCCGGGTACAGGATCCAATGACATTGGTGACTCATCATCATTGCTGCTGCCAACTCCTGCTGATCCGCGCCTTGTGGCCGTCAACGAATCGGGCAGTTCCTTGCTGCCGGGCGAGGCAGAGCAAGCCATCCACTTACACACTCGTCGATCAATTGGCCTGACTTATTAAGATGGGAGAAAAAGGCGCAAAGGAAAGCACAGCCTTGTAAAACGACGAATTACGGCGAATACATACGGCGCCACCCCCACCAACGGAATCTTGGCAGGCCGCTAGAAGGGCTCGCTTCGAAATGTTAAAACAAACCTTCGTTTTAGCAACTGCCTAACACGGCAGGTCACGCAGGCGGCAGCCAAGAATGATGCTCACTTCTAATATCGTGTGCAGCTTGGCAAGTCTAGACCGTTACGTCGGACACGGGCAGAAACTTCCAATAAATACCTTTGGGTAGGGGACAGAATCACACCCCTCGACCCCAGCCATCGACTTGCGCAAATCCAATCTTGAGTCTTGCATCATGAAGTTCTTCTCAGCTACGGTGTTAAGCGCCCTCTTCTTTGCGGGGCTGTCGCATGCTACGGATCTCATCACTCCAGAAAAGGCTACAGATGACATTAAAGCTCGAGAGTACGTGATTTGAATGCCCTGCTGCGAGGCTGCAGGCGCAGACGGCTGACCTTTAGAGCAGACTGCAGAATGTACTCTGGAACTTGCAAAAGATTGCTCGTGATAATGGCGGCAATCGCGCCCACGGGACTTCCGGCTACAAGGCATCGGTGGACTTTGTCGTGGAGCGCGTCGTGAAGCGGTTCGGCGCTCGTCTGGACACCTACGTCCAGGAGTTCAACTATACCTATACGGGGATTCGCAACTTTGAACTCACGGGGCCGGACGGAGACAAGGTAGACTTTTATAATCACCAACAAATTCTGTCGACGCCTCTACCTGGCGGCCTCACCGCACCTCTGCTGCACATGCCTGTCAACGGCACGCGCGGCACCATGTGTCTTCCGGAGCACTGGGACGGCATCGATGTCGCCGGCAAGATTCTTCTTTTCCAGTACGCGGTGTGCAACGCCACATACACCCATATCAGGCTCGCAAAGCAGAACGGCGCGTCGGCTGTAGTTTTCTACAACAACGTTCCCACCACTCCCAGGGCGCAGAACCCGCGCGGCCTCGACCTCGCTCTCCCGTCCGGGGTCGTCCCGCAAGCCGTTGGCGAGGATTGGATTGCCAGGCTCGCCGCGGGTGAGGACCTGGACGTGACGCTCATCATCGACGCGTTCTCCGAGCAGCGCAAGAGCTGGAACGTCATCTCGGAGACGAAGCTGGGGAACCCGGACAACGTGGTCATGATGGGGGCGCACCTGGACAGCGTGCAGGCCGGGCCGGGCATCAACGACGACGGGAGCGGCTCGGCTGCCCTGCTGGAGATTGCGACGTCGTTCCAAAAGTACACCGGCTTCAAGAACAAGGTGCGCTTTGCGTGGTGGGGTACTGAAGAGTAAGTAAAGGCTGCCAATGCTCTTGGTGAAGTCGATTGATGCTGACGGTGCGGCGCAGGCTCGGCAAGATTGGCTCCCTCTACTACGTTGCGCAACTGTCCGAGGCAGAGAGGGACAAGATCAAGTTTTACTTCAACTACGACATGATTGCCAGTTTATACCCAGACCTTGTCGTCTACGCCGACAACGAAGCCCACCAATACGGTGCCCGACACCTCCTTGAGTACCTGGAATCTGCTGGCGCTGCTGTCAGGCCTGCGTATGAACCCCCCCCCCTCTCTGACGCCTAAATTTTTGGGTAAAAAGCTAACGACCGTTTTCGACAATTTCAACAGTAAATTTGGCACCGGGTCGGACTACGTCAGCTTCCTGCAAGTCGGCATCCCCAGCAGCGGCCTCTTCACCGGCTCCCAGGCGCAGTTCGATCCATGCTACCACCAGCGGTGCGACACGCTGGACAACATCAACTGGGACGTGTACGAGAAGACGGCGAGGTCTGCTGCGTATGCCGCGGCCAAGCTTGCTCTGAACATGGAAGGGGTCCCGCCGCGTAACACGTCGAGCTTGAATCTCCGCTCTGTTCGCGGCATTCAGGAGAGCTTCCACGATTGGGCCAGTGGAATTGAGGTTGTCGAGACTCATTCGGGTTGTGGTGGCGGACACGCGGAGTAGCGTTGCGGTATATAAAACTGTTGATCCCATTATATTCATTCAATCCAACCTGTCCGTCAATTGCATCGCTGGCGCCGTTTGTCTTGCTGAAGGAGCGAATGGGTCGCTTGGTAAGGATTAGTTGGGGAGCCGTTTTGACGCTGATGGGCACGTGTTCCGTGCCCATTAGTTACCTCATCCAACAAAATGGATCGCCATCACCTCCATTCAAAACGCGTTCCTTGGCTGCAGCGACTTCCACACCTCTTGGGCAAAATGAAAAAGAAGAAGATGGCGGCGCCCCCTGGTTTTTCATTATATCCAGCCCGTTATTATCTATGTCATCCGAAGTTTTCGAGAACTGCGCTCTGCGCTTCATGTATTCCACTCACTAGGCTCGTCTTGGATAAAACTACGACAATACGGGACTTGCGTTCCTGGCCTTGGGTAGCTTGAGACGGGAATTTCTCGCAGCTCCATTTCCCGTTGAGGGGCATGCGGACCTAGACGTTATTGCCTAGACGTTATTGGCTGAGACAACGACAAAACAGCAACGACAGCAAGCCACTGAATGCAACTGTGGCTACTCTCGGCGCGGTCTAGAACCAGCAGATCTCGATGAACACACCTGCGACTGCTGGCACGTATCGGTTCTTTGCTTGGGAAAGTCGAACAATGATGCGGGCCACGCCTCGGAGCCATTCGTCCGCCCCTGTACTCGCCCTGGTAAGATGGAATATAGGCGGCCTTACGAAGCTTGCGCTCGCTTCAGCTGAACAGTTCTAGCTATTATTTCGGCCGGACCTGGAGCTCAAAGTCCAACGGCGCGCCAGTTTTAACGTCTGAAATTCAACTAGTGGTCACTACGGGGTAACAGAAGGGGACTTGGCCGCCCCCTCCTGGCATATTAATAAATATGTTGAGCCTTTTGCTTTTTCACGGGCTGAGACTCTGCGGCGTCAACTTGGTCCTTTCAACCCAAATCGGATTTCTGGGGACGTCGGCCGCTTGAAGCGCTCCCAGCTTGCACCCGAATCCGAAGAACTTAGCGGAGGCCGGTCTACTAGGGGCAACTGGCTCCCCTAGATCTCTAAGAGATGAGAGTCCCCATTTGGGTTCAGCTTGCGCTGCTCGTGAGCGGCGTTGCCTTGCTCGCGCTCACCGTCGTCGCGGTCCCAACCTGGATCTATGTCCAAGGCTTCGTCATCAATGTCGAAACTGACAGTCTGGCTCTCGCAGCCTCACTCTACGCCACCAAGATTGACGCGCAGCTACAGCTGCTCAACACCATCAGCCGCACGGTTTCCACACGCATCTTGATACAGCAGTCACTTGCCAATTTCTACAATAACAATGCAACAACAAGCAACCCATTCGAGCCCACAGTCACCGACCTGCAAAGCGCGCTCGCCACCAGCAGCTTCACCGGTCTACTGCAGGCACGCATTTACTCGCGAAACCAGACGGGTGAGAATTCGACGGGCCTTGTCAGTGTCACCGGCTCCGGCGTCGGGACTCAGACTCAGAACATTCCGCTGCCGTACCTCACTCCCGACGGACTGTCTGTCAATCTCAGCGACACTAAATATGGCTACCCACCCTCTCTATACCCCAACATCACTTATGAGACCCTGGATATTCCGAATCCGTACATACCCTCAGAGAAGGCCGTCGCGGCGAGCGCATTTCCCGGTGTACTGCTAAGTGATAGTCGGGGGCTGCTGCTTGGCCCCCTGGCCGTCAATCAAACGTTTGCGCTGATATCGCTCACGATTCCTATTCGATCTCTCACCTCGAATGGGTTCATTCTAGGCTACCTGACCCTGGTTGCTGCCGCCAACTCGTTTCTCGACATCCAAACAGCTGTCGACGGACTTGGGAAAACTGGTGTGGCACTGCTCGTCACCCCCAATGACCCGTCGAACCGTTTCACACCACCTCTGCTCCCATCCAACGCTACATACCAGCCACCTAGCGGCTCTCTGAGCGACTACGCCGTTCGAATTGTCTTATCACCGGCAACTCACCCTGGTCAGGTCGATCGTCATACGGATAAGCAAGGAAAATGGGATGCACCTTTCCCGCTCTCACGATACCCAGCTATCAATGGCGCGTACTCAACGTACAATGGAAACCTGAATAATGCCCGCGCAAGCTTGACGACAACAAACGAGCAAGGATACGCGGTTGCGGTTGGTGTTGCTCGTCCACAGACGACACTAGTGGACTGGGTGATCGTGGTGGAAAAGTCGCGTGATGAGGCCTACCTTCCTATATCCCTACTGCGCAAAATACTGGTTGGGTGTGCCTTTGGGACTGCTGGTTTGGTCATGCTGCTCGTGATCCCTTGCGCATACTTCAGTGTCCGTCCTATTCGAAGACTGAAGACGGCCACTGAAAAGTCCATCAATGTGCCGGGTTATGATCTGCAGTATGGCGACGATGAGAAGAAGGCAGCCAGCGCAGGAGGCACTCTTTCTTCTGCTTCCATCAAGAGCCTCTTCCAAAGCATAGTGATGAAGTTTTCCAAGCCGCAGAGACCACTGACCCAGGCTGAAATCGAGAACCATCGCCGTGTGTTTAAGATCCCAGGCAGGGTCAAGGAGCGGTCGCATATTATCACTGATGAGGTAACGGAGCTTACTGAGGTTTACAACAAAATGACAGATGAGCTGGTCCGGCAGTACACGTCACTCGACGACCAAGTAGCGAAAAGGACCAAGGAACTAGAAATCAGCAAAAAGGCTGCGGAGGCTGCGAATGAGAGCAAAACTTTGTTTATTGCTAACATTTCGCACGAATTAAAGACACCTCTGAATGGCATTATGGGGATATGTGCGGTCTGCATGGAAGAAAACGACATTCTTCACATACAGCATTCACTAAAAACGCTCTATAGATCAGGTACGTGTTGCAAGTCGTTATCTGACATTTTCCACAGGCTAATTCTGAGACGTATTAGGTGAACTATTATTACACCTTTTAGAGGACCTACTCAGCTTTTCCAAGAACCAAATCAGCCATGAGATCAAGCTCGAGCACAAAGAATTCCGCCTGGGAGAAATTCGATCGCAAATCGTATCCATTTTCGAAAAACAAGCTCGGGAGAGCAAGATTGATCTCGAGGTCATCTTCTCTGGCCGTTCATCCGAAAATCTCAACCCACCACGTCTTCTTGTCCAGCAGGGTCTACCCCGAGCGGGCCAGTCTCATCGCATACGGGACATGTATATCCTGGGAGACCAGCACAGGATCCTACAAGTCATCATCAATCTCGTCAGCAACAGTTTGAAGTTTACAACAGCTGGAGGGAAAGTCCAAGTGCGCATACATTGGGGTGACAACGTCGTGTCGAAGCACGATGCTCGAAACAAGGCTGTGACGGAGGGCTCGCCCACGCAGAGTGATAGCAGCCACGAGGAGGCAACATCTTGGTTCCAGTCGCTGTCGAGAGTAACAACCCCGGCCGTTCAAACAGTAACCAATCCGCTTGATCAAAAAGGAGTATTGAGTGACCCGCATGTCATGTTTGACGAGGAGACACAAAGCTCCCTGACGCAGACTATCGAAAGCGCCAATGAGTACCTGTTCACATTCGAGGTTGAAGATACTGGCCGAGGTATACCCCTCAACATGCAAGACAAGATTTTCGAGCCGTTTGTGCAGGTAGATTCGAGCTTTAGCAAGGAGTTTGGCGGCACTGGACTCGGGTTGAGCATCTGCTCTCAGCTTGCTACGCTGATGGGAGGCAAAATCACAGTGAAGAGCAGTGAGGGCCTGGGCTCAACATTCAGTCTACAAATCCCTCTCAAACACATCATCGATCGAGTACCAAGTACGCGCTCCGAGAGTACGAGGCCAAGGTCGAGAGCTCCAAGCGCTGGCGGCTCTACCACCAACGGCGGTGGTAGTGGCCATCGAAATTCTCTGAGCAGCGTGCTGGCGCAAGACGCCGATACGACGACGACGACCAACCATGATAACCATAGGAGCGACATCCAACCACGCCTCGTCGGTCTCAGCACGCCGTTCTTTCCACCGAATCCCAATCAAGCTACGGCACCACCACCTACCGGCTCGACAACCGTCATCCCGCCGACCACAAGCGGCGAGACGCAAGCCGCCATTCAAAAAGCAAAGGCCGACAAGGCCAAAGATTCTTCCGGCCAGTCCGGGACCGGCAACAGCGACCTATGCGTCCTTGTCGCGGACGACAACGCGACCAACATCGAGGTGGTGCGGCGCATGCTCAAGCTGGAAAAGGTCCTCGACGTGACCATCGCCAAGGACGGCCGGGAAGCGTACGAGCTGGTGAAGGAGAACATGGAGCGCAACCGCAAGTTTGACCTCATCTTCATGGACGTGCAGATGCCCAACCTGGACGGCATCCAGTCGACGCGGCTGATTCGGCAGATGGGGTACGCCGCGCCGATCGTGGCCCTGACGGCGTTTTCGGAGGAGAGCAACCGCAAGGAGTGCATGGAGTCGGGCATGGACGAGTTTTTGGCGAAGCCGATCCGGAGATCGGCGCTGAAAAGTGTATTGACAAAATTTGCGACGATAGATGAGGAAAGTGTGTGAGAAGGGACAAGGTAGGTAGCTGTTTTTTATCGCGACGTAGTAAACGTATAGTCGGCCGGATAGCAATTGGGCGTTTGGTGTTATTGTCAAGGACTGCATTTGATTCTTCTTGGAATTTAGCGTTGTTATAAATATACTGGATTTTTTTATCATCACAATAATCCTAGTTAACTGTTCATGTTCGATTTGGCATGAGAGTGATCAGTGAGGGAGAGCTTGGCGCTGGAGAAATAACCCCACCAGGTTTCTTTTCTGCCGCTAAAAGAAAATCTGCCCGAGCCAAATTTTGCAGAAACAAGCGAAGCTACAAACAGCTACGCTCCCTCTCGCACCTTTGACCCAACGACGACCTCGAATTTTTAAGAGATACCGCAACTAACAAAAGAACTGCACGACATGCCACTGGACACCTCCACGTACTCGCTCGCGCTCCTGCGCGTCGACGGGCGCCGCTGGAACGAGCTCCGCCGGCTGCACGCCCTCATCCGCACGCAGGACGCCGCCGACGGCTCCTCCTACCTCGAGATGGGCCACACCAAGGTCATGTGCGTCGTGTCCGGGCCCTCGGAGCCGCAGCAGGCGCAGCAGGCGCAGCAGAGGCGAGGCGGACAGGCCACCAACGCGTCGCGCGATGGGGCGGCGGTCAGCGTCAACATCGTCATCGCCGGCTTCTCCAGCGTCGACCGCAAGAAGCGCGGCCGCAACGACAAGTGAGTAGAACGAACAACAGCAGCAGCAGCAGCAGCAGCAGCAGCAGCAGCCCAAACGCCGGGCTTCCTCTCGCGCGCACACGATTACTGATTGCTTCCTTGTACGGTTCTAGGCGCATACAGGAGATGGAAATCACCATCGCCAAGGCCTTCGCGTCCAACCTCCACACGCACATCTTCCCGCACTCGACCATCTCCATCTCGCTGCACGTGCTCTCGCAGGACGGCTCGCTGCTCGCCGCGCTGCTCAACGCCGCCACGCTCGCGCTCGTCGACGCCGGCGTGCCCATGAGCGACTACATCGCCGCGTGCACCGCGGGGTCGACCTCCTCCTTCGCGGCCGGCGACGACGCGGCGGACCCGCTGCTGGACCTGAACGGCCAGGAGGAGCAGGAGCTGCCGCACCTGACGGTGGCGACGCTGGGCGAGGGCGACCGCGTGGCGGTGCTGGCGTGCGAGAGCCGCATCCAGGTCAGCCGCTTCGAGGGCATGCTGGTGGTCGGGCTGGACGGCTGTAAGCAGGTCAGGCGGTTCCTGGACGGCGTGGTCAAGGCCAAGGGCGGCAAGATGATCCGCGAGGGGGCGATACAGCAGAGCGATACGATGGTGATGGACTTGGACGAGTAAAAAAGAATTGGGGGTTTAAAAAAACAGTACTTGAATTTTGGCGCCTGCGGAAACAAAAATCAACACGCGACGTGGGCTGGGCGCCTGCTACATTACAACTCGTCGTGCACTTCGGCAGCCTCTTCAGGCTCGGCCTCTTCCTCGACTACGGGTTGCTCCTCCTCAACAGCCTCCTCTACAATCTCCTCCTTTGGCTCCTCGATAATCTTCTCCTCCTTTGGCTCCTCAGCAATTTTCTCCGCTGGCTCCTCAGAATCCTCGACGATGCCCTTGGGAAGCTTCTTCTTGGCCCCCTCGCCCATGCGGATCACGTCGACCCACGCCTCGACGCTGGCGGCAGCAAAGTCGCCCTCGTACCTGCGCCACCAGTTGCGGCGCGCGTTGACGGCGACGAGCTCGACCTCGCTCGTGGCCTCTAGCTTCTCACGGATCGTCACGGCGACGCTGTCGGGCACGGCGATAAAGGGGAACACCTTTCGCTGGCCATGGATGTACTTTGTGTTGAGCTGGGAGAGCGAGTCGATGACCTTTTTGCTGTCGTCGGTCTCGGCCTCGGGGACAAGAGCCAGGATGCAGGTGTGGGATTTGGGCTGGAGGCACTGTTCGGAAACCTCCTGTTTGCTAGAAGCGGTAGGGATGACGATGATTTGGGGGGTGGAAACGGGAGGAGGGGGAGGAGCCTCGTTATCGGTCTCGGCCTCGGCCTCGGCGTCTTGTTCAGCGGCGGCTTTCTTTTGCTGGGCCTTGGAGGACTCATCCGCAGCCTTGGGCTTCTCCTTCTTGTCGGCCTTTGCCTTCTTGTCTTTCTTGTCGCCGCCCTTGCTCTTAGCCGGGGCCGGGTCCGGGTTGGGCTCGCCCGCCTGGCTGAGGAACTTGACCATGTCCGCCTTCTTCATCTCGCCGTCGTACACGACGGGCTCCCCGCCGCCGCCGGGCACCAAGACTAGCGTAGGAAACTTGTCAATGCCAAACCGTGCCACCGCCTTGGCCTCCTTGCTCCGTATCTGCGCGACCCCGACGACGCCGAGGTAGTCGATGGCGATGCTGCGTAGCAGCGCGCTCGTGGTGCCCTTTTCCGTGAACAGTATCGCCTTCGGGCCGTCGCCGCCGGCTAGGAACCCCTCCAGGTCCTTGTCCGCGAGGCGCGCGACGTGGTTGTTGATCTTGGCGGCCACGGCCTCGACGATGGCGCCCGCCGTGCGCCCGCCATTGTAGTCCTCGACGACCGGGCGGCCGGCCTTCTTGCCGGGCCGCACGATCTTGAGCGTCGGGAAGCCCTTGACGCCCATGGACCCGCAGAGCTGCTTGTTCGCGTCCTCGTCGCAGTCGACGGCGGCGACCTTGGCCAGCCCCTGCAGGTTGGTGGCGGCCTTTTCGTAGGCGGGCTTGAGGTTCTGGCAGTGGCCGCACCAGGGCGCGTAGAACTCGACAATCTTGGTGGTTTTGATTAGCGGGTGCCGTCTGCGACATTGACTAGGACATGGCATTCTTACCGAAGTGTAATTCGAGCGGTTGATCAGCCGGTCGAACGACTTGGCGTCGACCTGCAGGACGGGCGACTTCTTGGTGTACATGCCGGCCCAGGCCGTCGGCGCCGTGGCCAGCAGCACGGCGAGCGCAGAGGCGACGGTGTGCTGGTGCATCGTGGAGCTTTGTCGCGTGTCAGTTGGGAGGCGTTCCTTTTTGTTGAATAGTTGAGCTGTCGGGAAGCTGGTAGGTGATGGAGCGACAGAAGTCACAATCACAAAAGCCGCTGTGGCCGTGTGTTGATGGTGGTGAGAAAGCGTCGAGAGCTGTTCGGTTTGCTGGCAGCAAGCTGGAAATCGAACAGGTGGCAGAAACGAAACGACGGACGGGCCACAGTGGGCGGGCGGCGGGAGCTAGTGCGGGGCCGGGTCTCGTTGTGCAGGGTATTCACGATAGGTGCCTACATACTTAAATAAAGCAACATTCATTGTATTGATTACCCCATCTCTCTGTAATTCGTATTGATATTATTACACAAGTTTTTGAGTCTTAAAAGTGCAATTTTACACGCCCGTCTCTATGCGTGTCCGAAAAACGCCCAATTTCCCACCATCACCAGCCCCAGCCCTGGCTACAACCCCCGCCTCTTGTCCTCTGCCAGCCTCTCCAGCTCCCGCATCGCCTCCTCCTCCCTGCCCTCCGGCACGAACAGGTGGTCGTGGTAGAAGCCGCTCACCGGGTTGACGCCCATGCCCAGCGTCGCCAGCCTCGTCGCCACCACCGCCATGAAGCCCACTGCCTCCAGGCTCGACGTCACCTCGAGCGTGATCATCCGGCTCGGGAACAGGTAGTCCAGGGCGTTCGCCTCGGCGTACTCCTTGGTGACGATGACGGTGACGGCCTCGCGCTCGCGGAATAGCAGCTGCACCTCGGCGAGCGGGGGCAGGGTGGTAGCCGTCTTGGTGGTGTCCAGCGCGGCGAAGACAAAGGTGGCTGGGTGCAGCGAGGTGGTCAGGGTCGCGAGGAGCCTGTCGAGCGACTTCTCGCCCGGGTCTTGCATGGGGGTCGCCATTGAAAGTAAAGAATGGGGAAACTGAAGAAATTTGTCTCGCGGTTGTTACTGCCGATCAGCATGGGGGCCATCGCCTGCAGCTGGAACCTGCTGGGCAGTTGTTAGTATTTATCAAGGTCAATCAGCTCACTTTATGTCAAAGACAAGGCGTCTTGGACAAGAAAAATGCTCCAAGCTTCTGGGGAGGCAGACCTATGCAGATCTAGTACGGATTCAAGCTCAGGCTAACTACTAACCAGGCATCCGTAAAGGCCAAAATAAAACACGACCAGTTGCCGAGATCCAGCCCAGCTGTTCCACTACTGAGGCTTCCCAACCATCACGCGCAACCCTCTGCTTCCCGGTGCAGGCAGCGGCCCAAAATAGTCACCAAAGATGTCCCAATCTCTCCGCTCAGTCTCAAAAAGCTTCATCTCAAACTCGCATCCTGGACCAAATAATCGCGACACGGTGAGGTAGATGTCCATGGTTGCCAGCTCCTTGCCGATGCAGAGCCGCGATCCGCGACCCCACGGTTGAAGATATTTAGCGAGTCGCTTGTAGTCGGGCTGATTCAGCCAGCGATCGGGGTTGAACTTTTCGGGGTCAGGGAAGATGGCCGGATCCATGTGAGCATCGTGCATGCTGATTGAGATGTGAGTCTAGTCCAAATATTGGTAAGTTGACTGATAGTATGTACGGAGAAGAACGAGGTAACCCACCCCACGAGGCAGAAAGTACCGCTGGTATTCAAAGTCTGCAACCTCCGAGTAGCGCGGAAGTCTTCCTGAGACAGAATAGCTCGTACGCAAGGCCTCGTTTATCACGCCCGTGAGGTACGGCACGGATCGGAGATCTTGATACCCCAGGGCAGCGCCTTTTGCATCCCGCGCGCTCTTCAACTCGCTTCGAAGCTTAGTTTGCATCTCCGGGCTGCTTAGAAGATGATAGGTGATGGACGTTAGAACGGTCGCCGTGGTCTCGTTTCCAGCAAGAATGATGTTTCGGCAGTCACCAAACACTCGGGTAAATGTCTTTTGCTTGTCGGGAAGATCCGAGACGAGCATGGCCTGCACCATGTCCTGCGGAGCCTCCCCCTCCGGTGCCATGGGCTGGTTGAAAGAGTGTGCGGCACATTGATGTACGGTCTGCAGAGTCCGGGATGAGAGGCATGAGAGATGGAACTTTTCTAGGAGTTATCCAGACGTACCTCCATGAACACGCGAGAAGCCGCCGGGCTAAGTCTGTTAGAGATGGACCGCGGGAGGAGCGACTGCAGAAGCCAGAACGGGAGCCCAAACAAATGCCTGTTGAGCAACCCAAGACGGGCATAGCTCCAGACGGCTTGGTTAAAGGCCTTGCCAAAGTCTGGCTGGTCGATACCGCCGAATGGTCGCTGAAAGGCAAACCCGGTGCTGACGTCGAGCGCGAGGGACCGGTACGCGTCGCTCAAGTTGACGACCTGTTCGCGGCAACCAGCGAGGCGATCATGGAGCTTTTTGACCGTCTCTTGTACTTGATGTACGTGCGCGGTGACATTTTGCGAGGAGAACCAAGTCCCAAGAGCCTGGCGATGGACCCGGTGAAGACCGTCCGGCTCGGTCGTGTTGGTGCTCTCGGCGCTACCAAAGAACCTGTAGTGCGACCTTGGCTTGGCCGCCCTCGATGACAGCTTGTAGACGTCGTTCCAGTCGGGATCCTTGATGTGGACTTCCCACGGGTTGATGCGCACGATAGGGCCTGCAGATTTGCGAGATGCATGTAAGTCAACGGGCGGGGAACCGAGACACCCCGACACTTACCGTATACATCGTGCAGCCGGTCAATCTCGACCCAGTACCGGCCACCTCCGTCCTTGATCAGTTGAAAGTAGGCTTCGTAGGCGCCGGTCGCAGCGGCGAGAATGGGGCCCGGCACGCGGGCAAGCGGATGAAGCGTGAGGCGATAGACGACCACGGAGACGAGGGAAAGGACGACTAAGCCGACAGCGGCCAGGAGGGCGTGCTCTTGGACCAAATACCAAACAAGTCGAAAAGAAGGCATTATGGGAAAACTGACTTGTTATGTGCTACCTTGGTGTTTATCTACGTAATATGCAGGTGGTGGAGGGGGCGGCTGGTAGATATAGGCACATAATACGCGGCATGGCAGCGCCTTCCAGCTGAGAAGCTGCATGTGCGCTCAGCTCATCTAACAGATGTGGCTTGCGGTAGTACAAAGACCTAGTAGTAATGTCGCATGTGACTATTGAGCACTGGGTTGCACTAGTTTTGCTCCGATAATTTCACCGTATTATATGGTCGCAGGTACTTTTGAAGGGTGAGGTTACGGAGATAAAGACTGGACAGAACCACTGTGGCGGCTGCCAACGCCTGACTGCCACATGGCGGCATGCCAATCTCCCGCGCAGTTTCTTTCCCTTCAATCATTGGCAACATGCCGTGAACATCTGTCACGGGTTGGATTGGATCGCGGTGTAATAAGCGAAAGCATTTGCTGCTCGCGAGTACCTGTTCAGTCTCCTCGATGTAAGAGTGGCGCGCGTTTTGGGGGAGGGGGCATCGCCGTCCTGCACATCAAAAAAACGTCACGGGAAGCATGATGCTGTCTTTCTCAAGCCTTCGTTGTATCTGCGACGCGACGGCCGTCACAGCTTTGCCCTCGCCCGCCAGGTCCTCTCGACCGCCGCCTTGTACCCGTCCGGGTCCCTCCTCAAGTGCCCAACATGCCCGCTCCCATCCACCTTGACCAGCTCTACGCTCCAGCCCTTTCTCCCCGCCTCCCTCGCGTGTTCCTCCACGTCCTCCCACCCGATCATCTCGTCCTCCTCCGAGTAGATATAACACCGCCGGCCGCATCCTTTCCCGTCCCCCGGCGGCGGCGGCGCGTTGAGCCGCCGCCGCACCACCTCCAGTGCGTCCGGCCCCGGCAGCACGCGCCGCGCCACCTCCAGCGCGCAAAATATCGGGCCGAGTACCACTACCAGCACCGCCCGCGGCACCGCAGCCCGCGGCACCGCAGCCCGCGGCAAGCCTCCGACCACGGCGGCCCAGGTCCGGCGGAAGCCCCCGCAGCCGGGGGTGCTGTCGAGCACGGTGGGCACGGCGGCCAGCGAGGAGCAGCGGCCGCCGCCGCCGGCGCGGAGCATGTCGTCGATGGTGCACCACTGCTTGGAGGCGCCGTTGGACATGATGTGCACGTGGAGGGCGGCTTCGTCGCGGAGGAGGAGCATCTGGACGACGGGCTGGACGAGGCGCCGCTTGACAGCGGCGGGACGCAGGAAGAACTCGACCATGCTGCTCTCGACGAGGATGATGTCGGCGCGCGGGTAGAGCTCGTTGTACAGCCTGGTGTATTTTTCAATGTGGCGCGCGTCAGCGTCCGCCCAAGATAGGAACAGGATGGTCTTGGGCGAGGAGGCAGCATCGTCGGCTCCTTGTGCGCTCGCATTCAGGTGCCTCCCGGCTGAAGGCAATTGGCCATCTTTTGGAGTGGCATACTGGACAGAGACGACTTCGTTGATGCGGGTAAAGGAGGGTGGTGGCATCTCAGTAGAGGATGGAAGAATGACGTGATGGTGGCATTGATTCTTGGTAAATCAGGGGTGAAGAAGGCGCGAGGGAAAGAAGCAAACAAACGAGTTGAAGACGAGGAAACAAGGAGCGCCTATGGAAGGATTCCCGTGGCTTGTACTGGGACGGCTGACACGGCTTGTGTAGCTCCAGCGCCACCTGTTGCAGTAACTAATCTGTACGCATGCGGCTACCGTTATTTCGTGGCATGCACGACAGGGGATACGTATAAGGAGGGTGAATATCAAGGGTCAAACCTAATATGAATGCAGGAGATGCGAATTCATTCACGGAGGTCGAGGTAGAGATGAATTCCTCGATAATGACTTTCATCCATCGATAAGGTCTGTGGCTCTGGTTGCCCCCTACATTGACTACCGACTGTTAGAGCCTGGTGTGCCTCGCACCGTGAAGAAGAGTTCTCTTTACTACAGACAAAGAACTTGGGTTTCTTAAAGCAGAAGAATGATGAGGGTTGCATATCTTAGCCAAGTCCTGCACATCGTGTTCTGCGGCGTATTACGGATCTATAGCCAGTGCTGCCTCCATATCACGCCAAGCATAATGCACGAGGACGGACCCGAGAGCTGCTGTACTAGCTGCCCTATTGCAGGTATTAACCCGATGCATGCGAATGTTCTTTTGTCCTTTTTCTTAATTTTAGCATGTTTTGTGCATGCCAAGGTCATCCTTGACCTGAGAATGAACCGGACCGGCGATACTGTTACACTTCACCATATTTTGCACTTCATTCTTCACATTTAATATAAAAGAAGGCCGAGATATCACTACTCCCGTGAGTTTAAACGGTAGTCAATGCGGTGCCAGAAATGCGGTGCCCGGCAGTTAGACGGTGTGCGAGGCGGCTGTCGTGCGACAACATAGCCGTTGCACCACACGGCGCTATGATTTACTATTATTTTCTACTCTAATTTAAGACCTGATCAGCAGCTTTTCTGGACGTATGTAAATCTAATATCAACCGTCTCCTTATTTTTTACAAGCCGACATCGTGATCGGTAGCTCTGCTTCCTGGGTGGTGGTGAACGAACAAACCGAAGCCGAGGCGCTCATATTTGCTCGCCAAGGTGGCAGGCACCCTTTACGACAACAATTATACGAATACCAGAGGCCAGCCTCATTAGGGCTTCATTAGCCCAAACCGCATCAGGCCGCCGGACCGGTAAGATCGATCTGCACGATGATATGGGTGAGCGCAGCGGCGGGGTCAGCAAGTCTAACCAGGCTGACCTGAATGTAACTGGAGGGACGCGTAATTTGTGGTGGCCAGCGTCAGCTTTTCAAACAAACGTTTTGCTTCGTTCTTGATCTTCCCCTCTTCCAAATTACAGATCCGAGAAGCAATCGCGAGAATGGAAAAGTTGAACGCCATCCTGAACGACGCCGTACCGTTGGGCGACGACGCCACGGGCAAGGTCCTCGGCGCGGCCTTTGTCGTCACTAACAAAGACGGTACGTGCAAGACCCGCGATGCTGACAGCCGCTGGTATGCCGAGGCAAAAATCAGAACAAAAGAGACATTTACTTCCTGGAACCCTCTGCTAACCTTTGCGACGCTCATATGCTCAGATTTTCTGTACTCCGGTGCGGCCGGACGCATCGGTCTGGACGCCGCCTCGCCCGCCTTCGCCGCCGACTCCTTCACCTGGATCGCCTCCATGAGCAAGGTCGTGACAGCGACGTGCCTGCTGCAGCTCGTCGAGCGCGGCCTCGTCAACCTCGACGACGACGTACGACCGCGGTTCGTCGAGATGCAGAAAGTGCAAGTCCTGCGCGGCTTCGAGCCTGACGGGACCCCTCTCCCGCGCCCCGTCCTTGAGGCTCTCATGACGCCTGATTAACACGCAACAGGATGTTGCTCGCGCACACCTCGGGCTACCCGTACGACTTCTCCAACCCGCGCGCGCTGCAGTGGTCCCAGCGACCGGACCGCCGCCCCGGGCTGTTCCCCGCGCGCAGCCGCGCCGCCATCGACACGCCGCTCGTGTACGCCCCCGACGAGTACTGGAACTACGGCACCGGCCCGGACTGGGCCGGCGAGCTGCTCGCCCTCGTCACCGGTCGCTCCCTCGGCGAGTACGTGCAGGAACGCATCCTCGCGCCCCTCGGCATGCGCGACACCGGCTTCTACCCGTCGCGGCTGCCGCACGTGCACGACCGCTTCGTCCCCGACCTTGCCCGCCGCGGCGGCAAGCTGGAGCTGCAGGGCGACTCGACGGCGGTGGAGGACTGGACCATGGAGGGCGGCGGCGGCGGGCTCTTCTCCACGGCGCGCGACTTCGCCACGTTCCTGCAGGGCCTGCTCGCGGGCAGGCTGCTGTCCGAGGCGTCGATGGAGGAGCTCTGCAGGCACCAGCTCAACCCGAAGCAGGTCAAGGGCATCGAGGCCTTCACGTACGACATGGGCGTGCACGGCATCGTGGCGCCCGAGTTCCCGCGGCACGCACGCATGCAGCAGGCGTTTGGCGGCATGGTCAACGTCGACGACGTGCCGGGCAAGCGACGGAAGGGTTCGATTTCGTGGAGCGGTGCATCGGGGCCTCGATGGGTAGGTTTCGCTCTTTCGTCTGTGCGTGTGTCATGATGATTCTGACGCTGAACGTAGTGGTTGGATCGAGAATCGGGCATCGCGGGCGTCATGATGCTCAACGTCATCGAATTCGACCCTGCCGCGAACAATGCGAGCGCGCCGCCGTCGGGGCTGCTGTGGCAGAAGCTGGAGGAGGCAACGTATGGGGACCTTTTGAAATAGCGGACGGCTTCGGTGTTTATTTGAATAACGCGATACTTTTTCTGTTTTGGGTGTGGTGATGATTTCCCCATCTTACCCCAACGCCGTCCAGGCTTATCATTACCGTCATCTAGACACTTGCCACTGTGCTTGAATTGGCTGGCGTCTTGTTATTAGTGATATTTCTCAGTTTCCTGAATACGCTGACTGACTCACTATCTATCTTGGGCCTCGACGTAGTTGTACAGAGGCTACCATAGTGGTGCCGCAGCGGCCTGCATCGATACAGGAGAGAACGTGGCGCATGCAGCACACGGCTCTATTAAAAAGAGTAGAATAGAATCAAGTATCTAGGGTCTTTATTGTTAGCCCCTTTAATGATTCAACTCTCTCTAGAAATCTTAGTGCTAACCGTATGCTCTTTGTTTTATCCTTGCCTTCTTTTGTTTGTGAAATGAAATCATATAAATTAATACTGCATCACAAATACGCGCTCGCTGGGCTGTCACCCAGGCCTAAATTTATAGCCATATCTTTCAGCTACCAAGCCACAACTGAGGAGTTGGCTATATGCCAAGAAAATTATACAACGGTCCGTTCCTCCTTTCGATAGACATTGCCCCTTCGCATCGTGGCGGCTGAACCCGCGGCTGAACCCGTAGCTGAACTCGCGTCGATAAATCAGGTACACGACAGATTAAGTGACATAATCTACCATATTACAGTAAGCTCAGTTGAGCCCAACCTGCAGGGGTGCATCTTATCCCAGATGTACTGAGACAGTGCCGTTGAAGCTTGAAATAGTATATAATGATAGAATGACCCTAATCTCTAAGCGCTCTACGACTTTGCAACTAGCTCTAGGGTGAGTCATCCGCTATATTTAAACTACCTCGAGCCTCAAGTCAGGAATAAAGATGTCAGCAAAGTCATGGCGTCCGAAACTCTCCTATGCTTGGATCCTAGTATGCAACTTAGGTATGCCAAGTCTAAGCATCGTCCGCGCTGAGTGCAAAATTAACCTGCAATTCACAGGCATTCTCGCGCTGACGATTTGCGTCTTGGTGAGCTGCCGCACTTCTTCGGAGAGCAGCTATAGTCTGCTCAACATCGACCAAAAATTGTTGAAGCAAACTCTTGGCGATCAGTGCTATGAGTCTACCGAAGACTTCCGACCAGATGCCTACCGTATCGGCCTCTCAGGTATGCCCCAAACTAGAGTTTCCGAGCACTAGCAGTCCATTTATTGACTTGCCAAACAAAAAAAATACAGGCTCCTGCAGAGTCGAAGCGGGAGTTGCGAGATGCCAAAGCCATGGGCCACGAATCAGCTGGGTATCTCAGCTGAACATGGATATCGAGGCCACAAATGTCTCTGACAGCCATGTCACCATGCTCTACCAGTGTGTCGAGGCACTAAACAGCAGAGGCCCCGACCACAGTTTCACCGGCAGGTTAGCAGTGGCCATGTTTGCACTGCTAGTCATCTCCACCATCCTCGGCGTATTGGGTATCATCACGGCGTTCTTTTGCGGCTCCGGCTTTGCAAAGCCGGTCTTCATAATTGGTCTTGTTGATGAGATGATACTTGTGACCTGCATCGGCCTTTTTGTAGGCATTATCAATCACGAAGTTGGGCGATATATCCCTTCAACAACCACGCTTGGAGACATTGACAGTATGGCAGTCCTAGGTGTTGGGTTCTGGATGTTGGTTGCCATCTGTAGTGCGAGGATTCTCTCACATCCTTTGTTGTTTCTCATCACGTTGGTTGTCGCGTTGCTGGTGGTACTGTTGCCCATTTTTCTACTGTTCGCGTGTTTAGGCTCAGGCAGTCGTGAGCAAGCGACAGTCTATGTGCGGAGAAGGATAGAATATGTTTTTGCAACTACCGATGTTCCCAGCGAAACACGGCAGGAGGTGTGACAGCACCAACAGGAATTGCTGAGACATTCAAAGGGTATTGACTATTAGTACACCTGCGCTGTTCAAGAACTAAGACTTGCACCTTGTGGAAGACGATTGTCCACTGACTGTCCATGTCCACGGGCATGCCTATTGAAGAGTATCGCTTGCTCTGCTTCGGTTGCCTGTCCGATTTTCGGTGACCTGTACAGACACATGCGGCAATGCCGCTGGCGTGTACAACGTACATAGATGCGCTTGCCTAAATAAGCCGCGCGCACCTCGCCGGAGCATTAGGCGCCTGAAGACCAGCGGATAAACCTGCTAAAAGTGACCTGGAATTCTGCGACGGTATGAACGGCGGGGTTGGTGTGGGCTAACTGGTAAGGTAGAGGGCAAACATCACCACAGTCGCATTTCTTACTACCTACAGTACCTACCTACAGTATGTACCTATACTGAGGAAAAAGTTCTATATTAATGTCGCCACCGATAGGTACGATGCGCGAACAATAAAGTTCCAACGTGCCTCTTATATCCATTAAAGAAAAAGAAAAAGAAGAAGAAAAAGAAATGGAAAAGGAACATGCACTTAACCTGCTGCATTCTTTGCTTTTTCTTCTCCTTCTAATCTTCTAATGGTTTATTAAGTATGTACATAATTAAACCCCTCCAAAGAGACTTGCGTCACTGCCCGCCAACGTTAGCGTGCGGCCTCGCCGCCATCTCGGCCGACACCCCACTTTGTTTCCCTTGGCTCTTCTCTTGTTCGCCTCATGACACCCAGGACAAGCCATCCTCTTTCTCTTCCTCCCCTCAAACCCTCCCTACCAACGCACAATATCACCTCTCGATTACCGCCCACGCACCGCCCGCCCACGCACCGCCCGCCCACGCACCGCCCGCCCGCCATGTCCAACCGCCAGCTCGCCCGCGACATGCAGGTCGAGTTCCAGGCGCGCTTCCAGGCCAAGCAGGCCCGCCGCGAGGCCACCAAGGCCGCCAAGCAGGACCCCGTCCTCAAGAAGCAGATCCAGGAGCTGCTCAAGCGCGGCGAGACGCAAAAGGCCTATCAAAAGGCCAAGGTGCTTCTCGCCAAGCAGGCGCTCGCCCAGCAGATGGACCAGATGGCCGACATGGCCGAGCTCTCCGCCTCCCAGATCCAGGCCAACAACTCGATGAACCGCATGACGCACATGATGGCCTCGTCCTCGCGCGTCATGAACGTCGCCCAGAAGAACACGAATCCGGAGAAGGTGGGTTTTGGGCGAACCCGGGCTGACAAATCTTAGAGACGACCTCTTTCTTACTGACTTGCGCTCGCAGACGCTGCACACCCTCGAACAGTTCAAGCAGCAAAACGAAGACTACGCCATGTCAAACGGCATCTACCAGGACGCCATCACCCAGTCCACGTCGGCGCAGGTCGGCGAGGACGCGGTGCACGAGCTGCTGGGAAAGCTGGCGGACGACGCGGGCATCGAGCTCTCCCAGGAGCTGAACAAGGCCACGCCGGCCACGGCCGAGCCCGCCGCGGCGCAGACGAACGAACCCACGGCCGAGGAGGAGGACGCCCTCCAGCAGAGACTTCGTGCGCTACGGGCGTAGTAAAAACTAACGAACAAACGGAAGAAGAGAGAGAAGGAAAGCAAGCAGTGTTGGGGGTTTTGGGTCGTCGGTGACCCTGCGTGGTTTGTCTGGATACCACCACAATGCAGTTGGCAGAAGGACCATCGTCTAATGCCGCACTCGGCCGGACACGGCCCATCCGTTCATTGTACTCGGCGTTACTCTTTTGGTTGGAATCGATTCTTCTTGTTTATTACTTCTCTTCTCCTTAGCAGTGCTATTCACATCTGACATCTAACCAGCCACCTTGTCTGCCGCCTTTACGTGTCTTTGTAAATCAAAACTCCATGTCCTTGAGATGCATCCTTTCCACATGTATGCTCGTCCTTTTTATCAAATACAAACCCCACATCCCACCCGCGCCTACATGTACAGGCTCGCCACGGCCGTGATGTCGCGCTTGATCATCTCCTGCGCCTGCTGCATCTTCAGGTACAAGTCCGGGTCGCCGATGATGCGCGCCGCGTTCTTGACCTCTCTGCACGTCTCGTCCAGCCTTGTCATGGTGCGCACGATGGTGCCCTCCAGCACGTCCGTCAGCCCCGTGATGTTCTTGAAGCTCATCCCGCGCGCCCACTCGTACACCACCTCCATCAGCCCGAAACGCGGCCGCGACACGAAGTCGTTGGAGTCCTCCGACGACAGGATCACCTGCAGCCGCGTCTGCACGTCGTTGACCTTTTCCGAGATGGCCACGATGCGCTCCCGCCCGCGCTCCAGGTTGCCCGTCAGCACCGGCTCCACCAGCGTCTTCTCCTGGTACACAAACGCCGACAGCAGCGCCGCGATCTCGGCCGGGTCGAAATCGGCCAGCACGTTGTCGAGGATGAGTTCCGTAAGCACCAGCTCGTCGCCTGAGTGTACCTCGCACGCCACCTTGCCCTTGAGCTGGATGCGCGTCGCGTCGTCGATGAAACCCAGTTCCTTGAGCACCTGCACCCGCTGCTCGTAGTCGGGCAGTAGCTGCAGGTTCTGATCCGAGAGGGATGACTTAAGCTGCTGGATGTGCTCCTTGATGAGCCACTCGTCGTGGCACATGGCAAAGTGCTTCAGGAAAGCAGGGCACGACATGGCCGGCGACGTGCTCATCTTCTTGGCAAGCTGTGTTCGCTGCTCCATGATCTCCTGCAGCTGCAGACTCTTGATCTTGGCCATGTCCACCTCATCCCACTTGTCGTCCCACGAGGCGCAAATCTCTTGTAGCTTGTCAATCGCCTGCAAGGCCACCTCGCCGCGCTTCATGATGTCGGGCACCGTGCCCTTGAGCACCCATCGCGTCAGGCAATCCACGTCGCTCAGCGGAACATGCAGCGTCTTAGTGTGCATGCGCTTTCGACCCTGTGGAAGCTTATGCAGGTACTTGCGGTACTCCGGTAGGAACGGCAGCAGGTCGGTGCCGTCGCGACGATCCCGCAGCGGCTTGAGCGCGCAAACATGCAGGGTAGGGTCCTCAATTGTGCTTCGGGGGCTCACACCTTCAGTAAGCAGGATGCCGACGGTCCGGATGCCGTCCCAGTTGAAGACAATCATGCGCTGCTGCGAAAACATTCGGCGGCCGATTGTGATCTTGAGTAGACCCTTGTATAGTTCGGTGGTAAGCTGCTTGTAGTCTTGTGCAGTTTGGTGACATTCATCCACGGCGGTGTCGCAAATCTTGCATGACTCGCGCTTTACCTTGTCTAAATCTGCCTGCGCCAACTTGACGTCCTTTTCATGTTCGGGAAGGAGTTGCTGTGTTGCGTGCTCTGAGAAGCTTCGCTTAATCATTTCTTCAATTTTCAGAGCTTCAACCCGCAACAGGTTAAGAATCATGTTGTATGTCAGTCTAAACTGCGATCGGAGCTTTGAGGGTTCGCCTAGAAGCATGTTGCGCAGGTCTGTGACCGGTGGCACGTCATCACCCCCCGGCGGCACGATAATGACTGACCCAACCTTGTCCAGACCACGACGTCCGGCACGGCCTGCCATTTGCGTGTACTCGCCGGGCAACAGGTTACGGAACGAGTGGCCGTCGTGTTTGCGGTAGCCGGAGAACACGACCGTTCTGGTCGGCAGGTTGAGGCCCATAGCGAAGGTCTCAGTGGCAAACAGCACCTTGACGAGCGTCTCGGCAAACAAGATCTCAACCAGCTCCTTGACAATGGGCAATAAACCGCCGTGATGCACTGCGATACCTCGGCCAAGAAGTTCTCGCAGGCGAATGATTTGCGGGAGGACACGGTCCTCCGGCTTTAGTCGGGCAATGGATTTTTCAATGATCATGTGGATGTGACTCTTTTCGGATGCCATACAGAAATCTTGGTTGCTCAAAGCATCAGCATTCTCCTCGCACCGCTTTTTGGAAAACACGAATATGCATGCTGGCAGCAGCGTGTTGCGCTTGAGATATTGGACCAGGTGCACCCAGAGGTTCTTGTCCTGCGCTGCAGAAGCAAATCCGGTTCTGCCAGACCGGCCCATGTGGCCTGGTGCGTGGCTCGCTCGAGGAGGGCCACTGCCGCCGCGACCTCCTCTCTGGTTCCCGCCTCGTTGTCCACCGCCGCCGCGTTGCTGAGCTCCGCCACGGCCACCGCGCTGTTGCTGGCCACCTCGCTGGCCGCCCCGAGGATTGCCTCCACGCATCGCGACAGTCGTCTCCTCACCCTTAGGCTTTTCCTTACTCTGAAGCGTCGTGTGTGCATCTTTCCAGCCTTTTTCGATAAACTTCTTGTCCGAGTCCACAATTTTGTGAATATCTTTGCCAGCCCAGAGGTAGTGCTCGAGGGGCACCGGTCTCTTGGCTGTGGAAATGACATAAATGTCCTTTTGCTTTGTGCGTCCAACCCATGACGCGAATTCGTGGGTGTTGGGCACGGTGGCGGAGAGGAGGATCAGCGAAACATGCTCAGGCAGCATAATGATGACCTCTTCCCAGACCACACCACGCTCAAAATCGTTGACGTAGTGGACCTCGTCGAAGATGACAAATTCGACATCGCGGATCAAATCGGCACCGCGGTACAGCATGGATCGCAGAATTTCCGTCGTCATAATGAGACAGCTCGCCTCGGGATTAATCTGGACATCACCGGTAAGGATACCGACTTCATCGAATGTCTGTCGAAAATCGCGGAATTTTTGGTTGCTCAATGCCTTGATCGGTGATGTGTAGATGGCCTTGGTCATGTGCTTCGCGGCCAGAGCAATGGCGTATTCTGCAACTACAGTCTTGCCGGCGGACGTGTGAGCGGCGACAAAAACAGAGTCACCATTTTCGAGATGGTAGACTGCTTCCTTTTGAAAAGTATCCAGCTCGAATGGCCACTCTCGCGCCATGTCAGGCACTAGCTCTCTGAAGTTGCTCATTTCCTTGCGAATATCCACCATGTGTGCCCATTCCTTGCCCGCCTTTCTAGCACGAGACGTGGCGAGCGCGCCATGTGGCTCAAGGGAGGGGAATTCGACGGGCAGAATGTCGTCAATATCATCGTCTTGGCCATCTTCCTCGTCTTCCGCTGTCTCTTGTGGTTGATCTCCGTCCTCTGGGCTCTCGTCTCCCGTGGCACGTTCCGGGGCCTCTTCCAGGACTTGCTTCACAGCATCTTCAGCTTCCTGGTCCTGCTGGGTCTTCTTTTTTGAAAAGTCAATGCCTCTTTCTAAGCCTGGTGCTAGCTGGAGTAGCCCTCCATCCGTGAATTGGATGACTCTGTCGAGCTTGTTGCCCCCCGACTGGCCGTCTCCGCCGGGACCAGCGAGAACTTGATCCTCCAGAGCGGCAGTGGCCTCGATGCCGTCTAGGCCGCCGGGAGCAAAGGGAAAGAATCCAGCGGCGCCCCGGACGAAGTCTGCACGATTGGCGGGTTTGCGGAGCAGACTGGTCGAGTTTTTGGCGTTGGCGCTGTGGCAGGGAACCGTGATGTTCTTGTAGCCAATGACGCGGCCCTCGAGCCCCTGGCGCTGAAAACGCGTGACGGTCCTGGTTTGCGTCGGTGCAATTCGGAATAGAGACGAGTAGTCAACTTCATAGTCCCAGCGCTGCTGCAGGCGGTTCAGCCACTCGTCTGAGAATTCGGGTGACGGTGAGAGGTATTGCTCCTCAAGCTGCGCCTTGATACGGGCCGGGTCGTGGGCGACTTTTGGCAGGCTCTGGATGGTGGACTCATCTGCATCCTGTGCCAGCAAAAGGTCATCAATGCTGGCCATATTCTCCTACCCTTAGTCTCCAGTCTGGAAGCTACAAACTGAGGTTGAAGATGTCTGGTTTGCATCTACCCCACCATCAATCTGAGTGGTGATGTTTAGATGTGGAGCTTTGTCATATGTAGCTGGTGCCAAGTACGGCGTAATCTACCAGGAATAAAGCAGTATTTCAAGGTGCCATTGGGGCCAAGGTCTAAAAGTTCATATAGCGTAAGAAACGGTCAATTATTTTTTACACGTTCTCATTTCGTTCATCAAAGCCAAAACCCCTTTAAAACCACAGGCAACCGTTCCTCGCCCTCGTTCAACAGCATCAAAGTCCAGCTAAATCGACACCAGTCAGTGCTACCCTTGACAAACTTGACCGACGGAACACGTTCCATGGATAGCGTTAAGCAATCGTGTGGTCGCTAAACTGAACGGTTGAAACTGTGTTCAATAAACTTATTCATAATTCAACTTGATTTCAAATTAATAGTTGGCATGATAGCTTACCACTTTAAGCAAGCCCCCCCCCCCGAATCACCATTGGGTTTTTCAATTTGCACTTTGGTAGCGCCACTTTCTCTTACATCACTGAACGAGGAGTAAACCGCCACATCGGCTTGATAATAGCCATAGAATAAAAACCGTAACTATTGGATAAGCAGCGCACTTTGTGGTTGGCGCCCCGGTCAGGACAGCCTGATCCAATTGAGCTGCCGGATGAGGCTACTGAGTTCGCGAGCCTTCCCGCAGCCAAACTTGCAGTTGAGTTTTGAACTCAAAGACGAGCATTTTAGCAAACAACTAGGTAGTTAGTAAGGCGGGTGCCAGGGCTAGCGGGCAACGACACCGCCGCTCGGTCATTGCATGTTACTAAGACCTGGTCGATCCCCGAGGCTGTAGAAAAGTCTCCGCGCTGCCAGAGCAGCGATCACTTGTAGAGACCTGTGCAACTTCCCTACATTTTGTCTATCTTTTTTCAATATCAAAAGTGTCCGTTTCGAACCTCAGAGCAGAGCAATAGACACACGCGGCCATCTATTCGGTGGCGCTACTACCACCGTGTAAGTCATCAATGGCCGTCACGCACAAATGAGTCACGACGCTGAATTTGACACATATACTAGGACTTCATAATACATTAAAACACTCCTTAAGCATGAAAAAAGACGCCGATAGACCAATCCGCGTCGGCGTCGTCGGCGCCGGCGTCGTCGGCCTCACCCTCACCGCCGGGCTCCTCTCCCACGGCGTCGACGCCGTCCTGTACGAGCAAGCCAGCGTGCTGCGCGAGATCGGCACTGGCATTGGCCTCCTTCCCACCGCCATCGCCGCCCTCGAAGCGCTCAGCCCGGCTGTGGCCGCCGGCGTGCGAGGCGTGTGCTTCCGCTCCCCTTACTTCCTCGGGCTCGTCGACGGCGCCACCGACGAGGACCTGTCCCTGAGGACGGAGGGCAAGGGTCTGTATGACCTCGTCTTGCCGGACGAGCAGGGGCGGAACCTATACACGACGGCGAGGGCGACGCTGGTGACGGAGCTGCTGCGGCACGTGCCGGCGGAGAGGCTGGAGCTGGGCAAGAAGGTGGTAGACATTGTGGAAGGGTCGGACGGCGACCCGGTGACCTTGGTTTTTGCTGACCGCACCACCGCAGAGGCAGATGTCGGTCAGTGAACAGCCCCCCAACCTGAAATGATAAAGCCCCTGCTTACATACTTCCTGCAGTTGTCGGTTGCGACGGCGTCAAGTCGCGCGTGCGCCGTGCTATGCTCGGCGACGACCACCCTGCCGCCTCGTGCCAGTACGCCCACGAAGTCTGCTACCGCGCGCTCGTCGACGGCCCGTCTCTGCGTGCCGTCCTCGGCCCGCTCGCCGACCGCACCGCGCTGTACCTCGGCCCCGGTGCCTACCTCATCGTCTACCCCGTCGGCTCCCGCGCCAACATCTCCCTGTACGTTGACGACCCTGGCCCGCCACCGCCACCCGACCGGAGCCACGGCCGCTCGGCTCCGCGCGCTGAAGCCGTCGCCGCGCTGGCCCGCCTCGGCCCGAGCTTGCGTGCGCTCGCCGCGCTGCTTCCGGAGGAGGTTGGCGCGTGGGCGCTGCACGACCTGCACGAGCACCCGCTGCGGACGTACGTCCTCGGACGCGGCGGGGCGGTGTGCGTGGCGGGCGATGCGGCGCACGCGGCGACCTCGCACCACGGCGCGGGCGCAGGGGTGGGCGTCGAGGACGCGGCCGTGCTGTGCGAGCTGCTGGCGCGCGTCGCGGTGCTTCCACGGGGTCGCAGGGCGGAGGCGGTGCGCGTGGCGCTTGGGTTGTACGATGGCGCGAGACGCGAGAGATCGCAGTGGCTCGTCTGGAGCAGCCGGCGGCAGGGCCAGCTGATGAAGTACACGGTACCGGAAATCGGCGCGGACATGGCCAAGATCGGGGAGGACCTGCGCGGGCGCGGCCGGACGCTGCTGACGTGGGACGTGGATGTGGTGTTGGCGGAGACGCTGAGGAAGCTGGATGCGCGGATTGCGGCGATGGGAAATCGGGGCGAGGCAGGGGACTTTGAGGAGGAACATTCGAAGCTGTAAGACAATCAACGGGGAGTGCTGTTGAAAGTTTTAGATGAATTGTATGCAAATCTGTACTGCAATCGTATCAAATGTTATATGATATCTTGTATTCGCATTGTCAGTTTGATCTGTCGCGAAAATCACGGCAAAGAACATCTTGAGAAAATTTGACAAAGCGCCGAGGCAGACAAATGAATCATTAAAGACACTATGGTCGGGATATACAGACAATGAGGAATACAAGTACAGGTCCCAGCCGTTGTGTCCGTCTATCAGGTAAAATGTGCCGGCTCACCAGCACGTAAATTCTCTGCGGCCGCGCCACGACTCTGCCATGCATGGCGTCACCGATTGCAGTTAGTCACGACCGACAAGTTTTTTATTTTTCTCCCACTCAACAGCGCACGCTGCTTAAACCTTGAGCATCTTGGCGGCCCAGTCCTCAATCAGCTTCTCGGTGGGGAAGCTCATCTCCTCGAGCTTCTGGGCGTAGGGAGTAGGCACTTCAGCGCCGGTGACACGCTGGGCAGGGCCGTCGAGGTAGTCAAAGGCGTACTCCATGGTCAGGGCGAGAATCTCCGAGCCGACGCCGAAAGCGGGGAAGCCGGACTCGACGGACAAGAGGCGGCGGGTCTTCTTGACCGAGTTGATGATGGTCTCAACGTCGAGGGGCTTGACGGAGCGCAGGTTGATAACCTCGGCCTCGATGCCATAGTTCTTCTTGAGGTTCTCGGCGGCCGTGAGAGCCTGGCCGACGCAGCGCGACAGGGTCACAATGGTCAGGTCCTTGCCGGAGCGCTCAATCTTAGCCTTGCCAAAGGGAATGACAAAGTCGTCCTTTTGGGCCGCCTCGGACATGGGGAAAGTCTGGCCGTACATGAGCTCGTTCTCGAGAACGACGACGGGGTTAGGGTCGCGGATGGCGGCCTTGAGGAGACCCTTGGCGTCCTCGGCGCTCCAGGGGGTGACGACCTTGAGGCCGGGGATGGAGCCATACCAGGCAGAGTAGTCCTGGGAGTGCTGGGCGGCGACACCAGAGGCGAAGCCGTTGGGGCCACGGAAGGTGATGTTGCAGGGCTGGATACCACCGGACATGTAGAGGGTCTTGGCGGCGGAGTTGACGATCTGGTCGATAGCTTGCATGGCAAAGTTGAAGGTCATGAACTCGCACTGGGAAGGGTGTTAGCCTAGCTGTATAGCTCCGTGGCAACTTCAAAGAGGGCCAATGGAGGAGATTGGAGCTATGAACGTACAATGGGGTGCAGGCCACTGAGGGCAGCGCCAACAGCGAGGCCGCAGAAGCCGCTCTCGGTGATGGGGGTGTCGATAACGCGCTTATCGCCGAAGCGGTCGAGGAGACCCTTGGTGACTTTGTAGGCGCCATTGTACTGGGCAACCTCCTCGCCGAGGATGAAGGTCTTGGGGTTGGACTCGAGCTCCTCGGCCAGGGCCTCGTTGAGAGCTTCACGGACAGTGTACTCCTTGACGCCGGTGCCGTCAGCGTAGGATCTCGCGTGGTTGGCGCCAAAGTAGACGGGGCGGTTGACGGCGCGGGTGTACTGGGCGACGGGGGCGCGAGCGGCGGTGGTAGCCAGACGGGCGGCAGGTCGGAGGAGGCGAGACATGATCGTGTTGTTGTCGTGCTGACGCTGTGCGGACGAGGTGGTGTTTTGTGTTGAGGGAGTTCCAGGGAACGGCGAATGAACTTCAGACGGGGAAACGATGGGGTCAATTCGCGACAACAGAAAACAGCTAACCACGAGCTTGTTGAAGGTCGCAGCAGATGGCAATTGAGGGCCGCTGGAGGGGAGGAGAAGAGTCGGAGTTGGTGAGAGAGGATGCTGAAGGAGGTTTGAGAGGGAATTTACGGAGCACGGCGAACGCAGCTCTAGCCTGTCGGACCCATGCAGCTTTTTTTTCTCCTGGACCAAAAGTCAAGGTCGAGCAAGCCCCATCCACCTGCAGGCCGGTGCCGCAGGACGCTAACGATACTTGCCTTACCCTGAGGCACCTGGATTCCAGTGGCTCCCGTTGAGGCCCGCTTATCTCGTACTTGTTGGGACGAAGGTGCTTTATCGTGGCAGAGATAACAGGCAGCATGCGCTATTATTATTGCCATAACTGCAATTATTTACCATCAATTAATGCGCTGCGTTCCCTACCACAAGCTACGATTTATGTCACGCTTGGCACAAGCCCCTAACGCAGCCATGAGGGAAACTCGCTTCCACGGTGCTGTGTTTGTCCGCCCCGACGACGGCTGACAGCTGACCTAATCATCAGTTCATTCTCTCACCTAGCAAAGCTGACCACTCGAGAATATGAGAAGTCATGACTTAAATTACGGTTCGTTTTCATCAGTCGTCACCACGGTTTCTCGATACAGCTTGCGGGCGGAAAAGATGACTCCGGCTTCTCGCCCAGCTGCATATCCGGTGCAAAGTAACACTGCACTGCCGCGCTCGAGACGCCCATACTGTCTTCCACCGAGGAGTGCTGCCCCCGATGCCACGATAGGTGACAGGGGATGTGGGAGACCTGTCGCTTGCTTATCGGCACAAATTAGCCTGATCAAGCCATGGGTGATATGACTGGTTTTGACAAAGCTTCCTCCCGACAGGATCGCATGGCCCAATGAGTCCTTGAGGCTATTCGCGATCATACTCTGACAGGAGGAAAGGGGTACTGAGAATGGAGCTGTCGGTGACCCCTGAAAATGCAGATATCATTATGGTGAGAGCCTCCACTGCCCTGCCACAACTCTTATGGCGGCAAACCTGGTCATGCGATTAGCAGTTCCTCATACACTTCGAAAGGAACACCTAGAATTGGATCAAGAGATGATGTGAAGGCTGTTGGTCCACTAGATTAAAGCAGCGCGCAACGCCAGGGGGTAGTCGATCCACCCCTTTGAGGGATAGCGCCGAACAATACTTCCACAACTCGTAAAACAGACCACCACGATCAAAGCCAGACAACATTGGGAAACAATCAAAAGTTATTAGGTACGTCTATATATACACACGGTATGAAGCGTTTTGAAACCACCGTCACTGGTCCATCCCCATCCTCCCGATACCTCTAGATAAAACTCCGATTACAGTTGCCGCATTAAGATTTCAACTTCTCAAGACGATGCTCGATGTTCTATAGCCCATGACCTTACTCAGGCTTGCGAGCAACCATCAGGTACATAGGAGTAAATAGGTGCTCCTTGCCACCAGCCACCAGGCAGTCAGCAGCCAGCGCCAAGCTGTCAGCGGTCTTTTTGGTGCCCGCAGGAGCCAGACGGATCGTCTCGAGGGCGCCGGCAAGGTTATGAGCAATGAAGCGACCCCACTTCGTCATGCGAACAATGGTGAAGATGTCGCCAAGGGTCTGGATATAGCGCATCTCACCGGACAGAGGCCAGTACCAAGGTGAAGGGTCAGGGCGGTCAGCCAGATCCTCGTGGTGCAGCATTTCGAAGCCAGAACCCTTGATGGCATCAAGAGCCTCCTGAACCTTGCACATGTTGGAGATGCCGTCACCCTGCTCAATTCCGAGACGGATCTCACGATGATGCAGGTTGTCGTTATCATACTCGTCGGTCATAAGCCACTCGTAGACACCAAACACACCACCGGGCTTCAGCACGCGAAAAATCTCGCTGTAGATGCCCTTGAGCGTGGGCGCGTGGACTGTAGCCTCGATAGCATAGACGGCATCGAAGCTGTTGTCAGGGAACGACATTTGCATGAAGTCACCCTTAACAAACTTGAGCTGGTTGGAGAGTCCCTCCTTGGCGGCGTAATGGGTGGCGCGATCGATCTGGTAATCGTTGTTGTTCAAGCCGGTGACATGGCAGCCGGTGAACTTGGCAATCTCGCGGGCAGGGCCACCAACACCACAACCAACATCGAGGACCTTCATGCCCTCCTTGATGCCGATGCTGTGGGCGAGGTAGTGCTCGTGACGGGCAATGGCCTGGTGGAAGGACTCGCCGACAGAGAAGCGGCAGAAGTGGAAAGACTGGCCCCAGCCATATTCGTATAGGTCGGTCGCGAGGTTGTAGTAGCTAATAAGGGATTAGTAGGGCTCTTCTAAAGAACGGGGAAGGTGCACCCAGGACTCACTGTCTCGTAAGCGTGGCATACTCGGCAGTACGGGCCTGTATCGGTTCCGTTAGCAAAAGTATGAAGTGAGAGATGCTCAATCCAAACTCACAGCACGCTCCTCGGCGGTCTCGTTCTCGGCGGGCTTGTTGTCCCAGTGTTTGAAGTACTCGTCAACGGCGGCCTTCTTGGCGTCGCCGCCCTTGCTGAACATGGCAGCAATACCGCCCTTAGCCTGCGCCGAATTTCCATGCATAGCCTTGCTGAAGGCAGCATCGCGGGCGTGGTCCTCGCCCTCGAGCTTCTGGGTGCCAGTGGGAGCCATGTTGAATGCCTGGTGGAGCAGGTGTAAAAGATTGCAGACAATGAGGGGGAGCGAGACGGACAGTCTTGAAAAGCGACAAAATTAGATGATGAATCTGTCTTGGAGGCCAGAGAAAAGGAGAGAAAGAAAGCAGCAGGGTGATGGAGGTCAATTGGGTGCGGGACGAGGGAACTCTTAAAGACAGTGTGCAACGCGGGTCCGGGGGGTTTGGAAGTTCGATTTTCTGGACGCTGCCCACACAAAAACACCGCCCCTGACAGGTGGACTGGGCAATTAAAAAAAGGGCAGTGGTTGGCTTGTGATGTGGGGTCTGTTGGCAAGATTGATCGGGCTAGACCTACTTCAGAAAGCGGTGAAGACTTTCTGCGAGTACGAATCCGAGCTTTAGTGCGTGGCGGTGTTAGGCTGTGGCTGAACTCCGACTAGACATTCTTCGGTGGCGTGGGAATTGTAAGCAGGCATTTTTCAGTCTGCGCGTATCAGATATCAACTTGCTACCTATCAACCAAACACCCCATCTTACAACCACTACCACAGCAGTCATCACTGCGAAACGACCGTCGCCATGCCTCCTCAAATCAAGCAAGACCTTAACCGCTCCGGTTGGGAGTCTACAGACTTTCCATCCGTCTGCGAAAACTGCTTACCAGATAACCCATATGTCAAGATGCTCAAGGAAGATTACGGCGCCGAATGCAAATTGGTAAGCTAAAAGGAAGACGTGAAGAAACTGAAACATGCTAACACATCACATGTAGTGCACGAGACCGTTTACGATATTCAGCTGGAGCGGCACCCGCGCGCAAGGACGACGCAAGACAACCATGATCTGCCTGACATGCGCCCGCCTCAAGAACTGTTGCCAAAGCTGCATGCTCGACCTGTCCTTCGGATTGCCCATTGCCGTGCGCGACGCTGCGCTCAAGATGGTCGCACCCGGCCCACAGTCCGACATCAACCGCGAATACTTTGCGCAAAACAACGAGAAGCTCATCGAGGAGGGTAAGGGCACCGAAGAGTACGAAAAGACGGACGAAAAGGCGCGCGAGCTGCTCCGCCGCCTCGCCGCCAGCAAGCCATATTTCCGCAAAGGAAGGACCGTGGACGAGTCTGAGCTGGCCGGTGCCAGCACCGGTGGCAACGCCGCGGTCGGCGCTGGTGTTGGCGGGCCCGGGCCTATCCGAACGAAGGACTCGAGAGCTGCTAGGGCTGCCGGTGCCAAGACCGGCACTGGCAAGGGTCGAGGCACATTCCCCAGCGCTGCACAGCTGCCACCCGGCCCCAGCGACTGGTTGCCTCCGGACGATAAGAATATCATGTCGCTGTTTGTGACGGGCGTAGAGGATGACCTCCCTGAGTTCAAGCTGCGCGACTTCTTCAAGGCGCACGGCAAGATCAAGAGCCTCATATGCTCGCACATGTCGCACTGCGCCTTCATCAACTACGAAACGCGCGAGGCGGCGGAGAAGGCAGCGGCCGCGTGCCAAGGCCGGGCCGTCATCGCTGGGTGTCCCTTGCGAATCCGCTGGGGACAGCCCAAGGCTATCGGAAACATGGACAAGGAGCAGCGCTCGCAGATGCTGCGCGACGCGCGTATCCGGCAAGCCTCGCGGGGGCGGCAACAAGGGGCCATCGAGGGCGGCCAGGCCGCGTCGTCGTCAACGAGTCCGGTAGCTGCGCCGCCTGGCGGCGAAGACGCACCCAACTATGCCAGCTTGGCTGGAGAATGATGAAAGACACCAGGTTTTGATTTCTATACACATATTGGCGTTTAGGTAGCATTCTCTTCATGTACAAAATCGTGCCGAGAGTGGGCACGTGTGGGAAATGGCATATTCGGACGGGAGGGTATCATTAGCGTCTAGTTGATATGATCATATAGTACATGGTTTTTCTAGTTATACAAAGCGATTTGTTGTCTTTAATTTTTGGAGCCACCGCAGCAGCCGCCTCCAGCGACGCCAGCGCCAGCCGTTTTTATGCTCTCATTGTCGCCTCGTTCGGTATGCTCGTGAATCCGTAGCTCTGCAGCTCAATGATTAGACAAGTACATCTCGACCCAACCGTCTCCTTTGCCCTAGAGTCAGTTTCGACTTACTATATTTGCCCTCCCCGCCTTCCATCTTCTTGCCCTGTACCACGTTCTCGCGCAGAAACTTGGCCACCTGCGTGGCGTGCTCAATCCCCTCGGCGACACTGCTATCTTTGGGGTCGAGGGCCTGCTTGCTTCTGAACTCGCCTCGGATCTGGCTCTGCGCGGCGAGGAGGATAGGGGCATCGCCTGTTGTTGCATTCGTCAGCAGACTGTCCGATGGCGGTGGTTTTCGAAGCGTGTTAGGATTTACCTTGGAAGGCAACACGAGCCGCGCGCAGGAGGTTTCGATACGCTACAAGAGCCGCCATTGTGTTGTGCTTGGTGAACTGAGGCTTCGGAGATCCGGTACGCAAATGTAGAAATTATTAGAAGCAATTGGCCGTTGATCCCGGAGACCCAGTTCAGCCGGGTTCCGCCGCGAAACAAAAGTTGGTCGGCGCCAGGAAGAGTTCGCCCCACCAGAAAGCTTTTTGTGTCTGCGCCAAAGAATAAAAATCATCCCCACCAGATCTAGCTGTGCTTTTCTCCCTCCTATCAATTCTCTACCCATATCACCGCAACCTCACAATCCGTCGCCATGGCTTCCATTGCCCCGGTTGAGCTGCCGCTGCCGGTCCTCCCTGAGGGCTGGAGCGCTGACAAGGACTTCAAGGCCATTGGCAAGCTTTCTGCTGCCACCCAGCGCAGCATCGAGCCTGTCGGCCCTCACTTCCTTGCCCATGCCCGCCGTGCCCGCCACAAGCGCACCTTTTCCGAGGATGACCGCATCCAGGCCCAGGAGAGCGCCAAGAAGACTGAGGATGCCGACGAGAGCGAGGAGGAGGAAGAGGAGGACCCCATGCTGCTCCAGCGTGAGGCCAAGGATTGGAAGGTAGGACTTCGGCACTTTATATACCCCCCATATCTGAAGGCAGCTGCTAATTTCTGTTACAGACCCAGGACCACTACAAGATTCTCGGTCTCTCCAAATACCGCTGGAAGGCTACCGAGGAGCAGATCAAGAAGGCCCACCGCAAGAAGGTCCTGAAGCACCACCCCGATAAGAAGGCGGCCTCTGGTAAGACCGAGGACGACCAGTTCTTCAAGTGCATCCAAAAGGCCAACGAAGTCCTCATGGACCCCACCAGGCGTCGTCAGTACGACTCTGTCGACGAGGAGGCCGACGTCGAGCCCCCCGGCAAGAAGCAGCTCGTTAAGGGCGACTACTACAAGCTGTGGAGCAAGGTCTTCAAGTCTGAGGGCCGCTTCTCCAAGACGCACCCGGTGCCCATGTTTGGCAGCGCCGACGCCGCCAAGGAGCAGGTCGAGGAGTTCTACAACTTTTGGTACAACTTTGACAGCTGGCGCTCGTTTGAGTACCTCGACGAGGACGTGCCGGACGACGGCGAGAGCCGCGACCAGAAGCGCCACGTCGAGCGCAAGAACACCAATGCGCGCAAGAAGAAGAAGGCTGAGGACAACCAGCGCCTGCGCAAGCTCGTCGACGAGGCTCAGGCCGGCGACGAGCGCATCAAGCGCTTCCGCCAGGAGGCCAACGCCGCCAAGAACAAGAAGCGCTTCGAGCGCGAGGCTGCTGAGAAGGCTGCTAAGGAAGAAGCTGAGGCTAAGAAGGCCGCTGAGGCCAAGGCCGCGGCCGAGGCTGAGGTCGCGGCCAAGGCTGACCGCGAGGCTTCCAAGAAGGCTAAGGAGGCGGCTAAGAACGCGGTCAAGAAGAACAAGCGCGTGCTCAAGGGCTCCGTCAAGGACGCCAACTACTTCGCAGCCGGCGGTGACGCCAGCGCCGCGCAGATCGACGCCGTGCTGGGCGACGTCGAGCTGGTGCAGGGCAAGATTGACCCTGATGAGATTGCGGCCCTTGCTGGCCAGCTCAACGGCCTGACGATTGCCGACAAGATCAAGGCTGTCTGGAGCGCCGAGGTCAAGCGCCTCGTGGACGCTGGCAAGCTCAAGGACGGCGACGTCAAGACTCTTGCCTAGGTGTGGGATGGTACTGTTGGTGTCTGTTTGGGACGGATTTGAAAAGAACTTAGACGATGATTTTGAAGATTAGATGACCATAAACATTCAATACAAAGCTTCTAGAATGTGACTTGCGGCTACTTACTACGGCTGTGTACACCCACACCTTACCTTGTTGCTGCAGCAGCGTGAATTGCTGGGGTGCTGTTGGGTGGACCGATAATATGTGGCAGCTCTACTCCATCACGTTGGACAGGACACCTCACCGTGCGTGCTTGCGAGTTTGTAGGAAGGGTAGAAGCTAATTGTTCTTGTTCACAGACAAAATTTGAGGAATCTGCGCGGGAAAGTCACGGGGAGACTAAAGGCGAGTTGCCGAGCTGTTGAAAGACAGGTGATGCTGGACTCGATCACGGAGTCACCCGGTGCGGTATGCGAGAACATCATGTCCGTCTTGCGTAATGTAGTCCGTGCATGTATGCCGCATCAGTGCTCCTCGGCGCCTTTGGTATAGTCGCGAAGTTTTTTGTCGACGTTTGGCAACGGCTCCGACGATGGGGCCAGGATATTGCATCCAATTCGAGACAGTCAGCCAGACTTCTTTTTATCGTTACACGGGCGGCCGCCGCTGAGTAGAGGACCTGCTCGACGTCGGGCTGGCAATGTGCGAGTTGTAAAAGCCAGTTGAGGTGTGGCTAGCACCCCGCAACCAGAGAGTGGCAGGGGCTCACTCATATCGGTGTCATTTTGCCCCGGGCATGTCTTGCGGAATAGTAAGACGCGGATGGGAAGCAGCATCTGGAAACACGGCCGACGCAGTTCGCGGAAATAAGAGCAAAAGCGGGACAAACAGTGGCGACGTACTGTCCGCAAAGTAGCGAGACTCGTGGAAGAACTTTGACGGGACCTTGTCCGAGTCCGCGCCGGCCCCATGCGGGATGCCGACTTTCAAGCAGAAGCCTACGTCTTTTTCAAGTATGACATAGGTTTGGCCAGGATCTCCGATAAAGATGTCGACTTGTCTCGTCGTCGGCGACCCCCTTGCCGTCCACGGTGGTCAGCTCGGCCTTTGCGCTGTGGAAGCCCCGGCAGAGACGACAAGGACTGGTCGGGTAGATCCTTCGCGCCACATGACGGCGAGCGGCTGTTGTTGTGGGAAGAAGCCTCATGGCTGTTCCATTGCTTGTCAGACCTTGGCTAGACGCTGGAGTAGTCCATCATTGGTGCTTGCGCCTTGGAGCAGAGCTACGGAGTTACTTTCCATCTTACCATGTGGCATAGGGAGAATGATTGATCCCTCCGCATCCTGATACTCGTTTCCTGGTTAATAAAATCTACCCGTTTAGTAGTTGGGCCGGTGACGACCAGCGAATACTGGCGGTTGTATATTCTTTCCAATTATTCTTTCCAAAACCAACTCTTCTTGTTTACCCTCCTCTTACTCACAACGCCGGCTTTTTTATTCGCGCAACAAAGACGATAGATGGTCTAGTTGCCAGACGTCTCTTGCGACTCCCAAAGCGAGCGCTTGCGTCGCTGGGGATAACCAAATTACTACACTTGCCTGCCTGTGTCGTTGCCAACACTCTCACCTCATAAAACCACTCTTACAGAGGTGACCCGTGTGCAGAGGTGACCCTGTGATTAAGTCTTTCTTAATGCCTCGACCAGTCTTTCTCTTTCCCCACGCAGCCGGTGCGTTTTCAGATGGGACGACGCTGCCGAGGATAGCCAAATACTAGTTACTCTTTTTGATAATATAAGACTTGTCCATTCATTATCTCTTAATACTGTACTGTTTTTCCTTGGCATTTGCGCCTATACCTTTCGTGTCCCTCCCTTTTGTAATTTTAGAAGTTTTCGTAGAATGCGCCTCCAGCAGTCGATTTCTTACCTCTTCGCCCCGGGCGAAATCAAGAGCCGTCCTCCCATCTCTCGAAGGTGCATCGATATCTGCCCCAGCCGCAAGCAGCTCGTCCACCACATCCGCATACCCGGCGCTGGCTGCGATCTGCAAAGCTGTGCAGGTCTCGTCGCGAGTCGAGCTGGCATCGTTGACATCTGCCCCTGCGTTAAGCAGCAACTTCACTACGCCGAGGTGGCCGCGCTGAGATGCCGCTGTCAGAGCCGTCAGGCCATTCCACCTAGCGGCAACGATGTTCACTTCCGCGCCCGCAGCGAGCAGCCGTTCCACCACGCCAACATGGCCGCCTCTAGATGCCCCCTGTATTGCTGTTTGGCCGTTTTTAGAGGGAGCGGCGTTTACATCGGCGCCGGCGGCGAGCAGCCGCTCTACAGCCTCCAAGTAGCCATGGCTAGACGCCTCCTGCAGAGCCGTGTAGTGGTGAGACCCGGCCTTGTCGGCCTGGAGGTCGGCCCCAGCACCGAGAAGCCAGTCGATCATGTCAACATTTCCACCTCTAGATGCAGCCTGCAGAGCCGTGCCACATATCAATACGTGACTCTCCTCACTCCCGTCACACTCGAAGCTCACCTCAGCTCCAAAGTCAAGCAGCAACTCGGCTGCCCTGCGCTGTCCGAATACACACGCTATTTGGAACAAGTCATTGAGGCAGTACGAGGACCAATCTGCAGCCCTTAGCCAGATGGCCAGGTCCTCCGTGTTGTCGTCCACTACTAGACTCATCATCACATTCTTCACTGTAAAGCGGGCATGTTCATCACTACCACAGGCGTAGCGAGTGAGTGCGTAGTGCTGCCTTTCTATGCTCCACTGCATCAACTGGGTCACATCCTGCATCAGTGATCCAGGCCATGATATCTCGGCCGGGCTGGAGCCCCCAGACATTATCTGAAGCCACAGATCCCAAGTCACCGACTTTTTCTCGTGAAACCTGGTCGTGTGAGGGAACCAGTATTTCGCCGCGTATTTGAGAAACGGGTGGCTACTCTTGAGCTCTTCCATTTTTCTGTCCTCAGTCTTGATGCATCTCGCGACAACATTGGTCAGGTCCGCGTCTGCCATGGGCTTGTCACCGCCAAAGGCCAGCTTGGTCACGAGACCAGAGACATGTGCCATCTTCGGCTCTTGGCTGAGAACCGCGGCCGTGATGTCTGCTGGCTTCACATGAATGGGACGCTGTCGCCGGGCGATGGATTTTGTAAAATCACTAAAGCTTAGGTACGTCACGCAGATCTCGCCGGCGAAATGGTCTGCCTCAGCAACATTAGCGTGAAATTTGGACAGTTGAGGCGATGTGGCTTCGCCGGTTATGAAGTCACGGATGCTGGCATGAGCAAACTGGACTTGAATGGGTTCCTCTTCTGTGAGGTGAAGCAGATTCTCGGACCACACAACGATTCGGTTTATGTTTTGGGGAATACGCTCCCGTCTCCAGCTCTTTTGTCCTATCTCGATCGAGATAGCTTCGCGTAGCTCATCCAGTGTCAGGGGTCGTCTCGCTACTGCTACCCATTGAAATGCCTTCTGTACGAGCTCTGGGTGCCGCGATCGAGACAAGATACGCCAAAGTGCTCGCGCAAAGGTTTCTTCCAAGTTCTTTGGTAATCTGCGCAAGGATTGTCGAACTTCGTCATCGCAATTTGCAGCGCAAATCTCGTCGATAAGAAAAGTAACCCAAAGAAACCTAGACGAAATTCATTAGTGCAAAAGATTTTTAATGAAGCCAGCCACAGGCACTCACATCCCGTCTGCGTGCAGAGTCAGGGCGTCATTCACTTCCGCCAACAGCTCGGTATCCCCGAATGCCAGCTCTTCTCTTTGCAGTCGTTCTTGGATAGACTGTTCGACATAACTGCGAATGTCGGCCGTGAGGCAGTCGCCTGCCATGGAAATTCGCTGCATGTTGAGAGATCCACCTCCAAGATCCAAGTGAACGCTGTCGCGACTCGAGAGGAATACTCGTAAATTTGATGCGGCAGTGGCAAAGAGCGACAGTGCATGTAATATTTCTCGTCTTTCAACCGTCTCGCATTCATCAAGGCCATCGATTATAATGTAAAAGGTTGTTGGTTGCTGGACTATTTCTCGAAGCAAGTCAATCCATGTGTCGAGCTTGATGAAGATGGCGCGGTCTAGTCGGCAGAGTTCGTTGTAAACGTACTCTGGCATCGCTTTAGGGTCAATGAATTGCCGTATCAACGATCGGATCATTGTTTCGGCTTCAAGGGATTCGGATTTACCACGTTCCACGAAGAAGAACGAGGCTTGTTCGTCACGGCCCTTATTCCGGAAGATATGATTGACAACATTTGAACTACCACGTCTTAGTGAACATTGAAACACGGGGCAAAGGCGAAATACAAACCACAAGACGCTCTTTCCCGACCCAACTAGGCAAAATTAGCCATGAGTCCTGGTTGATTTGATGTGACGTACTTTTCCCTGAGCACCACAGCAACGGTGGCGCACTTCCTTGGTGCCATGATTGGAACTCGGGTAGGGTAAAGATCCAGTCCGCCGTCCCATGTTGACGTTTTTTACAGGCTTCCCTGAACGGCGTGAGAAAGTCATGGGAAGAGAGCCATTCAAGAAGTCGCTGCCTTTCCTCTCCTTGTTTCGCTGTCAGCTTGTAACTAGCAGCTGGCCAAGTCCCAGGAAAAATACCCACTGCTTCTTCGGGCTGATTGCTGCATTTGCATGTTCTTTATCTCACCAACATCTTTCTCCACCCTCGGGATGAATTTCCGCAGCATGGACCGACTTTGAGATGCAACTTTTCTTTCTTTACCCTGGAGCGCCTCATCGTCGCGTTGCGCGCGTGCTGCGGCCAAGAATATCTCCTCCTTTACGTCCGCGCCCTTTGTCTGAATGCTCTGCATGTCTGCCTTCATCTCATCCTGGAAGGACTGAAAAATGGCCTTCTTCAGCAGCTGCGTCCCTGCAGCATGTCAGCAGCGATTACAGGAAAGACAAAGGTCATCGTACACGATCGTTGGAGCACTTCAACCACGTGCTTGCAACAACGGATGATGGCCGCGTGAAAGTCGCAAAGGGCAGTTTGAAGTCTTGTAGATGTAGGGTACAGTGCCTGATACTCGGCAAAGAGCGGACACTGATTCTTGACCGTCATGAAAAGGCTAGAGAGAGCCTCAAAGTATGACGTGAAGTTGACCGCAATCTACAATCGTCAGCGCATGTGCAAGCAAGCATTCGTGTACACAATACCGACAAGCATGGTCATCTTGAAACTTCCCCAGACCAGAGCGGCAATCTCTGGGTGCGACGCGACAAACGTCTCGACCACACTGGAAAACGTCTGTACACACCGAAGGACGGAATAGAAGCGACTTGCGACACCAGGACGGACTGCCCGGTTCTCATGGTCAAGCTGCGACATGAAGATGAAGACGGTGTCGGCATCGCAAATCGCACCAAGTTGGCTCAGCTTACGGCGTTGCTGGTCTGTCAGGATACCCCGGAAGTCGTCGACTGCTTGCTGTAGCGCCGCTTGCGGGTCAGGCGAGGCGCTCCCGGCGGCGGAGGGCAGCACGGCGAGATCCATCCCGTCTGAGGCTTTCGAATGGTTCGCGATTTTGTCAAAATGACACGTCTTCGCGAACTTGCATCGTGCGGGGTAGCCTTGCTGACTACAAATGAACAAAGTAGGCCGGGCAAGGTGCTCCGGGTACGGATAAGGTACGGTACCTTATACATAGAAGCGCAGGCAGCGGCCAGCTTCGCGACGCAACTGCAGGGATACACCGATCGGGAAAGAGGGGTGCAGCAAGCTTACCACCACCACCAGAAGCAAGAGTAGCTTTAGGGTATGTTAGTAGAGGGAGTCGATAAGCATCCCTCTAGCAGGCTCTCCAGGATCCAGCAAGATGACCATGGCCGAACAGGCGGCCGCCCGGGTACGCCGGCGGGAAGCCGGCCCGTCCATCGTCTGCATCTCCGCTGGCGGCGGGGATCGAGGGGAGCATGGGGGTAGCGCTGAGGCGTGCAGAGAAGAATGATGTGGTGAATGTGAGATGTGTGCGGGGGCGCAGCGCGAATTGTTACGACGTGCTGATTGTCAACTCGGACGAAGCGTGAGCGCGAAGGAGAGTCTATATGGGCGACAATGTGTTAAATGATAGTAATTGTATCTAAATGTATCCTTTATACGCGACATAGGACGCCTAGGGGGGAGTGTAGGATTGGTTGACCAAAACAGTCTTCATATTTTTTATAAATGGCCAGAGGCGCAACGACCTCCCTGTCCTCTTCCCTTGGCGAGATGCGTCCAGTCTCGCGCTGCTCCCCCCCCCTTCCCCAATGCCGGTTTCTTGACACTCGGTCCATACCACACAGCGTCGGTATTGAGGACCCATTCATAGCAGCCCTCTCTCCTCGTTAAACTTCTTCACCACACCGCGGACCACATCCGCCACCTGCGCGGCACCGGGCGTATCGCTGTGGATGCAGAGGCTGAGCGGGGCGGAGCCGAGCCCGAGGTCGACCAGCCGGTCCTCGGCGCCGTGGCACGGGATCTTGCCGCTGCGCAGGACGCGCTCGACGCGGCGGGCCAGGGCGCGCAGGTCGGGCGCGTCGTGGGTTCGCGAGATGATGCACGCGCCGTCCTGGTCGTACTCGAGGTCGGCGATGATTTCCTGCACAAAGGGGATGCCCATGTCGCGGCACGTCGTCTCCATGAAGGTGCCGGCGGCGCCGATCATGGGCACGGGCACGCCGTCTGCGGATGTGAAGCGTTTGGAGGCGGCACAGACGGCTTTGCAGATGACCTCGTCTTTGCACATGACACCGTAGAGGGCTCCGTGTGGCTGGCAATGATGGTTAAAAAAAGAGAGAAGCAAAAGGTGATTGAGGTACCAAAACTTACACTGACATGAGAGAGGGGAATCCCTTCAATATCGAGAAAGGCCTTGAGGGCGCCAATCTGGTAAATGACCATGTTCTCGCACTCCTTGGGGTCCATCTTCATCTCGCGCCGGCCAAAGCCCTGCAGGTCTGGAAAGGAGGGGTGGGCGCCGATGCGAATGCCGTGCGTCTTGGCGGCGCGGATAGTATTGTACATGACCATTGGGTCGCCGGCGTGGAAGCCGCAAGCGATGGAGCAGGAGTTGATGTGCGGCATGATGGCCGTATCGTCGCCCTACCCGATGTATCAGCCGGCCTGTCAACAACACCACTGCAATGTCCTTTGAAGGGAATGGGAGGTGTTCATATGCTTGCCATACCATGGTCCAGTTGCCAAACGCCTCCCCCATGTCACAGTGAATCTCAATCGGCTTTGAGGCCCACGGTAACTTGGTGTCTGCCATGGCTGACGGCAAGTGTTTGATGGGCTCACAAGATGAGGAGGCAAGTTGGGTAAGTCGTGGCAAGTGCGACGATGATGATAGCCCTGGACTCTTACTCAGGGACCAGAGTCGTTTACAGACGGGACAAGAGAGCGCGTGCAATGTGGGCAAGAGGGACGGTGTCACGGATAGCGATAGCATGTAGGTTGGTTCTAGGTTGGTCTCGAATCGGCTACATTATATTATACCTCTGTTTGGACAAGATATGTAGACCCGATAACGCTCAGGTACGTACTCAATTTTAATAAATGGCTGCATAAATTGCACAGTTGAAGGATCATCGCCCTTGTCTGGTTTCTGTGAAGGATTGGTCGAGACGAGGCGGCATGAGTAGATTGGACGATCGCCCCGGGGTTCCGAGTGCTAATGCACTCATTCTGGGAGGGGTCGTCGTAGAGATTGCCTGATCTGGATATACCAGTTAAATATTAACGCCACGGGGCGGGCTGTTGTTGTGTTGCATTAGCAGGGGGCTGGAGCTGAAGCTGAAATGCCATTATACTAATTAAGTGTGCAGGTTAAGTTTAATATCTGTCTGTGGCTGGTAATCGTGGAGCCGACTAATCCCTTTAGGGAGCATCCGTCAAAATGAGGTCCTCCCCAAAAGGGGGATAGCTTCAAGATTGATAGCTCGCCGGGAAGTTTCGTCTTGCACCCAGCGACCTGTGTATGTAGTTATCTACATACATACCTAGCTACCTAGCTACCTACATAGCTACCTACATACATCCATAGCTACTGTACCTACATAGCTACCTAATCGGCTGTTTGCTTTAGTTACTTTGTTTGCTCTGTGCGGCTCCACAACACCATTGGATTTAGCATCATCATCATGTCCAACGGTTTTTGCCCTCCCTCCCACCTCCCCTCCCTCTGTCTGTGGGTGGCGTTTGGCTCAGGGAACATGACCGTTGGCCCACCTGTTGGTTATTCCTTCGTGGCTTCGTCGGCGAGATGGATGGCGATCCCCTCCGCCACCCCCGCGGCAATGAAGGTCTTCATGACAGGCCTAACTACCGAACTGTGACCATTGGGGACCCTTGGGGTAGCTTGGCCACTAAAGTCTCCCTTGTTGGATGCATCCCTAAATGTCTTTTTTTATTTGACAAGGCTGTGCCGTCCGTTTTGGATTCAACAATGAGGCGTCAATATCGATTCACCCTCTCCGAGACCGCTCCTCATGTCACAACATCACCGCGTGGCCTCCCCTCCGCTGGACCGGTCCCTGCGACGATTTCTTTTGAGGCTTGGGGCACGAGACAAGTGCCATGAAATTATCTGTTATCTGTCCGAGTGAGTGTGGCTGCTGTATAAAGAGACGTGCAAATACCAAAAACAGGCGACGAAGAGTTCACACAGGTCGCTTGACAGCTCTCAGGCTTGTTCTCCTTACCGGATGTCTTCACTTTGAAACTTTTTCTTCTTTCAAATCTTCTTTTTTCAGAAAATTATATCCATTACCGGCCACCCTGTCATCTCACACATACACACATACACACATACACACATCCAGCCTCAATGACGGAACCCAAAATGGCATCCCTCAAATTCTCTCGTCGCCTCACCTTCAACCAGAACCTCATCTCTGGTGCGGTCCTCTTCTTCACCGTCGGCGTCTACCTCGCCGTCCTCGGCCTCGGCGCGGGAGGTGGCAAGCCCTCCTCCCAGCGCGTCAGCGATATCTCCAATAGCTCCCTCTACGGCATCTACGCCGTCTTCGGCTTCTTCACCGGCGCCATCATGAACAAGCTCGGCCCTCGCCTCACCATGACCATCGGCGTGGCCGGCTACCCGATCTACGTCGCCGGCCTCTTCTACTACGACCGCACCGGCCACGACTGGTTCCCCATCCTCGGCGGCATCCTCCTCGGCCTCTCCGCCCCCATGCTCTGGAGCACCTCGGGCTTCATCCAGTGGGCCTATGCCACCGAGCTTGAAAAGGGCAAGTACATTGCCATCCAGTACTTTATCAACCAGGTCGGCAGCGTCGTCGGGTCCCTCGTCGCCTTTGGCATCATCCTCGGCAGCAGCAACGGCAAAACCGCCACCTCCATCACCAGCGACGGCTCCCCCACCAGTGTTTACATTGTCATGATTGTCCTCATCTGCCTCGCCTTCCCCCTGACCATCTTCGGCCTCGTCGACCCCAAGACGGTCCGCCGCGCCGACGGCACCCCCGTCGCCGTCTTCCACAACCTCTCCCTCGGGCAGGAGATGCGCGGCGTCGTCGCCGTCCTGCGCGACTACCGCGTGCTCGCCATGCTGCCCGTCATCTTCAGCTGCGAGCTCGCCCTCGGCATCCTGCCCTCCGTCAACGGCCGCTACTTCAACCTGCGCACCCGGTCCATGAACAACGTCATCTTCTACCTCGTCCAGCTCCCCGCCTCCGTCGGCTGCGCCTATCTGACCGACCGATCGCCCTTTCGCCGCCGCCGCGATCGCGGGTACCTCTCCGTCAGCATCCTCGGCGCCTTTGTCTTCGCCGGCTGGATCGCCCTGCTGGCTTGGGTCTGCACCTCCTCCACCTGGGCCTCGCCGCCGGAGGGAGGCGTCGACTGGACCGACTCCTCCAACTTCCGCGGGCCCTTTGTTCTCTATCTCCTCTTTGGCATCGTCTACGGCTCCCACCAGCAGATTGGCATGTGGGTCATGGGCACCTTTACCAACGAGCCAACCGTCCTTGCCGTGTACGGCGGCCTCTGGAAAGGTGTCGCTGCCGGCGGCGTGGCGGTTCAGTTTGGAATGGGAGCCGCCAAAGTATCTTATGAGTACGCCTCGATTCCCTTTTGTCCGTCCAGATTGAAACGGCCATTCAAGTTTTGTGCTAATCTGTTGCAATAAAATAATAGAGCCCAAATATCGTTTGCCCTTGCACTGCAGGTCATCTCCATCCCGATCATGCTTCTGCTCCTAACCCGGACCAGCGAGACAAACTACAACAAAGAAGGTAGGCCTCTTTTAGTGCCGATGCGATTGCTGCCGAGAACAAATGCTAACGAGGTACATGCAGATAATGTGATTGCTCCTCACTATGCGGAAACGGCGAGTGTGAGCTCAAAGGCTCCAGAAGTCATGGTAGAAGAAACCAAGTCCACTTGAGCTTTTGGTCAAGACTAGGTTGTCTAATGAGATTCTTTGCGCGCATTCGAAAGGTGAAAAGTAGTGAGCTGTGATGGTTTGAGGAAGAGTTGTTTACGCTGTGTATAGACGTACATATACAGTTCTTTTATGTTGATCTAGTCTGTAGTTTGATAGGAATAGCGTTTGAGCAACAGCTGGTACCGCACAAGAATCAGGCCATAGAGTGACTATTAATTTTTTTCTCAACAACTCATGCTGAGCTTGTGAATGGTGGAAACCTTTCAGTGCAAAACATTTCAAGGACGCATATTATACATCAACATATATCACCACTGTTGATAGGCTCCAAAGCGAGCTACATAGATTTCTTTCTTTTTGCGACTAATATATATATATATATATATACTTACATATATACATTATTTATATGAAAAGAAAAACAAGTGTTAATTGGTTAATTGGCATGGGAGGGATATTTCTAAGCATTGACCAGGCGGTCAATTACGCCCATCGTTCCGACAACGGCTTCATCCTCATGCGTCAATCCGACGACCTGAATGGCCACTGGCATTCCCAAGTATGCGCTATTGTCCCCTATTTTCACATACGGTTAACTTCTAAAAGAAATTGAGGCAACATTGTGACGTGGGGAAAAAAAAACTCACAAAGCTCAGCATTCTTCCGGTCCAGCTCACTGACTGGCTGATACCCGTCCGGATAGGCGTCGCCGGCTAGCACCTCGCCCGCGGGAAGCACGCCGCTCGGGAAGTCGAGGAGATTCCAGAGGGCGCCGTATCCCCACCAGGGCTTGACGTCGTGAGGGGTGGCGAGGATGGGTGCGGCCGGGCAGATGAGCACGTCCATGGGCTTCTCCTCGGATGTGCTGCTGCTGTGCTTGGCCGTCTCGGCCCAGCGTTGAAGATATTCCGAGCGATACTGGTCGCGTGCAATGTTGAGCTAAGAAAGGAAAAGGGGGAGTGTGTTAACTTGGTTTTTTTTTTTTCCCTTTTCTCTTCTTTGTTTTCGAGTTATGTTGCTTTACAAGTTATGGTCACTCTTACCTTCCAAATCTCGTGAACGGAGCGCTCCCGGACAATGGGATCGTGGATGAGCTCGCTTGCGCAGGGAAGCATTTCCTCTTGTCCTGCCTCGAGGGTGCTCTTAATGTCCTTGCCGCCGTCGGTGAAGTAGAGAGGCAGTAGAATCTCATCCCAGGCGCGCTTGTGGTCATATGGCTCAAAGTCAAAGACTAAGCAGAAAGTAAGCTTTCCATTACACCAATCACAGCTTGCACTCTTGCCAAGAAACCATAAAGATTTTTTCTTCTTCTTACCTTGATGTCCAGCTTGTCGTAGCTTCTCCGCCGTCTCGTCCAAGACTCTCGTGATGCACGGATGAGGCATGACGACCTCATCCCACCTCATGACCCCAACCTTGAGCTTCTCCTGGCCCCCCGCTAGGGGGTCGCTGCTGCTCTCCAGCCGGGACCTCCACGGCATGGCCAGCAGCGGCTCGCGCAGCCAGGGCCTCGCGTCGGCCGTGATCTGCATGAAGAGATCCAGGTCGCGCACGCTGCAGGCAATCGGCCCCGCGACGGCGGTGATGGACTCGGCGCCCAAGTTGGTGCACTCCCAGCCGCCGGTGGGCACGCGCTTGCCGGAGGGCTTGAAGCCGTACACGCCGTTGAAGGCGGCGGGCACGCGAATCGAGCCGCCAATGTCGGAGCCGATGCCCAAGGGGGAGCCGCGCTGGGCGACGAGGGCGGCCTCGCCCCCACTGGAGCCGCCGGCACCGAGCTTCAGGTTCCGCGGGTTGAGGGTCCGGCCGTAGATGTTGCTCACCGTCTCGAGCACCATCATGCACTGCGGGTTGTTGGTCTTGGCGTACAGCACGGCGCCCGCGCGGCGCATGATGTCCACGATGTGCGCGTCCCGGTCCTTGGCCTCCTTGGTGGTGCTGCCGTTCTTGGCGTAGGCGATGTAGCCGGCTGTGGTCGGGTGGCCGCGGACGTTGTAGTGGTCCTTGACGGAGACGGGCACGCCGTGGAGGGGGCCGACTGGCCGGCCGGTCGCGTCGAGGATCTCGTCCAGCTCGCGGGCCCGCGCCAGGGCCTCGTGGAAGAAGACCTCGGTCAGACAGTTGGTCAGCTGCTGGGCGATGGCGGCGCGGTGGCAGAAGGCGTCGGCGACGGCGACGCAGGACAGCGTGCGCTGCCGGATGCGGGCGGCCAGCTCGGTCGCGTCCAGGGCGGTGATGTCACGCTCGCTTGGGGTCAGCGCGGGCAGCGCGGCGTTTATGACTTGGGGGTTGGCCGCCTGCTTCAGTTCCTGCACCTGCGCCGAGGGGAGCAGCCACTCGGTTGGGATGGCGGCGTCTCGGGATGCCTGATAGTACTGTGAATGGATCAGAAAAAAAATAAGAAAAGGAAGAGAAAAAAAAAAGAGAGACCGAGAGCGAGAGAATGGTGGTTGCTGCCTCTGGGGATAGGGAACAAACCTCAGCAATTGGTTTCCATGGAGGGTTTGCCATGTTGTCTTTCTTGGTGATGCGATGATGCAAAGACTGACTCAAGTGGTGTTGAAAAAGTCAAAGGTACTGTAAGTACAATGTAAACAAAGATGCTGAAGGAAATGAATTGGCGATTTGAGGTAAAAGATGTTGTTTTTTATTTTGAACTCGCAATAGCATACAAACCCCGGATCCGATACATACAAACCCCGGATTTGGTTACATACAAACCGACACATAGCTACCATAGATACATAGATACATAGTTACATAGATATAAGATTAGGGGAGCAAGATTGGCCGATTGTCGGCGGTGGCGCATCCATTCCTCCATTAACCCGCCAACTACGGATAATAGCTGTTTTACTTTGTCATCCTTTGAATCCTGTGACAATTGTTCAACAGGAGAGAAGGCGTCACCTGGCTTCTCTTGTCGTCAAGGCACCCCATTTTTGGGTAAAAGAAATCAACAGAATGCCAAGACGGATGAACGGAAGCATTACTAGCCGATTCCCTCTTTTCTTTTTAATTGTTGAATTATTTTAATTTTATATGTTTTTTATTATCTGGCATTCCGTCATCTCCTGAAACATGGCTTGCTCGTGGCGGAGGATCCTACATAATTGGCCATGATAAAGTGTAAAAAGAGACGAAAAAAAAAAAGGCTCGTAATATCAATGCAATAAAAAAATGCCTTGTCAAGCCACATGCTATGCGTCAACATGGCTGAGTTCACGACAAACAAACTTTTGGCGTCATCTAGTTTGGGGAAGTTTGGGGAAATACTTGGCGCGTGACTCTGGGGAACCCTGGTGAGGGAGGGGCTTGACAGGGCCTATCTATTCCAGCTTTATAGACCCTGAACTATTTACAATTTGCCGTATCCATAAATCATGTTCCCAGTTGAGAGGCTGGCTCGTGGAAGAGACCAGATTGGGAAGCCAAGCCTTGGCTGGACGCGACACGTTCTCTCGCATCTTGAGTCTCGTCAATTGCCTTTTTCCAACTTGGCTTTTCTACGACCGAGATGCAAGGATGCGACAACTCACAAATCGAATTTTGCAATCAAGTCCTCTACCTACCGCTCAAGTCCTCTCCTCACCCCCGCTCCGGCTCATCTCCCTTGTGCGGAGTCAATAAAAGAGGCTTGACACTCTTTTCCCCGTCCAATTCCCAACAGCTTTACCCGCCACAGCCGGTTTTCGTTTCCCTGCCCCCACAAGCATCAACCTTACCAATAATATAAAAAGAAACTGGGATTTATGCATTACCCCTTTCCCCGCTCTCTGGGTCGTGGAATAGCACTTGTTCGGGAGTGGCAAGAGAATCGGCCGATACCCTCCCTCCTCCCCTCCCGCATTTGCCACATCAATCTCGCCAGCTGATTGCCTCAGCTCGAGAAACTAAAAACATCAACATGATTGGTATTATATTTAGTCTTTAATGATTATCACTTTTAGATTTTCAACTAGACAGCTCAAATTTGCTTTTCAATTCATTCACTTTAAAGTACATAGAGTCTCCCTTTTCCTCAGACATTGTCCTCTTTCGTATTACGCTTCATATCTCGGCCACTAGCATCACATCACACAGGCACACAGGCACATTTCTTCTCAAACCATGGCGCAACCCTCACAGCGGCGACGCCTTCTCATCGCCAACAGGGGCGAGATCGCCTACCGCATCCTCAAGACCGCCCGCCGCCTCGGCTACTGCGTCATCGCCATCTACATGCCCAGCGACGCCGCGAGCCCCCACGTCGCCGACGCCGACGTCGCCGTCCCCGTATCCTCCTACAGTGACCCCGCCGAGATCGTCTCCGTCGTCCGCGAGCACGGCGCCCACCTCGTCATCCCCGGATACGGCTTCCTCTCCGAGAACACCGAGTTTGCCGCCGCCGTGGACGCCGCCGGTGCCGTCTTCGTCGGACCCGAGCCGCATCACATCGACACCTTTGGCATCAAGGACCGCGCGAGGCGCTTGGCTGCCGAGGTCGGCGTCCCAATATGTCCCGGCTCCGGCATCGTCGGCTCCGAGGATGAGGCCGTGGCGGAGGCTGCCAAGATTGGATATCCTGTAAGAGCTGAGAGCCCTAGAAAAGCAGAGAGGAAGCGATATTGGACAGTGTAGACTGATTTTCCTTTTTTTTCCTTTTTTTTTTCTAGATTATGCTCAAGAACTGAACGAGAGAGTCAAACAGTCAACAACTTCCCCGTCTTACACACGTTACAGGGCCTACAGATATGCAACGATGAAAGCCAAGTCCGCTCCTCCTTCAACAGCGTAGTCAGTCGAGGCCAGGCCCTCTTCTCCAACCCGGGCGTCTTCCTCGAGCGGTACTACCCCGTCTCGCGCCACATTGAGGTCCAGGTCTTCGGCGATGGCCGCGGCGACTGCGCCGTCCTCGGCGAGCGCGAGTGCTCCATCCAGCGCCGGCACCAAAAGGTCATCGAGGAGTCTCCGAGTCCGTTCGTCGAGGCCCGCCCCGCGCTGCGCCGCCGCCTCTTCGCCGTCTCCGCGCTCCTGGCCCGTCACATCCGCTACCGCTCCGCCGGCACCATCGAGTACCTCGTCGACGACGCCACCGGCGACTTCTTCTTCCTCGAGATGAACACCCGCCTGCAGGTCGAGCACGGCATCACCGAGCTCCGCTTCGGCATCGACCTCGTCGCCCTCATGCTGCAGCTCGCCGAGGAGCCGCACCAGCAGCAGCGCTTGGTCGACGTGGAGGCGCTGCAGCGGATGGAGCCCTCGGGCGCGTCGATCGAGGCCCGGCTCTACGCCGAAAACCCGTCCAAGAACCACATGCCCAGCCCCGGACAGCTGCAGCTCGTCGAGTTCGGCGCAGGCCCCGGCACCCGCGTCGACACGTGGGTGCAGACCGGCACCAACATCTCCCTCTCCTTCGATCCGCTCCTCGCCAAGGTCATGGTGCACGCCGCGGACCGGCCCGCCGCCGTCGCCAACATGCTGCGCACCCTCGGCGACACCAAGCTGCAGGGCGTCGTCACCAACACGGACTACGTGCGCCGCGTCCTCGAGACCGACTGGTTCCGCGACGGCCGGACGACGACCTGCGTCCTCGACACCTTCCCGTACACGCCCCGCGCGCTCGAGATCCTCTCCCCCGGCGCCGGCACCACGGTCCAGGACTACCCGGGCCGTGTGGGGGTGGGCTTCGGCATCCCCGAGGGCGGGCCCGCCGACGGCCTGCATGCCCGGCTGGCCAACTGCATTCTCGGCAACGAGCCCGGCGCCGAGCTCCTCGAGATCACCCTCAGCGGGCCCACCATCCTCTTCCACGCGCGGGCCGTCCTCGCGCTGGCCGGTGGCGTCGTCGCCGACGCCCAGCTCGACGGGCAGCCCGTGCCCATGTACACTCGCTTCGAGGCGCCCGCCGGCTCCCGGCTCGCCGTCGGCGCCGTCTCGCGCGGGTGCCGCACCTACCTCGCCATCCAGGGAGGGTTCCCCGGCATCCCCCTGTACCTCGGCTCCAAGTCAACGAGCCCCGTCGTCGAGATTGGCGGGCACCAGGGCCGTCCGCTGCAGGCCGGCGACATGCTCGAGATATCCGAGGCGGCGGGCTCCCTCGTCCCCTTCCAGCTGCCCGCGTCGCTCGTCCCCGCGCTGGACCTCGCGACGGTCGGCTGCCTATCCGGCCCGCACGACTCGCCCGACATCATGACGCCCGCCGGCGTCGAAGCCATCTACACGTCCGACTGGACCGTCTCGCACCAGGCGTCCCGCATCGGCGTCCGCCTCGACGGCCCCAGCCCTCGGTGGGCCCGGCAGACGGGCGGCCAGGGCGGCTCCCACCCGAGCAACTACCTCGACTACCCCTACTCCCTCGGTGCCCTCAACTGGACCGGCGACTCGGCCGTCGTGTTCCCCGCGGACGCGCCGTCCCTCGGCGGCTTCGTCTCCTCGCACGTCATCCCCCGCGCGGAGCTGTGGAAGGTGGGCCAGCTGCGGCCCGGCGACCGCTTCCGCATGGTCCCGGTCACGATCGAGACCGCCATGACCCTGCGCCGGAAGCAAGACGATTACATCGCCGCAGTCGCGCAGCTTGCCCCGGGAGGAGGAGCCGCCGAATCCGTGGCGCCCCTGGCACTCGAGCTTCGGCCGGCTGAACACTTGACGCAAGGCATGGCGTCGACGGCCGTGCTGGATACGTACAACGACATCACCATCCGCCAGGCCGGCGAATCATACATTCTCGTCGAATTCCTCCAGTCGCTGCAGCTACAGGTCCGCTGTCGAGTGCAAGCAGTCACCGAGGCAATAAACAAGGCCAAAATTGATGGCGTGGAGCTGGTGACACCCATCGGATGCAGTACGTGTTTTTGTCCCTTTACCCCCTTCGACCCTTGAAGTTTGCGGACCACCGAGAAGGCTAACCTTTCTTTCTCTTTCTCTCTTTCTCTCGCCATAGGTCTTTTGGTGCAGTATGATGGATTCACCATCTCTCAGGCACGATTGGTCGAGGCAATCAAGCACGTGCTGAGAGCAGACGTCGAGTCGCCATCTCAGCTCAGCACCAAGCTGTCCAGCCGCCACATTCGGCTGCCCATGGTCTTTGACGACAAGGTGAACAGGGCCTCCGTGGAGCGGTACATTGCGACGCAGCGGCCGACGGCCTCCTACCTCCCGGATCCGGTCGAGTTCATCGCCCGCTCCAACGGCCTCCAGTCCAAGCAGGAGGTCCTCGACAAGGTGCTCAGCACCCGGATCCTCGTTGTCGGCGTCGGCTTCTGGAGCGGCACGCCGATTGGCTTCCCCGTCGATCCCCGCTGCCGCCTCATGGTACCCAAGTTCAACCCTTCGAGAACGTTTTCGCCCGCTGGCGGCTTAGGCATCGGCGGCTGCTTCTTTTCCTGCGACCCCATTGTAAGCAGTCACACCCCCCTTTTTTTTTCCTCGTTCGTTGCATCCGCAATCTTCACTGGATGAAAGAAGCTAAAGAGTTAAATGTACAGGATGCACCCGGAGGCTATGTCAACTTTGGCCGGACGCTCCCCGGGTGGGACAAGTTCTGCGTCAATAAAAGCTTCGGCGGCCGTCCCTGGCTCTTTCAAAATTTTGACCAGCTAAGCTTTTACTGCGTGGAGGAGGACGAATTTGAGCGCATCTACAGCCGTTTCCAGGCCGGCAAGTACACGTTTGACATGACCAAAACAGAGTTTGACGTGGACGAATACACGAAATTCTGCGACAGCGTCGCCGATGAGACTGCCGAGTTCCAGGCAAAGCAGGAGGCTGCCACAGCCAAAGAAACTGAAAGGTTCGAGAGTCCAGATTCAATTTTATCGATTAATTTTTTTGGCTAAACTGTTTTGGCTAAACTGTTTTGCTAAATTTTTTGGCTAAACTTTATGGCTAAGCTTTTTGGCTAACCTTTTGGGCTAACCTTTTTGGCTAAACTTGTCTTGCTAATCTTTCTTCCTCCAGTGAGAAGCGTATTTTTGCCGAGTGGCAAAAATCGCAAAGGGTGGAACGAGACGTTATTACATCCATCGACAAAATTGGTACGTACCTTGTTAGGATGTTCCAGCTTCCGGCCTATGCTGACTCAAATATAGACGACAGATTCAAGATTCAATCTGATATGCATGCCAGCATATACAAAATCAAGGCACAAAAGGGCGACACCATCAGTGAAGGTGAGATCCTGGTCATTTTGGAGGCGATGAAGATGGAGGTCAACGTTCGAGCGTCAGAGTCTCAGGCTGGTCTGATCGTAGAGGGTATTCTTGCCGCGCCTGGCGATATTGTGAAACCAGGCGATGCCCTCATGGTGCTATCGCAGACGCGGTGAACCAGATGTAGGATAGAGCAAGGCATAGTTGAAGGCACGCTTGGTAAACCTTGAACTGCTCGCTCAGCAGATTCGGTCTGTTATGGGACCAAATTTGACGATAACATGGCTTCCAGCCTATCATAGTCGACAGTGCCGTAAAGTGCCATATTCTCCCAGCAATATTCCAGAGTCTCCAATGCCCGGGATACATGCTAGAGCTACCGTGAGCAGGGGGGTTTGATAATGTAAAACAGCTGGTAGACGGGGGAAAATGCGTACCTTGAAACCAAAGCACCTCATGCCGTTCAATTTCATGCGGCACCGATCTTGCTTGTCGGGGTCAATCGTGGCAATGCCCGCAGTCAGAATGGGCCATACCACTGCCAGTTGGTTCAGACCGCGCGAGAAATTTAGCGCCAGGGTCAATATCCTATCCACGACAGAATGGATCGCATCATTGGGATCCGCACTTCTGTTCCTTCTGGTGGCAGCCCTTTCGAGATAGACATCACACGCCAAGGCGTAGCTTTGGACGCAGGAGGTGATTGTCAAAGTCTTAACTTGGTCGTCGGACGCGCCTTCAGGGATACCATCGAGGTTCACCAATTGTAAGAATGCATCGGGGACACTGTCATGCCAGTTTCGGAGCCTTTGTACCAGATCGTTGTACATCGTATCTCTCTGCAGAGGACAAAGACCGGTCCGGCGCAACTTGGCGAAGATGCCAATTTCTGTTTGTATGGACATGACTCGGGACCATGCGCTTCGCACCTGGGCAAGGATGCGTTTCTCTGTATCAAGCTCGGTGGTAGAGTCTGGGACCCCCAAGTTATATTGCCATCCGCCGCCCAAGGATTCCCAGTAGTCGCCTGGGAGGAGGGGCTCCTCGCCAGTGGCACAGGAAGCAGCGACGTCGAGGTATGACAAAAGTGACACTAAAAAGCGGCGTATAGGAAGAGACTCGCTGGACAGGGTTAGTGAAGTGCCTGCATTTTGATCAGCCGTCGCTGGACCGGGAGAGTACATGGATCGCAGGATCGACGCAGCTCCCCGTAGATGAGCCTTCCAGGAAGCGTCGGTGGCGGACATTTGTTCAAACATGCAGAGGAGTAGACAAACCGCAAACAACTCAAGGCTAGCAGGCTGGGCAGCTTCCGCCGCAAGGGCACGCCTAAGCTGGGTGACGATGTGGGTGTACATGCTGACGGCTGCTTTGCGATGGTGTGAGCGGTTCTGGGCCTGAGGGAGTTGGGACAGGTGCATGGCGCCGAGGGCTTCCATGGTGCCCTGAAGGATGTCGGAGTGCTCACTGCCGACGTGGCCAAGCAGCGTCCGATAAGGGTTCGAGTCGGAGGTGGTATCAAAGATAATGAGGAGTGTGGAAACGGTCATGAGGTAGTGTTGATAATACATGTCATTCTGCGACTGAAATTGAGCTGGTAGGTAGAGCTGGAAAAGTGGCGGGCTGTCCCTGCTACGCGAGGCCGGGACTATTTGACGATCCAATGGCAGCTGAAGAGCCAGTTGATCGGACGACGTGGGATGCCATTGGAAATAGTTGCCCGTGTCATCAGCCGCCTCCTCATCAGCTTCGATAACGGGTTCCGTATGCCGGCGTTTTAGTGAAATCGCGGAATCCTTGGAATGACCCGACGATGGGTTGTTGACGGATAGGGGAACGAAAGTGAGGCTAAAAGCGCATTTTTTATGCAGTCGCGTGCAGTTGGCGCACGAGGGCGTCTGCTCGTCGCATTTGACGTGCCTCTGGCGGCAGTTGAGGCATCCGGTGAAGCCGCGCGGATGCCATTTCCTTTGCCGCTTGAGAGTCGCACTCCTGGGATTTTCTAAGAGCGCAGGCGCTGAGTTTGTCGACTCCATTGTCAAAGCTTTGTCGATTCCATTGTTAAAGCAGGAATAAACAGATGAAAGGCAAGGCGATGCCAGGAGAACACGGGCTGGCTGGCGAATGTTGGATGCTCACATGATCAGGTGCGCCCAGCAGCACACACGAGGTACCTTGGTTTGTAGGCAAATTACACACAAATTAAAGTATCTTTTCTCTTTCTCCACCACACGAACGCCGCCACCACCGCCGCCACCGCCAGCGAGCCTCTTTAGACTTCGCAACGCTTGCTAAATAGCTTAAAAGATGCATCTTTACGAACATGTATATAACTCACTTAATTGTAGCAGTAGTAACGGTAGCGGGGGAAGTGTAACGGGGGAAGTCAAGGCCCATGATCGTGACGAAAGACTGCTATTCTAGGAAGGTACCTCTATTTTGATAAGAGACACACTAAAAAGGCGAGGTACCACGCTAACTAGTGAGTCCGTACGAATAGCAATAGAAGTATGTATGTATGTATGTATGTATGTATGTATGTACTGTACGTACGAATAGCAATACTCTAAAACAATCTCTTTTCCTTCATTCTCCCTCACTTAATAATCACTCTGGCCGTGTTTGCTAGATAAAGATGGCTGAGTAGGGTTGTCTTTTAAACGCTTGTGGAAGAACCTCAACAGGACCTTCTCAAGCTTCCATGTTGTCAGGTTTGACTGGCCTCAAAGCTGGAATGTTTGTGAAACGCTTGCACGAAACCTGTGGATGCAGTTTGAGAAGCGACCTGCTAAATTAACTGTAAAATTGTTACACGCGGAAGATCGCCCGTCTAAAAAGAGCGAGCCAGCGGCCCGAGTGACATGAAACCGGCTTACTGTCTATCCATGGTCGTCGCATCAGAATAAGTAAAAGATGCTAAATTACAAAAGAATTGAAGTCGCAAAGAGTTCATGTGAAAAAAAAAAAAAAAAAAAAAAAAAAGTAAACTATCTTATGCTGCTGCCACCGAGCCTCCCTGTTGCCTCATCCTTTCTCCGCAGAACCATTTCTTGACTTGTTCTTCTCATTGCCCGTTGCCCCCTTTTCTATTCCTATTCACCACCACCTGATTTTGCCCCCTGTTACCTTGTCTTGTGTTGGCACCCACCGTCTGGCAGTTCTCGTTGACGTGGGTTGCCAGGTACGCATCCGTGATGTCCCCTCCCTGGACTCCGATCTCCTGCGCGAGCCTGGCTTTGGCCTCCACCATCTGCTGCTGGTTCCTCGGCCTCGCGCAGACGGCCCGGGCGGCGTCGGTCGCCATCAGCTGCAGGTACTGCTGGTTGGACTGCAGCAGCTGGACGGTGAACTGTCCGCCGAACATGGCCGCGCCGCTCCCGTGCGCCGGCAGGACCTTGACGATGCCGTTCTGCGCCAGGATGTCGTCGCTCCTCTGCAGCTGGTTGCTCTGCTGCTGCGTGTTCCGGCTGACCAGGAAGTTGAGGGTGCTCTCGAGCTCATCCCCCATGAGCGCGACGCCGTTGATCATGGCCACCGTTCCGAGCTGGGTGTGGGCCTGCACGTTGGTCACGTTCATGGTGCCGTCCTGCATCGCAAAGGTTTGGAACTGTCCCTGCGCCAGGGCGACGTCGCCTCCGCCTCCGAGGCCGAATTTCTGCACGAGCGTGTCCTGCGCCACGACGGGAACTTGCCGCAGGCTGTTTGCGTTGCGCCCGGAGACGTGGTCGCCGTGCTCGTGGCTTAAGATGACCTTGTCGATGGCAAGTCCCGTCTGCTGCTGCAGCTCCTGGTTGCAGCTGTCGGCGAGAACCTCTGCTGTGGAGGTGTCGAACATGAAGACGGAGTTTGGCGAAGCCTTGACGTAGTAGACCATGACGCCCAAGTCCAGGTTCGGATCGAACCCCTCGTTGCCTAGGTTCACCGTCTTGGGCTGGATCCCCTGAGGTATCTTGTCAACGTCAGGTGAGCCGCCCGCGTAGCAGCCATAGATCTCTGCGTCGACATTTTGAATCCTGCCAAAGAAAATGTTCACTTGATTCTGCCCTTGTTGTCGCTTTGACAAGCTCCTTTTCATCGCCTTGTTAGTTTCCAAGAGGTATGAATCGGATCCCAACCAGCCTGAGTACTCACGGCACGTATGGGGATGAATGATGCAGACTCGGACCAGGCCCGCGAGCCCGAAGTGCTTCGCCGTGAATGCAGGCTGCTGCAACGCTAGCCGTGGCCGAGGCTATTGCGAATTTTTGTAGCTTCATAGTGTGATGACTCTGGGGTTACGGCTCGTCTTTGGAATACTGAGGTGCGTAATAAATAGGATGAAGGATTGACTATTTATTGAGAAGCTGATTTTTGCGACCATCAGTTATAGTTACGACTTGAAACCCGGCAGAGCTGTCGTTTGAAACGGTAGAAAGTAACAGCCTAGTACAGCCGGCGAGAGAAATCAATTCGTCAAACCCCCTCCTTGGCGGCCCTAGTCTAGTCTAGCTGACGCTGCTACATCAATGCAAGGTCCATCATTAGGAAAATAGCATTTGCAGATCCAATGCTACGTTTTATGTTGTATTCACCACAAAGCAACGCGGTTCATACAAATTGCACCCACGCCCTGGTTCGGAGACGGCTGCTGGTGGCCAGAGGCGCCGCCAGGCCAAAGAGACCTACATAAGTTCTAGCATACGTTAGAGCTTCTCTAACGCGTTTCAGGAATTCGAATAGAGTTGACAGACTCTTAAGCATCTCAATATTTCTAATATCGTGTAATTTAGAAGAAACCTTAAACGTTTTCTCGCTTCTTCTTTCCCCGTCGCTCTCTTCCTTCTCTTTTTCCTCCTCTTCTGCCCCCATCAGCAAGAGAGCAAGCCAGCTAGCGAGTGTGCTACCCAGTGATTACCCTGGAGGCCTCTCTCCATACTACTTTTCTCGGGCATGTCCATCTTATCTTCAACAGCGCTCAAGACGGATGAATAATACCTCCGACCATTCAAACTATTATCGCCCCCATGATATTCAAGCTCAAGTCTAACAACGGGCGACCCCGCTGTCAACATCCACCCCGCGCAACTCCATCGCAGCCTTGCTTGTCCTCTCCCCTCCATCTCAGAATCCTTAACAGGGGAGGAACTGCTGTAACAAGAGCTGAGCAGGGCGCAGCATCACTTGAAAAGGATGCCGCGAGAGCATTCCAAATAAAAAACCAAACGCAAAAAAAGCCGTCGGGCTCTGGTCCAGAACTTGGGGTTGAGCGGCAGTCCCTTGATGATTGATCGGATGCTGATGCCCATAGTTGGCTGGCCTACACGACCCGCAGCTGCTGATCTACAGCCTCGAACGTGAGCGGTTGACTTGATGCTGCATATTTGTGTCCAGCGCATGCAGGGGCCGCGACCGCCTCCATATCCGCCCTGTCGTGCTCTACCTTCTCACAAGTTTATATTTATTTACCTTGCATTTTCAATAGTTGAAGTCAAGCATCTCTTAGTATTCGCTCTACAGCTATAGTATGAAGTGGCTAGGTAAGCTATCTGATCTTATCCCACACCGCAGTCGGACCCGGCGACAAAAGTCCACAGCAGCTGAAGCGATATCTCCGGCTCCGGCTCCGGTCCCGACTCCAGCCCCTGCTCCGGCTCCAACTCTACCTCTGGAAGGAACTCATCCGCATTCGTCTCGCCCTTCCCCAGAAACAGGCAATGCAGGACGGTCAGGATCGGTGTGGGCCCCCGCCTATGATGAAGCACTCTCGCTGCTTGATAAAAAAATACGTTTCGTGGTGGGCAAGGACCGGAATTTGGAAATTCTGTTTCAAAATTTGAACGAGACCAACACCAAACAAAAAGACGAGTCGACTTTTAGACGAGGTGTCGCCAAGGTTCAAACGCCCATGAGAGTCGTAACTTCGGCAATCAAGATAACATCCCCTCTATTGGGCAGCTTTGACCCAAAAGTCGTGGCAGCATTCAGCATAGTTCAGAGCATGACTACGGTAAGAACAAACATGATGGGATATTCGTTGCAACCCCTTTAGCTAATCGGATACGCCACGTATAGTTGCAGTGGGTGTCTGTGGCATAGAGGATCGGTTGAGCACCCACATCGCGGACATGTTGCGACAAATCAAAGTCATTGATGAATGCGACATATTGGGCCAGGACTTTCGACGACGAACAGCTTATACACGAGGTATGATTCACGTCCTCGGCCGCGGGTCATCACAGGAAGCTAATCACTACGCTTAGGCCTTGGTATATGTTTACAAGGACTCGTTATTTTATCACCGTCGTGCATGTGCTCACCAAAAAGTCCATAGCTCTGGCTTGGATATCGGAGCAATTCAATGAGCGAATTCCTCCTGTGGTGCAGGACTTTCTCAAACACGCCAGCCTACTTTACCAACACATCGACAATGCCACGACCAAGGTCATCAAATCCATCGAGTCTTCACTCCTATATACTGAGAGTAGAACTTCAAGTGTATCCCGGACCGTTGCATCACATTTACTGACTGAGAGTAGTTCGGAAAGGTTCTATTTGGGGCTTAAGACGAAGACGGCCAATGACGCATGCAAATGGATACTGGAACATCTGGTCTTTTGCGCCTGGCACGGAACTACTGTGGCCAACCCCCTGGTTCTCTATGGCGAGATGGGCTGTGGCAAAACTGTCACCATGGCCTTTATGATAGATCACGTCATCCAGCTTAACCAGGGACTCATCCCCAGCGCCTTGATATACTATCATTACTGTAAGTTAGTGCCTACCTTGGAGGGTACTATGTGCGGGGGCTATGGTTCGGTCCGTGTAGTTCGCGATCCACAGGGACCGGCCAGAAGCCTTCGAAAATGTACTGAAAGTGCAATCAAGCCAGCGAGGTGCCGCATCTCTGCTGTTAAAAAGCGCCCAACACCTTTGAGTTAATTTGAGTCTCAGGTGATGGATCTCAACCATCAACGAAGTAAGCGCCCAACATGTCTATCACGTGCCGCGGCTGCAGGTTAACTGTTGCAGCAAATATATACCCCCTTGCGAGGCTGCGGCGCCCCCTCTCTGCTCTCTGCTGTCAGTTTACCTTCTTCAACCTAAACATTTTCCACCATCATTTATTTTCCGAGTGCATGCACTGATCAGACATGGTCTCTCCGGACAACTACACAGTTGGATGGGTCTGTGCTCTACCCGTTGAGGTTGCTGCGGCCAAAGCACTTCTAGACCATGTTCATGGCGAGCTTCCGGCGGATCTGAGCTCGGATGATCCCAACAGCTATGTGCTGGGAAATATCCAGGGCCACAATATCGTGCTCGCACACCCGCCATTCGGCTCCTCCGAAGCCACGTCCACCGCCGCAGTCGATGCGCAGATGCGCGCAAGGTTCAAATCCATTCGTTTCAGCCTCATGGTAGGCATTGGAGGAGGAGCACCAAGTGGGAAGAATGATATTCGCCTTGGTGATGTTGTCGTGAGCAAGCCGACATCGACACGGCCTGGCCTGATGCAGCTCGATCTTGAGACCAAGCCAGTGGGTGATCCAGATACCAGCAAGACAGCGCTGAGAAAGCCATCGACTTTACTTCTCACTGCTGCTGGCAAGGCCGAGACGATTGATATCCTCGGAGAGAGCATGATTTCATGCTACATAGCCGAGATTGCAAACAAGGATGCGTTTACTTTCACGCGCCCCACGGCGAACAAAAATGTTTTGTCCGATTACGATTGTGAGCGCACAAGTACCGAATCTGCGGACGGCGGGTGCAATACTTGCGACACAAATGAAACCCAGTACGGATCACCACGGGAGGTGCAAGTCACTAGAATTCATTATGGTCTCGTTGCTTCGACCACCCGGCCGATGTGCCATGCCACGACGCGAGACAGCCTAGCTCGTGAGCATGGTATCCTTTGTTTCGAGACTGAGGCTTCGGGTCTCATAGGCACTGACCAATGTCTCATAATCCGGGGTATTTGCGATTATGCTGATTCTCACCGTTGCAAGCATTGGCATGGATATGCGGCAGCGGCATCAGCAGCATATGCAAAAGAGATTCTGTTGCAGATTACCGAGGCCCCAACGCTGGTGTCTGTGGAAGCCGACATGCATGCAGCGGCCGCAACTATTCTGGATGCTTTGCTTCTGACTAGACCTGAGGTCGACCGAAGCTCACTCATTGCGTTGAAAGGGCGGAGGGCGGAAGGAACCTGCGAGTGGCTTATACAGCACCCAAGCTATAGAGAATGGCTTTCAGGCACAGATCCACCGCTGCTCTGGATCTCGGGTGGGCCAGGAAAAGGCAAAACTATGCTGGCAATCTACATTACTGAAGCGCTTCAACCAAGCGTCGCCTCCCCAGACTATGTTTTGCTTTACTACTTCTGCAGTAGCCGCGACAGGAATCGGAACACGGCGGTAACCATCATGAGAGGCATCATTCATCAATGGCTCACTTTTCATCCGCAGTTGGTCCAGCATATAAAGAACTATTTTGAAGGGTCTGAAACAACAAAGTATACCATTTCAAATTTTGTTTCACTATGGAGACTATTCTTGATTCTTATGCAGCAGAGTGCATCCCGCCAAGTTCTATGTGTGCTCGATGGCCTGGATGAGTGCGAAGGTGACTCTTTAAAGCAGCTTCTGGATGCCATGGGTGAATATATTTCGAATCGTGAGGAAGCGACATCAGCAAAACTGAAAATCATCCTCCTCTCTCGCCCACGACCGCAAATCTTGGAAAGCAAACTCGGCCATCATCGACGGATCAAACTTGATGATGCGGATGTGGAGATTGGGCAAGATGTTGAGAAATACATATTTGCTAAAGTTGCGGAACTTGCGACCGAGCAATCTCTTTCCGAGGACATGCTGCTTCAAGTTCGACGGACGTTGATGGCTGGCGCCGAGGGAACATTTCTGTGGGTGGGATTTGTTGCAGATGAGCTGAAGGGGAAGAGCTGGCACAAAATCGAGCAAATTCTTCAAAGAGTTCCTAAAGGCCTTGGAGGCATTTATCAGCGGCTGTTACAGCAGATCGAAGCCAAAGAGAAGCTGGTTCCTGTCCTCCAATGGATCGTTCTCGCCGCGCGACCTCTCACCGTTGATGAGCTGACAGCCGCGACGGGGACCACGGCATCAAATGACCTAGCGGCTACCGAGGTGATGAAGAGCCAGCTAGACTCCTGCGGACTGTTGGTGAAAATTGAAGGCGAGGTAGTAAATCTGGTCCATGAGTCGGCGAAAGAGTTCTTCCAAAGCGATCAAGTCAATGTGGAACGGATCAACATGTTTTATATGAACCACGCCACGCATCGAAAGCTAATGCGAGCCTGCCTGAGAATCATCGAGGAGAGTTACACGTCTCCTGACGGTGTTAGCGACAAGGCCGTTCGCACTACACTTTTGCCGTATGCAAGCTTGTACTGGCCGGAACATTTTCGAAATGTGCAAGACATCTCTTCCGAGCTCTCTCGCCCGTTCTTCCACCCCGAATCTTTAGTCCGGCAGCGGTGGTGGGAGTTCTATTGGGATCAGGAACAATATGGCGGAGCCCCTCCTTCGTTCACGCTTTTGCACCTGGCTGCTTATTTTGGAGATATATCCTGGGCGAGAAGCCTGATTCACCATCATGGCTCCGACCGGACGTCCCATGCAAACCTTGTCTCGAGAAAGGATAACTATGGCCGGACGCCCCTTTTTTGGGCCGCTACCCAAGGTCACAAAGACATGGTAGAGTTATTGCTGGATCATGACGCTCAGGTTAATTCAAAGGACCGAAGTAATTTAACAGCGCTCCATATCGCAATCACTAGTGGACACAAGGACATCGTGTCCGTGCTGCTAGATCGATCCGCGTCGATCGAGGGTAAAGCCATTTACGGTGATACGCCGTTAATTCGAGCTATCCAGGCCAACTCTGAAGAGATTATCGAGATTCTTCTCCAACACGGCGCACGAGTCGATGGACTGCCCAACCCACCGGGGTTTCCCGCCCTTAAAGGGCCGAAGGATCCGTTGGAAGAGCGTGTGAAGCAATTACTTGGGCTTCAAGAGCAGCTCTTCGTCGCGAGATACGAGAATTCGTCCAGAACGGTTAAACTTGGCATCAGAACCCTAACCCTTTCCTTTTACTTGCCACCTCTTCTCAAATTAGTGAAGTTGTATCTGAGGCACTCCTGGGTTGGACGCTGGGAGGTAATGCATGTCTTGCAAGACCTTGTCAAGAATGGTAAGACGGATAGACTGCGAAGATGGGCTGAGGCATTTATCAAGTTCGGCATACCTATAGTTGAGTCACGGAACGCCAAAAACCTGACTGTTATGACGGCGCTGTCTGTACAGATATTCCAAGTAGTCTCTACTGAAGATCTGAAGGCACTTTTAGTGATCGGAGTGCTGGTAGGGTCGGCCATCATTCTGGCGGCGGCTCAGCGCGAATGGAGAGAAGGTGTGGATATCTCCGCAAGGACGTTTGCACAATTTGCTTCCTTGGCCTATCACAGAGACGCGGGGGAATCACTTCACTACGGGGTTCGTGAGTTCCTAGTCGACTTTGATCGATGTATTTGGAGCGCAAAGAGGCATGAGAATGTGGCCCGGACGGTGGTTCTCTTCAGCACGCACTTGGCTGTCCTTGAAACTCAGGACGAGCTCTCAATCCAGTATTTTTCAACAGTCATCGCGGAATATTTCGAAAAGTTTATCGGCGGCGGCTACGAAGAACAACTGTTCAATGATGCGAACCGCGCGTGCGCCCAGGAGCTGGCGGCCATCAGCAAAGACCGCGATTCGCGCAGACTACTTCTTTTTCTGACTGCCATCACTCAATTTGCGAAACGCTCAAGAAACAAGGGAAAGGACCGATTCCTGAACATACCTCCCGCATCATGCCTGGTCCTCTGTCAGGGTGAACTGGATGTCCATCGCTGGCTGATTGCAGAGGCAGTCCCAGAAACAATGGGCGAATTGTTATCAGAACAAGAACCAGGGCCGATTCAACAACGGATCTTTCAAGCGCTTGTTGAGTGCCTGGTTATTGGAAAGCAATATGGCTTGACAATGCCTGTAACACGGCGCGAGAAGGTGAAGCAGCATGTCCGCGTCGTGGATGGAGCAGATAAAATGTTGAAGCAATTCTTCAGATCATGAGTTTTCTCAGAAGTATCGATTCCTTCTGGTGCGATAAGACAAGCCTGGATTGTTAGGTGATGGCTGCCCTGTTCAACACACGGGAAGCAACGAATGCCAACAACGTCAATCAGCTGTTTTAATGACGAACAGGATGCATTGGAGAAAGCTGCGTTTTTACTTGAGAATTTACAGACACTCGGAAATTATGTGGAGATTTCAAGTACTTAGGGTAGCTGAACATCTATACTAATTGACCGTCCATCATAATGTTTCTATGCTAGGCGACCATTGCACATAATTCCAACCTTGATCTCCTAAAACTCTTCACCGTAAGCTGCTAGTTTATTGAATCGGGTCCAAAGTTTGTGCCCTTGAGCTCCAATCTGTTTACGATCTTTGACCTGCTTTGTGGGCAGCCTGGATTTTGCAAATGTCCAATGTATGGCACGCTGTGAAAGCCTGCATTAGGCCAAAAGTGTGTATATACATAGCACACAAGATGCAGACGTGGAAGATTTGATGAGAGCTGCACCAAATATCAAATTTACCGGGAGCAAAGCGTTCGGGAATCCGGAGCTGTATAAAGTAGTCAGATCACAGGACGTTTCCCTTTTTTTTTTTACAGACTTACCGCATAAAGAGTAGTCCCACTACCGTATATAGCCAGCTCGAGCAGATACCAGTTCATTCCCGAATACTGAGTCATGTACTCGAGGCCGTATAGCTGAGACCCATGCAGTAGCGGGATGAGTGCCGAGGCCCCAAGCATAATGTATGCACTAATTTTTACCTTTCGCCAGCGTAGCGTGCTAAAGACAGGTATGCAGATCAGGGCAGCTGTGGAGGATCCCGAGATGATGACCTAGATGGGGATAATGTCAGTATGTGGCAGAGTCGAAGGCCTGGCGGCGAAGAAGGAAAGGAGTAAGTATTAGGGTTGACCAACAATGAACCAGTGAAATCTTTGCAAGGAAAGTTGACAGAAAAAGATGTAATAGATTCCCGGGATAAAGGTGCCCATCGTTACAATGACGATGCCTAGTAGGTCCATGCGATGCCAAAAATGCTCGACTTCGCGCGAGTGTGCGCCAAGTAGGTGGAAGGCCGTGCTGAAAAGCAGACAAAACTCAGCGGACCAAAAGAAGATTCCAAACATGGTGTAGTCGGTCCCCGACACGACGGAGAATTGAGACTGCGAGAGACCCCGTAGGATCGTGGTGGCGATGAGCGGTAGGAGCACTGCGCCGATTAGGTGAGTGTACACATTGCACGTTTCGTTGTGTAGGAAGGTCAGGCTGGTAAGGATCTCGAGATAATCGGCCTTTTCGCGACGATAGCCGCTGAGGATGTACTTGCTGTCGCGCTGCCACTCAGCGGCCTCGTGCCACGTCAACGTTGGGCCTCGTTTCGAGGTTGACGTCGTGGAGGGCGGCTCCATGGTGGTGCTCGTGCCAGCGCCCGTTGCGTTGCGTTTCTTGACTTGCGGCTGCGGCATTCTTTTGCTGGGTGCAGGCTGAGTGCTCTGGTGTTGAGCCCTAGGATGGTGCGGCAGACCGATACGAGAGATGGAAGTTGGGGGAGTCTGTGATGGTGGTGGGCTGAGGAACACGAGGGGGGGAGGGGGGCGAGTCCCCAGGGGTTATCTAGCACGGGTCCAGGAAAATTACCCCTCTGAAAAAGTGTCACTCCGGCGAAAACCGTGCCGGAGCTGAGGCCAGGTCATTATAATGAATAATGGTGGCGCCCAGCTGTCGCTACCCAATCACTCGCCCGTGTGCCACAGCCGAAAGGATGAAAGGACGAAAGGCTGACATGGTTTGATTGGACTCGGAACTCGGAACTCGGGAACTCGGATACCGTTGGCTAGCCTGCTACTAGTCTGCCACTAGAGGGCATCTGGGGAGGGATCAGTTCAGTCGGGCTCCATCCGACGCTTGCATGCCTTTGTCCTGCCCCCCCCTCTCCTTCCACAGCCTCGTCTAATGGTGGGTTACAAGGGGTTGATGGGCGGTTACAGAAGAGCCAGAGTAATCCGTACGTCGCCGACCACTCAACCAGCCTGTCAAGTAAAACATGATTTAGTCAGGTATGCACATTCCGGAACTGCACGACACGACTGAGTTGAACCGACGCTTGCATAGGTACGTATTGAGTTGACCGCGGTAGGGAAAAACGCAGTCGATGACGGGGAATTCATCCAGTATAGAATGCTGGTTTCCAAGAGATACATCAATTTATTCACAAGTTTCCATAGACTTTTTAAGTACTACACTATTTTCAGCAAAATCAGCCTTCAAATACAGCAAACGAATCCACCCAAATACAACGACGATGGTAGAGTAAATTCTATATTAAATTTAAAATGACTAGATGTATAAACATCATTTTGGTATACTTTCGCAATTAACACATTAGAAGCGCTTCTTCAACAAAAATAGCAGCAGGGCCTGGCTACGGTGTATCTAGTCATTGGGCGAGGAGGTAAGTAGGTAGCTACCAAGGTTGTCCCCTTACCTTGCCACAGCCAGTGTGCTGTATTTAGTATTAAAAGAAATTGTCATGCTTGCAGGGTGGCGCCTCCACGGACACTCCGTAGCCTGATCCAATATCGATTTACCCCGTCCCCCTCTTTGTCCCATATGCTAGCTTCATTTCTTGCACTTCGTTTTGTCTAAGCACTGTGGCCAGTTCGAAGTTGCAGACTTTATATTGACCAACATGGATCCCGAGGACTCCTTAGACCTGTGGAGGACTGTGGTAGGCCACTTGGCTAAAGAGCGAACCGGTAAGACGGCGTCGCCGCCGTCGCTGAGGGCGCAGCGGTATTCCGCCTGGATGCGCAGCCACGCATATCTGCTGCATGAAGCTTTGGAAGAGGATGGCCTGACTTCCTCGGAAGACATAGACAAAGGACTCGGTGCGCTGGAAAATGTCTTTCAACACGATTCTGACGACGACTCAGACCCTGTAAGTCTTTATTTTGCAAAGTGGCTGTCCTTTTTTTCTCTCCTCGTTCGCGCACGGCCAGCCGACTGATGTGTCACTCGACTGCAGATTCTACGCAACGCCGTGCCCTTCCCGAAACTGCAAAGGATCCGTAATATGATCAAGCAGCCGAACCGCGAAAACCAATCCGATGTTAGCTCGACGATTCGCATCAGCAAACGTCCGCGAGAGAATGAGGCTGTTATCCAAGAGTTTTCACGCTTGGAAAAAAATGCAAAACGACGCCGAGATATGACTCGTGAAGAGCCGACCGCCGTTGATGATATAGAAGAGCCTGAAGTGGATTGTGCCATTCTACTGAGACGATATTCCGAATCGTTACATCAGGGATTGCGAACACAATGGGCTTGTGTCTGTCAAAAGTGCTCCGGCCTCAGCGTCGGGCTTGCGTTACCTCCTCGGAAAACAAGCTGTGGAGAAGGAACCAGCTTCAAGATGTTCTTTTGCGTACGTTCTTTCTCTGAGAACGCATTGAAAGAGGCCAAGATAACAGTCAAGTAAGTTCCCGAGACTCACTGACGAAGAGGAATCGGCTGACGAAGTGGTCATCATACATCAGAGCCGTTCAGGGTAAGACGGGCAAGAGCACCTCTGAATTCGCAAACATCTGCAAGTCCATAACGGAGTCGCTCTCCCAGAGCAACTGCTTGCATCTCCTTTACGACGGGAACAGGTTCGAGACACTCCGCCCGGAGCCAAGGAGCTTTGGCGGCTACCAAATACCACAGGCAGTGTCCCTGTCGGTCTTCTTTCAGCGCCAGCAAGAGCTAAGAGGCGGGTCATCGGTTCTACCACTTCAAGCGAAACGAATATTGGCACTCATTCTCGCCAAGGCCTTGCTGCCATTCTTAGAGACTCCGTGGGTGCAGCCCTCGTTCAGTCATTCCAACATTCTATTTTTCCAGCCGCTGCAGTACGGAGAGTTGCCGAGCATTACGAAACCGTTTCTCAACATGGAGCACGTTGCACTCATCTCAGGCAACGCAGTAGGCGATAGCGGCGCGCCCGCTGACCCATCCATTTCCAGACACATGGTACATCCCAATGCCAGTGTGTTGGCGCTAGGGATTCTCCTGTGTGAGCTTCACTACTGTACGCCGGTGGGCCTATTGAAAAATAACGGAATGGGAATGGGAACCGAAGACGTGAATGCTAGCTATTACGCCAGCATTGAAATCTTGAAAAACTTGGAAGATGACGCTGGTGTAGATTACTACCTCGCAACTAAAGCCTGCCTGCAGTGGGAATATTTTCCTGCAGGAGAACAGACAAGTTTTGAGTCTATTAGCGTCCAAAAGCTGTTCTATCAGAACGTCATTAAGCGACTCGAATCCGTACTTTTCAAGTTATGGCCTCTCAAGTCTCAAGACCTGAGTTGTCTTGATGCTTACGAAAATCAAAAGTGCTGGGGCGAGATTGGGCGAGACGTTCTCCGCCAACAAACTAGCAATTTCGGGTCTTCTGCCAAAAGCGACCAAGACAAGGCAGCTTCTTCACCTCCGATGTCCCTGCACTTTACTCCCCCGAACCCGGTTGTGCAAATGCCGGCTCAGTACCCTAGCTCCATCCCAACTACTACACCAATTGCGAGGTCTTCTACCGAGCGCTTGTATCTATTTGATGCAAGCCATCAGAAGAGCTCCGACGACGAGTAAGCTACTGTATGCGTTTTGTTCTCCATGACTTTGCTAAACCTTTTCAGTGCCGACCTCGCTGACAGGTGGATGGATGATCTCATCTCCTCGCTCCATCCCCATGTTGATGCGTTTGATGCTGCTGCACGCCCCCTCGATACATCTACCAAGAATGCTTCAGATGCGCCCAAACCAGTGAAAATAGCGATCCTAGATTCCGGGTTCGACCCTCAGAACCCTCTCTTACGCGCTGATGGGCATCAGCTCGACCCACGAATCAAGGACGCCCGAAACTTCGTTCAGGGCAGAGGACCCTTCGACTATCAAGATGAAATTGGACATGGCAGTCATACCCTCGGAACTATGCTCAAAATCGCCACATGTGCTGAGATTTATGTTGCAAAGATTGCCAGTAGCGAGGTTCTCGGCCGCGAAAGCTACGATGCCATCACACAGGCAGGGTCTCACCACTCCGGAGCAGTCCGCGCGATACATGCTAATGATGGGAATAGGCCATTCATCACGCAGTCAAAGAGTGGGACGTGGACATTATTTCGATGTCATTCGGCATTCGGGAATACAACGGACCCATGACTGAAGCAGTGGGCCTTGCCCTACACAGTCAGAAACTGATGTTTGCTGCGGCTTCCAACGACGGCGCAAATTTTGGACGAGCTTTTCCAGCGAAATACACGGGCGTCTTTTGTATACATTCGACTGATGGAAATGGAAACCCGTCTTCCTTCAATCCTACAGCAGATGACAAGGATGTCAACTTCAGCTTACTCGGTGAGCATGTCCGTTCTCATTGGCCAGCCGGAAAGGGTGGTCACAACGACAGTGTCAGAGTTCTGTCAGGAACTTCAGTAGCAACCCCCATCGCCGCTGGACTTGCAGCTATGATTTTGTCATTTGTCCGACAACAAGACAATGGCTTGAATGCAGACAGCGACAAGCTGGGGCCTTGGTTGAAGGACTCCCATGCCATGGATGCGGTTCTCCAGAGCATGGTCCGGCAGAGGAGAGGAGTAGGCTACGACTATATCACGCCTCACATACTTATGGATGCGCAGTCATCTAGGGAGAGCATCTACAACAAGATCAAGGAGTTGAAAAAACACATGTATCGCTAGATAGTTTTGATTCGTCAAGTTTCGGCCTCAAGAACTCTGGCCAGTTCTCAGAAAATAGTAGCCGTGGCTAAGCCGGGACACAGTAAACCGGAGCATTCTCGGTCGCATCGGAAACAAAATCTGCATTTTCGAGAGTAGATCCATCTACATCGTCCGCCACTATCGGCTCCAGATGATTATACTTGCTCTCGTCTCCATTCGCCAGGAAAGCACCTTTGCGGTAGTCTTCGGTACGGATGTTCCGCCCAACCCTAATCCTCTTGACACGGAAGGCAAAGATGAATTCAGACTCGCGACTAAACTCTGTCTCGTCATCATTTGTACTCGACCAGCGGCCTTTTGGCCCAGCAGTGAAGCCAAGTGGAGGCACGTCCACACCTAGGTTCGCCGTGACAGCGGTACTGCCCGACGACGAGTGGTGGATTCTGGCGCCCTTGACGAGCTTCATTCCCGTCACGAGAAAAATCGTCACGACGGGGGAAATTCTCTGCCTGGGCTCCCGCAGCCAGGCCTGCACAGTCGGTGTCTTGACGGCTTCCTCCACGTACAGTGGCGTCGGCTCAAAGGATAGAGTAGTCATGGTGTCAAAGGCGAAGACATTGGCCATGTGGCGGGACCATTCAACTTCGACTTGAGGACCAATGCCTGACACGCCCACAGCCAGCTGCAGAAACTGCGCATACACCCCCAAGCCGAGTCCCGTCCTCGTCGACACCGTCTTCCGCCAGTCTGTTTCCACCTGGGGCGGGGTCGGATTCGCCACTGGAACGACGCTGGCGACGTTGAGGGGAAGCTGCGGCGCAGATGTCGAGCGAAGTATAGAGCCGAGGCGCAGCGGACCCGTCGGTGGCGGGTAGATGAAATCATCTGTCGGGCAGAGGAAATAAGTTTTGGTAAAAGACATGGCCTGTAGCTTTGAATTGGAACCGAATCGCGGTCAGGGCCCGTTTGGGACTTGTATGTCGGAGTCGGGTGCTTTGAAACAGACACAAGTTAGTTATTTGGGGGACAGTAAAGTGCAAAAAGTACAATACTCTCCTCTCCCACTGCGCTGTCAGGTGTGGGGGACGGTTGGGCTGCCAGGTTGGTACCTTTGCGCTGGGCTGGTTAATATGAGCCTCGCACTGGGCCAAGGAGGAAGAAGAGGGGGCCTCCGCTTCTCTCGGACGAGTCCTTCTCCCAACTCGCGTTCTCAGCTCGACACAAGGTGATTTCCTCCAGAGCTTGGACTCGCTCGACGCTCTATTCACAGCTACACGAGACTTTCACAAATATACGAAAATAAGCACCGCAGGTCGTGCCTTCTTGACACCGTTGTATACCGGCCATTACTGCATTTCTGGGTTTACAAAGTTGCTGGCTGCCATGGACCTGAATCCCGCCGACGACGTCTTTCTCCAAGACGACGCAGGATTGACCATAGCCCAGCACGCACTGCGATGCAACCAAGCATTCCAGGCATGTATGGCCGCTCCGCAAATCACATACGATCCGACCATCATGGAGGATCAAATGGCACGCTTCACTCTATGGGCGGCCAACATGGATGTTTTTGGGCCGCCTAACGTCTCGTTTGACTACCGGCTTAGATATAGCCCCGTGGTAGTAGAGATTCTACACCAGCTCTTGGACGTTATTCTTAATACCCTGGTGTTTTGTAAGTTGCTTCACAGGCCCGAAAGGCTAAGGTTTACGTACCTATCTAATTGTCATCGACGTGTCAGTGAAGCCAATCGACAAGTCAGCGGAAACACCGACCACAAAGCGGCGGCGCACTTCAGAATCGGGCCGTGCGGAAGTCACTAAAATATTTCATTATTCAAGCGAGACCGACAGTGAAGGAGATCAAGGTGAAAGCCGTGTTTCCTTAATTACTTACACAATTGGTGGCACAGTCTCGCAGCTCTTCCTCTTGTCCAACGCAGTGCGGCGGTCCGCCAAGATTGCACGGGCGGATAAGATAGCGGGATATAAAGCCGACGAAAAGACAAATAACGCGATCGAAGAGTTACGTCTCTACACAGCGTGCTACATTCGTTTCCGATTCCCTCACGCGCCAGAGGCCCTCTGCTCTGTGTTGGTGGAGGCGAATGCGCTGAGACTTCGACGGCTGTGTTATCAGAGGGCACATCGCAAGCGTGTCGCTTTGAGCGCCCAGCGTCCACCGCCGGCGGCTGTGGTAAAAGTTCAGCTACCGAAGGCAGTGCCTCGCGTGCCGGCCGTGCATTTTGCTTCCCGCACGCCACCGAAGCTAGGAGCCTTTCACGGAAAGCCGACACCGCCTTCTGTTCCCCCAGCACCTACAACCCATGCGACAACGGCACAGCAGACCGCCGTCCGTGCATTTTACAACGGAACCAAGACAGAGGCTCCTCGCGCCAAGTCTGTCGCAGTGAACAGTAAGTTGTCTCTACCTGCCGCGCCAAAGACAAGTGAGTGTCCGTACTGCGGCGTGATTCTTGAATTAGACGAAGCTGTGAAGTCCCAACTCTGGAGGCAAGTACCGTTTTACCATTTAGCTCTTTAAGAAACAGAAGCTTATCGGCCTCAGCAATCACCTTCTTCGAGATTTGGAGCCTTTTGTCTGTGTTATCGGTCATTGTACTGATTCAGGCGGCCTGAAGGAAGGCTCACTGACATTTGACACTTCCAGGGCTTGGTTGAGCCATATGGAAAATGCCCACGGGCATGTATGGGAGTGTCGAGCTCCATCTCATCAACCCATCATCTTTCAACAGGAGGCCGAGTTTCAGGAGCACTCCCGTACAGAGCATGATGTACCTGAGGCGTATGCGGGGACCTTGAGCGGCGCAGCCCGAAGGCCAGGCTTGCAGAAAATCACCGAATGCCCCTTCGGCGACGAATTTGCAGCTCCTGAGAATATCGAGTCCAGTACCGTCTTCTCAAGCGAAGCTCTACAGTTACACATTGCTACCCATTTAAAAGAGATTTCTTTGCTCGCATTGCAGAAACTGCCTTGCGACGACGATGCCGACAATTCAGAATGCATGGCTAGCGACCTGCTGTCAGAGGTTGAAGGGGTTGCAAAGCTGCGGGATTCCATGTACAGTGTACTGGATGACCAAGACTTTGACTTTGTGCATGAAACGGACGACCAAGAGACCAAGTCTTCAGAACGTGCTATTGCATCGTCTGTGCAAGCCCTCGATTTGGAGGACAGGGATGAGACTGGAATGACACGGCTTCATCAAGCGGTGTGCGAAAGAAATTCTTCCCTGATCAAGTCACTGATAGACCATGGTGCCAACTCGCGCAGTAGAGCTCACGGCGGGAAGACAGCATTGCATATTGCATCCGAGCAAGGGTATGTGGAAGGGCTGAAATTGTTGCTAGACTGTGAGACCAGAGACATTACCAGTTTGAAAGACAGTTTTGGCCAAACTCCCTTGCATTATGCTGCGAAGAGAGGTTTCATTGAAGGAATAGCAATCTTGGTCGACCATGGTGCTTTTGTTGATACCCCGGACGAATATGGGCTCTCGCCATACCTCTGGGCTGTCATGGCGGGCCAAGCCAGCACAATGGAGGCTTTCATGTCTCTTGGCGTTGACGCAAACTCCCTCGGTACAGATGGAACATCTGCATTGGCTTGGGCGGCCCGCCTCGGCCATTTATCTATTGTTCAATTGCTGCTGGACCAGCCATCGAATTTAGGCCTTTGGACGCAAACCCCGCAGTCGATGACATTGGAAGAAGCGTCAGCGCGTGGTGATGTTCCCATGGCTCGACTTCTACTTGACCACGGTGCGGATACAAATCGTCGTGACCGTGACGGATGGCTAGCTGTACACCGAGCGGCTGAGGAGGGCCATCAGGACATGTGCGGGTTTTTGTTCGACGTCGGCACTCATATTGATACGACTAGCTTCTACGGCACCGGACTGCTCCATTGCGCTGCGAATGGAGGAAAACTTGGCACAGTAGAGGCGGTTCTCGATTGGCTCAAGCACCGCCCCCAGTCAACAGATCCTGGTGCATTATTAACATGTCATGGCTGGACTCCACTTCATCATGCCGCCTTCATGGGACATGTGGATGTGGTACGTTTACTTCTGGCCATAGACATGGGGCGGGATCGAACAGACCATTTTTACAAGGACAACCATGGCTGGTCGGTGCTCCATCTAGCAGTTTATGGAAGGCATTTGGATACTGTCAAGGTCTTGCTCGAGGACCCCTTCGTGTCAAATATCCGCCTCCAATGCGACGAGAGTGGCTTCACCGCAGAAGACTGGTTGGATTTCGAGATCGATGGCCATTCATATAAGACAATCGGCGATTTGGCTTTCCGAAAATCACGCTGTTGTAGAGCAGTTACCGAACTACGGCAGGCTGCTCAAAGCGGCAACGTTGCTTTGGCTGGATTTCTTCTGCAACGGGGGGACGACGTCAATGGCACAAATTCTAGCAGACGGACTGCGCTATATTACGCAGCAAAGAACGGCCACACGGCCATGCTGGACCTCCTGCTGGAAAATGGTGCCAATCCCAACATGCTTCCCATTGGACGCAGGGCCTGGGAGGGGTTTATTTCGGACGACGCAGTATTACAGCGACTTCAACGATTCGGGTATGAGAAGCCACCACCCAGCGAAGAAATTGATGAACAAATAAGACTCGCTCTCAGACAGCAAGGACATTCGAGCTTCTTCCGCTCGTTGGGGGAGCGTGAGATCCCACAAGAGTCCCCTCAGGAAAGCAGCCCTTTGAAGCTTGAAGTCAGTCAGGAGAGCGAAAAAGAAGAGGAAACAACCAGATCAGACGAAACGAATCGCACAGCAGGCTTGAATAAGTTGTGGAAAACGCTGAGAGGGCGATAGATAATGTGGTGTTTTAAATGATAGCCATGTTGTCAGATTGGTTATTCTTGTTATTCTGATTATTATCATTAACACTTATCTCAACCCTCTTGTTCCCTACTACTGCTACAATCCCACTTATTTTCACTGACAATTGTAGCGGGGAGCACGCTTTGAATAACGAGCCTTTACCGGCGCCCTAGCCTGCGCTGTGGGTAGCGCTCCGGCGAGTGCCCTAGCCAGCATGCGTGTCCATTTGAAGCTATCGCCAGCTGGCTCTCCAGCAGGTTCTCTAGCAGCCTCTCTGGCGGACTAGTAGAATATAGTGGTGATAGCCTTAAAAGCGTGGATTTAGTAGGCAATAGGGGCTTATCATCCAGGACAAGCATTGAATTTTGTGACTTACTATAGGGACGCCAGCATCGTGTCGCGAAGCCACAACTAGCCACAAACGGCTCAGCAACTAGTAAAACGAGCTCGTCACCTAGATAGGCTTTTGATATTTTGATAAACTGTTTGCGGGTGATGAAATTGCAGCGAGCGCAGTGAAGCTTGTCTCGCTGATATGGACCGTTGAAGGGCTGGGCTGAACAGTGAGCTTTGGGGCGACACAACAGTAACGCTGGGTATTGGGGCGTGACATTTATTTTACAGCAAAGTGCCTACCAAGCGGAGAGTCCTACCCTAGCGTATAATACAGTGATAGCAACCGCTTCAAATACAGACTGCCTGCTATTGGTGGTGTCGTGGTTTATCATCGTCCAAAAACGGAGGCCTGAGACTCTAGAAACTGAGCCAGAGGCTTCATCCGCCTGAGTTTAAACGACTACAAGAAAGAGCTTGACGAGAAGCAGTGTATTATAGTGCCTATGGCCGTATGTGACAGCAGGTGAGCAGAGTCGATACATGAGGGCGCCGTAGAGTCTCCCGCTGCGACAGGCTCCGGCCGTTGTGGTTGAAGAGTTTCATAGGTGTAGGACGCATCTTGGTAGGGAATCTTACTGGTAATTGCTGACAGTACTTACAGGGAAATACTAAAAAGCAGAGAGCTGTGATACAAGCAGGGACTGAGTTGGCTGCTGGCGCTTGCCTGATGAGGGCACCCCCGGGATGTCTTGACGCAAATGTCGATGGAGACAGGCTCTTTGTGGCAAGGCTGGCAAAGCAAAGGATCTGGAGAAAGGAACAGATCCCGGAGGATCAGCGAATTTAGAAGCGAACACGTAGCAGGGAAAAACGTGTTTCTGCCTTCCCTTACCCTTTTCTGGTAGAAGAAAAAATTGACCCCATCCGACCACCCGCAACTGAGCCCCGAGAACCCGCGGGCAATCTCGACCCTCGTCAATTGTGTGGATTTCAGCATCACTATCAGCATGCAATATGCTATTTGCCCCAGACGTGCCACCGAAAGATGATGCTGCATATATTGGCGACCCCGCGCAGATCGGCTGTTGCCGTATCGAGGTAGAGCCCGCCTGTCTTGGATCCTCCTGTACGTCGTTGCAGGATCTAGATGCATCCGACACTGAGCAGACGAAGTTCAAGTGTAATAAATGCACCTGTCTATTGAATACGATGTTACACTGCGCAGAATTTCGCTCCTGACCCCAGAATCGCTGCAACCTGGCTTCCCTCGCACCACGTCAGAAAGTCCCCGAGCCTGACAACAACCACCAGTCCGCACCTATATAAAGCGCCGGATAGCATGATCAGAAACAGATGTCCATTACAGAAATCACTTGTCGTTCACAGAGCAATTCCAAGTAGCATCACATTCTTCACAATGCAGCTTCTCACCCTCCTCGCGCTCACCACCGCCGCCTCCGCCGTGCTGATCAACACCAGGTGCGGCAACAACTACGGCCAGGAGCTCTGCGCCGACGGCGGCGCGAGCGACCAGTACCACTACGTCGCCGTCTGCAACGACCAGCATGTCTGGGCCGTCCGCCAGACCTGCGGACACCGCTTCTGCTGCAAGGACAAGGCCGGCGGCGGCGCCTACTGCGCCTGCTGAGAGGGGAGATCTCCCAGGCGTGGTCCATGGAGACGGATTAGTGGTAAGCAAGCCTAACCGGACGTGAAGAAGTGGATTGACAGATGGTCGAGCAGGAGGTGCCGTGACGGATGCTCGGAACGGAAAATATCAGCAGAGAGTTGGGTGGCCTCAGTTATGAGCAGGAGCTATGAGGAATTGAATGCTAGGAGGGAGCGACAGGTTTGGGAGTATTAGTGCAGTGACTTGGAACAAGATCGCGTTGTGTAAGCATCGGGCACCAATTACATATTATTCATTCAAGCCGAAATGCTCTATTGATGTAAAATCACACCGTTTTCCTACCCATATACTAATGTAAATGCGTCTAAAAACGAGGTATATATGTATATAGATACATATATAGGTAGAGTTGAGATGATTAGGCCTCTCGGTCCAGCGATTGTCCGAGGACCATTTCGTAATACACACCCATTTGCGTGATAAGCTCCTCATGCGTTCCCCGCTCAATAATCTGCCCCTTACCAAAGACCACAATGGTGTCTGCATCGCGGATGGTGCTAAGCCGGTGCGCCACTGCAATCGTCGTACGGCCTGCGGCGGCCCGGTCAAGCGCCTCCTTCACCACCTTTTCAGACTCTGTGTCTAGGGCCGATGTGGCCTCATCAAGGAGGAGCAGTCGCGGTTTGCGAATCAGCGCGCGCGCGATGGCGATGCGCTGTCTCTGGCCGCCCGAGAGTGACAAGCCTTGGCTGCCACAGGTGGTGTTGAGGCCGTCAGGCAGTGACGAAACAAAGTCCCAGACGTTGGCCTGTTGGCAGGCGGAAATGATATCGGCTTCTGACGGCTCGCCGTACTCAATGCCGAGTGAAATGTTGTCGCGTATAGAGCCCTGGTAAAGCACAGGCTCTTGCTGCACGAGCGCAATGTCGCGGCGGTACTGCGACCGGTCATACTGCTTGGCATCAAGACCATCGACACGTAGCTCGCCGGACGTTGGATCATAGAAGCGCTGCAAGAGCGCAATCATAGTCGACTTACCACAGCCCGAGGCGCCGACAAAAGCCATCATGCTGCCGGGCTGGATGCCGATGTCGATGCCACGGAGAACCTTGAGCTTGGGACGCAGCGGATACGCAAATTGAATATCGTCGCAAACAACATCCTTGCCCTTCACGGGTTCATTCGATTTTTCAGCATCGGTGAGGCTAGATCTGCCGTCGCTGTCGTTTAGGATGCGCGTGCGGCGTAGGCGTAGGATATAGTTGATGGCGGTGCCAGCCTTGGTGATGCTTGTGGTGTACTGGAAGAAGAGCGCAGCTGCTTCGCCAGAGAAGATTATGGCGATGAAGATGACGTAGAACTGGGATGTGGTGTACTCGCCAGTGGAGACGAGCTGGCCGCCATACCAAAAGCCAAGGCACATGACCAACAGGGAAACGGACTGGCTGAGGGAGTAAAAGAACATTTTCCAGCCAAGGCCGGCAATGGCATCCCTTGCAATGTTCTGCAGAGAGTCATGGTACCGGGAGATGATGGCTTGCTCGAGGGCGAGCGAGGACACGGTGCGGATGCCCATGACGGCTTCGGAGGCGAGACCACTGCTATCAGAAAATCGATCGGCAGTGTCAATTTCAAACTTGAATTCGAGTCGGATACGGATGTAGCCTGACGCTACGAGGACAGGGAGTCCACCCAAGGCCAGTACGAGACTGAGCTTCCATCCGTAGCAGAGGGCTAGGATAACGCTGGAGATGATGTTGACGACTGTGATGAGAATCAAAACACAATTGACCGAAAGGAGCTCCTGCAAACTGGTAGGTTCGGAAGCCACACGAGACACGAGAGCGCCGGTATTGTTTTCGGCCTTGTCGAAGAAGGTCATGTCCTGGCGAAGAGTGTTGTCAAATAGCTCAGCTCGGTAGAATTTCATGATGTACTGTCCAATGCCGTTGATAAGCCAGCCGGAAATGGCGTAGAGTACAAGATTCCCAAGCGCAACGACAAAGAACATCAGAGCGTAGAAATTGGCTTTGGGCACATTGATGGTGGTGAAGGCATCCATGGTCTGCGCGAACAGCACGGCAATCGCTGGATAAGTGCCACCACCAGCAATACCGCAAAGCCAAATAACGAAGAGAGACCACCATAGGCTGGGCTGCTCTTTGATGATAATCCACAAACCCCTAAATAACCCGTAGGTTTGCTCCTTGTCGGCCTGCTCTTGAACGCTCTGCGCACCAGCTGATGCACGAGAGGCAGCGAGCGCGAGGACCTCCTCGGGTTTCTGTTCTTCTCCATTTTCATCGCTGTCTGCTGATCCGTCGCTGTTGCCAAGATCCTGGGCGCGTACCAAAGCAGCATACTTGCCGTTCATCTTAATCAGCTCAGAGTGCGTGCCGGTTTCAAGCACCTGGCCCTTGGATATGACAATGATCTGATCAGCGGTGCGGATCGTGGAGAGACGATGGGCAATGGCAATCATGGTCCGACCCTTGGCTACATTGTTCAGTGCAGTCTGTACAATCTTTTCCGCGTTCGGGTCCAAGGCACTTGTGGCTTCGTCGAGGAGAAGAATCTTGGGGTTGGAAATAATACTACGCGCAATGACGATTCTCTGCTTCTGGCCACCGGATAGAGACGCACCCCGCTCGCCAATCTTGGTGTCGTAGCCATTGGGCAGCTCGGAGATGAAGTCGTGGGCATACGAAGATTCGCAAGCTTCCTGAACGAGACGACGCTTTTCTTCCTCAGGCAGGTCAATCATGGCGGTACCAGATAAGCCATCAACGACATTTTGGTAGATGCTGCCGGTAAACAAAGTGGGCTCCTGTTGGACGAGGCGCATGCTGGTGCGTAGCCATTGGAGGTTGAGATCTGTTAGATTATAACCATCGAGTGTGATTTTGCCTGCCGAGCTGGAATACCATCGTTCAAGTAAGCCAAACAGTGTACTCTTTCCAGAGCCGCTGGCACCGACAAAAGCGGTGGTCTTGTTGGCGGGGATCTCAATGCTAAAGTCCTTAAGGATTGGCACGTCTGGGCGAGAGGGGTACGCAAAGTCAATGTTGGAGACTTTGATGCTTCCCTGAAAATCGGGAATGGTTTTGCCGGCAGTAGAAAGGGAGTCAACGGCGGATTTGCGGTCAATAACTGCAAACATGTCGTGAGCGGCGGCGGCGGCCTTGGATATGGCCACAGTTTGCGGGGCAATCTGGGTTAGTGCCTGGGCAGCGACGAGCACAGCGAAGATGACACTTAAAAGTCAGCATTGATTGAAAATGTTTGAAGAATTCAACAGACGCGAAGAGGGTTCGGGAAATAAAAAAGAGAAGAAAAAAAAGAAAAGAGCGCCGCACAAGTAGAGGAGACTCACGTTACGACTGTACCTGGCTGGGCAATCTCGCCGCTGGCGAACATGCGCATGCCCTGCCAAAACGCAAGGCCATAGCCAGCAAAAATGCAGAAAAATTCGAATGGGAAGAGGATGGCATATATTAGTGACTTTTTGTTGCCAACGACGCGGGCCTCCTCCAGAATGTTGCTGAAGCGGCTGGAGAGTTTGGGGAAGGCCCAGAAGGCGTGGGCGGTGCGGATGGTCGCAAAGGCCTCCTCGGCAATGGTGCCTGACTTGCTGTAAATATCAAACATTTTGTACTCGTAAATCATGTCAAACATGACGCAGACCACGGTGACAATGATGTTGACGGGGACGATGGAGATGACGATGAGGGTCAGCTTCCACTGGACGATAAAGGCTACGATAAAGGCAGAGACAAAGGTTGACATGGCCTGGATAGTGATACCGAGCTTCTCAGCGATGCCGTTGGTAATGAGATTGCCGTTTGTGGTGATCTGACTTGAGATGGAACTGGATGGCGCATCGAAGAAAGGAATTTCCTGGCGGAGTGTCTGGCGGACAAAGTCGACGCGCATCTTTTTCACGACGCGGATGGAGGTGATGGACACGGCGACCTGAGAGGCGGGCAAGTTAGCGGCACGATCCCTGAGAGGGCTGGCCATGACTCACCGTCCAGATGTATGTGAGTATAAACTTTCCGATGAAGAGGTAAATAAAGTAGAGACTGTCGGGGTCAGCTGTGGTTCAAGCGTAAGTGCGGGCGACATACGCATAATGGGCAACCTGCTTGCGGTAGCCAGCGGGCGACAGGGTGCCCGCGACAAAGTCGTTGAATACATTAACGTAGGAGCCAAAAACGACGTCCATCAAGGGAAGAGCGGTACCCGAAGCAATCATGCATAAACAGGCGACCGCGTTGATGATCCAACCTTTGGCGTCGTTGTACTTGAAGACGCGCTGTGTCAGGTCAGTGGGAGGGAGCTGTCGTGCAAGGGAGCTAAGATCTTGTCATACCATGTAGTACTTGAAAGATCCATCGTCTTCTTTCCCATTTGTTTTTCCCTTTTCCTTGTCGTCTATTTTTTTCTGCGCCGGCGATTTGGTAGTAGAGACGGCCGATGCGACAGGTATCGAAGCCGCCGAAGGCGATCGCTCCTTTTGCTCCATCATGGTGGAAGGCGGGCGGGTCCCGGGGGTTTATTCGGTGAAGTTGGTGACTACTGAGGTTTAACGACGTCGACAACGAGGACGGTAGTTTTAATCAGATGGCATGGGAATAAATCTCCGAAGAGCGAGCACCGCCTCGACTAGAGTAAGCCGGTCGTCTTTTATTTGAGGAGATGCAGAGCACGGTAAGGCTACCCGATGCCCCAGAGGGCCGTTTGTGGATCGTCGCCTGTTTAGCTTTGCCTTCGGGTCCCTAGAGCCCGATTGCGGGCTTCGGCCGGCGAAACTAGTTAGCTATCCGTAGTCCCCAGTAGCTTGGATGTGATTTGCGTGTGCTGGAGGTCGGCTCGGCGTGGAGATGATGATGGGGGCGTTCAGCGGGCTTGTCGGCGGGAACAAATGGACCTGTGGCGTTTGGGCGAAATTCTGGTAGGGCAAGCGATGCAGGTTGCTGCAGGGGCGGATGACCGTGAGGTGCAAGTGCAGGGCCGTTGGTCGAGGGTGGAGCTTATTCGATTTCAACCGTTATAATATCGCAGTGCATATACATATGTGTGTGGTGACGGGATGCAAGTGTTGGGCATATTTGTATGTTTGGTGATGACGCAGGGAGAGGAAAGCGAAAGCGGAGGCATCACAGCGCAGCTTTAGGTGCATGCCCTTACCTGTACTGACTCGGATTATGACTATTATGCCTCGGAGCATTGCAATTGGCGATATCGCCAAGGCGCTGTAGAAGATACACATCATGAACACCACCTTCTGCTTCCATTCGCATTTAACTTTATTTCACTGTTTTTCCTGTTTAAGCTCGCCGGTAGTTGTTCCCGGTTTGACCCCCGCCAAGCGTATCATGTCATCAGTGGCCAGCCGCGTTGCCAGCCCCAGGTGCGCCACCCGCCACACCAAAACTTCTTCCACATCATTCGGCGTCCGCGGGCCCCGCGGTCCCCGGCTGCACCGTATATTGGCTTGGTGCTGCCCTCTCGCGTGCTTCTGGCTTCTGTTTCTCCCTTGAACGGCTGGCAGCAGATCCAAAAAGTCCAATTTCTGACCGTGCTTTTCTCGACGTCACATTTTTGGCTGCGCTGACACACACACACACACACACACACACGCAGCCCGGCTCGATACTGGAAGCCCTAGCCACTCCTCGTCTCAGCCACACTAGCCACAGCAAACCGCTCGCCGCCTTAGCTCTCCGCACCGCAGCTTCTCCGTGACTCGGCGCTCCCCTCGACAGGCCCTCCTGCATCTCGATATATTTTTTTTCTATTTTTAACGTCTTCGCCTCTTTTCTTTACCGTGGCTCACGAACCCTTCTAGAAAGCCCTTTTCCGCCCGTCATCACCGCTCATCTCACTCGCTACCTCACTCACACCCCTAAAACGGCTTCCTCACGCCACCCCCCCTCGATTATTATGCGTGCTGGCCTGGGCTAGTTGCAGTCGTCTCTCCGAAATCTATTTCATTCTTCTCTATCTCCTTGATTATAGCCGGCGGCTTCACGCCAACTCGTCCATCGTCAGTTATGCCGTCACCGTCACCGCCCGGCTCTTCCGTCTGAAATATACAATACAACCCACGGCCTGCAACCTACCATACATCACCCGTCTTCCCGTGTGCACTGTCTAGTGCTGCACCCTAAAAACAGGGCCCTTTGTTGCATCCGTATTCCTTTGCTGCTTCACCTGCTTGCCAATCGCGGCCTATCCAGGTTGATCACCCTCCTTTGGCCATGCAGCAAAACTCACCCGAGCAGCCGCAAGTCCTCATGGTCGGCCCCGCCTCCACCAGCGCAGCCTCTGCTGAAGATGCCTCTGGCCGTCGAGCGGTATGATTCCACCCCCAGTGTCCCCTTCCGTATTACTTTTACATCATTTTTTTATTAACACCCTTCCTTCTCTTTGTCACTTTTCTATTTAATTATACGCCCCTGTTCCCTCGTCCCCACTCACCGCCTTTGTTGCCCATTTCCCATCTCAGCCTCATCTTCATCTACACCAGGGAGTGCATCGTCATAGCTTCACTTCTAGCGTTGCCCTCTTACAAAAAGAAATTCCCCTCCGTTCTCTCAGTTGTGCAAAATACCGCACTGCAATCATCGTTGTCGATCGTAGTTCGCCCTGCTTGTCATTGGCGCAGGCTGCGGTCGTCACGGGCCTGCTGTTATTTCCCTCACCCCGCGTATAAAGGAGTCAATTTGTCACGCACAACCTTGCTAACTTGCTCGTTTTCCGCTCATAGTGCGATCAGTGCCGCCTTCGCAAGGTACGTTCCGCGCCTTTTATCCTCATACCTATCCTGTCTTCTCTGTTCTACTGCCGCTGTACCGCCTACCACCATATCGTGTCTCAGACAAGCTTCTATAAGTCGTTGCCATGATTGGTGGCTCTGCCGATTCCGGCTTTTGCAACAAGGTCGGCGCCGTTGTGTCACCTACCCTATCGTGATGCCAAGAGCATCTTGCACAAGTCTCCTCTCGTGTTTCGCTAACAGCCTGTTGCCAGATTCGATGCGACAAGGACTGGCCTTGCTCCAACTGTAGAACAGCCAAGCGACCATGTACTTCAACCGGCGCTGGCCAGCGGCCCAAGGAACCCCGTCAACGTGTCCTCATCTCCTCCCAGTAGTAAGTTGCCATTCACTGTTGAAGTAGCATGAGCTGTCCAACGCCTTCAATGTGCTGTACACGGATTCTGGCTGACTTGATCAGTGAGCGCAAGATTGACCAGATCGAGTCGCGCCTCGGGAGCATCGAGACGCTCCTCAAGAATCTTTCGACGTCCGGTGGCGGCGGCGGAGGGGTGGGTATGCCAAGCGACACGGCAGCCCGTATCATCTCAACGCCGCAGACAGGTAGCAGCGGGCCGACGTGCGAGTCAACCGCCGACTTTGACAGCAGCGAGGAAGACACGGCCTTTGGCGGTGACTCTGGGCTGACGGTCCACACGGCCTTCGCCAGCGAGTTCCTCGAGCGCGCGGTCAAACGCACCTCACTCCGTTCTGCCAACCCCAAGATGGAGGCCGCCCTCGCCAATCTCGGTCAGCTTGTCGAGATGCAACAAAGCCGCCCGGAGCACCGCCCTCGCTTCCCGCTACAGCGTGCGGTCCCGCCGGGCGGCGTCTCTAAGCTACCGCTGCCACCCATGGCGCTGGTCGTTGAGCTGTTGAAGAAGAACAAGGGTACGGATAGTCAACTACTCATCATTCGCATTTATGTGCTAACGAATGTAGCTTCGCCTGTCACTCTGTTCACTATTATGTGCGACTTGGTAGGCGTCTCAGATATTACCACGCTATGTCGAGCTGTGTACTTTCCCACCGAAGATGTTTCTGACGCGACATTTGCCGTCGTCAGCGCTCTGTTGTATAACTTGTTTCTTGAGCAGCACTCACTCTCTTCCGACCCTGACGTGAGAGAAGAGTATAACCGCCACTTCCAACTATGCCGAGCCAACCTCGAGACCACTTTAGCCAACTTACCTATGCTTCTGTCGGCCAAAATTGACAACGTCCAAGCTCTTCTCCTAGGGGTACGCATTAATAATCTCTTGCCCCCCTCTTCTCCGCAACTGCTGACCACTTACAGAGCCTCTATGCCGTCGACGTCTCTCGCCCAACCGTCGCCTGGCACTTTGCCTCGGCCGGCGCGCAGCTGTGCCTTACGGGCGGATTCCACCGGCAAGACACCTTGGCGCACGACCCGCCTGAGACGGCGCGCATCAAGCGCATTCTCTTCTGGCACATCTACACGTTAGACAAGGGCCTCGGATTGCGCCTCGGCCGCGCATCCGTCATCCACGAGTGCGATATTGACATCCCACGCGTGTTCGAGTTCGACCTACTCGATAGTGGCGGCGCCGACACCGTGCCTACCATGTGGGTCGAGATCTCGGGTCTCCAGAGCCTCATCTACGAGCAGCTCTACAGCCCAGCAGCCTTGCATTGCCCGCCGGATGAGCTGGTCCGCCGGGCGCGTGCACTTGCTGAAGAGTGCCACAAGCTCGGCGTGCGGGGGGACCAGGCGCGTAGCCAGGCTTACAGCTACATCAAGCAGATGAACATCTCTGATGTCGTCGACGTCTTTATTCGAGGAGACGAGGTGACTTATTACGTCACGCAGACGCTCATCTACCGTGTGATTCCCGCGCCGGAGCGCTCGGTAAGCAGGTTTTGTGATGAGTGTCTCGAGGCCGCGCGCAGAGCCATGAGCGCACATCAAGATTGCGCGCGGTTGATCGATTACGGCAGCTTTGTCAAGACGACCTATGTTCACTGGTATGAAAACGACCGTTTCAATTGTAACCACTTTTTTATTCAGTTGCTGACTTTAACTAGGAGCCTGCTCCTCACACCGTTCGCCCCATTCTTTGTGCTCTTCTGCTATGTCATCGAGACGTCGTCAGCCGACGACCTGAAGATCCTGAAGGAGTTCGTCGCGTCGCTGTCCCTCGCACGGGACTCGTCCGAGGCAGTAGAGAAGCTCTACCGGCTGTGCCAGGTCATGTACGATGTGCTGACGCTGTATGTCGAGGCGAAGTCGGCTCAGCAACAGCAGGAGAGTGGCGGCACGAACGGCGCCGCCCATGGCGTAGTACCCATCGGGGATGAGTTCGAAATGTACCTCAGTCAGCTTGGTCTCATGCCCATGGAGGACCAAGCCATGACCGGCGCCCATGATGGCAGCAATGGCCAGCAGGCTGTGCCCGGAGCTGGCGGCCAGGTCCCACACAACCCTCAGGTGGCACAGATCGCGGACTGGTTTGTCAATAACCGCAACATGATGGGGCTGCTGGAAGAGGATCTGTCGCATATCGAGTCGTATCGTTGGTTGGAACGCGGTGCGGCGTATCTGCAGCAACAACAGCAGCAACAGCAACAACAGCAGCAACAGCAGCAACAGCCGCACCAGCAACACGGTGGGCAGGTGGGGGCGGCCGGCAATGCAGTCCATGGACACCATCATACGGGGTCCATGTAAGCATTTCGGCCACGAAATCTCCCTATGTAATGATAATGACCTTAAGGCCTGATACCAAAAAGTTTGTTTAGTTTGGCGGTAGTTTTGCTGTTGTTCTTTTTTTGGATATGTATAATAATATCGTATCGTGCTTGACTTCATATGTATCGCCTTCTCAGTCGGTCGGGTATCTCGGATCGTATACTTCGTAGCCTTCGTCTTCGGTATCGCTCTCTTCCAGGCCCGTGCCGAGAGGTGCCTTTGTCGTCACCACCGTCTCGGGCTGCACCACGGGTGGCACTCCCGCCGTGCCCTGTTGCTGTTGCTGCTGCTGCTGCGCTGCCGGCGCCGGGCCCTCTGCGGGTGTCATCGTGCTCTTGAAGCCACTCTTCTTGAACCCGCCCTTCTTGAACCCCCCCGTCGACGGCCCCCCGCTGGCGTCGGGCATCTTGACACTGACGAGGCCGTCAGCCTTGGCCTCGGCCTTGCGCGCGCGCGCGCCGGCGCCCGGGTCGCGGACCATGGCCTTCATGTCCTTCATGCGCTGCTTGTGCGCGTGGTCGTAGCTGCCGAGGTGCGCCTCGTAGTCGTTCATGCGGGCATAGCCCTTGGCGCAGAGGGCGCAGTAGAAGGACTTTTGGGCCTCGCGGGCGGACGACGTGGCGGCCGGGGGGAGTGTTTGGTGACGCTGGGCAGGAGTGTCAGGGGTGAGTTGAGGCTGGAATGGGGGAATAGGGAACGTACCGGAGGCATGGCTGCGGAGTTGTGCGCCTAGCGAATATGGTGTGTTGGGTGACTTGCGAGGGCTGAGAAAGGTTAAATTGAGCTTGGAGAGACGCGGAAGCGCGATGGCGCGGCTCGGTTTGGGACAGGTTGTACGGCGGGGCTGTTTCAGTTAGCCCACCCACTGACAGGGCAAGAATTACTGCTGACGCTAGCGTGCCGGTCCCCTGTAACTTTTTGGTTAGCACGCACCTTCTCCCCACAATCAAGATGTTGAGACGCCAGCTGGACGACAAAGGGATGAGGACAGCTCTCGCCAACTACCCCCACCGATTCTACTGTTGACTCTGAACACTATATCGGCTCTTTAGTGCCTCCCGGAGCTCTAGACAGTTTGCATCGAGCACAACAGCACCCAGACCTTCGCCATGGAAGGCACAAGGCAGCCTCTCAACCACCGCGCGTCGCAGCAGACGATTATCTCGCTGCTCGAGCTCGACCCGGCCCCGATCGAGCCGCCCACTGTCTACGACGAGAAGCAACTACACAACGCGGCTGACACGGATGACTCGGACACGATCATGGCGGCGTCGGCCGATTCGTCCCTCACGAGCACCTGGACCACGACCGCCGCGCCGGGCCTCAGCACCCACGGCGGCCACGGCGCAATCTTCTACCGTACGTCCCTCTACATTCACGCAGATCCTCGATTCCAAGTACTCATTGAACATAGTCTCGCGCATACAACGCTACTCAACCTACGCCATGTCCGTCTTCACCACGCTACACCTGGCCAACGTCTCCTTCATCCCCGCTGTCCAGCGCTCCGTCGCCTCCTCCGAGACGTACCTCCTCATGACACGTGAGATCTACCAGACGTCCCTCACCGAGCCTCTCCTCGTTGCCCTCCCCGTCCTCGCGCACGTCGGTGCCGGCGTCGGCCTGCGCCTGCTGCGCCGCCGCGAGAACCTGCGCCGCTACGGCGGCGCCACGCCCGCCGCCTACACGCCGCTGCCGTACCGCTCTCCGTGGCCGCCGCTCAGCTACATCTCCGCGTCCGGCTACGTGCTGGCCGGCTTCCTGGCGGCGCACGTGCTGGTCAACCGCGCGCTGCCACTCGCCGTGGAGGGCGACAGCTCGAGCATCGGGCTCGCGTTCGTGGCGCACAGCTTCGCGAGGCACCCGGCGCTGGCGCGCGCGGCGTACGTGGGGCTGATCGCGTCCGCGGCGGGACACATGGTCTGGGGCGCGGCGAGGTGGTGCGGCCTGGCGCCGTCGACGAGCGGCTGGTGGGGGCGGAGCGGCGGCGGCGTGATGGTGACCAGGGCGACGAGGAGGAGGAGGAGGAACCGGTGGTTGTCGGTTCACGGTGTGGCGTTGCTGACAGCGGCGGCATGGGCGGTGGGCGGACTGGGGGTGGTTGCAAGGAGCGGACTGCAGGACGGGTGGGTGGGAAAGGTGTACGATGGCATGTTTGCGAGGATCGGACTGTGAAAATGGGGGATTTTGGCTTGCATTTCTGGCGTTGAAGGGGTGCATAGACGCGGGTGGCGAATCTCTTTTGTCTTGGGGGTGGCTTCCTGTGCTCAGACTGTTGACATCTACTATAGAAACTGTCGGTGTATATCAAATGTTCAGCTTTTTACTTCCAATATAGAATCTTTCTCATTGGAGGCTAGTTTCTGAGAGGTTCACCTAGTATCTCACCTAGTACTCCATTTTAACCTAAAAGACGGCTGTGAGGTTGTTCTGTAGAGGAAGAGAGTAGAGTTAGGCTGTAAGAAATGAAATGTATGTAACGTAGTAATATTTACAGTATATAAGTACAAGGAATATATGAAGGATAAGGAAGATACAGCAGACAAGGAGTACACAGCAGATAAGGAATATACGCAGGATAAGGATTATACGAGGGATTGGGAGTGTAAATGCAAGAAGTACAACGGCTATATCAGCTTTACTCATCGCTGGGCCTCCTTGAGAGCGAGGGATTCCAGACCGCCGCCGCAGTCGCACTTCTCCATTAGTGCCGTCGCCGGGCGCAATTTCGTCTACCTTATTCCTAAAGCTTTGCCAGCAATGGACCGAGGGCACAGAGATTGAAAGAAGAAAGAGAGGGACGCAGAGGTCAGTCAATCAAATAAGAGTTTCGTGGGTGGTGATCGGGTTGGTTGGCACAGCTAAGCCTTTCCACAGTTCTGCAAGTCACAGGAAGCCGACCCCATCTTCGCCACAACTAGACAGGCGAAAGACATGAATATAAGCTCTTCCTGTCCTTAAGGAATACTCTAAGTTCAACAGTCTACTTGTGTTGAGGGAGCGTGTATGGCAAAAATGTTACCGATATACTTGTCAGCGAGTATGCCACCACATGTGGCTTCCCAGCAATGCGTGGCTAATAAATCGACAGTGTAACAAGCACCGCAAGCACCGCACCGAAACCTCGACACCCATCAACTCCTCACGCCTTGTCCATGAAGAAGCGAAAAATGGCAGTCGAGATTTTTGGTTACGGAAAATTCAACCTCGAAGCAGTCTTGAAACTCGCAAGAGACATCCGCCGCTGAAAATGACATGCGACACCACCGCGGCGCCAAAAGCAGGCAGCGTGAATTGGGCCATCCTCGTCTCGTTTGACGATGGACTTGACTGGGTCTTCCGCTCCCCGCGCACTGGCTTTGACCCTTTCATGTCAAATGCGTCTGCAAGCAAGACTCCTCTTGATGAAGTGGCAACACTCGAGATTCTGAGGCAGAAAACCTCCGTCCCTGTTCCAGAAGTGTGTGCTCGTCCAGGTTCAGTGTCGTGGCCCCAGCCAACCAAAACCTGCGCTGACCTATTTGTTCGACCAGCGAATCATGGGAGAACCCCATCGGAGTGCCATACATTCTCATGAGCAAAGCTGAGGGCCGCCCGCTCTCCGAGTACGATGGGTGCCTACTTCCGCGCCGGGATACGCGGGGCGAATTCGGCTTCTACCACTATCAGATGAAGCAAGAGACAAGGTGATGAATCAGCTGGGTGGCATTGCAGCGCGTCTGTCGACCCTTCGCTTCGGCAAACTGGATCCTTATTTGAGGAGTCCAAGGGCCAGTACGTGGTTGGTGAGTATCTCTCGCCAGCACTGGTTTGGCAACATCGTGACTCTCTCAAGGACGATACGATGGATCACGGCCCCTTTGTGCACGAGAGCCAGTACTTGGAGTCTCTTATATCTGCATTGGTAGTCCATGCAAAGCAACTTCCCCTCACGCCGCACGTCTTTTTCGCGCCCATCCCAAACGACACCGAGTATCCTGCATAGTCGAGCTACGGAGCAGCTGTGGCACGCTGGAACGACTATGTCGCGATCGGCTCCAAAGTCGACAGCGATGCAAAACCGCCTCGATTTTGCATCGCTGGCCAGCTGCTACGACGGATGATTCCTCGTCTCTCCACGCCAGATGACTCCTACACGCTTTCCCATCCAGACCTCCACGGCGGTAACATTTTCGTCGATGACGACTTTAACGTTACGTGTATCATCGATGGGGTTCCGCGTCGACTGGTCCTGTCAGCGAATTGATGACCACGCCACGTATTCAGGCCAACCCTCCGGCGAAGATTGTGGGCGCGTTCCGCCAAGGTTTCAAGGCGGAGCATCTGCCACCGGCGGGCTCTTGGGAGAGAGCCGAGATGATGTGGTACTTTTCGCGTCTTGTTCGAATATTATCGAACATGATTTCCCGCTCTTTAAAGCTTTGTACACCCCTCTTGTACAATGAGTATATGGATGGCACAGACATTACCAAGCTGTTCAATGAACTGGCCACTGAGGCCAGCAACCAAGAGCTACTTGCGACGTTCCATGCTGACGATCTTTCGGCGTCTGAAGTAGAAGAAGAAGAGATCGCAATATTCGGATCAGAACCTAACTAAAACGATTGCCGCGCGGTGGTGAGAAAGCTCACTACGATAGCTCAGATGAACGAGAACTTTGTCACCGGCTCCAAACTATGGCGTTGGATTGCGGCCGCATTGGAGCCGTGAGCCTATCTATTGATATCGGAAGTGAGCGACCACGATATGGCCGAGCACGGGGTATTCAGGGATGCGCATCTATAAAAGGGTCCGGGCCGCAAAATTGACCCGAGTCAAGGCCTTCGGGGCAGGACGGGCCGCTCCCGGCGAGAATCAATCGGCTATCGGAGTGTTTTTACAGGCCCCTTTACTGGCGGTCGGGATGGTGGAGACTGGGCGGCATCTTCCGCGGAATTGCAGATAGGAATGTAAGACGAGCTTGCGGTCTGGCTTGCCTGCACTTTTCCGAGGTCCTAGAAGAAAGTGGGAGAGACAAGAAGCAGAAGAGTTCGTGTGAATGCGGCAGGTGGCCAATGTCTAAGCCAGAGCAGAAGCCGACCTCTCGGCTTCTGCTCGGTCCATGCCTGGCCGGCTGAGGCCCATCACAGAATGCCAAAAGCAAGCAGCGGTGCCGGATCGCGGCCGGTGATAGACTAATGCGTCCCTGACCAGATGCAGCAAAGTCAGGAGATTAAAGATGGGTCGACCTTGCTAGTCTGGGCGAAGCTGCGAAGCTGCAGGAGTTTCGGCTGCTTGGCAATTGGCAAAGACACACAAAAGAGTTGCGAGGAGGGTGACAGCGGCTTTGTGAATCAGTGTCTCTGGCGAAAAAGCAAAGTGAGCATCCGTCAACGGCCAGCACCGCTCGCTGCTCCTCAATTTGGGGGGACCGAGCGGGCTGTGGCGTGATGTTCCTATCGACTGAAAATTACCAGGCACTGCGTCCCGTGGCAAACTATCCTCTGCGTCTAGTGTCTCTCGGGAGGGTTTCGTCTGAACGACCGCTTGTAGTTCGCGTCGTATCGAGTCGTATTTTAGTGAAGAGACACGCGAGACATGGCGGAGATGATATTGTCGCAGCGGGGATGACTGAGAACCAGGTAGCCATGTAGCAGTTGATCTGTTCTCTGCAGGGAGGATTCTTGACAGGGCGGTGATAAGTGAAAGGAGGAGAGGGGAGGAGGGGGGGAGGGGAGGAGGTTGAGACAAGTAACGGCGTGACCGAAAATTACAGCGGCCCATGTACTAACGTAGCGGGGGTTACAGCACATCTATCGCCCGCCACAGACGAGTCATCCGCTGTATTCGCCAACCAACACCCCTGTATTGGCATTTCAAGAGGCCCTTGCCCTTTGCAGCCACTGTTTCTGCCCGGTATCGCCGCCCTCGACTGCCGCCTTGCAAGCTCCAGGCGCGGGGAACGACAGGCAGCTTCCCATCCATCCTTATTATTCTGCTTCAACCTCGCCCGCATCTGTGTTGCGACAACCACACACACTCGTCTGCAACCGCAGGCCGGCTGTGCCATCAACGCTCTCGCGATGCCCCCTTCAAAGCGACGGCTGCTGTCCGAGTCGACCGACGACGCCGAGACGGCACCTAAGCGGCAACGAGTCGCAACACGAGCACCGCCACCAGCCGCTTCCCGAGACTTCATCTCCCGCACATCCGATGAGCTCCTCGTCCGCATTCTCTCCTACATGAGCGAGCGCACCCTCCTTGACGTCTCTCTCGTATCCAAGCGCTTCCACGCCATCTCGGCCGACTCCCAGCTCTGGCGGCCGCACTACTACCGTCGCTTCATCCTGCCACGCGCGCACCGCATACCAGGCTTTACGACGACGCGAGGCTACTCCAGCGGTCCTGCGGGCGATAGTGCACCCGCGTGGCGCAAGCCTGCCTCCGCCAAGCGCTGGAGCACCATCCGCGAACAGGTCGTGGACCAGGTCGACTGGAAGAAACAGTACCGGCTGCGTCATAACTGGGCTGGCGGCCGCTGCGCTGTCGAGGAGGTCGAGGTCCACGATGTGGACAAGAAGTCGGAAGTAGTTGCACCGCCGGAATGGCAGACCCTCATCAAGGTCGTCGAGGGCATCGCCGTCACGGTGGATGCCCTGTCTGGCATCCGAGCCTGGGACCTCCGCACGAGGCAGACGATCGCACAGACACCGCTGGAATCGGACCGCCCGATGCGATCACGACCGAGTTGCTTGGCCGTTGATGACGCCCGACTCTGCAAGGGCCAAGTTGATGTGGCTGTGGGGTTCGAGGATGGCACCTCGGGCGTGTGGCGTCTCGATGCCCGTCGAAACACAATGAAGATACTCTTCCGCCAAGAAAAAGGCTTCCTGGGAAGCCTGCTCTCCATCGCCTACGGATACCCATATCTACTGACAGCCACCACACTTGGCTTTATTGCTCTGTACACATTCAACCACACTTCTGCCGACAATGTCTCGGATGCTGGCGACGAGACGGACAATGAAGCTGCACGGGCCGCAGCCACGCGATCCCCCGAGGAGGCCGATGACGAACACGTTACACTGCCGCCGCCATATCTCCTCACATCACTCAAGTCGCACAGCACGCAGGGTCCACTGTCCCTGTCTCTGCGAAAGAATGCGTCTTCTGTTGTTGCCTCCGTCGCGTACACGTTTAACACCGTCGGCGGCTGGTCCATTGGCATCCAGGACCTCGACATCCGCCCATCAGGCGCAGTCGTATCCCGCGTGGCCACGTCTCTACCTATACAGCTTGGGTCCCGCCACTCGCCTGCGGCCTCTCCCTTGCAGCCAAACCGGCACCGTTTCGATGTCGATGACGACGACGACGACAGCGGGCCCGTCAAGCTCCGATACAGCCACCCCTACCTCCTCGTTACGCTACCGGACAACACGCTAGTCCTGCATTTATGCACTGCCACGGCGACAACGCTCACGATCTCGGCAGGCGTACGTCTATGGGGTCACACGTCGGGTATTTCGGATGCGGAGATTACGCCGCGCGGCAAGGCCGTCAGTGTTAGCGCACGGGGTGACGAGATTCGCCTATGGGACCTGGAGGGCCGGTTGAGCGCTCGCAGCGTCGCCGTCAGGCCGCGCCTGCGAGGTATGGACGGCAAATCGTCAGGCGACCCGAGTCCTGCAAGCAGCGCGCCGCAGACACCACCACGCGTCGGGTTAGACGATGTGCGGCGAAACAGGGTGGGGTTTGACGATGAAGTAGTGCTGGTTCTAAAGGAGGCTACCGACGGTCGTGACAGCCTCACGCTTTACGATTTTACATGACGAATTTGCTTTGCCATTACTTGATATCTTTGGATACCCCGCATGTAATAGGACATGCAAACAAACTAATATCGGCGAAGAAATGAGAAGGAATATGAGTGGGATATTGAGTTGCTAGTACTCTCTCGAGCCGAAACGCCAGTTGAGCTGTCAGCGGCAGCAGACTGATACACAAGGACGGCGCCAAACCTCACGGGGCCTCCCGTTCCGCAACAATGCCTATTGAAGAGTCATTATTTGATCATTTGCCGTACACTTGCGATACGCACGCTCTACAAATCGAAGAAAGTCGGCATTCGCGCTCAGCGGATATTGTGTGGCGACACGCTTCATCGCGGGCAGCGCGTACTCGGGCAAGTTGTCGTACGAATAGTGCTCCCGGAAGCGGTCGAACACAGGAAAGAAGCAGCCGATGCGCATGCTCGTCCAGGTGCCTGGGCTGCAGTACAGCGACCACGCGAGGAGCGCAGCCGGGTGTGCCTTGCGCAGCGCCTGCGTGAGGATGCGGCCGTTCTGCGCGTCCTCTGTATCATCGTCTGTTTCCTCATCATCGCCGCCATCGTTGCCGTGGAAGTTGCCCCTCAAGACGAATATGACGATGAGGTTCTCGCGGAGGACGACGTCGACGTCGGGCACGCGGCGGTCGAGGAGAGGCACGTAGTTGGTGGACAGGAGCTGCAGGATGGCCTTGCGCGTGCGCTCGTCGCGGACAATGCTCTCGACGAAGAGACGTGACTGCGGGCCGGCGACGAGCGAGGCGAGGCGAGCGAGGGCCCAGTGCAGCTGGAGGACCTGGTCGGTCGGGAGGAGCACCTCGGCAGCGTCGAGGTGCGGCAGCAGACGGGTGAAATCTTCTGCTACGGCGTCGATCTGCTTGATCATCGCGGAGAAGGAGGTGGGGGGTTGCATTATCGGAGAGGCTGGGTCGCTGGTGAGCGGATGCATGGATGACTCGGACGGGAAGATGGAAGATGCGGGGATTGGCAGGGTTGACGGGTATTAACAGACCAAGGTCTTGGATATATGAGTATCCGAAAATTACATTGTGCTAAGAAGAAAAGGCAGGAAAGGTATATAAAGAAAGGCCCTTCCTGGTGTCCCCGTCATTGCGGTCATTGTGTTATTGTCGCGCAACGAAAAAGCGTAGCGCAGTGAATCATGGGGTTACAGCGTCATTTAAGATGCACTCGACAGGTCTTGGTTTCGTCGCACGGCATCACGGTAAGTATAAGAAAGGGGGAGCACGAGTGTTTGCGAGATGGCCTGGGTTACGCGGCGGCATTGCACCCGTGGCATGGTGCGCAGTGAGTTGACCGCACGCGAGGCGAACTCTCCCGTACGGCAAACGAGTGGGCGCAGAAGCAGTGAGCGCGGTCCCCCCCCCCCCTCCTCACTTGAGCCCTTCGCCTGCAACGAATTTTGCATCGTTGATGTGCGGTTGCTCTCGCGCGGCGACGCAATTTTCGCAGGACGCGTTGTCGGTGTTGGAGGCGGTGATGCGATGGGTGCTGGTCGCGGACATGGCCAACCGAGCGCCAATGTGTCGGTTTGCCATACTTGCCCGGAACATGGACGGAGATTGCGTCGGTGCTGGAGGAAGTTTGGGCCATTGTTTCTCTTGGAGGAAAGACGGACCATCTCAGTGTTGCTGGGGTTGCTTCTCTTGCGCTGTTGCAGCCCGGCCTTCAGAGAAGTGCCATGCACATCGCCAACGGGATGCAGCTACGGCTTCTGCTTTACAATGCTTGATTTTTCAAAGAATCTGAGAGCTTGTCGAACGGTAGAGGGGGTTGGAACTCTTGAGTGGCATTCACGGAAGTACCATCGACCGCTGGTCAGTTGATGAGGGCATGACTTGAAGTGCAGTCGGGCTGCGATGCACCTGCTTCGTCCCGAAACGCTTCAGGACTCTCAAGTCGCAATACGTCGGTATCAACATCTGGTAAAATCGCATAAAATCTTGCCCATCTCCAAAGATAAGCACCCAAGGTCAGGCACAGACAGCCTTAGCCCCGGCTTCCTTGTGGGTTTTCCCTGGCTGGCCGAGTCGCGCTTCACGAATCTTCGCATCAACTCATCGGCATCACCCCTACCCAAGACGCTTTAGACGACGAAGAAGAAAATTCCGTTCCCTCATCTTTCTCAAATTTTCCCCATTGCCGTAAACTTATCCGGCTAGCTACCGCTCTCTCGTTCAGACTTAGCGTCCCTCCTAAGCAGATACTTACCCGGGAGTTATCGACGTAGATTTCGAAAACGAGGTTTTTTTCCTTCCTTTACATTTTACTTTCATATTACTGTAAGCCGCGTAAGAGTTAGAATGACAGAAAAAGAACTATACATCTCTGGCGTTTGGTTGTGCGTTGTTGGCAATTAGACTGCTTTTACCATGGTTCCGCGACGTAGTTGGCGATGTTTGCATGGCCTGTTTGCGCGTGTAAGTGGAAGAGGTTTTCGAGAGCGCGCCTTACCACCCATGGCCGTCACGTCACCGTGGCCTGCACGTCCGTATGGCAGCCAATACCGAGTTGGCTTTAACAAGGGCAGTGCATTTTCTAGTTTTTCGAATTGAAACCAGGTCCTTTGCATGTGGAAGAACTAGGCGCGGCTCAACAAGCACGGAGTAGATTGCAGCGCTTGAAGCCGCTTCATCAACGGCTTGGTTTCAGGGCACGGAAAAAGAAAAAAAAAAGGGACAAGAAAGTGGTCTGTATTGAATGCAGCCCTTTTTTTTTTTTCATTTTTGCTTAAAAAAAGGTCATTGACTTGCACTATCTCGCATTGAGCCGCCGACGGATCATGATGCTCATCCACCACGGTGTTACATCCACAGAAGCAGGCGGCAGTTGTCAAACACACCCATCGCTTCGTTTCTGCCCGATGAAACGACCGCATGACACCAATGCTTTTGACGGCGCCGATCGACATCATGGATTGTCCGGGGCTGATGGTCGGTAAGAAAGCAGACAACTTGCGCTATTGAATGCTGTGGGCATCGCCCAATACAAGACCCCCGGACTACAAGGCAGATCCGGGTCAAGTCGGACACCATCCATTAGTTACATGATTGGGGCCTAACGCCAATGTACGTAGATGTCGCCCTTCCTCCATAGTATGCCCCAATCATGGCATCTTTGTATGCTCTGCATTGAAGACCGCCGCGCTCTTGGCCCAGGTTAATGTATTCCTGAGTCGCTGTACTACTCATCTTGCTCATTCGCTGCTATCCTGCTATCCTGCTATCCTGCTATCCTGCTATCCTGCTATCCTACTGCCGCTGGCTGCCCTCGGCCTTGTCTCAGATAACGACACCTTGGTGCGCCGCGCGCGCCTCGTCAGATGACCCTGCCGGCCACACGCACCCCTCTCCAGCAAGTCGCCTTCTTGATCAAGGTCGATAGATTGAGCCGCAGCAGGCAACGTGGGCGTGGGCGTGGGCGTACGCTGTGGATGGTTCAACACCAACCCGTAAGAGGGAGGCGCGACATCATCCGTCGCTGTCACGACGTTGCATTTTCACCGCAACTTCGGGGGACGGTAACTAGTAGCTATGTATGTATGTATGTTCCAGTAGGTAGGTGGCGTGTCGCTAGTCCTCTCAGCCCCAGCCCCCAGCGGTGCGGTAGCTACAGGCTCGGGTTGCCTGATTGATTGCGAACAAAGGCGATTTTCGGTATTGACCACCAATCGCTGCACTCGCTTGGCTGCTTCTTCACGGCCCGGGTTTGTCATTTCCCTTCCTGCTTTGCTTCCAGCCCCTGTGTCCGATGAACTGCTGCACTGTGCGGCGTCCCCCATGTCGTGCATTTGCGGCGCCTGGGTCTGCTGCGGACGAACCAGCCCTGTTTCTAGTTTCAAGTAAAACTAATAGTCAAGGCAACGGCCCGTTCTCTCCAAAAAGAGTTGCGGGCTTTGGCAGAGGACCAACGCTATCGCCGTGTAATCAATCACACGGCATCACCAGGCGTTTTGCTCTGGTTCGGCGGATAGACTAAAGTGACCTAAGGAATACTCTAACGTCCGCTTGATGACGGTCCTGGCACAGTCCCGATCCTTGGCGTGTACGTAGATTGCTTGCTCTGCATGTAGCCGTCAAGTCCGCGCCCCGCCTAGGCATTTCATCAAGACGTGCGTTAGCTGTACGGTGGCGAGATAGGTCGCGACTGATGCTGCACTCGGTTCAGCTAGGTTGCGAGCGCATCTTGGGGAATTTGGATCGAACAAACCAAGCAAGCACAAACACCTAATCTGTCCTCTCGCAGCGCCACCGACGTGTAGACCACACCACCGCCCGGACATGGACGCCATGTCGCGACGGCGTCAACACCACGAAGCAAGATCCTGTTTCCTTAAACATCGCCACTGGGCCGTTTCATTCATTTCTTTGCCCATGCCCAGATTCTCTCAACCAGTATCTCGATTCACCAGAATCCCTTCTTCTTCTCTCCGCGAATCGTCCACTCTGTAAACATGCCCCTTCGTAGCCGCGTTGCCACAGCGTCGCCGTCGCGGCTCCAGATCATGCTCATTACCTCTTCTGCTGTGTCGGCTACACCATCATGAAGCATCTCTACCATCTCCAGATCCCGTATCACAGTGTGCACCCAGTACCGCGACCCCTCGCCGCCTTCTGTGAACAAGTATCGGTGGCGTGCGTTGTGGCTCACGTTCTCGAGCACCTGCTGCACTGTCGTGGTTGCTGCTGGTGAGACGACGACAAATCGTACAGACTTGACAATGCTTTCTCTTGTGCGCCAACCGGCCGCCAGTGATGAGACTAGCACCGTGCCCTCGCGTGCTGGCCGCCCAGGTTGCCAGGATGGCGCCATTTCCACTTTGACGCCGCGACCCTCACGGTTCCGTAGTTCAAGGATCAATGCCCAGTGGTTGGGCACATCTCGTGGGATTTCAAAGTTATCATTGTGAAAGCGGATGGCATTACGTTCGTCGTCGGAATCGAATACGGGATCGTGGTCCGAGTTTCGGCGTAGTCGCGCGAGGTTGATGTCGGCTCTGTCGCTGTAGGCGCAGATGTGCACCGCGATAATGCGCTCGGCAGCGTCGGCTTCTTGGTAATAAGAAAAGTTCCAGTGCTTGTCCGTCTTGGATAGATCCATTGGGGTGTCCGCTGGGGTGTCCGCTGGGGTGTCAGCCATGGCTGCGAATGTCCCAGGTCCGAAAATCTATGCGTGAGTCTTCTCAGTCTCGTCTGTTCTGGCTCGAGTTGCTGGCGATTCGCCGTGTGTGGAGTGTATCGCCTTGGAGAGCTCCGCGTCGCGGGCCGCGTCCCTTTATTTATGACCTGCAACCGACTGGAAAATTGCATTGTTTTCTGATTGCTCTGTGTTCCCAACCTGTGATTGTCAAACCACAATAGCGGCATGGTGCGGGTAGGGCAAAGTGCGACAGGCAAGAGGGCACCTGCATTATCGACGTGGCCATGTTTACATCTAGTTGAGAAAAAATAATAATGGTCCGTTCACCGCCTGTATTTACACATGGTTCAAGATGATACAGTTCTGTGTTACGGAGCATCATAAGGGCTGTTGTGTCGGAAACTATATTCTCGCTTCACGACAACCAAGCGGCACGGCGCCACTGCAGCGGGTGGCCTTGCGCTGTACCTGCGGGTGCGCTATTGAACGGAAGAGCATCCATGGCCGATTTAATTGGTCACTTAGACAAGAATCACGGCTACTTTGGCGTGCTTTGATGTATCCGACGATGAGGAGACGCAGGATGCCGCCCCGAGGCAAGTCAGTCTGGCGCCACTGGCAGTGCGTGGATGGATGTCTGGCAGCAATGGTGGCGGCGAAAGACCCTGGAACAAGGCAACTGCTGGCGACGGTGTCGCTGGCAACGGCAGCCAAGGGAAAGAATGGCCTGAGACTGACCTGATGAAAGACTTGCGATATTGGTGTTACTCGTGCAAATTTGCTGTTGTACAACCCCAACAAGAGAAGAGAGCAGGCGCGTCGGCAGCGTCGTACAAGGAGTCGCAGTTCAGCTGGCCTTTGGGCGCCATTGGGGCCGGGGTCGGTCGCAGGCAGGCCCTTCTGTCCTGGTTCGGCTTTGGGTCGGCATCTTGGGTCACGACGCGGATGAGACGCCAAAAGATTGGTATGTGTAATCTGTATGAGCGAAATATCAACCACGGACGCTCGCAGCAGCCACAGCAATGCCAACATGACATCGCACTTGTGAAAGAGCTTTAGCTGGGTGCGCGAGCGACGAACGTTATCGATATGCCCCTCCATCCGGGGGCAATTACGTAGTGACTCGGAGTGATTACCCCTCTATTGATATTCAAGGATAGTTCTGGTCGTCGGCGCAACACACCCACTCTGCTGCAGGGTGATGGATCAGGCCAAAGACGTGCAGTAGCCGCAGCATGGGTTGCAGTACGGGACCCTGATGGGACTGACTGATGAGTGATGTGAGGGGAGGGATGTGAATCCTTCGCCCTCTCTCCGTGTCTGTCTGGTCTGCCCTCAACCTCTTGGCAGCGACGCCCAGCCCTCCAGCCGGCGGCTAGCCTTGAAATAGGACTGACGCAAACCACCCGGCCATCTCCCTTTTTTTAGTTCCCGCAGGGCCTCTCTGGAGGCCCAGACTGTCTGGTGAGAAATCGTTTCTGGCCTTGAAGACTGGTCAATGCTTACGTGGTGCCTGGGGGCGGTGGCCTTTTAAAGCGGGCTTGTGACTCACACTTTTAGTTGCTCGCAGAACCAACTGGAAAAATATCGAGCCGGTATCAATTTACTTTGTTGTGCGAGAGGACTTCATGTGATTTTGCCAGCTCTAGCAGGTCTAACCAGTCTTAAAAAAGCTTCTAGGCATTGTAGGCAGCGGTGGCGAGAGAGGCAGAGGAGATGATGCAGTCACGAGGACGCCTTGGAACGGCCCTAGAGGAGGGGCTTGGCTTGCTGCAAGGTCGGATGGGGCATCACTGGCCAATCGTTGACGCAGCGTGGCCAGTCCGAGGCGGTATCTGGCATTTTATCTGGGGTTGAGTTTTGCTAGCCCAGCAAAGTCGATAGGTTGCGATTCGCCTCGCAGACATGTCGAGAAAAGCAGCGCCCAGCTTGCAATATGCTTTCTGTCAAACGTGTAAATGCATTGGCTGAGAAGAAAAGGGCCAGCGTGTCTACGCAATGCGGCGGCATGTTGTGAAAGATAGGGCGGAACCATTGGCACCGAACAAGTCAGACAGGTAGGTCGACGTGGCCGCGGCCGCCTACCATATCAGTTTTGGTGTGGGATGTGAAATGATCAGCACCGTGTGAGGTGTTGGTATTGCGGTGGTATACTGTGGGCTACCATATTGATTTTTGACAGGCAGAGCGGGTGGTTTGGGGGCGAGCGTGTCCGTCGGGCGAGAGGTGACAGGCAGTGAATAGCTGACCGGTCCTTGGCTGTGTTGGTAGTGGCAGGCAGAAGCGAAGCACTGGTAGGAGGGGTGCGATTTTTGAAACGTTTACGGGTTTGTTGGGGGTAACCTTTGCTGAGCTGTGGCGACGGATGATGATTGGTGGTGATTGTGAGGTAGCTGGTGGTGTGAGGAGCAGTGATAGGTACGGACGAGTAGATTAGGCTTGACCGGAACCCATCTGGGGCGGTTGGGCAGCGACGTGGTGGAGGGCGGCTAGCATGCTGCGGAACCGTTGTCCATGGTTTTTGGAATCGAAAGAAAACTGAGATAGAACGAGTTAATTTATTTGTGGTCCGTTGCTTGCATCTTGGGCCCGGCTGGCGACTGCGAAGTCCTTGTTTGTTGGTTAAACTCAATTGGGTCAGAACATCAATCAATTGCCAACGATGATGCCATGACGCGATACGGTTTCTGTCACCGTGGTTTCTTTTTCCCATTGTTGCGTGGAAGCATGGGAGATGACGGCAATTGGTCGGTTTTTGTAACCATTGTTCTCGTTCGTGTTTTGTGCATCGTCCACTGGAACCCATTCTCCGCTGTGGGAGGATGTTAGCGTGAAGTGCAGCGGTCTGGGTTTGAGGATTGATGGGCACAGTGTCGAGATGATTGCATCTTATACGGTACAGGAGGGACTATTCATGGCCGGCATACCAAAGCATATGGATACGTCAGGAGCGGCGTATCGGCGTTGGAACTTGGACGGAAGACTGGGTGCGGATCTGGAGCGAGCACTGGTGCGATTTGTGCGGAATTGTGGATTATTAGGAAGCGTGAGACCGCGAAGGGTGGAAAAGAGTAGATTCGATGAAAGTGTCAGAAAATGAAGATGGCGTCGCAATGAGCGTTTGGCGTTGATGATGATGAGGAGGCGGTCATGGCAAACGGGCAACTTGGTTCCATGTTAGTCACAGCCAGGTCAGGTCAGCGCCAGGGGAAGGAGCCTTGCGCTGAGCTGGCTGGCGCTGCCTGGCGGGGGCTGACCGGCTGTTTGTAGGGCCTCACAGTGAGCGCATGCAGACGCACTGTAAGTGGCAGGGTTGGACGTTTTTCTTCCCTCCTTCTAACGGCATTGAATGCAAGTCAGGTACAAGAATATGCCGCATTTGAGTGGTGGATGGCATGGGAAACTGTGTTTGAGCCAGATTGGCTGCGCATTGTTGACGGGTAATGAAGGCATGTTGCCTGAAGCAAGCCTGGAGTGAGTGGTTGGTGGTGTAGTACGGGCAGCAGAGCGCAATCTGTCATGGCGCGCGCAGAGGGCATTGCTTGTGTGGCGTGTCCTTATTCGGAATTTATAATTTACAGTGGCATAACTTTTCTTGGCTGCTTTCTTTCTTTCCTTTATCTATTTAGCCCATTTCATGTTCATGCGCCTTTGTCTGCTCATGTAGAGCATACAAGGCCTTGACTATTATCAAGCAAGTGCTAACTCCGTGGCTACAACGACGAATTGATAGTCCAAAGCGAATCGCGAATCAGGCTGGCGCAATGCGCAAGAAGGGTGCCTGATGACCAGCCTGTCCAGACTTTGTCGCTGAGGCACCTGACTGGTCTTTCTGGAGGGTGACGCCGTTGAAAATAGAGAAGGAGGGGGGCGTGTGCGCAGTGAAATACGGAAGGGGGTGGAGTACCCGTAAAAGCAGCATCTCTCTCAGTCGACATGCTGGCTGGCTACTAGGCGGACCGCCAGACTCACAAGGTGAGCTGCAAACGCGCGACGGACAATTGGGATGGAAACAGGGGCAATAAGCGCTTTGTGATTGCTCAATTGTATTTATACATACTCATAGAGCGGATTGGTCGTGTTTTGGCGTTTTTCTGACAATCACTGCCTACGCAATCGCCCCTCGCGTAGGAGCGGGAGTCTTTTGCGTTGCCTGACAAGAGATAAAAGGCGGCTTATCGATTGAGTCATCTGCTGCTGCACCCCTCCCCCGATCCACTCAATCTGGACCCACTATGGTGGTAGGCTGGCGGTATCATCTGCTCCTCTCCTCGGTAGATTATTTACACTAGATATTAGTTAAAAATAATGGAAGCAATTGGGTGCCGATATATGTCCGTATGTAACTGTTTGTACCCTCCGTTGCCTGTCTCCCATTTTCCTCCAGTTTCGTTTCTTCTTTGTCACAAGTATTAAGTCTGGAGTACCTATCTATACTGCACCGTAATATACCGTCCATTTCTATTCCGCCGCGTTACGCTTCCGTCACAGGCGTCTCGCCCTCCTTCTTCGTACTCTCAGCGCATACGCAGCACGAATGGGAATCCAGTGAATCTCATTAATGTATGAGATAATCAGTGGCCAGGCCAATTGATTGCTATTCAGCGAACCTTTCTTCCCCTCGTAGGTATAATTAATTGATCTTTTCTTCTCTCTTCTTTCATCATTCCTCTCTTTAGTTCAATTGTTTGGCGTGCACCAATCTGGCACGCTGGAATCCGGACACCACAGCCGCTCTGTGCTACCAGAGTGCTGTCTCGTCTCTGCACACGCGCCCGAGGCAGCCACCTACAGGCTAAGGCGGCGCAGCTTTACTCTGCTGCCTTGCCAGCTGCCAGCCTGTCCACGTCGCCCATCGCATCCGCAAGGCTGATGACGAGGACGAGTGAGTTCAATTGGCGTCACCGCCATCGGAACCCAAAGAGTGATCCGCAGAAAGTGAACGGAAAATAAAAGTAAAAAACGAAAAATAATCAAGGGAAGAACGATTCCTCGACAACCCGCCTAGGTAGCTTGGTAGTACCAACTCCGCCCCTCCACCTCTCTTCAGCGGACCTCAGCCTGGCCACAGTGCCTCCACGGTGCAGCAACGGGCCAACCGCCGCGTTTTTGGGCTGCCGCCGCCGCCTGAACCTGCTGAGCCAGCCTGCTGAGCCACCTGCCGCACCGCACACCCCCCTCCCGTCCCCTTCCTCTCCTCTAGGTGCCTTCTGGCGGCCCCCTCCTCCCCAGGTCTCTCTTCCAGGCCTCTTGAGCCATCTCAGGCAGGCGCCTTCAGGCCTCACCCACCATATCTCCTCAGAAAAGAACACCCCCCAAATAACCAAATCACCCCTCCTCTTCCTCCTTCTCCTCTTCAAACTTCCATACTGGCTGTCGCCCTATAACTCAAAGGTACCACCCAGCAAATCCTTCCCCTTCCCCTCCCCTTCTCTTTCTCTTCCACGTCCATCTCCGTCTCCGTCTCCGCCTTCCCCTCTCCCGTCTGCTCACCATCATATACCAGATACAAACGAGCCCGAGCTTCGACCCGACATTGTCCTCCCACAACAACACTCTCGCCACCAATTACTCAAATGCTCGACTTCTCTTCTTCGTCCATCGCCGCATTTTCATTCTACAATACCGCTCCAGTCTAGCCGACTGGAAACTAAACTTCGTACTGTCGTTTAGTCCGCCAATATCCCGAACTCTACTGAGTGACGCCTCTGCGCCCCGCCCAACGCGCCAGAGCGAGCGCAGGGCATCTTTTGTTATATATTTTATCCATCTGCACTCTTGCACTCTTCTTCTTATTTTTTTCCCCGAATCCTCACCCTGAAACTGCGAAGACAAACGATTCCCCGATTCTCTCGCCTTTTCTATCAATCAATCCCACTTTCTGCTGCCTGTTCACCATCACAGACAACTTCGCCACCCGCCCACGTCACCTATCACCAACCTTCCCGACACACCCTGCCGACCTAGGCTACCAACGATCTTTCACCTTGCCTACTTAGGTAGTTTTTGAACTTCATGGCTGACAAACCGACACCCGTCCATTGCCCCGTTTCCACGACTTTCGATAAGTCGGAGCTGCTTCCGTTGCCGCCAAACGGATTGTGCAACTCACATTCGCCGCCCCTCAACTCCTCATCCTCATCCTCATCGTCCTCCGCCTGCTCCGCTGTGTCTCTTCCTTCCATTCGTCGTCTCTTTGATTCAAACGAATTGGCCCCATCTCCTTGGCCTCAACACAACCAATCGGCTACCTCAATGGAACGAGAGCGTCCCATCGCCCCCATGCCCATGGGTCCCCCACCTCCCAGGCACCGCGACTCGGCAGCGGCCAGTCTGATGTCGCCACCGGATCCAACTCATGACAGCTTCACCCAGACCAGCCATGGAGCCAACTTGAACGGCAAGGGCAAGGGTAAGGTATCGCCCAACGGTGCTCCCTTGCTCATGTCTCCCCCCATCTCGCCTTCCACCAAGCCTATTCCGCCTACTGCAAACGCCCCCGACGTACCTTTCAACCAGACTATCAAGGACCCCGTGCTCTATCCTACCGACGAGTCTTCGCCTCCCAGTTCTTCTCAAGAGCCTCTGTTTCCTACTGTAGAGATTGCTCAGGACGTTGATCAGCAGTTGCGCTACAGACCTGCTGACGCATCCAACGGGGCGGCTGCACCAGAACGCGAGGGTTACGAAACGGCTGCCATGACTTTCACACCAAAAATCATGGACCTATTCTTGAAAGACCCCATGGGCTGGAAGAAGAGGGAGCTCGCATGGCTCAAAGAGGATAGGAAATCCAGAGCCCATGGAGAGAAGAAAGCCCCCACCTCGGTCCAGCAAGCCACCAAGACCGCCTCGGTGCCCAGACCTGCCAGGGTTCAAACTGGTCGCATCTCCAAGCCCCATCCCACTCCGCGTCGTGCTCGCAATAGTATCAGTTCTGGATCGTCGGGGGGTGCCTTTGCGAAATCGACCAAGCGGACCAGTTCCACTCCAGAGCCCTCACGTCGCACCGCTGCTCCTAACCGCGACGATAAGGACTTTGAGTTGCTAGCCGACTACTCCCCTGCTCTTGATACTCTGGAAGACTACGGCCATGCTTTCAAAGTCGACTGGAAGGGGACGCCGCTTGACCTGAGCAACGATCCCCATCGTCATCTCTTGCACCGCTACGAGGTTACCTTCGCCAGCAACCTCCGCCTCGACTGCGCTACGTACCTGACCAGCAAACGTCGTGTTTTTATACGCCGTTTGGAGTGCTATAGAATTTCCAAGGAATTTCGAAAGACGGACGCTCAACAGGCCTGCAAGATTGATGTCAACAAGGCCTCCAGGATCTGGGCAGCGTATCAGAAGGCTAAATGGCTGGAGCCGAAATGGGTTGAACGCTTCGTCCAACGTGACCACTAGGTACAACTCGCCCGAATCTGGTATTCTGGGTTTCGACGGTCGACATGCTCGCTATGATGATGACCGCTGCGACCAAACATGACAGGTTGGAATCGCACCTCCCTCGATACACTCTTAACGACTACTCCTTTTTTTACAACATGATACACCAGACGGCATTAAGGATACACATGATACCCGGAGGACGCCTGCCACACCACTCGTCGCTCCACTCTATTGGATTTTGTCTTGGTTTTTTTGTTACGCCGGTGAGGTTATTGTCTGTTTCTTTCCATTGGTTCGTTTTTATGTTTGGACATTGGGTTCTGCGCGTGTTGGGCGTTTTCGTTCTTGCATTCCCTGATCTTGGATTCGGCAGATTGGTTGGTACTGGGTTGGAGGTTTGTCAAGATTGTGGCACACGATGCCTGCTTATTTGTTTACACGTCTTGGTTCCTATTGGAATCGGATCAGAGATGCGACTCGGCGCACGTGGCCGCTCTCTTTGGAGAGTCGGCGAGCCAGGGGCACAACCCACCTGGCACGCATTGGATTCTTGCTTCTTTTTTAATTCATTTTTTTTTCTTTTACATGTCGTCGATGCCATGCTTGTGATTGTGATGAACGTTAGATGCATGCCAATGTATGGTCAGCCCTACGGATGGGGTGAAACAATCATTTAGTCGATCTTAGTTTCTAGTTCTTTCCAAAATTAGTAAAAGTTCCTGTAAATTGTATTTTTAAGGTGCAGAAATCATACGTTGGTAGGGTCCCCCCTGGTCTGTGACGGGGCCGCCTTGTTCCCTGTTGTGGTTAATAGATTTTTTAGCAACGAGGGGGCGTTATCAACGTTATCGCCATGTGTGTGGAGGGGCGTGGCCTTGCATTTAGCGATCGAGAGCCCCACGATAATCGATAACGATAAGAAGACAAGTGGTAAAACCCATGGTTACTCGATTTGGTGAATAGACTGGGGATAGAAGGTGGCGGGGGGGTTGATGGGAAAGGAGAGATGAAATGGCCATCGTGGCAGGATGAAATCAATTATGCCTTCTGTCATCACTGGTCGGCTTGGTGATGTGTGTGCCCGCTTCCCGCCAGGCGCGAGCTCTGCTGTAGTGGATGACCATGCCTTTGAGTGGGTTGGCTTTTCCCCCTTGTTCCGCTGTTTTTTGTTGTCGCTTGACTGTAAATCTGTGAGACGCGAAGCGGGCGGGTGACAAAGGGCATGAAATGGAAGCCTCCAGTAGTGGTGCAAGTCGGGTGCTACAGTTCCACACTGCACGCGGACTTGGGCCTGACCGGAGAGGGCTCCGTAGGATGCCGCCGTCTCCTTGTTAGAGCTTCATTAAATTTTCAAATGATCTCAATTCAACAATGGACTCAGGGATAACGTTATCCATTCGCCATCACCGTTCCACGGGCCCATGGCTCGCCACAGCTGCCTGCTTCTGTCAGCGCGCGACTAGGAGCTCTGGTACACGTATTGATCATGTACGACTTCAGCTTGGATAGAGAAATATTTAAAGGCCACCGCATTAAGCAATTCGATGCGCAAAGCGACACTCTCTTTACGTTGCCACCTTGGTTGATACCCAATCCAGCTTGAGAAGAATATCCAGAACCTGAATATCAAGCTCTCTCCATGGAAACCGCCGAGAGGTGTGACGGTGGCGGATAATCTCGTCTCTTGATGCTGCCGTGGGAAGATCTGAAGAAAATTATTGAGCTTCATCTTCTAGATACCCAAGAGCTGCCGCTTCCCAGCCTCACCCCAGAGTTCATCCAAAACCGGCTACCCTTGGCCAACGCCTGGGACCCGACGCGACCCACCGAGACCAACATCTACGTCGAGCGCACGCGAAGCTGCGATCTTGTCTGCGGGCACAACCTCCGGGCCGTGAACAAGACTCTCCGGGACGACGTGGACTACGTCATCAAACAGCTCAGCGCCAGCGTCCGGGGAACCCAGGTCTCATGCCGGTACTGGAAGCGATGCTGGCAAAAAAAGCGATGTCACGAGGAAGAAGACCGATGATTGGCGAGAAAAGCATGTAAAGCATGTGCTAGATGTCATGGTTGTCAGGGATATTGGGCTCTTCCCGACGTGGCTGACACACCCACCAGACCCAGTCCAAGCTACCGAATACAATCCGCGGAAGCAGCACAATTCGTTTGACTGGAGGTCCGGATACGAGTTGTGCGGCCCGAGATGCATTTGCTGCCGCAGGAGTGGATCGCGGCCGGTCAGCACCGCGACATCGAGTTTGACTGCGACGGCACAATTCGCACCCGCTTTAGTATGATGATCGTGCTGTACTTCATCGCCCAAGGCCGGCTCTTTTGGGGCGCCCCTGAAGTGGCGGAAGCGAGAGCGGCAGAATGGTTCGAGGAGCAAAGTCAGAAATAAAGGCACAGAAGACGGGTAAGGAAAGAGGGGCAAAGAGGAAGAGGGAGACGAAGGAGACGGAGGAGACGAGGGAACCTAGGGGGATGATGAAGAGGAAGACGAGGGAGAAGAGTGTGGAGGAAGAACAGCCAGAGATGGAGGAGACGGAGGAGAAAGAGCCGAAGGAGAAAGAGCCGGAGAAGGAGAAGACGGAGAAGACGGAGAACAAGACGGAGAACAAGACAGAGGAGAACAAGGAGGAAAACGAGCCCAAGGAAGAAAATGTCGACACAACCGCAGCGGCCCAAACTTCCTCGTCGTCTCCCCTCAAATGCTTTCACGCAGTGCCGCACCGTAAACGCTGTACTGGGTCGAGGAACTAGTAATCCTCTTCGCCCCGACAGAGTACCACGCGAACGGAAATTGCCTGCGATCCCGGAACCTTCCCGACCCGCCGCCCGGACACACGCCCTTTGGGCGCCCGATCCTGACCTTGGCCGACGCCCTCTCGCCCTAGCTGGCGGCTGCCGCTGGGCTGGAACCTGCTGGCGAGCAGAAACCTGTTCGACGACTTCACCAATACGGTGTTTGGGCTGTACCACAGCCTGGCATTGAACAACAGGAACCGACCCGTACCGTGCTCTCCGTGGCCCATGCTTGCGTGGGTACGATACGGGGCCAAGTTCGGACGTGAGGACCCGGTGCGGTGTGTTCTAGGCGGATGTTCCGAGCCTATTTACATGAGTCATGACTGGGAGATGCATGGTGAGGCTTCGTGGCCGATTGTGGCCAAGTATGATCCTGAGGGGACGGCAAAGTTCCATTGCTGCGGCTACCAGAGACGGAGCCGGCCTCCGGTGCCCTGAGGCTTGCGAACCCGTGCTTCGTGAATGCTCCGTATATAGTCACGTCACGCTTGGTTTTTCTTTATTCTTTCCTCCTTCTTTTTTCTCTTTTCTTCTTTTTTTTTTCTTTTCTTCTTTTCTTTTTATTCTCTCTCTTTTCTTATCCGTTTGATGTTTTTGTTTCTGTCTCGGCTTTTGAGCTTCTCCCAATTTTTGAAGTGAGGGACTTGTGGGCAGTAACTGTGTTAACTGTGGAGGAAGAAAGCGGCTTGTAATATTTATCCGTATTTCATTAAACCGAATTATCTCGCTTCAATTCTGTTCCTCCAAAGTTAATTGTTGTATTTCTTAGACCACCCTCTAGCAGCCCCAGAGATGCCTCGATGGCCTTGGACCAATAACCGACCAACAAACTTGCGAGCCCAAAAACTGATCGTCACTTCAGTGTAGTCTTTCTGTTGATGTATGTTGTTCTAATAATTGTACTTTTTCTTTTATATAGAGCTTCCTCCGGCTGTATGCAACCCTTCGCTCACCATAGCCCTGACCAAAGCTACCCCCGATTACTTCTTCCCAAACACCGTCAGTCTCCTTTATTCACCGCTTCATCATCCCAGCAAGACCATCCACGGTTATCTCACTTCCAGATGCTGCACAGCCTTGCTCCATTTCTCTTCCTCAGACCTAGAAACCCTGTTAGCCACAATCTCCATCCATCCATACTGCTGTCCACCAACTTACTTGTCAAACTTGAGCAGCTTCCCCAGGACCGGCACCAGCTGTGCGCGCAGCCTGCCATCCTTCTGCTCCAGGAACTGCAGCAAGATCGTCTTCAGGTACGCCGTGTCCGCACCCGCACCGGCTCCGTTCACCGAGCCGCTCCTATTCGAGTCCGTCGACGCTCTCCTGCTCGGGCTGGCGGCCAGCCTCGCCTGCGCGGCCTTGAGGTCGCGCGCCATCTTCTCGTACCGCTGCCGCGCGTCGTCCAGCATGCGGCGCAGGTCCGCCCGCTGCTTCTCGCCGTCGCGCACCTGGCCCTCGGAGGCGTCCAGCGCGCCGCGCAGCTGCGACGCCGTCGCGCGCATCTCCTCCGCCTCGGCCGACGCCCGCGTCTCCACCGCCTCGAGCTCGTCGCGCCGCCGCCGCCACGCCTTGGACTTTTCGTCCAGCTCGTCGCGCTCCTGCGTCGCGCTCTTGACCTCCCGCTCCAGCTCGCGCACCCGCTGCCGGAGCTCCTCCGCCTCGCGCGACCGCTTGCGCGCGGCCGTGCTGGCCTCGTCCTCGATGCGCTCGCGCTCCTCGATGGCCGCCTCCATGCGCGTTCGCATCTCCCGCACTTTGCCGTCCGCTCGCTCATCGACGTCGGATAGCAGCCGGCGCATCGTCTCGCCCTCGCGTGTTCTCTCCTGCAGCAGCTTCTGCACCTCGGCAAGCTCTTCCTCTACAGCCTCCGCTTGCGACTTGGACTCCTTCAGCTGCACCGACATCTCGGTTGTCTGGTCACGCATGCTGCTGAGCAGAGCTTGTGCGTTGACATACTGTTGCGACTTGAATTCTGCTTCCTCCTGTGCTGCCGACTTCTCCCGCTTGAACTTGTGCATTTGCTCTTCGAGTTCCTTGACACGAGGTCGTAGCTTCTTGGCCTCTTCTTGAAGTTTCTCAAGCTCGGCCTCTGCCTTTTCTGCCTTGGCACTCAGTTCAATTTTGCTTGCTTCGGCACGACGCAGGTCACGACCGGACACTCGCTGGTTCTCCTCAAGCTTCTGCTTCGCACTAGCTTCTTGACTGAGCCTTTCCTTAAGATTCGTAATCTCGGTGGCGCGATCAGTGGCAAGTTGCTGGGCCGACGCAATCTCTTTCTTCAGCTCTTTCTCCCTCCTTTCCATCTCCCTCAATTCTTTCACCGTGTTGGCAAGCTCCTCCTTCGTAGTCTTGAGTGTTGCAGATTCTTGGCGTAGGCTCTTAAGCTCCGGCTGAGCTTTCTGCAAGACTTCTTTCAGCTCACTGAGATCCTTGAACCTTGTTTGCGCAAGTTGCTGAGCAGCGCCCAGGTCGGACTGCAATGTACCAAACTTTTCCTTGAGACCATCGTGCTCTTTTTGTAGAGTCTCCATCTCGCCTCGGATCTTGTCGCTGTCCTTAGAACTAGAGGTCGACGACTTGAGTTTGCTCTGAAGCTCTTCGATCTCTGTTCGCAAGTCCTTTCTTTCCTGGTCAAGAGACTTGAGCTTCTCCTTATCTTCAACATGGTCCTGCCCAATATTGACCAGATTATCCCTGAGAGTTTCAATCTCCTCCTGCAAATCCTCCTCAGATTTTCGTTTCTGCATCAGCCGCTCGATTTCGGCGTCTTTGCGCTTGATGTCCTCCTTGAGCTGGTTGATTTCAGTCTGCAAAGTATCGACATCAACACCCGAATCTTCCTTCGCTGGCTCGCTAGCTTTGTTCTCGCTATCCTCATCAGCAATGGTTTGCGCTGCCGCAACGCCACCTTTGCCCTTCTTCTTCTTGTTCTTCTTTTTTGAGCCGCCTGACCCAGCGGTGACAGAAGTCGGCTTCACTGTCTTGTCTGAAGCGGCAGCGGTAGACGTCTCAGATGCCGTCTCATTGACCTTCTTAGTTAGCTCATCGATCGTTGTCTGCTTTTCTGATTTCTCCGTATTGAGCTTTTGAACTTGCGACTTGAGGTCATCAATTAGACTCTTTGAGATGCTTGTAGCCGCCTTTGCCTTGGAGAGCTCCGCGTCTAGATTTTTGACCCGAGTTTCGGCCGCAGCTTGAGAAGTTTCCGCGGCCTTGACTTTGGTAGCGCTAGCATCAATGTCCTTGTTAGAAGTATCCTGGAGTTTCTTCAACGAGAACTCAGCTGTCTTCAGCTTTTCGGTGAGCTCTTCGCATTCCTTGGTTCGACGGTCGAGGTCATTTTGCAACTTTTCCTGGTTTTTAGATTTGTTGCTCGAATCCCCCACCTCCTTGTTAGCCTTGTCTAGACTGACAGTGAGTCCGGCACTGTTCTCCTTCGCAGCCGACAAATCGCTCTGGAGCTTGGCCACTTCAGATTTGAGCTTCTCAATTTCCTCTGCTTTGGCTTCCACATCGGCCTGAAGCTGAGGAATCTCATCCTCGTAGGAGAAGAAGTCCCCACCAGCTTCCTTGCTAAGCTTCGAAGGTTCACCGTCTGTCTCAGGCGCCGTCTTGCTCGCTGCTTTCAGTTCGTCGAGTTCCTTCTGGGCGTCGCTCAACGACTTCTCGGCCTGTAGTTGCTTCTTCTTTATCTCATCCTTCTCAGCAGAGATTCGCTTCAGCTCGTCCATGACCATGCCACCCCTTTGGTTCAATTGGTTGAGGTATTCAATCATCGCATCGGGGTCGGCAATGGAGGTGAGGGGTGTATTTTCGCGCAGGGCCTTTTCAAATGGCTCAATGGACGTGGCTCGCTTATGCGCTACTCGATATGATCGCAAGAGTTCTATACAAGGTTAGCAAGACGAATGCGCCCGTCCCGCATCGGCACTTACCTGGGTAGGTAGCCTCGAGTTTCTCGAGCTTCCGCAGACGCTGCTTAATCTCCGACGGCAGCTCGGTCGAGGTGACCGCAGTTGTTGAGCTTGCAATCGAAGCAGCGGTATGCTTTGGCGTCTCTGTGCTTGTGCGCGTTTCGCTTTTTGCCTCGGTCTTGCTGTCATCGTCGGCGGCAGCCTCCTTGGAGCCAGGAACATCCTTTTCAGGTACAGGCGGTTTCGGAGTGCCAGTGCGGCTTGGCTCGTCGCTATCGTCAATAACAAATGCGGCCTCGAAAACGGCGGGATCGGGATTCGGGGGCGTATCTACGCCATCGGCGGTGCCGTTGGTTGGTCGAGATCTCCGTCCGGCATTCGCTCCTTGCCTAGAAGAGTCGGAGGCAGATCTGGAGATGGGCGCATCATCGCCTCTTTGTCGCGCCTGTTCCTCCGCAATAGTGCGGTCTATGGCGCCTCGTATTCTCTGGTAGTTGTCAGCCTCCGATGGCCGCCATACTCTCATGGACGTTACCAACCTGGAACATGGTGTCAAGTCACCCAAGTTCGAGTTATAATCATGAAGCTCTGCGCATGACCGTCTTTTGATTTTAAAGTTTTAGTCCACAGGCTCGTTTCAAGAAAATTCCGGCTTCGGTTTGGCGAGACAGGCCGTGGCGGCGATGCGATAGCCGAATGGTGATGCCGAAGACAGCCAGGAGTTTTGCCAGGCTCTCGTCATTCGCTAGTGGTGATATGTGGCTGGTGAGAGTGGCGGTGCAGTCGTGTACAGGGTAGCAGTAGTCTTTGGGGGATGAATCGCGGCGCTCGTGGGGAAAATGGTAAGAGTTTCGCAAAGGAAAGGGAAATGAAGTGAAGTGATTGTTTCTGAAGCCTCATTTACAAAACAGTTTGATTCACTTGTAGTTCGCATGTGCAACTGCAGACCACAGGGTAGTTGTGATCCGCACTACTCACAAACTCCGCAAGATTTTTTCAGAATGCAAGAACTAGACTTGAGGCCTGGACGACTAGAAGATTTACTTCAAAAGAGACGTCCCTTGAGTTTTGACTCTTAGTTGTGCTTCTTATACCTGACACGGGGATGTTTTGTGGCACTGGAAGCCCAGTGCCTTGTGGAATGCTCAAGAGCTTTGACATGCTGCAAGGGAAATGACGGGAATTGAGTGCTTGGGCCTTGGTTTGAAAACTTTCCACAGTAGTTGCGAGCAACGCGGCAACAACCATTCGAATAAAGAAGGTAGAATACATGATGACTCTATGCGAAGGACAAACGCATATCCGCTGGTACATAGAACCAGCAACTAGCACGTTTTAGAAGCTGATATGAGCTCGTAGCGTTCTTGGCAGATCTGTTATCTAGCCCGTGACAGCTGTTTCTAGTACAAAGCTGCGTGGATTGTGGGCTGGAGCTGACATTGTTTCCAAGCCACAGCATCGCATATCAAAAGAGTCAAACGAGCGGGAAATGCAAGCAGTATTATTATGGCGCGGTCTTACCGTCAATCTAAATTTCTGGTGGCGTTGTATGGGGCGGCACCACCCGAGTATGAAGCTAGCAGCATCATAAAAAGCAGGCGATACTTAATGGAGTAAACGACTTGGAGAGGCTTGATTGACTAGATGACACCAAAATCTCGCGGTGCAACTTAAAGGTTCGTTGAAGTTAGCGTTGCAGGAGGCAAGAGCAATGCATTGGCCTCGCCTTGTCCGGGGAAGCATCGGCGCTTACCCGGTCTTACGCGAATGTCTGCTGGATGGCACCGTGCTAGAAGGACTGTGAACGCACTGTGCGTGTTTCCACAAGCCAACCTTCCCTCGGACCTATAGAACTTAATCGCCGTCTCGATGCATCTCCCCCGTCTCTCTATCTCTACGGACCCGTAAAGTATATTAAGTCAGCCCGAACTTACGTTTCATCTGCATCGTTTTCTCTATTCATCACTACTTCTTCCACAAATTCTTCTATTGTTCTTCATCTTTGGAGCAACGCGCAACCACCACCAACCAACCAGCTCGCCCTTGGTCCTGCCAGCACGCTACACCGCATTCCCGGTGCCTGACCCCCCTTGAGCTACGACGGACGCATGAAAGACTGCGGAAGAATGCATCGATAGCCGTGGCCGGTATCAGGGACACTGTGTTGCACCAATTGCCACCCAAAACAAACAAACACTCACACCCACGCCGTATCGGGCCTCTGCCGTCCTCTCCCCGGCTCTCCGCTCAACACTCGGCATACACAGGCAGCAAGCTTGCACAGCCGCCAGCATGGCGACTCTCGATCAACTACCCGCTGAGATCATCATCCAAATCCACAATGGCCTCGGTCAAGCAGATCTCAACGCCATTTCTCAAACATGCCGCTCACTCTACAACCCTTCCAACCCGTGCCTGTACCGCTTCAACAAGGACCGTAGGAAGGGCTCTGCGCTAAGATGGGCGGCTGGACACGGTCTTATTCGTACCCTTCAGCACTGTATAGCTGCCGGCCACGACGTCACCGACTCGCAATGGGAACTGCTGCACTACGCTGCCATGAGCAGGCGCATAGACATGGTCCGGTTCTTGCTGACGCTCGACGGGATCGATGCGAACCAAAAGGACGAGTCCCACTGGACCCCCATATTCTATGCTTGTCGGAGTAATGCCGCCGATGTTGTCGAGGCTCTCCTAGAGCACGGCGTCGATGGCGCTGCATCTGGTCTCGAAGGCTGGACGCCTCTCAGCATCGCCGCGTGCTTCGACAGCTGCGAAGTCGCCCGAGTCCTGATTGCACACGGAGTGCCGCTGAACGCGCAGAGTGAGAATGAATCCACGGCGCTTAAGGCGGCATCTAGAGGCTGTTTCCCTGCTGTCGCTCAAGTGTTGCTCGAGGCCGGTGCTGACCCTAACATCCCTGCCTTTGGCGGCTGGGTGCCTCTGCATTCTGCCGCCAAATTTGGCTGCCTACCACTTGCTGAACTTCTGCTCAGACACAATGCCGAAGTTGAAATGCGCCAAGAGCGAGGATACACCCCTCTGGCGCTCGCGGCGGAAACGGAGTCGGTGCCGCTGATTGAACTTCTCCTTAAGCACGGCGCTGATGTAAACACGGTCACCAGTGGTGGCTGGTCACCGCTATGCCTTGCCGCCGACATTGGCAACGAACAAGTTGTGAGGACGCTCCTGGCACACGGGGCAAATCCGGCCTTTGCCATTGCCAACGAGTGGTCGGCCCTTAATTTTGCCACCTACAACGGCAAGATGAAGGTTGTTGATGTCCTGCTGGAATATGGTGCGCTTCCTGATGGCTGCAAGGGTGTCAGCCGGAACACAATTGTCAACGCCATAGATAAGGGCCGATTGGAAATTGCCAAGAAGCTCTTGTCCCACGGGGCGCGGATTGACGTCAGGAGTGACCGGGGGGAGACGCCTCTAATGAGAGCTGTCAGGACGCACAAGACGGACTTTGTGCAGCTGCTCCTCGAGCACGGGGCCAATGCAAACTCTCAAAACGTCAAAGGATGGACTCCGCTCATCGCGGCTGCGCACGAAGGCCACAGTAAGGCGATTGAGCTACTGCTACAAGCTTCCGGCAGTAACGTCAACTATTCCGACACGGACGACCGGACTGCCCTGATTCATGCTTGCATGCGCGGCAACGGCGATGTCGTCACCATTCTGCTAGGGAATTACCCCGTGAACCTGACCTGTCGAGATACCTGGGGCTCGACCGCGCTCTCGATGGCGGTGCGCAACGGCCAAGTCGCCATCGCCTCGGCACTTTTGTCGCGCCTCACGCCAGAGCAGGTGGACAAGGACGAAGATGAGCTGGGCCGTTCCGTCTACTACTGGGCCACGCACTGCGGAAACACGGAAATGCTCGATGTCCTCAGGGACTACTGCACGACACACGGCCTAACACCGGCCGTCGGCTTGCAGTACTTGGCGAGCGGATCCTGCCGCTTTTCCCAGAAGGAGTGCTGGTGCGACGTCTGCGGGCAGTGCAACGTCCACGGAAAGGACACGCGGGCGTGCAAAGTCTGCGATGAGGGCGAGTTCCTCATCTGCGCTCACTGTCGGGGCCTGGAGGCGTTGTGTAGGGGGAGGGAGCACACCTGGGAGTCGTATACCTGCGACGAGGACGCGTATTAGGTATCTGTGCCACCCCACGAACTCCCGAGCTCCCCCTATCAGTGGCTTTTATACAGAAGGGAGTACAATTTATCGTTACTACCACGCGTTGCCGTGCGCCCGGATCCTACGGCTTGGGAAGTGCTACATGGAACCGAGAAATGCGGGAGCCGCGAGGATCAGTTTTATACGCGACAACGTCCACGTTGCCGTTTCTTACGACGTTTTTGAGCGAAGGCATTAAACTTGGAGCGAGCCATATTATCGTGGATAATTGTTTTCTTGTGTCTTTAGCGTAGTTACTGGAAATAGATGAATATTAGTATTCTTCACATGGGAGCGAAGGACAGCGACAGCCTGATCAGTGGGAAATCTACAGCCCGCCAGAGCATAGCAATACAATTCTTTAAGCTCCTGTGATGATACGATGAAAGAAGAACGCAATAGATTCTCGCGTCCTCCTGGCTGATTGTCCGGCGGGTATCTACAGCTTCACCTTGCCAGTCTGCATCCGCTGCCACTCCTCCTTCCCAAACGGCACGTACGTGTCGCCCTTTAGCCAGTACAGCTTGACATCCTCACCACCTTCACCCACCGGGTTGACGCCGGCCCTCCGCAGCGCCACCTTTTGCTGCTTGTGCGTGCCCGTCGTGGTCACTTCGTGGCCGCCCTCCTTCACCAGCCGCAGGAACAGTGGCACCGCGTACCGCGGCAGGCCCTTCCGCAAGTGCTCCGCCAGGCTCCGGAGCTCCTCCTCTGTCGGCGCCTCGCCGCTGCGGAACGAAGTCGCCGCGCAGCCGGCGCGGCCATCGTGGTGCGGCAGCGCGACGCCGTAGACGTTGGCCTCGGCGACGCACGGGTGCATGCAGACGGCGTCGCCGACCTCCACGGTGGACACGTTCTCGCCCTTCCAGCGGAACGTGTCGCCGAGGCGGTCGCGGAAGAAGAGGAGCTCCCCGCCGGGTGCCCAGCGGAGGGCGTCGCCGCTGCGGAACCAAGCGTCGCCGGGGACGAGCACGTCGCGGAGAATCTTGCCCTCGGTGGCCGCGGGGTTCTTGTAGTACCCCTGGAAGACGGACGCGACGTCGCCGGCGGGGAGCTTGAAGAGCAGCTCGCCGGTCTCGCCGGGTTTGGCCTTGATGCAGAAGCCGTTTTTATCGCGCAGCGGGTCGTCGGTGTCCGGGTCGACGAGGACGATGGCGGACTTACGGTTGAAGAAGAGCGTGCGGAAGAGCCAGCCGACGCGCGCGACGGCGGCCTCGGACAGCGCGTTGCGGCTGATGTTCCACGTCCCCGCGACACCCTCGGTGGCAGCGTAGAACTCGATGATGGTGTCGATGCCGAAGCGCTCTTTGAACTTGGGCCAGACGTCCGCGCGCAGTCCGGCACCGTACACAGTCTTGACTCTGTGCTTCTTGTCGAGGTTTTCCCCCGTGACCGGGTCATGCTCGGTGGGCGCGTCGAGCAGGTAGCGGAGCGCTTCGCCGACGTAGATGATGGTGTCTGCGTTGGTTTCGCGAACGTCTCTCCAGAACGTGGCCTTGGAGAACTTGGGGGTGAAGGCGAGGGTGCCGCCTGCCAAGAGCGTCGAGGCGAAGCCGATGAGAGAGGCCATGCCATGGTAAAAAGGCATGGCCTGAAGCGAAAAGGAGATTGTTAGCGAACCTGAAAGTGGATGGACGAGGGGTGAAGTGACCTACTGAGAATATAGTGTGGCCTTTGCCAAGACCGAGACAGTTGCCGGTCATGGCGCAGAACCATATCACCCTCGCCCAGGACATGACGGCGGCTTTTGGGAAGCCGGTGGTGCCCGACGTGTAGATTAGAAGCGCAACATCACTTTTGCTCTCAAATTTTCGAATCTCGTCAGAGTAGCGCACAGCTGGACTACTGAAAGCCAGTTTCTGTACTTCAGGCGTCACCACGGCGACCCTCATCGGGGAAATGTCCGCTTCGACCTCCTGGACCTGAGCTGCCAACGCCGGTTCGACCAGACATACCGCGGCTCCCGATACATTCAGGCAGTGCGCGAGACCCTTTCCGGTGAGAAAGTGGTTAATGAACGCGGGCGTGGCTCCGATGCTCCAGAGCGCCATCCACGTCACGATGAACATGTCCGAGGTCGTGTAGTACATCGCGACGACTTGCTTGGGCTTGACACCTAGCTCTGCTTTCAACCAGTAACCATAGCGAAGGGCGGCGTCGTACAGCTGCGCGTACGTCCAGGTCCTGCCCTGGGGCTGCAGCAGGATGGGCAGGTCTGCGTGGTCGGGCCGGGTGGCCCAGTACCCCAGGTCGCTGAAGAGGTTGAGGCGCTGCGCTCGTTGCCGGTATGTGGTGGTGAGGAAGCCATGGAACATACCCTTGGCGATGAGAAGGTCGTGCCAGAGGGATGCTTTTGCATTGACGTAGGCGAGAGCGCCGGCGACGGCGGGAGCGGCGAGTGTCAAGGGGGCAGCTGGTGGAGGAGTAGGACGGGTGAGCTGAAAAGGAGCGACGACAATTGCGCAGGGCAAGACTTACCGGCCATGATGTGATCAAGAAGTGATGAATTGAAGAGCTGAGATGTAGCGGGAGTAATTAGATTCTCGAAACTTGACAGCGAGACTGCTTTCTGTCCCCGGCAAGCAGCTGGCAGCGGCTGCAGACTACCCCGCGAAATGTGGACAGACAATGTGCCACCGTAGGACAACAGACGGAAAGATGGACTTGAGAAGTTGCAGGAATAGAAAGGCTGTAGAAAAGGTTAAAACATGAGACGAACCATGTGGAAAATATGGCTGTTGGAGTGCCCCTCGTAGGCAGTGTGTGTGGCCGACAGTGGATGGGTGAGTGAACAAGCTGGTCATCTGGGCGCATATCCTGTTCAATCATGAGGGCATAAAATAAAGGGGATTGGTGCCGCTCACAAATTGAATTTGTACGTTCGCGCATATTTATGCATATGCATGCCGACGGCTGACCGGAGGTCGAGCTGCACAAGGTCCGCATGCTGACTGGCTGGTCCACGGTTCACCGCCGCTCTGATGACAGTCCTTTTAGCGATAGGCAAAGTCCAAGTGAACGATAACTGAGAGAGAAGGAAGTTTACGGCCGTGCGAGACAGTACTCCGGTGGTAGATTGACCATTTTGCTTTCACGGGGCCGCCGAGTTCTCATCTGAGTCCAAGACACACAATTTAAGCGTAGGTCAAGGATACTCGAGGCCATCATGAGTGTGTTTTACTTTTTCTGTAAAATAAGGAAAGAAACCAAATTTGCAATCTGTGATTACAACCATACAATGGCATAGGAAACCACACAAACCGGGACACTCAAGACTACTCATCGCGACCAAAAATCAACGAGCTTGTCAAAATCCTCCATCGTCAGCGATGACGCTTCTCTTTCGTCGCCCCACGTGAGTTCTTTTCGCAGACGTTGGGCATCCCGCAGATCGGAGCCATCCACAATCCCAAGATATGACCTCGGCGTTGCGGTCTGGGACTCCGGCGGTGCGGTCTGGGGCTCTGCAGCTGCCGTTTCGATCTCCGACATTTCCTGCTGGTAACGCTGAGCTTTTGCCTGGTTCCTCTCGTTTCGTGCGTCCTCTATCGCAAACTCTTTCTTCAACAAAAGTGCCCTTAAAAACTTGCCGCGCGCCGTCTCCGGCCTGTAGACATCGAGATCGGCCCGCCATGCGTCGATGGCGACATGGAGACTCTGTCTAGATAAAAGAAAAAAAATGGTACAAGGTCAGTCCATACGGGAGAGAACGGAAGGGGCGGAAAAATGCCATCACAAGGGGAATAGGGTTGGGGGTATTGACAAGTCAGGAACCCCAAAGACTTCACTTACGTTGCCTCAAACACGAGGTCGGAATCTTCTTCATCGTTGTCATGGTCGGCATCGTGGGCGTTTAGGATCTTGAGTATCTGCTCAGCCACTTTGTACGCCGCGCGCGCCATGTACGGGTTCGGTTTCTTCCGTAGCTGATGTAACTGATTGAAGATGGCAGAAGAGTCTCTGAAGCATTGCAAGCTCTCGGCCTGCTTGTTCTGCTTCTCTTTCAGGTTCCTGGCCATCTCGGCCTGCTTGTCTCTCAGATTTCCAAGGGCATACAGAAACAGCGCTAACCTGGCCGACACCTCGCACCAGTAGAAGCCGAAGCCACCTGCCGTAAACCTCTGTTCCTTCAGACGCTTCACGCCAACTGTGAGCAGTGTGGCGGCCAGTTCGTTTTCTCCCTGAGCTGTCATGACGAAGCCGAGAATCGCGTCGCTGGGCCGTGGGATGTATTTGCCTCTCTGAGCCTGTTGGCGCAGACTCCGCGCGTAGAACAAAAGTCCCGTGGCCTCGCTTAATTCCTTGTCTTGGGCGTGTGCGATGCCTCTTTCTGCGTAGGCCAGGGCGAGTCTCTCCATCTCGGATTCGTCTTTGTGTCTCCTGTAGAGATGCACCAGGATGTTCAAGGAAATCGTCTTGTAGTACGCGCTTGCGTGGAAGTTGCCGGAATCCACGGCGATTGCGCCCCGGCAAGAGTACACTTCAGCGAGTGCGGCGCGGCTCCCCTCGTCGCCCGACTGCTCGTATATCTTGTGCGCCAGTTTGCAAAGGGAGTCTAATTTCTCCGTTGACTCTCCCCCGCTCTCCTTTTGGAACCTTCGAGGGAGGGGGTCAGTATGAGGGCGTAGGCTTCGAAGAAAAGGGGGGGGGGAGCTCACTTACCAGACTACTTTCATCAAAAGCTTTGCGAACAACAGCTTCACCGCGTCGGACAAAGGAGGCATACACTTCCGCGGGTAACGTAACATTAAGCTGCAAATATGCGGGTAGATCTCAGCACATTCCTGCTCCCAGTCTCGTCTCAAATCCTCGAACGAGGGCCCTAGCAGCGGCAGCTCGGAGTCGTTTGGCTTTGGACAGTCCAGTGGCCAATGCGCCGACAGAGCGCGTATAATCTCAGTGTAGATTTTGTATTCTAGATCCTGCGACATGGTACCGAGTGCAGGGTATCGAGAAGACGCATTCAAGAGAATTTCATACTCGTCTGACTGGTTTTGCTTGAGGCGTTCTTCAATCAAACCCTGCTCTAGAAGCTCTGAGCAGGCCTTCTTGTAGTGATGTTTCTGAAAAGGTGCGGCGCGCTTGGAAAGCGACTTTGAACAAACATCAGACAGAAACAAATCATCAATAGGGTGGTCGTGATCGAAGAATAAAATTATCTGAAGAACTTGCGAGGCTATTTCCGAGATCTTCTTTTTGTTGGGGGGCTTGGGGATGGCCTTGTCGGTCGACAAGTCTTTGCCAGGTTTGCCAAGGGATGCCGGGTTGCGGTCAACATGGTCGACGGGGCCAGGAGAGACCGCTTCCTCTTGAAAGCCTGGCGTTTAGTAAGAGACATTCAGCTATTTAAGATTTGGACTCACCAGAAGGAAGCTCACTCATGGTTGAAGAGCTCGAGTTGATGGTCGTTGAGCGTGGTGAAGACAGAAGGAAACAGGAATTGAGATGAGTGTGGTGGAGGAAGAAAGAAACTGGAATAGAGATGGCCTGGCAAGATGGTTTATATATGCGAATTCCCATTTGCCAGAGTAACCTCTTCTTTCTTGAAACAAGGCAAGAGGTATAGCTGACTCTCGATGCGTCATTCAGGGCTCGTGCGACTCTACCGAGCTGGTAGCAGCCACCGCCAGCTTTACTCGGCCAGGCTGCAGAAGGCTACACCGCTGCACCCAAGATTCGAAGCCCCTGGTAACACACTGCTCAATATATGCTTTGTCTCATATAGAGACTGTTCTCATTATACACTGGGCCAAGCAGTGTGACGCCCATTCCATCCCTGGCGTCGTCAATGACGACAGAGGGGACGCAACTTCTGACAAGTTACAGAGCTCTCTTACAGTGCCTAGCTCTCAGTATCAAAAGATATTCATAGCATTTGGTTTTGTACGAGGCCGTAGTTGTGTCAGTTGCACAGTGACACAGTGACACTCTGTCTTGAGCTGAGGTCTCGTCAGCATGGATGAGCCACTTGTTACTTCTGATATTCGTCATGTCATAGCTGTACGACCATTATTAGGTCTAAGAATAAGCTGTGATAAATAGCCAATACAGTTGATGTTTTATGTGGACAGTTACGCGCGCGAAAACGTGGTGGGGAAATGGTGTGAGAAAGCCTGGAAGCCGGTTCATCTCCGAAATGAACATGCTAAAATAAATCAAATGTTGGAAACTGTCTATCAGATTTGTGCCGATAAAGAACCTGAAGCAAACAATAAACCCCATATCACGGGCCACTTAGAGAAGCCTAGGCCCAAGTAAAATGCCAGAAGCTTCGTGAGAGTCCTCCATCTTTAGCGATGACATGTCCCCTTCCTCCCTTGGGATGTCTTGTCAAAATCTTCACTTACAAGGCCGCTTCTCCCAGAAGCCTCGCGAACAACAGCTCCACATGCGACTTTAATTCGGGTATTGTCGCCCAAATATCACATATTTTCAGAGCGCTCCGGTAGACGTTGTCACGCTCCGGCTTTTGACAGTTCAGTTTCTCGTCCGAGCGAAGCACCTCGGACTTGGGGGGCAATTCCGATGGCAAAATTGATGGCCATGACTCCCACAGACCGTTCAGAAGCTCGATGAAGATTTGCCTTGTACCTTTTCTTCCATCATATGGATCTCCCCGAGTTCACGAATCTCAGTTTCATTCAACCGGATGTTTTTCTCGTCTTGCTGTATTTTGTTCTCCTTGAGAAGCGCTGCGTGAGCCTCCTGATAGTAGAAAGACGCGCTGACGATGGTTTCGAGTTCCGAGGACACTTTAATCAAAATCTGCTAACTGACTGCATTGGAAGCAATATTTCCAATCATCCTATACAATCTCTCGCTGCTTTTGTCACACTTCGTCTCATGCGAGCTGCCGGTATTAAATGGCCGGCCTCGCTGGCGGCGAAGCGAGGAGACGTCGCTATAACTCGGTCAACTGGAGTTTTAATTAGTTATTCCTAGCCTTTAGAGTTGTTGACGTACCAGGAGAGTGTTCGCGCTGCGTGTCCATGGTTGATAAGCTCAGTCGGATTGATGTTTTTGGAGTGGGATGAAGGAAGAAGCCAACGGGAAATGACCCTCGCGGAATGATTTATACATGCAAATCCCCTACGGCGTAGCGCTAAAGTGAACATGCCAAGTGAGCTGTATCACTTGGTGGTGCCCCCTTTGTTTGTAAGTGGACGTCTGCCACGGTGGTCAAGACTGAGACTAAGAATGGCCTCCAACGTCGTAGCGACGGAGCATGTGCTACGTGCCGCGGGCTCCGAATGTGGTACTCTGGCTTCATGAAGGGGGCATTAGGCACGTATTCCTACCTTCGGGGCGTAGGGAATGGGTCGTATGGAGTTGTGCTTGCTGCCTCTTGTCGCGCGGTGTCGTTACCAGGTCTCACGAGCGCGCAGGGTGGGCAACACAGAGGAGGTGGGAAAGACCGCGGAATATTGTTGCTATTCTGGGGTATCTGTAACAGGCTTTTGACAGCTCAAATCGTACGGACTGTGGACGCCCTCGTCTCAGCCGTCATTACGCTGGCCGAGCTGATGCTCATCGCCAAGGTCGAACATGGCCGATCTCCCTGGCCAGTATCCTGCTCCGTGTTGACTCATCAGTCTCATCCAGCAGTCCTGCGTATGACGCCCGAAAATCTCTCATTACAGATGGCCTTGCCGCTCAAGCTTGAAATGCAAGGAAGCACTACCCCGCTCAATATTGGTCTGTCAGGAGGCAGCGCCTCCTTGTTGACGGACGACGTGACGTGGTAGACATGCGGCGCCGACTTCTTCTTGCGCTGCGGTACCCGAGAAATCCTTCTCAAGATTTGCTATTTCCTGAAACAAGGCCAGAAGCGCTGCTAATCCTGGCCGCGTCACTTTGAGCTCGTGCAACTCGACAGAGGCGGTGGAAGCCACTGTAAGCTCAATGCTGAAACGGGGCTGTGGGCGCGTAAGAATTTCAAGTTGAACACAAGGCTGAATGCGCGTGGTAATGGCTTGTACTGGATGAATTCGGTGTAAACAAGCCCATGAGACTCATGTGCGTAATGTGCGCAGGGATGGGTAGCTGTGCCCGGACGTGAAAGAGGTGGCTGTTGGACGAGTCGGGGACGTGCATCAGTTGGCAACTATGAACTCAAGGGCTCGAAGGAGGACACGCAGTCTAGGAGTCAGTAGAAGGCGACAGTATCGTTTCAGTATTTCGTCGAGTGTCTCTGCGACTTCGTCTTCAGAGTCGATGAGGAGGGAGGCCATGGATGTCGAGGATGCACGCACGCACGGTTAAGCCTACCCTTCAGTCCGCCAAGCTGATGAAGCAGTTGATACAAAACATCCGGTACTCATGGTGACCGCAGCTTTCCGACTGTACTTTATGTTTAGCGTCACGGAAAATGTTGTGATTGCATGTTTTGATGATAATGACGAAGGGCAAGGAGTGTTGATGAAGGGGTGAATAAATTGTCGGGTTCGGGAGCGCCGATGACTGTGATGGGGAAATGTAGCGGGCGCAAACGACGGTAAGCAACGGGATTCTTTACCTCAAGAATATAAACTTCTCAATTATAATTAGTTGTATGTTACCAAACGACCATGAGCATATTGACATGCCCATAAAGCCACACGGCATACACAACGTTACTCGCACCGTCCATCCAGAACTGTCCCCCTCCTCGCATTCCCAAGCTCAACATCACTTCTCATTCCCCTCCTCGCAAACGCCCTCCAAATTATACACGCATTCCTCCCATCCGTCGGCACATCGTTCGCGCCGAAATGCCGTCACCCGTCGGCATCATCGCCGCCTATATGTGACTTCGGCTTCTGTATAGTTCAGGTACCGGATAGATCGCATTGGAAAGCAAGCCGAGTTGAGTGACGCAGGAGCGAACAAGGACATGAGAACGCTTACAAAGCAGAGGCGAAGAGACCAAATATGTGAGACAAAAAAATGAAGGAAAGTGAAAATGTCAAGCCTCTAGCTTCACGTTACTGCGGTGACCCCTCTCCGACAAAAATGCTACGAAACAGTCGAACTCAGCGTCTCACCTTGACAGCACAACTCGTCGCAGTGACTTGCAGCTTCCCAAATACCTGACCACCCCCATTTTCAGCATCATTTTATGAATATGCGCCTGAGTCTTGGCACCGGTCAAGATCGGCAATCCTCATGTGCTGCTGATCCGAAGCCGGGTGTACCACGAAATTCCGCGACGTAACCTCCTAAGCATGCAATCAGCTCACCAACCATATCATCACCACATAACTCCACGAGTGAGAGTTTCTTGAGACATGCCAACCGCATCGCATCGTGAGGATGAGGCTGGCCTTGGCGCCGTTGCTAGAGGTGGTGCGACTGATGATCGTCGGGCAGACATTCTAGAGGCGGTTCGGGCCGAGCACCAGCTGAGCTTTGCACAGGCCGTCAGGCTGTACCCGAAAGCCATCGGCTGGTCGGCATTCGTCTCGATCGGAGTCATCATGCTCGCTTTCGATCCCCAGCTAGTGGGAAATCTGTACGCGACGCCGCAATTCAAGCGCGACTACGGACGTCCCTACAAGGACGGTGTACGTATTTGAGAAAAGCACATCTCACATCGCAGCACTGACGATAGCAGTTCATCGTTGACGCCGCATGGCAAACCGGCCTGTCTATGGGCTCGCCCGTCGGACAGGTCGTCGGGGCTCTCCTTGCGGCGTACCCCATGGACTACTTTGGCCGCAGGGTGACGTTCGCAGCCTGCGTCCTCGCCACGACCGGCATCATCTTTATCCAGTTCTTCTCGCAGTCGCTGTCTGTGCTACTCGCCGGGGAGCTTCTCGCTGGCCTCGTACTGGGAATGTTTGTTGTTATTGCGCCGGCGTATGCGTCGGAGGTGTGCCCAACAGCGTTGCGTGGACACCTTGCTTCTTACGTGAACCTGTGCTTCGTCATGGGCCAGCTCCTCGCCAACGGCGTCACGGCGGGCACGTCCAAGCGGACCGACCATTGGGCGTACTCTATTCCCTTTGCACTGCAGTGGTTCTGGATTGTCATCATCCTGCCGGGCCTGCTCTTTGTACCGGAGAGCCCGTGGTGGTACGTCCGCAAGGGCAGGCTTGAGGATGGTAAAAAGGCACTGAGGCGGCTCGCGTCGCCCTCGGTGAATATAGAAGCCTCACTGGCGTTCATTGTCGAGACCAACCGGCTGGAGCAGGAGCTCGAGGCCGGCAGCACGTACCTGGATTGCTTTCGACCAGTCAACCTTAGACGCACCGAGATCTCGATTGGTGTGTACTGCATCCAGGTATTGAGTGGCATATACCTGATTAACTACGGCACTGTCTTCTTTGAAGAAGCTGGGCTGCCTACTGATCAGGCGTTTAACATGAGTGTTGGATTTCTAGGTATGTCACTCCAATTTCCTGCTCCAATTAGCCTGCTAACCAAGTAGCTGTCGGGTTTGTGGGGACGCTTGTTTCATGGGCCTTCATGATCAATGTTGGCCGCCGCGTGCTGTATGTCTGGGGTCTCTTGATGCTCGTTGTGATCCAGCTCATCATCGGCATCCTGGACTGCGTGCCCGGCCGGCCCGCACGCGCCATCTGGGCCGAGTCGGCGCTGATGCTCGTCTGGAACTTCTTCTACGATATCTCCATCGGCCCCATCTGTTTTGTGCTGCTGGCCGAGTGCTCGGCCACACGCGTGCGGTCCAAGACGATCGCAGCCGCGACGGCGGCGCAGGGTTGCCTCGGCATCGCCATGACGGTGGCCATACCGTATCTGATCAACCCGGCGCAGGCCAACCTCCAGGGCAAGCTGGGATTCTTCTTTGGCGGACTCGCGGGGTTGTGCTTTGCTTGGGCGTACTTTCGCGTCCCCGAGACCAAGGGCAGGACATATGAGGAGCTTGATTTGCTATTTGCCAAGGGTGTGTCGGCACGACAGTTTGCAGGATACCAGCTGGAGGGGGAGCGGTCAACGGCCGTGAAGCGGGTTGAACGTGGCAATAGTAGGCAGCCAGTTAGTTTTTAGGCTGTTCTCAAGTATGAAGGTACTGATTTCTACATGGCGACTCGGAAGCGGGGGGGGGGGGGGGGACTTGAGAGGCGAAAAACACCATCTCATTTATTGACTACCATACAGTCTTCTTCGGAGACAGGGAAATTGAAGAACCTCATGCGCATCTATTCCTTCGCGTTCTTTCCTCGTGCTCGCCGTCTCCTCGATCCTCGACCGGGCCGCTTCCCTTTCTCCTTCTCAGACAGCGTTTGCGGTTCCGGCTTCTTGTCCTCACCATCCGCGGCCTGGCGCTCCTCCGAGACCTCGGCGACTGGCTCCGGCTGGGCTCGTATGCTGAGCCTCTCCATCAGGATTTCCGCTCGCTGATTTCGATAACGATTTGCCTGTCTCTGGTGCAGCTCATCGGACTTATTGGAGGAAGGACCGGGCTCGCGTCGAGATAAGTGCGCCTGGATCACTGAAGTCTTGTCAGCCGGGCTTCGGCGGGCAAAGGGTTCCCGCGCTCGGGTTCCCGGCGTGGTCGCTTACTGTGACTGTGGCAGTACGATTCTTTGAGTGCGGTGTCCCGGGAACCGCCTGGCCTGTCTTTATTGTTTGGAAGTGATGAAGAGGTCGAGCTTTGTGTCATTTCTCCTGTTTCCTGAGAAGACATTGTCTCTTTCGTGACTTGGAGGCTACTGAGAAGGAGGATCTGATGCTTCGTGAGGATGCCTTTGCTAATACCGCAGCTTGTGAGATATGAGTGCATGATATCAGTATTCTCTTTCGCGTAGTTAGTTTCAGTATTTATTCTATTTTGGTCGGTACCAGCTGCGCGTCGCATCACCCTTCTTCCCATTGTGAATCAGTGTGCATGTGGATCAGTGTCGGTACACAATGAAGTGCATCACGCCCTCAGCGCCTGCATGACACACAGGTGCCTGGAACCTTAGAAGATAAAACGTCGTGCTACATTACTCCGGCGCTACAAAGACCGGAAGCAGCTGTGTTGCTTGGAGTACTGGAGCTGCCGAGAAGGGAGAAGCATCCCCGTAATACAGCGCGGCGGAAATCTCCCCCGTGCCCAATCGTGTCCTTGCTACAGCGACTTTTGTCGCCAGCTACTCGGGCGGCACAAGACAAGGAAAAGAAAAGAACAAAAATAGAATTAAGGAGAAACATTGCGGCGGCCGTTGGCTCAACACCCTCGCCGCGTCGACGGTAGCGCACCAACTAGTTAGGGCCAACTGTTTTGACATAGAGGGCGTACGGATCTTAACGTTTGCAACGAAAGGATACGCCTTCTCCACCATGTACAAAAACTCTGCATCGCGGTGCTGAGTTCTTTTCTCTCTCTCTTCACCTTCTTCAGTCTTTATTCGGTACCTCGACAGCAACATGCGGCCTGTTGTGCATCTTTGCAAAATCGGCGGTGGTCCGCGGCTGTATTCGGCGGCGGCGCCTGCGCTCCGCATCAACGCGGCGCGTCTCCACGAGACGCTTCACCACACCTGCCAATGGGGCTCCGCACACCGCTACGGCGAGTTCGTATACCCGTTTTCCCATCTTTAAGGAATGATAATATGTACTTACGCATTCATCAGGGGCCCGACACAGACGGGCATGAACCGTCTGGCGCTGACCGATGACGACGTGGCGGTCCGGACGTGGTTCCGCGGCGCCATGGAGGACCTCGGCGCCACTGTCAGTGTCGACCAGCTCGGCAACATGTTTGCGCGGAAGGCGGGAAAGGGCCGGTCGTCGGCGCCGATGATCGCCATGGGCAGCCACTTGGACACGCAGCCGCGTGGCGGCCGGTACGACGGCATCCTGGGCGTGGTGGCGGCGGTGGAGGTGATGCGGACGCTCAAGGACAGCAACTACGAGACGCACTTTGACGTTGGCGTCGTCAACTGGACAAAGTATGTGGTTCGTGACTGAATCTAGGCGGATCAGTACTGATGAAATATTTAGCGAGGAAGGCGCGCGGTTCCCCGTCTCCATGATGGCGTCCGGCGTCTGGGCCGGCAAGATCCCGCTCGAGACGGCCTGGAACACGCGCGACGTCTTCGACCCCAGCAAGACGGTCAAATCGGAGCTCGAGCGTCACGGGCTCATCGGTGACGTGGCCTGCTCGCACGAATCGTACCCCCTCGGCGCGCACTTTGAGCTGCACATTGAGCAGAGCCCCGTCCTGCAGGACACTGGTAAGAAGATTGGCGTCGTGCAGGGAGCGCAGGCGTATAAGTGGTTCACCGTTCGAGTCACGGGCCGAGACTCGCACACGGGCACCACGCCTTTGTATATGAGAAGCGATCCATTACTCGCGGCGGCCAAGATGATTTCTCGTGCGCATGAAATTGCCAAGAGCCACGGGGCGTTAGCCTCGACGGGTATCTTTAAAATTCCAGCGACATCGTCGACAAACACAATTGCCGCGCACGTCTCACTCTCCCTTGATGTACGCCACCCGGAAGATGCCGTCGTCGCCACGGTCGTTGAAGAGATCAACGAGTCCTTTGTCAAGATTGCCCGGGAGGACGGCAAGGGCGTGAGCTACACGATGACGCTGGACACGGATTCGCCAGCCGTCAAGTTTGATAAGGACTGTATTCATACTGTCGAGAGCGCGGCGACGAATGTAGTTGGGAGCGACGGATGGTGCCATCTCACGAGCGGCGCCGGCCACGACAGCGTCTACACGAGCAAGATATGCCCTACGACGATGATCTTCGTGCCCTGTAAGGATGGCGTCAGCCACCATCCCGAAGAGTACACCTCACCCGAGGACTGGTAAGTGCCACCTAGCCGTCGCATGCGCGTCCCGAAACTAACTTTAAAAATAAAGTGCTCTTGGCACCCAAACCCTGCTCGACGCCGTAGTTGGATATGACCAGTTTAAGGCGAGTCGGTGAATTCGGTGTGGGAGGGCCGGGAGGGGCGCGGCCATGTGCCGACGAACGGGGCTCCGGGGGGTCAGTGGGGGAGCACCATGCATCTAGTCAGACTGGGATCTTTTTACCTTTCGACCAACTTGCACTTCGAGTCGAGACTCATAATTGAATGATGATAATGCCCAATATGGATTTCGAAACCCAGCTGCGAGACGAAATCGCCGCCAATGCGCAGAGCATCCTATCGCTCACCCAGGAACTCGTACGGACGCCATCCACCAACCCGCCTGGTGATGTGTCTGCAGTGGCCTCGGTGGCGGCGGATCAGATTCGAAAATTGATTCCGGAAAGCGACATCTCCACCGTCGAGACCGGCCCAGGCATCACCAACGTCGTCGTCGTCATTCGCTCAGGGCGCCACGGAAAACGGCTCATTTTTAGCGGCCACCTGGACACGTATCCGACAGGCGACGCTGCCGGGTGGGCTCTGGACCCGTTCAGCGGCCAACTGAGCAACGACGGCAAGTACATCTACGGTCGCGGCGTGTCAGACATGAAGGGAGGCATAGCGGCGTCCGTGGTGGCGGCCCAGGCCCTCGCGCGCTGCAAGGAGCGCTGGAGCGGCGACGTGGTGATTGCGCTGGCGGGGGACGAGGAGACCATGGGCACGCTTGGCACGGCGCATCTGCTGACGCACGTCGCTGATGTCGGCGAGGCAGATGCCATGATCTGCGGCGACGCGGGGTCACCGCTCATTGTGCGTGCGGGCGAAAAGGGCCTGCTTTGGCTCGAGGTCGAGGCCAGTGGGAAGCCAGCCCACGGGGCTCACGTCCACCGAGGGAGCAGCGCAATTGACCGGCTGATGGTGGCACTCTCGGAGCTCAAATCATTGGAAAAGCTTGAAATTACTGCGCCGACAGAGGTCAAGGAGGCCACCATGGCAGCCAAGCCTGTGTCAGAACCCCTGGGCGGAGCGGGCGAGGCGGCCGTCCTCGGGAGCGTGACTGTGAACATTGGCAAGATATCCGGCGGCACATCGACAAATCTCGTGGCGGAGACGGCGTCGGCATCCCTCGACATTAGGCTGCCCATGGGTCTCTCCACGGTTACACTGATCGAGGAGATGAAAAGGAAGCTCGAGAAAATTGACGGTGTCCGGTATCAAGTTGTGCGGGCCTACGAGCCATCGTGGACCCCGCCGGACGAGGAGATTACAAGGCACGCGCTGGAGGTGACAAGGCTGGTGGTGGACGAACGGGCGGTGGTGAACATGCGAGTGGGAGCCTCTGATGCGCGGTTATTTAGGGCAGCAGGGATCCCGTCTGTAGTGATTGGGCTGACGCCACATAACATGGGGGCGCCAGATGAGCATGTTGAGGTTGCGGAGCTGATGCAGGTGGCGCAAATCCATGCGTTGACTGCCTATAGATTTCTGAAGAGTTAGGATGCCGCGAGGACAGGATAGTATCAGCTTAGGCGTAACAATGGAAAAAGCATAATCTGTGGTGACTCGGGTGTCGCTGGTGACAAGGTCTTTGTGAATTGTTTGTTTCGCCAGGTCAAGGTTTCCGAGAAGCGGGTTTCTGGCATTGACCCGCCATTTCATAGGGCCAGTGGATGATCGGCAAATTCCTACCACAATGCCGGGCGGCGGCACAGGTGTTGTTGGTGTAGCAGGTTGGGAAGTGCCGAAGCATCCGCCGTGGAGCTGGGAAGTCTTTTCAGTTCATGCTCACTAGCGCTGGCGTGGAAGTCGGGCTCGAGTTCGCAGTAGAGTTGGCAGTTGGTATAATAAACGATAGCGAGGAGACGGATTGACGGATCTCGCGAGCGCCAGCACTAGAACAGTTGGTCGTTCCAAGAGGGTTAGCAGGAGGGTAAACGGCAAACGCGGCGAACTGGAGGACTTAATCCGCCGACCGGAGAATAGGGCATGGCCTGATGCTGCATGGTTATCAGATTTAAGAGTGGCGATGGAGAATAGAAAGAGGATCATGCGGGGAGAGTGGATGGGAAGGTGGGATTGTGCGTGACTGAAACTGTGCGCGATGCCACAAAGGGCATGTGGTGATAATGCAGTGGAAGAGTTGCTGACAAGGCTGTGGGTGGTAGCGATGACTGATGGGTGCCAAGAAATCCGGTGTTCGATAGATGATGCTTGTTTGGGAATGAGATATTTATTTGACAGAGGAATTTTTGATTTCATTTCCCTGTATTTTTACAACCCGAATCGCGTGTTTATTTCTTAAGCCGCCAATTGTCAACACCATTAAAATATCCACACCGTTTAATAGTCGAGCCCTTCAAGGCTAATTGAAGTTACAGTGGTTGTTTGTGGGGAAAGGACGTTGTCAGCTGAGGAAGCCTTTTGAGACAACCGTCGATGCTAGGAGTGCCCCGTGGCGACACCGCGAAAAGATGCCAATTGATCAAAAGGAAAAGCGATTGAAAGACTTTCGAGATGTTCACAACGAGAAATACCAACAAAGAGGCGGCAGCATAAAAAAGCCTCGGAGCAAGTCTAACTAGACCCCAACTGGGAACTGGGAAGCCCGCCACCGAAACTACCGCAGACCCCGAATAGTGGGTGGGTTCGGCGTCGGCACGATACGAGAAAGGCCACGCAATGCTTTTTTATTTTTATGTCCTTTTATTTTTATCCCATTTAATTTAGCCAGCTTTTTTTTTTTGCTTCCCGGGTCCCCAGCCAAGAGCTAGCTCCAGCGAAAAAAAGGCCAGCCAGCCCAAGTCCCCGTCCTGTTCTAGGTTGTAAAAAAGGGACGTCGTCTCTCCCGGTTTCTGCTTCTCTCCTCTCGCTTCAGCAAGCGAAAAATGGCCTCCTTCAACACATAGATTCCCCCCAAATCTTCATCTCTTCTTCCGGAATTAGTTACATATTACACACATTATACGTATCTTGCAGTCGGCCGGCCCACTGCATCCGATAGCCGCAATTATGGAGCGTTTGGGCGAGAAGGACAAGGTGACGGTCCCTGAAATCGTGGCAGTGCAACAGCCGGATGCTGCCTCCGCCTCCTCCAACCAGGACATGGAGCTAGCATCTGCACCACTTCCAACAACGCCATCATCACCACCATCTATCACGCACGATCAACGTCACAGCCTCGAGAACACCGACTCCGCCCCCGAAAACCCTTCCTGCATCGTCGGCGCCGGCTACCAGCACCCCGTCCGCCTTGCCCGCAACCCCTCCACCGGCGTCTACAGCATAGTCCTCGAGCAGCGCTTCCGCAACAACCTGGGCCTCGCCGTCGGCTTCCTCGAGCTTGCCAACGCGGGTGACTTTGCCGCCAATGTCTGGAACGACGTCCCCGTTCCCGTGTACGCCATCGTGTGCATGGCCCTCGGCGCCACCGGCGCCGGTATCCTGGCCTACTTCGCCTTCAAGGACGCCCGCTATGCCTGGCGCAACGTCGTCTTCCTGCGCCGCCAGCGCGCCCGTCTAAGGGAGACTCTCAAGGAGCGCGAAGCCCAGGGCCACGCGACCCGCGACCTCCGCGTGCTGCGCGAGCTCATCCTTCGCGAGCTCGGCTGCGAAGTCGTCAACCGCTTCGGTATGGACGTCCTGATGGGCTTCGGCGCCGTGCTTATCTGCATCGGCACGTACATGGCCATCGGTGGCGCCAACTACACGGTGTGGTTGACTAGTAACATCCTCTCCGGCTACCTCGGTAACGCCCCCATCGCCCTCTACGGCCTGGTCAACTCGGGCTGGGCCGCGTACCTGGCTCTGAAGACCGAGGGTCACGTCCGCGCCACCGCGCGCGCACTTCCCGACTCGCTCGAGTACAGACTGGTCCGCCAGCGCGGCAAGAAGCTGCAGCTGTATTGCGGCATCAACGGCACCATCACCCTCGTCGGAGGCGTCGCATCCATGCTGACGGCGACGCAGTGGTGGGCCTACGTCATCCTCATCCCCGTCATCATCCTGTCCTTCACGTGCAACTGGTTCTGGCGCACGCGTCTGGGCTACAGCCACGACGAGGTCCTCCAGATGCCAGACATTGGCGTCGAGAAGCTGTCCCGGGTCCTCCGCTTCGCCGCCGGCGCACGGGACGGTCTCGTGCGAAACGCGGAGCGCGCAAAGGACGACCTGGTGCGGCAGGCCGCCACCCTGCCGCAGGCGCTCGACCTTATTGAGACGTCGGGCTTGCTGGAGGCGTTTTGCGTCAAAGTCCTCTCGGATACCAGTCTCTGCTACGCGCTTTGCGACCCCAATGCCGAGCAGGTCGAAGTCTCGCTCGCCGACATTGCCGCTCTCCCCGCTTCTCTGCACCCCGCGCTGCTTGAGGCCGCGCACGAGTGCTTGCGGTCCGCTGGGGTGCGGCGTTACGCCCATCTCGAGCGCTTCACGGCTGAGTTGCTCGGCATCTACCTTCACCAGGTTGAAGAGTCCGCAGATCCGGAATCTGCCCAAAAATAGGAGATTTTTAACGACTTGAAGAATTCATCCAGCACGCGACACTTACATATAATATAGACATAGATACAACCTATGAATACTATGCCATTCGACCACTTGAAGCCAGAATTCCAGTGCCAATTCAAATCTCTAGAGGCCGCAGATTTTCACCATGCCAACATACCAACAGAAACCCGATCCTCCTCCAGTCGATATTGTCTTGTTCGCCGGGTCAGATTTTAGGCTTGCTTTCGACGAGACCTTTTGTCGCACTAATACAATCTGCATGCAGGAAGCGGTGCAATGGTTGCATCGTTAGCGCAAGAGCACAACAAATCATTTTTCTTCGATCAGCTCCCAAAACCCACACTCGAATTGCATATAAATCATAGCGATCAAATATGGGAAAGAATGCATCATATCGTGTTTACGAGAGCGATCGGCTCTGCCCAGCATGTGTGGGCAGCGAGTCACCACTTAGACTTGCAATTGTGCTACCTGGCTGTTGAGTGTGAGATAACGTTACAGTGATACAGCAGTGAGGGGCATACACCAAAGGGTCAAGCTCGCCAACCGCCAGAATCAACCAGTAGAATTTCACGCATGGAAATACACAAGTATTTAGTCGCTGCCTAACAATCGGCCGTCCGTTGATTGAGGCAATGGGGCCGCGAGCTTCCTGCAGACCATCGAGATTTCGAGGCAAGAAATACGAAAACCATGGCAACTGGCAGGGGGGAAAGAACAGACGATAATAAAGAAAAGAAGATCGGCATAAAATAGCACGCCAATTAGCAGGTGCGTGGTATTTTCTGCTCCTCAGTACGGGGCTGGCAGGGCTGTTTAGCTGTGGACGCGCCGTTTGAGGCGCCAGTAGTGATGTCATGGAAGCAAAATCAAGGCAAGCCACGCCACGAAAAAAAGGCGATTTGAAACGAGCTGCGATTGTTTATTTATTAATTGCTTCTCGGGCCTAAAGGTGCAAGAGGACACAACCGCCCGAATACCTCGCCGCGAGCTCATCTGTTCACTGCTGTCGCCGGGAAGAGACCAGTCCAAGCTCCGAGACAAATTCTGCAACGGCGCCGTGCGAAGACCATGAAGGTCAACACCACCACAGCACTAGCCTTCTTGGCAACCGTTAGGATCGGCAGGGCAGCGCCCGCCCCGACACCAGCCCCGACGCCGATACAACCCGTCCAAGCTGCTGGTGATGGTAATGCCGCTGCTGCTGCTCCCACGCCTGCTCCTATGCCGGTGCAGCCCCGTGGCCTCGGCGACGACATATCCAGCTATGTAAAGAGCCTGGGGAGCGAGATTGACAGCAAGATCTCGTCGTTTGTTGGCTCCGGCCTGCTTAACTTCCCGCACGGCTTCCCGACGGGTACCGCGGTCGAGAGCTCGCTGGGGATCACGGCCGGAGCGCTGGGCGCGCAGCCTACGCGGGTGCTCAACCTGCCGTAAGTGAACAGATCTTTGTCGATATTATGATGGCGAAACGTGCACGAGCTAACGCGTTGTTTCCTTTCGGAAAAGTGCCTACGCGAATTGGACCGACGACGGCTGGAACGTCCGCGTCCACGGCAATGTCTACAAGGTGCCCGACGTCGCGCAGGACAAGATCGATAAACTAGCGGACGCCTTCTTGATTGGCACCAGCGTCAAGGACCTTGACGACAATGCGAAGACGCAGGCGCGCAACTTGACGAGAGAGATCTTTGTGGTGCAGCAGGGCCACGAGAACGTGACCATCAAGTTTGTCGTGCCCAGTAGCAACTCGTCTGCTCCACGAGGAGGCTGCCCCCCCCCCCCCCTATTCGCAATGCTAACTGCGTCGCCCGAACTCCAGAAAGCAGGTGGGCAGGAGATAACGCTGCCGTACGAAACGACAGCTGAGGGTGACTTCGATGTCTTTGTCCCGCTCAAGAACGAATCCAGCAAGGCCAACGGCACGGACGCCTACTTGCTCCCTGGCAACGCGACGACCAAGATCCAGACGCTCAACATGTATGCTAACGGCACCGACACGGGCAACGCGACCGCCTACCTCGTCCCGCCCGAGGGCGTGACGGTCGTCTCCGACATCGACGACATCCTCCGCGTCACCAAGATCTACAAGCCCAAAGAGGGCCTACTAAACACCTTTGCGCGGCCCTTCGCCCCGTGGCTGACCATGCCCGCCGTCTACAGCAACTGGTCCACATCGGCCATCTCCTCGCTACACTTCCACTACCTCACCACCACCCCTGAGCAGGGCACGCGGCCTTACATGGACTTTATCTTCCGGACCTACCCGGCCGGCTCCTTCGACACACGGCCGCTCAACCTCACCAACACCAAGGAGACCCTGCAGATCCGCCGGTACCTACTCGACCGTGTACTCCAGACCTTCCCGCGGCGCCGCTTCGTGCTCGTCGCGGACACGAGCAACGCGGACGTCATGAAGGCGTACCCGGGCGTCTTCAAGGACTACCCGGGGCGGGTGAGCTGCATATTGCTGCGCAACACGTCGTCGACGGACGCGGACGACAAGCTGCCGTACGACACGGCGGGTTTCAAGGACATTCCGCAGGAGAACTACATGTTCTTCAAGGTGCCGGAGGACCTGACGGGGATCGACATTGAAAATGGACACTGTTTCAATGGGTCGGTCGCGCAGAACGTGACGTTTGGCGAGCAGGGCGTACCGCTGGGCTTGGGCGAGAAGAAGAGCGATGCCTCAGGTGGCGTGGTGTCTGCGGGCTATGCGCTTTCGGCGGTGATTCTTGTGGCTGCCCTGATGGTGTTTTTGTAGATGTCGATTTCATGATAATGAGGAAAGTTGGTTTCTCTAATACATGTGGCGCCGTGTCCGATTCGCATGCTGGACAAAGAAGTGAATCCTCTCCACCAATCAATGCCCCGGATGCAGTAGCTGGGATTCCTTCCCTGCCATGTGTTTACTTAATGCGGGGTAGTAAAAGCAAATATTACAAGGAAAATATTCCGTAGCGGTTCTTTTTTTGGACCCGGTCGGGACTTGATGCATGCCCTGGACGAAGGCCGCAATGGCGGGCTTTCGGCCGAGAGGGCCGAGAGGGCCGCGGCTATTTCTCATCAGCATAGTCGGGAATTCTCTTGGGGGTTTCGTCTCTTTGAAGTCCCTACACAGGGTATGAGGATAAATTCTGCGCTTATATCGCCGCCTGACTCCGCATGATGTGTTGCGCAAGCTCCCTGGTCCGGCAATGCAGGATCCCGGTCATTTACGACTCCATCAAAGCCGGCCAACACGGGCATGAGCGCGCGGGGTCGGAATAGGTCCTCCACGTCCAAGAAGATACTGAGAAAAATCCGCGACGTATAATAATTCACCTTCATTACTCACACCATCATGATATCTCGGTTGCCAAGCTTGGCTTACATGGCGCCCTACACGTGATGCGGAGTCTATCTCTCTCAGCTCCGCAGATACGCTCGCTGTTAAGCTTCACCTCGGCTCCCCCTCATCACTTACCTGCTGCGACCAACTCATTTCCGCTCACCATGTCCGACACGACCGTCTTCATTAACGGCCGCATCTACGCGACCCCGCGCGAGCAACAAGCGGAGGCGCAAGCCGCGCCCGTCTTCGCCGAGTGCATGGTCGTCGCCGACGGCCTGATCCGCCACGTCGGCGCCCGAGCGGACCAACCCGTCCAGGCGGCCCTCGCCGCCGGCCCCGCCACCACCACACAGGACCTCGCCGGCCGCTACATCCTGCCCGGCTTCGTCGACGGCCACCTGCACCTACTCATGGTCGGGCAGGCGCTCCAAAAAATCAGCCTGGACCACTGCAAGACGCTCGCCGACGTGCGCGCCGCCATCGCCGCCGGCGCGGCCGCCGACGCCACCTCCCCGCGGCTGTTCGCGCGCGGCTGGACGCACAGCATGACGCCCGACGGCGTCGACTGCGCGGCGCTCGACGACCTCGACCCGCGGCCCATCTTCGTCGACACCAAGGACCTGCACAGCACCTGGTGCAACAGCGCCGCGCTGGCGGAGATTTGCGCCCGCACGGGGCTGTCGGACGCGTCGCCGGACCCCGCGGGCGGCACGCTCCAGCGCGACGCGCAGGGGAGGCTCAACGGGGTGTTCAACGAGGGCGCCGTCTTCCAGGTGATTTGGCCGTTTGTGGCGAGTGTCGCGTCGATGGAGGAGAAGAAGGCGTCGATCCGCGCGGCGATTGCGCACTTCAGCGCGGCCGGATATACCGGCATGGTGGACATGGCCATGGACGACAACATCTGGGACCCGCTGATCTCCCTGCGTGAGGAGGGGGGGTTGGGCGCGATGCGCATCGCCGCGTACTGGCTGATGAAGCCCAACGACTCGCTCGACGAGGTGCTGGCGCAGGTCGACCGCGCGGCGGAGATGGCGGGCCGGCACAACGCGACGACCACGCCGGACTGCCGCGTGGTCGGCATCAAGGTCATCTGCGACGGCATCGTCGACGCGTGCACCGCCTCGCTCACCGAGCCCTACGCCAACGGCGCGGACCCGGACGCGCTGTGGCCCGCGGACGTCCTTCACAAGGTCGTCGCCAAGGCGCACCGGCTCGGGCTGCAGGTCGCGCTGCACGCCATCGGCGACCGCACCGTGACAATGGTCATCGACGTGCTCGAGGCCAACACGGACGCCTCGCGCCGTCCGCGCGTGGAGCACCTGGAGCTGGCCTCGCCCGCGGACGCGGCGCGCCTCGGCAAGCTGGGCATCACCGCGTCGGTGCAACCGGTGCACGCGGACCCGGCGATCCTGCGCGCGTGGCCCGCGCTGCTCGGCGCGGACCGGTGCCGCCGCGCGTTCGCCTACCGCGAGTTCGTCGATGGCGGCGCGGTGCTGGCGCTCGGCTCGGACGCGCCGACGGCGCCGCACGTGCCGCTGCCGAACCTGTACGTGGCGACGACGCGGAGGTCGTACCGCGAGCGGGAGCTGCAGACGGTGGTGAACCCGGAGTTTGCGCTGACGGTGGCGCAGGCGATCTCGGGGGCGACGCACGGGTCGGCGTACTCGTGCTTCGCGGACGGCGAGACGGGAAGCCTGGAGGTCGGGAAGAAGGCGGACTTTGTGGTGGTGGACATGGAGCCCACGCCGGAGAAGCTGATTGACGCCGTGGTGCAGGAGACGTGGTTTGAGGGGCGGATGGTGTTTAAGAAGGGGTAGATGGACGAAGCATGTAATTATTATGAAAAGAAAATACGCAGCCTGCTGTTTGTTGTCCCCGGAAAGTATGCATAAATCTACAGGCTTGATACTCCACACCTACAACCCGGCAAACGTCAACAAGATGTAGCCCGTCTAAATGCCCCTGCGTATTTTATCAATAAGCCATGTTGTATCTCTCTTGATTCTGTGTACGATAGTCAACTTCTCCTACCGTAGTCAGTATCTATCTATTCTATTTAGGATGAAAAGACAACAGCGACAGGGGGGATGGGAAGGATGGGAAGGATGGGAAGATGGGAAGGATCAAATTAGTGACAATACTTTCTACATAAATATTGTTGACTCGAGGCTTCTGGGCACATCCGGAACGGATGAACGTTGCATCGAAGCACAGTATATAGCACATCTTACAGCACATAGGATAACTTCACTAATCAATTATCCTTAATCCTCTCATGTCCCTGTACCTGATTCAATCAGATGGTTACTCTGATCCTGAGCCACCCTCGTTTTGGTCGTCGTCCGGGTCGTCGCCCACGCCCGTGCTGTCATCCTTGTCATCATCATCGGGGTTGATCATAAAGACATCCATTATCCATTTGCGAAATGTCACCTCAACCCAGTCTGCCAACTCCTGCAACACAGCAACAATAGTATACAGCCCAAGCAGCGATGAGGTCTCTCCGATAGAAAAATCTCCCAATATTTCCAGACCCTCTCCTCCTCTGTCACAGGCAAACAGGAGTTTCCAGTCCTGGCACAAGGTCAACATCAGAGGGAGGGTAATTATCTTGGCCTCTACCTTGCGAGGCTTGGGTGCCCACAGATTCTGGCTGTCATCGTCTCCGCCCTGCTCAAATTTGCTCATGATCGAAAGCATGCGACGGTGCCACGCTGACGTCCAGATGGCCAGTTGCAGCTTGCCCTCTTCTTCGCTTCTAGCCATTTTGATCTCGATGCTGATAGCAATTTCGCCGGAACATGACGGGGGTGTATGTCGTCTGGTTAATACTTTGAGACTCGTCTGACTCTCGATGCAGGACGTAATTCTGAATCGCCATCCGCAATCTCTCGTCGGCTGCCGTATTGTGCTTGTTGCCTTTGGCAGGGCGTGTTTGGGCGCGAGATCCAGTCGCGGCTGGTGTTAGCACGAGCGCGAAATCAACCATTTTGCCCTCGGCAACCTTGCCCTCGCTGCTGCCGACGTCAGCGAGCGGCGGTATAAATGACGGGCATATCCGTGCTGTCTGGATAAGCTCCTCGTCCACGTAATGGTGATCCTTCAAGGCTAGCTTCAGTAATGGCTCGTGAACCAGCATATTAACGGCAAGCTCAGAGCGGCCGAGCTCCTGGCTTTCCTTAGAAACGAGTAATATCTCCTGTAACTCATCGAAAAAGCTTGGAGCCTCTGATGTCCGGAAAGAGAAGTCTGGTATCTCACCCCCAGTGGCTTGGGGTATATTCTCGCGGTCTGTGGTAGGTAGGTAATTCGAGTGATAAAATGCAATGCTGTTGATGCGACTATACAATGACTGCACGTCGTTAGGGAGCTGCCGTAATGGGACTTGCAGGTTGGTGAACCACACAGGCTTTTCCAGTCCCTTCAGCAACTGCTTCTTCTTGACAGGGCTTGAGCGTCTGAACGACCTCCCTGAACGTTTGGCAGATGATGCAGATGTGGACGGTAGGCCTGCGCGCCCCATCCGCAGCGGCATCTCCTGCGACTGCGGCGTCTCGGCACTCTCATTGTGACTCGGGCCGTCATCTTCATATTCATCGGGCCGATTCTGCAAGACCTTTCGCTTCTTGGTTGGTGACACGTCTCGTCGACGGTCTTGGCCGGAGGAAGGTAAAGCCGCGCTTGGGGTAGGCAGTCTGTTGGCAGCGTTGTTGTCAGCGTTGTCAGCGTCGCCGTAGTCGTCGTATGTGCGTTTATTGACGTTATTAAGCCAGGATAATAACGCTTAGATTACGGGTTTTGGTGGTGGTTACACTGAGGGCTGGGTTGATAAAGAGCTGGCTGAAACGATTGAGGGAGATGCAATGGGCATGGCCAAAATACGTAAGCTACTTTTCCCTTCTGAGACTGAGTCATGAAGGCATTCAACAATATTTATGTTTTCAAACTGCAAACGCCCTTGAATGTTCCTTTGCGTTGTAGATCCAGGATACGTTTGTATGCCGTCCGTCACCCCACGGATGCTATTGAGTCGGGTGCTGCTATCCTTCTGGCGCTTTTAATATTTGTGCGCTGTGTGGGAATCATGTCGATCGGCGAGCGATGGACTTTGGCGGTGGCGACGGGGACGGGTTCGACTTTGGCGGGTTCGGCATGGGAGACGGCATGTGGTGAAAGTAGTGTTGATTACACTGTTTATGTATTTTCTACAACTACTAACCCTAGTTCTTCTTATGCGCGACGGGAAGCTTCCCGCGCGGCGTATCAATACCGTAAATAACGTCCACCGCCGAGCGGAAAGCCTCCAACGTCGGCTCATACACCACAATCAGGTTCCTCACCGCCGCCTCGTCCAGGAAGTCATACGGCGCACACGTCGCGACGCTAATCAGCGGCCTATTCCCTCTCCGGCGCGCAATCTCCAGGCCGAGCCTCTGCTGGTACGGCGCCTCTCTCGCGTTGCGCGTCGCCAAGATGACCACGTCCGCAGCCTCGACCTTGGCCCACTCCTCGTCGGTCAGCGGCTGCTTCTCCGTGTAGCGAATCTCCTCCGCGCCGGCGCAGTGCTTGCGGATCTCGTCGCCGAAGGAGCTCGACACCCACGGGACGCGCGTCGGGTGCGCCGCGTCGCCGCTGTTGACGGCGCCGCCACCGACGGGGAAGTCGGGCCCGGGCGAGACGAACACCGTCTTAACAGCGGGGGATGTAGGAAGCAGGCCGTCTTCGCTCCGCACGACGGTGACGGCATCGGAGTAGATTTTGCGGGCGAGCTTGGCGCCGCGGGCGTTGATTTCAGCCAGGGCCTCGTCGGTGGAGGTCTGCAGCGCCTGCTCCCAGGAGGTGAACTTGTCCTTGAGCTTATCCAGGCGCGCCAGGCTCTCGTCGATGCGCGGCTGCGAGATCTCGCCCTTTTCGATCGCGCTGCACACACGGTCGACAGCAGCAGCCTGGACCTCGTACGTGTGGCAGATCATGACGCTGTCCACGCCCGCCTTCAGCGCCAGCAGCGCACCCTCCACCGTGCCGTACGTCGCGCGGATGCCGTCCATCTCCAGGCAGTCCGTGACGATGACGCCCTCGAACCGCATCTCCCCCCTGAGGATCCCGAGCACCTCCGGGGCCAGGGTCGCCGGCGTCTGCGTCCCGGTCAGCCGCGGCAGCGCAATGTGCGCCGTCATGACCATCTCGACGCCCTCGCGCGCCGCGCGCGCGAAGGGCACCAGCTCGGTCTCGTCCAGCCGCGCCCGAGTCTTGTCGATCGACGGCAGCCCGTAGTGCGAGTCGACCGCCGTGTCGCCGTGGCCAGGGAAGTGCTTCGCGCAGGGCACCACGCCGCCCGCGCGCAGGCCCGCGGCGCAGGCGGCCGCGAGACGCGCCACCTGATGCGGGTCGTCGCTGGGGCTGCGCACCCCGATGACGGGGTTCAGCGGCTCCGAGTTGACGTCCGCGACGGGCGCGTAGTTGACGTTGATGCCAAAGTGGCGGAGCGTCTCCGCCGTGGCCGCGGCGACTTGTGCTGCGGCGTCGGAGGAGGCTACGGCGGCGGCAAGGGTCATGGGGCCGGGCTGCTGGGCGGCGACGGGTGGGGAGAGACGCGTGACGAGCCCGTTCTCCTGGTCGATGCCGATGAGCAGAGGGCGCGGGTGGTCCGCGGCGCGCGCGAGGGCCTGCAGGTCGTGGCACAGGGCGCGGAGCTGCGCGGCGGAGGAGACGTTGCGCTTGAAGAGCACGACGGCACCGACGCCGTAGTCCTGGATCAGGGACTTGATGTTGTCGTCGACGGCGGTGCCATGGAAGCCGACGGCGAAGAGCTGTTGTGCGAAGTGTGAGTTGTCACGGGCGGGCTGCGGCGTGTGGGAGTTGACGTACCTGGCCGACCTTTTTACGCTGCTCTGTTGATACCATTGTAACGGTTGTATGAATTGTATGAAGAAGCAGTTAATTCCGGGCAATGGAATCGGACGTGGTTCTCTATTTAAACCGGCAGCTATGTAGCTACGGTCGCTCGGCAGGAGTCACCTGGGATGTAACCTGGACAGCTTGTTCTGTGGTGGGGCGACGGCGATGTTCGGCGTACAGTGTGCTGAATACTCAGCGCTGATTCAGGCCGTTTAGATATTTTCCTGGCTTTTTAATGACATGAATTGAATGGCTTTGGCCGTCTTCCTTCGGGCGAGTTGGGCGGGCTGCACTCGGCTTAGAGCGCCGGCCAGCGATCTTCCCCTAAATGTACGTGGGGGAACCAAGACACCCCACGATGGGAGGTAACGTTTGGTCCCCCCCACCAAGGGCGAATGGGGGAGTGGGAGGAAGGGAATCGTCAAGACGGAAGCAAACGTTTTAGCAATTCATGTTCAGTTCCTGGTGAGAGAGGAGTGTTGATTTGCTAGGGTAGCCTTCGTTACCATTTGATGACTGATTGCTGCTCAAAGAACATTAAAAGAAGAACGAGTATTTGGAAGGAGCGTCACATCAAACACTGTTGGTAATTATTTTGATTGACCGTGCTACCGATACTGATACGTTATAGTACAACCTCCGTCCGTCCCTTTCCAATGCGCCGATGTATGAAACTAGATGATAAAACAGGTGACTGATAGATTCGTCAAGACATGGTGATTAAATGGCGAGAAATGAGCCACGAGCCACACTTGTCGTGTCCTCGATAGAAGCGAACCGAGATGAAGAAAATGGAAACAAGGAATGTGTCTCGCTTTATTTGAAAGCGTCGGTAAACTCCGTCTGGCCGTCCATGATGGCGTCGGCGTTCAAGCGCACGCTCCACTGGATCATGTCGGTGTGGGGTTCGGCCTGGTACTCGTTGCCGTGGTCTCCGATGTTGCTGTTGGCCGACTTGAGGCCGGCCGGACGATGGTGGTTGAAGACGGGCGGCTGGATGGTGAGGCAGTTGTGCTTGCGACGGCCCTTCTGGCCCATGCAGTAGAAGCGCAGCAGTATGTCGAGGGGGTCGGCGACCTCGCGCAGGCCGATCTCGCGCAGCAGGCCGCGGGCGCCCTTTTGCGTCACGGCGTAGCCGAGCGAGCAGACGCCCGTGGAGACGTGGTGGACGGCGCGGGTGCGCTTCGGGTAGTCGTCGACAAGCTCGTAAGGGTGCGGCGCGAGGGACCAGAGGCCGCCGGGGGGCACGGTGACGTCGTCACGGTGGATGACGCGACCCATGGGCAGGCCCTCTTTGGCGTTGGGAAAGCGCATGCCGCAGTGGCCGAGCCACATCATCTCCCACTCGTCGCCGTAGGGCGAGATCTTGGGCGTGACGGTGCGCGGCAGGGCGTTGATGTCGAACTCGCCAACGGTGGCGTTCTGCAGGTCCTCGTTGGTCGGGTAGGTCGAGTCGGCGTAAGTGCTGGTGCTGCCGGCGAGGGGCTGGGTCAGGGCCTGGGTCGAGATGGCGAGATCCTGCATGATGGAGCGGATGCGGACGTCCCAGTCCGAGTCATCCTCGAGGATGAGGGCCGAGGAGATGTTGAGACGGACAATTCTGGGGAGGGTGAGGTCATGTTAGCGCATGGAATCTTATCGCGAGAGATGCACAAGATTGAAAGTGTTGGATCAGAGACAATACGCAAGGCGCAAGGGGCCATACTCTTGGAGGGCGTTGATGTGGCCGCGCCAGCAGCCGAGCTCGCCGCCAGTCAGATGCTTGCCGTCCTCGCCGACGGGAACGGCCTTTTCTGAGATGTTTTCGCCCAGAGGGCCGTCGATGAACTCGATGGTGAGGTCGCTCAGGGCGGCCTGGAGGGCCATGCCGTCACGTCGGTCGGTACGGGAAGCGAGGCCCATGACGTAGATTTTCTCAAACTGCGACAGTCAGCGGCTTGCGGGAAAAAAAAAGACAACAGCGACGAACTCACCCCTAACGTGCTATTGTTGATATTGTCGAGAATGTTATTTCTATAGAGGGCCTGGGCTCTGTCCCTGACCGGCTGGATGCGATGGCTCTGCAGCAGGACCCAGACGAAGCCGATGGCGGCCAGGATGGCTAGGATGAAGCGCTTCGGCATGGGCACGGCAAAGAGCCGGCCCGGGGTCGACTTGGGATCGCTACCGTACATCTGGGGCTCGGTGTCGGTGTCGGCGGCGGCTATATGCGTATTTTCCGTGATGCGCAACGATGATATGATGGGATGGGATGGGATAGGATCCGATCGAGTTGGACGATGGAGGATGGAAAAGAGCAAAGGGTCCAGGGGCTGATTGATGGACGGGGAGGGAGGGGAGAAGAAACATGAAAAAAAGACTAGTTATCCGTATAAAGAACGAAAAAGTATGGGCCGACTGGAGGCAGATATTGGTGGACGTATCTAAATTAGGACAGATAAAGTGGTCGCTCTCGATGGTTCCCGAGTGGCCCCTTGACAGCTATTTTCTTTTCCTGGAACGAGGGGGCTATATTGGTAGAATGTCAAGTAATAATAAAAGGGGAGGAAGATGGTCATAAATGACTCGAGTTATGGTTCAAGGTCTCTGTCACCAACCATGGCGCCTTCCTTGCTAAAGAAAAAGGAAAAAAAAAAAAGAAAGTGGCGACTTTCTCCTGAAAGCCTCCAGCCCCAGCCCTCCCCAGGCACTAATAACTACCTACAGTACATACATATGTACATACATACATATACATAGCTAAGGTAGTCAGCTAGCTGGGCTGACTTGTTCGTGGCGCTCGCTCTGCCCGCCCTTCCCTCCAGATGCAACTGCTTCATCAATTTACCAATACGGAATACAGCAAGTTATCTTGCCTTTGTCAACGTCAGCTTGACGTTCCCAGCTAGCCGCCTTGTGTATCTATCATATACTTCTTCTTGGCAATTTCGGTCGCCTTGTGAGACATTGACAGCACAGCACAGAACAGAACAGCGACTGGCTGTCACCTGACGGCAGTTGAGCCTTGGCCGCGCATCACAGTGATTCCAGTGATCAGTGCAAGCCGTGCAAGTCATGGGAATCTGCAGACAGGGACAGGGGTTGTTCAATATTCAGCCGCCCACTCATTGGCCAACCCGCAACCATGCCCCAGTCGGGTCAACTTTGACCCCTATTTCGACCATCCTGCCAGTAACTAAGTAACTTGTTAGACAAGACCAAAGGCCGTCTCGTCTTTCACTTGTCCCCTTGTTGGCCAAGATGGGTTGATGGATACCGAGTACTCCGTACTCCGTGCAGCCGAACTTAACTGCTTGGCAATGCGGGATGCCCCGACGCTGGCTGACATGACTTTACCCTTCGCCGTTATGAAACCGCCGTGACACGCATTGTCAATGGCTACTTACCTCGCACCCTGCCAAACAAGCACAATGTCCTACTCAGTACTCCATAACTACCTTCTCAGAAAGTAACCATCGCGCGCAACAGCTGGCCCAAGCTTAGCATGACCGCTCGCCTAACCCCGTCCCTGCGACCACCACGCGGCCCCGGCAACGGATCCAAGCATGTTCCCAGCTAACATTATTAAGCTCGCGGCATTTTCCTCCCTTTGTTATGGGCATTATCAAGTTTGTATTGTGTATCGATAGTACACCTTGTTTTACAACGCCCCCTCGATCGAGTCAGGCTCAGTGCCGCGATGCTCAGTCCGCGTGTCCGCTGCGCTACCCGGGACGCACTCCCCTGGGCCCGAGCGGGCGAGCCGCACCACGGCGCCGAGGATCCTCAGACCAACACATGACTACTGGTTCAATACAGTTTTTTAGGATGCAAGATACATCTCATTCATTCCTCCTCGCTCTGATAATCACCTTGCCGGGACATACAACGCTCCCCGGAGGCTGCGCAATGCCTGCTACCACAAAGCCAGCCTCCTTCTCCCCAGCGGTGATGTTGATCTCCATCTTCATAGCCTCCAATATGGCCACAACTTGTCCTTTCTTGATCTCGTCACCCTCCTGGACAAGCACCTTCCAGACGTTGGCGTCTACGGGCGACTTGATCAGCGCCACATCGTCCGACTCCTCATCGCCCTCTTGCTCCGTCGCATCTGCTGTCGCCAGTTTCTGTGCTTCCACCCACTCCTGATACAGCTTCTCTTCCAAATCGGCCATGTCAATAGACACCATCTCCTTTCTTCGCTTCCAGTCCTGGTATTTGGGATTCCGCGCGACTTCGTCAAACTGAGCGATGTACTCGTCCATGTTGATGGTGGTCTCGGTAATGTCGAAGACGAATCGCCCCGCCTCAAAGTCCTGCTCAATCCGTGCGTACTCCTCCTCGGATACCTGGTAGAACTTGACGAGGTCAAACTGGTTGAACAGCCAGGGCTTTTCCGGCGAGAAGCCAGGCCGGTTGCCCGCGGCGTCCCAGCCGCCCAGCGTGCGGCCCATCAGCTGGTACCCTCCCGGCGAGGCGACTGGATAGATGGCGGCCAGCGAGCCGCCCAGGCCGATGGAGCCTCGCGGGGTGTATGTACGCGTCGGGTTGTACTTTTGACCGGTGATGACGCGCCACGGATCGAGGGGGTACAAGATGGGCGTGCCGACGAAGAAGCCGACGGCCACGGTCAGCCACGGGGCCTTGAGGACGGTATCGAACACATCTTGACGGGTCGCGAGGGCATTGTTTCTACGTAGGTACTCCACGTTGTCTGGCATGTAAGCCGCGGTCGGCCGGACATGCTCCATGTATCTCTGGCTCGACTCGGCAAGCGATGAATGGTCAAGGCAGACCGGCAGCCTCACCTGCCTCGCCGGTATCTGAATGCCGGAGACCTCGCCGACTTCGCTGTCTAGCTGGAGAAGTCGCGCTAGGAGACTCGCCCTTGGTGTCTTTTGCGGGTTGAAGTACACGGTGAGCGTGGCAAAGTTGGGCTCGCCGCGGACGCCGGGGAGCTGAGCGCGAGAGAGTCCTTGCAGGAGAAGGTGGACGCAAGTAGTGTTTCTCAAGTTTGGCACTTGCTCCCCATATTCGACAACTATGCCGGCATCACCACCCTGGCGGTACGTCACCCGAGGATGACTGCCTGAAGCCGGTGTCTGGTGCAAAATGGAAGACGCCGGAGCTTTGGCAACTTGGACGTGCGGAGGGGGTATTGCACAATCACCACCCTGTGAGTACGCTGCAATAGCCTGTAGATATTGCCGCTTTCTCTCTGAAAGCCGGAGGGCGTCCTCGAACGAAATCGACAGGAACCGCACTTTGTTCCCCGTCCTCAGCTGCCCGACCTTCCACATATCGGCGGAGCACACCGTCGTTAGGCAGGCGAAACCGCCAAGGCCGGGTCGGTCGTGGGCAAAGATGATGGGTGATTCGCCGGTGAAGTTGACGCCACCATCGGGATACCCATACTCGAAGATGTTGGATGGATGCGATCCGCCGCCGCCTCCTGAGGTGCGCGCCCACTTCAGCCGCGGGCCGGACAGGCGCACGCCGCTGCGGCTACTGTTGTGGCTTACGGACCACTCGGAATTGTAGAGCGTATCCTGGCCTTCTGGTGAGAGGATGTCTTCCGATCCATACGGCCCGTCTAGACAGTGCATGACGATGGCGTTATCAGAGTCGAAGACGGGCAGGCTTTCCTTTGGCAGCGAAAACGGAGATGCCTGCTGCGCCCATGTTCCCGATTGAGGATCGAGAGCCAAGATGTCGTGTTCTTGCAGCTTCCTTCCCTGGACGCCGCCGATGCCGAGCTCCGGCGCGGTCGACTTGGATCCCAGATACCTGGCCACCTGCGGGAAGCCACCCTTGACTGCGAAATATGCTCGGGCGCCGTGCCGTCCTACACGTCCAAGCCTCAACGTCTGGCCCTTTCCGACGACAAGCCGGGACCACATTGGCCGAGCCTGCCCCTGAAGGGTAACGGGAAGCTTTGCGCCGCATATTGCCACGACGGCGGCCTCGTGGAACAGCAGCTCTGGCCCGACTAGGGTGATCTCGAGGAGCTCCACGCCGGGTTCGTTGCCGACGAGGACATTGGCGCCGCGAGAGCTGAGGTCGTCCATCGGCCCGCCGGGCGGTATGCCGTGGCCGACGTCGGCGCGGCCCGGGTAGTCCTGAACGGTGGTGAGGACGCCGGGGTCGAGCACCTGCACGGAGCAGCTCTCGAAGCGGAACGTGGACAGCGAGTCGGTCAGCGTCCGGGCGTCGACGAACATGGGAGAGGCGACGACTTTGGCGAGATACTCCAGGTTGGTCTGTGTGCCCTGCAGAGCGGTATTCGTTAGGGCCTCGAGCATCAGCACCTGCGCGGCCGATCGGCCATCGGGACTGTGGACCATGATCTTGGCGACCAGGGGATCGTAGTGCGGTGTGATGACTTGTCCGCTGGTCACCCACGTATCGACCCGGATTCCATCACCCTCCGGCCATCGAACGTGCTGCAGCACGCCGGGCGCCGGAATGAAGTCCCGCAGTGGCACTTCGGCATACACGCGGCACTCTATCGCCCATCCCTGCGACGCCCCTCCCACTAGCTCCCGGAGTTCCTCGGACGGCACGCCCGGTCTGCCCGCGCGCTCGTGGTCGGCCTGCCGCAGCATGAGGTGCAACAGGTCGACCCCGTAGCAAAGCTCCGTTACGCCGTGCTCGACCTGTAGGCGTGTGTTCATCTCGAGGAAGAAGAAGTCGGCCGTTTCGTCGTCGACGAGGAACTCGACCGTGCCCACACTCTTGTACGCCAGGCGCGAGGCGAAGCGCGTCGCCGCGCGACACAGACGCTCCCGCAGCTCGGGCCGGCGCGCGACGAACGGGCTCGGACACTCCTCGACGACCTTTTGGTGGCGGCGCTGCAGGGAGCACTCGCGCTCGCCGAGCGCCACGACGAGGCCGGCGCCGTTGCCGGCTACCTGTACCTCGACGTGCCGCGCGCTTGGATAGTACCTCTCTAAAAACACGCCGTCGTTGTTGAACAGCGCGTTGCCGCGGCGTTGGACTGCTGTGAAGGCGTCGGCGACCTGCGCCTCGGTGTTGCAGACGTGCAGGCCCACGCCGCCGCCGCCGCCGGTCGCTTTGAGCATGACGGGGAATCCGAGGGCGCGGGCTGCTTCGCAGGCTGCGGGCGTGGAGTCGAGTAGCGCGGTACCGGGGATGACGGGGACGTCGGCGGCGACGGCGACGGCCCGGGCCTCGTGCTTGAGGCCCACGGCGCGGATGGATGCGGCCGACGGGCCGACGAAGACGATGCCGGCGGCAGCGACGGCGTCTGCGAAACCGGCATCTTCGCTGAGGAAGCCGTACCCCGGGATGACGGCATCTGCGCCCACGCGCTTGCACACCTCCAAGATGGAAGCGCTACGGCATGTTGGTAAGGGTAGATGCAGTGAGGCCGGGGCGGACGTACCTGTCAGTGTAGGCGGTGGCAGCGTCGCCGGGGAGCAGCACGGAGTCATCCGCTAGTTTTGCGTGCAGCGAGGTTGCATCCGCGGTTGTGAATATGGCGATGCTGTGGACGCCGAGTTCCTTGCAGGCTTTGACGCACCGGACGGCAATCTCGCCCCTGTTGGCGATCAGGGCCTTGCGGATATGCCGCAACGGCTCTGGGTTGCTGCCTGAAGCCATACTGGACTACGTGTGAGGGGAGATGCAACTACACGGTTGCAAGCCACTGCTGCATGGTACATGCTGACTTATATATGTCCGATGAAACATGTACGTTGGGTAAGGGAGCGCGTCATTGTCTTAATATTTCCCCGCAGACGTACCTGGCTTCCCCGCGTTCACATGATCCTGATTTCCCCACGGAATGGGGGTAGAAACTACCAGGTACGGACTGGAATGTCGTAGTTTGTTCTAAGATTGGGAAGTATATCGCGTGAGTGTGTATTCACGTTTTGCTAAAACGGGGGGAGTTCTGGTTGCGACCCGTGTTGCTCTATAAGGCGAGGTTGCAGTGGACTACCGATTCGTCACTGTAGGCGGATTGCCACGCCGTATTTGCCCTTGCAGGTGATGCTGCTGTCTCGTTGCCGCTGCTTGGGTTAGATGATTAAATTGAACCAACCAGCGGCATTCGCCTGTCTGCCTGTAGACTAAGCGCTTGATGTGTTGTACTGCACGAAATATCAAGGTGCCAAGCACAGTAGGGTGTCATCTTGCACGACATCAGGCTTTTAGTGTTTCGGTTTTGGGCCTCTATGATGCTAATCACCCCGTTGCAACTTTGCAGTAAAGCAGGTCCTTGATGCCTTGCGGATGATGTGCAGGCGACACCGGAAAGGCCGCCGCACACCCAACCACGGCAAAGGGCAGCCCTGGAGAAGGAGAGGAGCGGCCGGCGCTGCACTGCGGATGATTCAGAGACTATACGTAGACCACATGCGCATCACTCCTCAGACTAGGCCGATGCCGGACGTGACGGCGGGGTTGCTCCTGATGAAGCCATGGCCGCAATGTTCAACGGCGCCCGGTCATTCTCCGGCATTGAGCTGTGCCTGGCGATGTGTATCTGATCTACATCAGCCAGTCGATCTCCTCTTTGACGGCTGCAGGGTGCTCCGGGCCGGCATGTATGTGACTCTGGGCGCAGATGGCCGTTGATTCGCTCATAGTGGCGGCATGGGCAAAGTGACGTCGCCGTCAAGCTGGACAGTCTGAAACCACGACTTGGCTTCAATCCTTTGGATCATGGATGCACAGATCTTCATCAGCATTGGGCACTTGTCTTGTGTTGCGCCTGCTTCCGGCTCCGGACAGGTCAGGTTCTCATGGCGCGCTCCAGGTTATAAGTACGACGAATCGCCCGCTCCTCGCTCTTCAGGCGTGCTCGATTAAACACCACATCTTCTAGCAGATTAGCGGCTCCCCAAGAGGTAACCTCGCAAATCACGACAGCTCACGCTCCCTACGCCTCAACCATCCGCAACGCCTCGCGGCATCCCCTCACACCACACACCATGTGTACCAAATTCATCACGACGATTACCTACATACTCTGCGAGGAGAGATGCGTCGAGGTCAAGAGCAGGGTTGAGCAGATGGGCTGTCAGGAATTCTTCAAGGAAGGAAAGGCGTGCCCCGATCCCAAGGTGGTGCCCCTCGCCCGGGAGGAGAAGGGCTACATGTGCGCGAAGCACAGGTTGTGAGAGTGCCCCGGGGCATCCAGGGACGGCATGATCGTTGCTCCCGCGCTTCTGGGATGCTTCGTTTGGATGTTGAAGTGACACGATAAATGTGCTGTTCTCCGGAATGAGTGTTGGAGGGGCTTTGGTTGGCTACATCTTGCATCGTGATGGGAGCAGTGGCAAGCAACCGAGGCACTCATTAATACCGGCCCTGGAAATGATGGACGGATTGTACATCAAGTACAAGTAGATAGACAATACACGCTTATGGTCGCACAAGATCGTCCCTCATCTTTTGCTCCGCGAGTGCTACGTCCCTTGACTTCTTGTTTCTCTGCTGGTGGACCGACATCTACCCAAGCCTTGCCTTGTTTGCCTCATCGACCGCCTTGCGCACCAGCTTTGCATTCTCCAAAACACCCTGCACATCAGAATGAAGGCAAATACTAAAAGCCCCCCCTTTCAGCCCCAGATCGACCTCCCGCCCATCCGTCGCCTTGGCCGTGCCCCTTGCCGTCGCCTCCGCCGCCCTCTCGTAGCACAGCGCCGGCGTCACCTCTCTCGACCTCGCCCTCGGCACCAACCCACCCTCCGGCTCGTAATCAATATCCACGTACACCTCCCCCTGGAACGGCACGCCGAGCTCCTCGCACATCCGCCTCTGCGCCGCGTTCTCGCACCCGTACACCGGCACGCCCGCAAACGTCGCGCAGGCGGTCAGCACCGCGCGCATGACCGCCTCGTCGCGCTGCATGCAGAAGAACAGCTCGCCGTGGGGCTTGACGTGGGCGAGCGGCAGGCCCTCGGCGGCGAGGATGGCTTTCAGCGCGCCGACCTGGTAGAGAACCAGGGCGTGCAGGTCGGCGGGGGAGATGTCCATCCGCCGGCGGCCGAAGCCGAGGAGGTCCGGCAGGCCGGGGTGGGCGCCGGCCTTGACGCCGTGGAGCCTGCAGAGGCGTGCGGTGCGGAGCATGATGGAAGGGTCGCCGGCGTGGAAGCCGCAGGCGATGTTGGCGGCGTCGATGAGCGGCATGAGCTCCTCGTCGGGGCCCTGAAGACGTTGATGAGTTGATGCTAGGCAAGTCAATGACCAGCAAGTAGGCTTACCATTTTCCACTGGCCAAGGCCTTCGCCCATGTCGGCATTTATTTCAATTTTTTCGGCGAGTCCTGGTGCCATGGTGGTGGACTGGTTTGTTGGCAGGATGAATGTAGAATCTCGTCAGTCGCACAGCAAGGCGCGGGAAAAGGAACCTGCCCATCTCTTTACAATCCCTCCATTTGTCCGAGTGTTTATATGCGAGTGTCTATTTAGCTCCATTCATTGCCAATATTGCAACCTCGCCATCGTTTACCCCTCCTGGGCGGCAACAATGGCGCATAGTTGGGGTAGTAACTCCCGGGCAGCGCAAGCACCGACTTAGAGGCGGGGTAAATCCTACAATGCATCCTACCAATTTATTACTCGCCCGCTTGCGTCTACAACATCAGAACATGCTGCGTCTTCTATACGCACCCCCGCAGCGGTGTGCGAGTGAACTCCCTGCCTCGTCGTACGACGGCTCTTGATGACCGGCTCGGGCCGGGATCGGTAATCTGGCCACCTTCGACCGATGCTTCAGCCTACCCGTGCTCCTGTTACAAGAAGATCGGTGAGCATATTGAGGCTTCCGTCTGCAAATTTCAAGGCAGCGGTCAGCAAGTGCCGGTCTACTTTGGCGGAGGTTCAAGTATGACCGGTCAGTTGCACGGCATCCTCGTGCGAGGGTGCAAACGCATTTTACGTCGACCGCTCTTTGGATGAGGTTGAAGAACGAGGCGCTAGACACGGATCTTTCGACCCCTTGTCTCAAGCCGCTCCAAGCTTTGCCATGTAAGCGGCCGTTTCTGTGAAGATGACGGCTCGCCCGCAGATTCGAGGAGCACGGCGTTGTACTCCATGTCCCATATGACTTTCTACTTGAGACTACGCGATATCCATTACACATCTAAGCGAGGCTTTCAGGTCCCACGGCTCATCAATCTATAGACACTTGGAAAACAGAGATTTGGGGCCCCGACTGCCATCCACGTGTCCCGCATGTTACACTTCATCTTTTCTCCTCGTCTCATTTCATCAACGCCCACCAGCATCTCGTATCTCGTACAGCCCCGTACGTGACTCTCAACCAGCTGCGGTTTTGATGCTCCTCAGGCACAATCCGGCGTGCGAGCGGTTGTCTTGGACGCGGTATGTTGTCACGAAAAGACGCACGGTCATGGCAACCCCAGGTATAGACGGGATGGCCTTTTAGCGAGCTTGCCTCGTACTCACAAGCTACAATCTTGGGAGCGGTACAGGGCGCCCAAGATGTTTGCTGATGTCGCTCCACCTCGCTAGTGGTGTTGGTTCGACTCACTTGTCGCTAAAAGCACTCCCCGCGCTCGGATGCCTCTCGTCTGCTTCGAGTGTTCGGGAGGCCCGTCAGAACGCTGCTCTGCACGACAGTACACGGCAGTGGGAGTATGGTATGGCAAACGTCCATGTGAGATCCTAGGAGATTAGAGTAGTGACACACGACTCTCGCGATGCGTATAAGAAGAAACAGCCAGTTCCCGCCGCTTGAAAGGCAAGGGGGCGCTCGCCTTATATTTGCAACTGGAAAAGCTAGCATCCTGATTCTACCAATATGGATCAAAGTCTGACCCAGCGTTTCGATCTGCCCCCTAAATGGAGCGTCATCGACTTTAGCTACTCGCTTCGGCACTCGTATGCCAAGTTCGTCGTCATGTGCAACCATGTCCGCTACGTCGTCCACGCCTCCGACCTGGCCCTGGCCTCGGCACCGGACCTCCGCGACAAGTTCCTCTTCTTCCTCGACGTCGCCGAGCACGACACGCTCAACGGCTACACCATCGACCACTTTTACACCTGGGCCCTCGCGCCGCTCCTCCCGATCCTGCGCGCCGCCCACCAAGACGCTCCGCCAGGCAGCCAAGCCGCCACACTGCGCGACGTGCTTCACGCACCCATCACCGAGTACGCCCTCGAGGCCGAGTTCGGCCGGCTTCTGCTGCGGCCCGCGGCGGAGGAGAACCTGGACGCCTACCTCATGTTCGGCGCGCGCCTGCCCGCCGAGCTCTGCGGCCCCTGGCCAGCGTACCTGCCGTCCCACCTACGTCTGGACCCGCGCGACGACCGCGCCGCCGTGCCGCGCCGCGTCTTCCTGCCCAGCGGCGCGCCGGCCTTCTTCCTGCTCGCCGACGCGCTGCGGGCGCACGCCCGGATGCGCGCCTCGGCGCTGGTGCCGTCCGTGCGCGTGGCGCGCCTGATCGGCCTGGTGCGCGACGAGGATGCGACCGTGTCCGGCATGCTGCTGACGTACGTGGAGGGCGCGACGGGGTCGTTGGCGCGTGCGGCCGAGGCGGGTCCCGGACCAGGGGCGGCGCCGGAGAGACTCAGGAGGCGCTGGTCGGAGCAGGTGATGCGGACGGTGCACAGCCTGCACCAGAGCGGGCTGGTCTGGGGCGACGCCCGGCCGAAGAACGTGGTGATTGACGGGGAGAATAACGCGTGGCTGGTCGGGTTCGGCGGGGGGTATGCGGCGGGATGGGTGCCCAAGGAGCTGGCGGGCACGGTGGACGGTGATTTGGCGGCGTTGAAGCGGATAATAGACTACACGGAGGAGGGTCCGCCTATCGAGAGTAGTTAAGAACCTTTTGATCAAAGTATTTACTACGGGGGCGGTCTTATTAGGTAGCTTATCTTAGCCTAAGGTAACATGACAACTCTACTCTACCGAGCCAGCCTTGGTAATACACCATTGACAAAATAACTAATGGAAATAAGACCGGACCTTGCTGACACCATCTCCACAAGACGTACTGTAGTAACCCTATGGTTATTCTCTTGGCCTTAGCCTTATTGCATGACTGAGGCAAGCACCGATGACGCTTACACCGCACTAACAATCAAGCTCGCCCATCCTAGAACTTATCAAACTTGTCAAATACATCATCTTTCAATAAAAGAACACAAAAATGCTACTCTCCGAGCGCCGCACCTTTCAAACCTCCCGCGGGTACACCTACTCCTTCATATACGTGCCCCCGCGCGACGCCAAGCCCACCTTCCTCCTCCTGCACGGCTTCCCCTCGCACGCCGACGACTGGGAGCCGCAAATCTCGCGCCTCGCCGCCCGCGGCTACGGCGTCGTCGCACCGGACCTACTCGGCTTCGGCGCCTCCAGCACGCCCAACGCCGTCGCCGCCTACGCGCTGCGCGGCATGAGCGACGACCTCGCCGAGGTGCTGGACCACCTGCAGCTGCCCGCGGTGGTGGCCGTCGCGCACGACCTCGGTGCCAACCTGCTCGGCCGCGCGGCGGCGTACCACCCACGGCACTTCCAAGGCCTAGTCTTCCTGGCGGTAGGCTCGGGGAAGCCGGCGCGGGGCTTTGACGTGGAGGCGATTCAGCGGATGACGGAGGAGGCGGTCGGGTTCGTCATGTTTGGGTACCTCTCGTGGCTGGGCGGCGAGGGGGATCCGCATCGGGTGCTGGAGGAGCATGCCGAGGCGGCGATGAGCCTGCTGTTCGCGGCTGATGGCGGCAGAGTGTGGAACGAATGGTTCCACCCGCTGGGGGCGATGGAGCGGTTCGTCACGGAGGACAGGCGCGTGCCGGTTGGGGTGTGGTACACGCCGGCGATGCAGAAGGCGCACTTGGAGGTGTTCGCGGCGAGGGACGGGTACAAGGGCGCGACGCGCTGGTACCGCATGCTGGTGACCAACGCGTCCCTCGCGGAGGAGGAGGAGGCGCTTGCGGACGCGCGGTTGGAGCAGCCGAGCATCATCGTGGCGGACGCGCAGTCGATGCCGCCGCAACAGGGCATGCTCGCCGAGTGGGTGCCCAACTTGACGGCCAAGGAGGTGAAGAGTGGTCACTGGCTGCACATTGAGTGCGCAGATCAGGTCAATCAGATTATTACAGAGTTTGCCGACTCGTTGTAAATTCAAATGCATAATACTAGAACGAACAGACATCTTCACTCCGTAGCTGGTGTACATGGTTCATAGCGGGACGTTATGCCGACATCGGGCACGGCACGGAATACGACACGAAGTGATGGCAAGACACATCCCCGTGCTATTACTGTCAGCCCAATATATGAAGATCCGTCCGATCTGGAAGCTGGTGTTACCCCTCTTCAGGTGCGGGGGAAGCATCTCGGGCGTCATCAGGCGCCGCTTCCAAGTAACAATCTTGCACATTACCCTCGAACCATTACCTACTTGAGTTTTCACTCTTCTCTTCCCATCACGACTCCCTCCGTCGAAATGGCGTCCCCGTATACGATCAAGTGTAGCGGCATCGTCGCGTACGGGGAGCAAGACTGGGCGTGGGAGGAGCTTCTTACCCGGGAGCCCAAGGAGGATGAGTTTCTCGTGGAGATGATCGCGACCGGCATCTGCCACACGGACATTGCCGGCTACGGTGGAATCTATCCGCGCGTGCTAGGACACGAAGGTTAATTCATCCTCTTCACCTCCTTACCCGCAGTTCTCTAACGTGCAGCACACACGACTAGGAGCCGGTCGTGTAGTCCGCCTCGGAAGCGAAGACCAGCGCCAGAAGTTCGCCGAGGGCGACCTCGTCATCCTGTCCGCCGCCGCGTGCCTCGTCTGCGCCTACTGCAAGACCGGCCACCCCGCCTACTGCGTGTACCACGCGGCCCTCACCAGCGCCGCCGACTCGCCCGACTTTGTGCTCGCGCGCGACCCGTCCCGCGTCGTCGGCGGCGGCTTCTTCGGGCAGTCGAGCTTCGCGAGCCGCGCGCCCGTCAAGGTCTCCTGCGCAGCGAACGTGACCGCGCTGATCCGGGACGCCGCGGAGCTGACGGCGTACGCGCCGCTCGGGTGCGGCATCATGACCGGCGCGGGTGCCATCACGCACGTCGGCCGCTGCGGGCCCGACGACGTGCTCGCCGTGGTCGGGCTCGGCGGCGTCGGGCTGGCCGCCGTGTGCGCCGCCAAGCGTCTCAGCGTGAGGACCGTCATCGCGGTGGACCGGGCGGACTCGCGTGTCCGGCTCGCCGAGTCACTCGGCGCCACGCATGGCCTCGCGGCTCCCGGGGAGGGTGACTTGGCGGCGGCGCTGCGCGGGGCGACGCCGGAGGCGCTGGGCTGCACGCACATCCTGGACGCCACGCCGTCGGTGCAGGTGCTGGGGGAGTGCCTGGAGGCGCTGCGGAGGGGAGGCACGGTGCTGCAGGTCGGGCTGAAGCCGGAGGGGGCGCGGCTGGCGGTTGATCTCCGGGCGCACATGGTCAACGGCCGGCGGCTGGTGGGCGTACTAGAGGGCGACAGGGACCCGGCGGAGGCACTGCCGGAGCTGGTGTCGTGGGTCCGGGACGGGTCGCTGCCGCTGGACAGGCTCCTGAGGCACTTCCCGGCCGGGGAGTTTGCGGCGGCGCGCGCGGGGATGGAGAGCGGCGAGGTCATCAAGAGCGTGCTGGTATGGCAGTGAGATGTGGAATGAAGCTGAAGGCCGACTCGGGGCAGGTCTATCTATCCCTCTCGGCCGAGCGTTCGATTCTAGGTGCGGACAATGGAGCGGAAACGGAAAGGAAATCCACAAGGACAAATTGAAACGAACCTTAATTAGGCTTACTCCTCCACACTTTGCGTGTGGCAGCACTTGATTCATTCATGCATCATAATTTTAAGCTTGTTTTGTTAAACTTGGGTGTGTGACTTCCGGGGTCGATCGTTTGTTTGTTGTTTGCTTGTTCGTAGCAGCTCGCCGAAATCTCGTCAGAGGATTCACACAGCCACAGCCAACTGCGCCACGGTTGATGAACCACAGCGATGCAAATTTTGCCACATCTCACCTCTCATCTCCACGCAGCGCGGTCAGTATTACCGTGTTCAACCTCGTTGCCACCGAGCAGTGCCCGCCCGATACGCCTTGTTGCGTTCCTGTCAATGCGCCGACCGCTCCTTGTCTCGGGTTAACCCAACGATGGCCCTCGTATCGAGAACGTGCTACCCGGCGCCTAGCTGAGGCTGATGCTGGCGTCGCTTGGCAAAGTGGAAATCTTGCACTTCGATTGCTAGCTAGCATGCTCGCTAGGCAGCCTGACATCACCACCCTCTCCGAGACAGGGGCGAGAATGTTGCAGCTCGTTCAGCCTAGCTGATCCATACGTCCGTCGGTCGTTTAGGGATATTCTGCGAGATGATGCACGTCGCACATGCGCAGCCCCTATATATGACGAGGAGGCGCCTGCGTTTGTCGGACGCTCATCGTCCTCGTCCTCACCGCACAAAACATCCGACATGAGCAAAGAACAAGCCCACGAGCTCCAAGAGCAGCACCAACAGCCCCAGCTGGCTTCAAATCAGCCTCAGTTCCAGCAGCCGCAGCCCGACCAGCAGCAGCAAACTGTCCCGACCGAGCCCCAGCCCTCACACAACCACATCCCCAACCCCGAGACCGCAACCGAACACCAACCCCCTAGCTATGAGCAAGCTCGAGGCGCTCCGGTCGGCCAGCCGCCCGCAGACATGGCCCCGGGACAGGCGGCTAGGACGGTGACGCCCTTGAACCAGCTCGGCGACACGCCGCAATACATCGACTGCCCGTTCTGCCACCAGCGCACCAAGACTGTCGTGCGCAAGGAAGGCGGCAGCATGCAGTTGTGAGTTCGCTGTCCATAATGAATAAGCGTCTCAAGAGTGCACATTGACGCTTATATCTTAGTGTTGTTGGTGCTGTTCTCTGCCTCGTCTGCATCTGCCTGACCTGTCTACCCTGTATGCTCCACTGGTTCGAGGATACGGACTGGTTCTGCTCCAAATGCAATACCAAGGTTGCGACGCGCAAGAATGAGGGTGCTATTGAGGTCTTGGGCCCTCCTCAGCTCGTGTACTCTCAGTATGGCCACGGAGCGCCGATGAACGGTCCCCAGCAGCAGCAGCAGCATCAGCAGCCACAGCCAGCCCCTGGCCAACAAGCACAGCAACCCATACCGCAACACCAAGATAGCCTGCAACAGCAGCAGGAGATCCAACCTCAACCCCCCCACACAACGGCAACGGCACAGCATCCAGTGGACGTCAAGAACTAAAGCCTATTCCACGATCACGTCGAGCACCCCGGCATTGACTCTGCATAATATTTACAATGCTTAATACTCATTTGGAACACCAGGTCAACTTGATGTATTTATTAAACAGCACTGGACTCAGAACTTTTATGAGCTAATGCGCCATCACGACCAGCATGCGCCATCGCGGTGGTAGAAGAGGAAGAAATCACAAAAAATGCCACCTCCGATAAATAACATTCCCCGTCCACATTACCTCAGATAAGCCTTTGTCGTCACTTTCACTCAATTAGGACCTGCTTCTCCCTCTTGATCTGCTCGATAAACTCCACGGGGACCTTGAGCGTCTGCGCGGCAATCTCGGGTGGGGTGAGGGCCAGCCACTGGGAGAGGGAGACGTCGGCGACGTGGTCCGACTTGTAGATTTCGATCCACACGAGGTCCTCGTCCTTGGAGGTGTTCTCGATGTAGTGCCTAACGGAGCGGTCAGCATTCCCGGTGGGCAGGTTAAGGGAAAGGAAAAGTGGGGGACGTACCCGGCGTTGGTGGGGAAGACGGCCGTGTCGCCGGCGGAAAAGTCAAAGGTGCGGGCCGCGCCGTTGCCGATGAAGGCGGTGGCCCTAGCCTTGCCCTTGTGGAAGTACAGCCACTCCTCAGCCTATTTATAATCAGTACATGGAATCTTTGTTTTTTTCCTGTCTATTTCCACTTGAAAGATTTCTCTGTTTTTTTTTTTCTTGGAAAGAGGATGGGCGGCAAGCTTACATTTGGGTGCCAGTGAAGCTCGCGCAGGCCGCCCGGCTTGAGCGTCACAAAGGTGGCAGCAATCTCCTTCGAGATGGGAAAGTTGGTCGAGTCAATCTTGTAGAAGGTGCCGCCAGTGCCGCCAATCTTCTCGGGCGGGTGCTGCAGCGTGCGGTAGACGAAGGAGGCGTCGCCGGTGGCCTGCGGGGTGACGGCGCCGGTGACATTCTTGGTGGCGACGGGGGCGTTGAAGATGTACGGGTTGGCGGCGGGGATGTCCTTGAAGGTGGACTCGGGGACGCCAAAGTTCTTGGCAAGTATGTCCTTGGGCGTGGGGAGGGTTAGTGGAAAGGGTGCGGCGGTGAGATGGGGAAGGCATACCCGATCTTGTCAAAGTCGGTCTCGTCAAAGATGAGGAGAAACTCGTTCTCGTCGTCCAGACCCTGCACGGTGTGGGCGACGCCGGGGGGAAAGTACCAGACGTCGCCGTAGCCAATCTCGGTGGCCTGGTAGACGCCGTTCTCGTCGACGGCCGAGACGGTGATTCTGCCGTTGTAGATGATGCCCCATTCCGCCTGCACGTCTCACATCAGCATTCACGTTCTTCCCTTCCTGCCTTTTTCGTTCCGTGAAGGGACAGGTCGGCGGCTTACCACTTTGTGCCAGTGAAGCTCGCGGATGGCGCCCTTCTTCAGGTGCTGCTGGGCGCCGGCGATGTCGTGGCTGGAGGGCAGGTCGGTGACGACCTGCTCGCGGACCCAGCCGCCCTTGAGGATGCGCGTCTTGGAGTCGGAGAAGCTCCACTTGAGGTTGGGCACGATGCCGGCGTCGGTCGACTGCTGGCCGAGGTTGTCCGGGTTCTGCAAGTCGAGCTCCTTGTTGGTGCCGCCTACCTCCGGGTGTGAGGACAGGTCGTTGTGCGCGTTCTCCTTCCGGATACTTGGCAGGATGATTCAAAACATACCTAGGATACGACCGCCCTTGCCGTCCTTGCTGATGGGCTGGCCGAGGGTGAACTGGTCACCGCCGTTGTCGCGCGACTCCACGGACGGCGAGGGGGCGGCGATGGCGGATGCGGCCAGGCCGAGAAGAACGGAAGCGGCGCGCATGGTTCAAGGTACGCAGAAAAGTGAACAATTACGACGTCTGACCTTTTTTTTTCCTTTGATGAAAGAGACGGGCGGACGGGGAAAGTGGGTTGGGCTCATTTATCTGGGCGCCCTCCTCCCTCCCTCCGCTTACACCGACTTACACGTGAACCTTTGTCAACCATCAACAAAGGACAGGACAACGCCCAGTTTGGTCAAGTTTGATTAAGATCTTGGCGAATTCATAGCGCCGTTGACAGAATTAATTTTAACCATGCGCCGTTTTTTTTTTTTTTTTTGGGCACATGTGTTTGTTTTTTTCCTTCTTTTTTTTGGGCCTCGCTTCGCTCGATAATGGCGACATTGAAGCGCGGAATGAGATGTTGCGCGCTACGTGAAATGAAGCTGTCTAGCTAGACAATCCCAATCGTACGGTGCTCATTCGTCGATCCTACTACAAGGTTACATGGATGCGGCATTTCTTCATTTTCCTTTTTGCTTTTCACTGACAGGGCTGCTTGCCCGTTGCAATTCACGCTGGACCGGGAGAGATCTAGGTTAGATCACGCCATGCGGATCGCCAATTGTGTAGGCGCCGGCGGCCAGCGACGCTCGGACACAGAGGCCTTGTCGGCTCGATCCAGGGAAAGAGAGCTCGCAACTGCCGACTGGGGAACTGTGGCTTGCGTTTACCTAATTCGGGACTATGCAGTTCCGGGTTCTTTTTTAAATTATGCTTTTTTTTTAATGCCTGGGGTAAGGGGGGCCATCGGGTCGGTCTGGGGTTGCCAAGTGCCTTCCTGCAAGCCGCCTTACCAGAGGCTTGGGACGGACTGCGCCATCTTGCGCCCCAGCCGGTGCTGAGATGAGATGCTCGATTTAATACTTGGAGATACGTGTATGAGATTCTATTTCAAGTGTTCAACATAAACCACGACAGACTTGCAAAAAAATAGTAAAAAGTCAAAAGAGAGGATATAGTTCCGTCGCCACATCTGCCAAGACGCTGGACAAACGATATCATCTTCACATACCTGTCTAGTCTGCTTTCTCAACCTATACACCATAATGAGAGTCTCACTTCGCCATCGTTCAGCTGCATGTAGATCCCCCCTCTCTTCTCACCAGCATCTCCCTGCTGAGGCCCGTCCTGGCCCTAGCCTCAGCGAGCTCCCGGTGGCTTGCTTTCTTCTCATTGTCTGCCTGCCCGTTGGACCACCGCCATCGTAGTGGCTTTCGTCGCCATCTGCGCTACGCGCAAACGGGAAAGAAATCCAAGACATGCAGCGTCGTGCCTTGCTTCTTTGAGAGTTCGTGTGCGATGGCATCACTCGTTTCCTGGATGCCAGTCGTTGTTGGCGAAGCGAGAGGCCGACGGGAAGGACAATCGGGAGCAAGGTTGAGCAGAGGCAGAGGGGGGAGGGGGAATCAGAGGCAAGGTCGAGCAGAGGTTGACTTTGGATATAAATACCCAGTTAACCTTCTCATATCCTGCTCACTCTCCATCCACCAAGCAAGCAGCCACCGCCTCATTCCTTCTCTAATCTGCTCAGCACACGGCCCAGCCCCCACCACCAACCATGATCTTCTCCAGCATTGCCCTGGCCCTGGCCAGCCAGCTGGTGGCCAAGGCCGCCGCGTCGCCGGCCTCGCTCGCCGCCGCCGGCGTCACTAAGCGCTCGCCGCTGGGCATCAGCCTGCCGCCGCTGATCCCGGCCATCCCCGGCGTCACCGAGCCGCTCAACGACCTGGCGCCGCCGCTGCCCATCCTGCAGCTTCCCACGCCGCCGCTCGACAGCCTGCCCTTCGAGACCAAGTCCATCAAGCCCAAGAAGATTGGCTACATCTGGACCGGTGCTGGTGACAACCACCACAAGGACTTCCTCGCTGCCATCAGTCTTGATGATGTAAGTGCCTTGCCTGTGTGTGGACATTGCATCGTTTCTTGCTGACTTGACCCGTGTAGGATACGTTTGGAGAGTTCATCCACATCACCGACGTGCCCACCAGCGGCAACTCCCCTCACCATCTGGGTACCTCGCTGGACGGCAAGAGTCTTGTTGGAGGCGGTCTCTTGTCGCTGCTCAAGACGCAGGACACTGCCTTCTACTGGGACACCAGCGACCCGTACCACCCCAAGTTCGACCACAGCAACAGAGGCGTGCTCAGCTCTATTGTTGATGAGATCCGAGCCAAGCCTGACGGGTACGACGTTGTGCCATGTCCAAATCCCCTTCACTGTGCTTACATTTCATAGCGGTTTCTTCATCACCTACATGGGAAGCGCCGTTGGAACCTCCCCCGGTCGCCTCGTCGAGACCGACGCTCACGGTAACATCATCCACGAGTGGCCCGAGGATGTCGAGGGCACGGTATGCTTCACCATAAAACACGAACCTGCTCATCAACACGCTAACAATGAGTAGCTCAACATTCTTGGAGAGCAGTTCAGCCCTCACGGCCTGGCTGTCGACTTTGACAAGAACATCATCCTCACCTCGGACTTTGTCGTCCCTCTCACCGTTCTCAAGCCCGTCTCTGCTCTAGGCATCCAGAAGGCCAACACTCTGCGTCTCTGGAGCCTTGACACCCGCAAGATCATTTCCACCATCACCATCCCCGACGTATGTTTTGATGCCGCCCTCATCATCCCTCTTACCGCCTACTAACAACATCTCCAGGGTCAAGGTATCCAGGACGTCAAGTTCATCCCCGGCAACCCCGAGGGCGCCGCCCTCGCCACGTAAGAAGCCTCCCATTGACTACTTGCCGTCCTTGATACTGACACTCCTCCCTCTACAGTGCTGTCAAGAACGGCGAGGTCTGGATCATCTACCCGTTCCGCAAGGATGCCAACGGTAAGCAGGGTGTCGCTGAGCTCCTCTACGACCTCGGCCCCAGGGCCAAAGAGGCGCTCGCCATCTACTCGGACATCTCCGACGACGGGAAGTACGCCTACTTCACCATTACCCTCGGCAACCACGTCGCTGCCCTCGACATCTCGGACCTCAAGAACGTCAAGCGCCTGGACAACCCCGATGAGCAGCAGCCCATCATCGGACCCCACTACGTCAAGATCTCCCCGGACAAGAAGAACCTGCTCGTCTGCGGCTACTTTGTGCAGGCTGGCCAGGTGAGTACAGAGGTATACTGACCCAGCGACCGAAACTAACGTGAATGCAGATCTCGGTCCTCAACACCCCCGGTGACTACAAGGTCCACTGGATTGACATCCTCGACAACGGCTCTCTCAGCTTCAACCGCACCGTTGACTTTGAGACCATCTTCACCCGCACCCGCGGTGGCGCTGTAAGCATACTTCGAGAATATCTATTCCGGAATCCCATGCTAATTCACTCCATAGCGCCCTCACAGTGCCGTCATCTTTGACCTCACGGACCCCAACCACCCCGTCTACTACTAGTCAGACAACGACACACGGGTTTGGCGGGTTTAGAATAGTTCACGACGTTCCCTTCATGTCCATTATTTCTCATAAAAAGAAGGCGCAGCAGCGTTGGTCGCGGGATCCGCCTCCTCGCAACCGTGCTTAGTTACAACCTGCTTTAATTCATAATACAAAACCTGTTCAAAACCCGCACCGCTCCTCCAAGAAGCTGCACAAGTCCCGACGCACCTCCATCCCCAGCACCGTGTGGCCCACATCGTACTCGTGCACGTCCATCTTCCGTATCCCCATCCCGCCCAGCGTCTTCCAGCACGCCTCGTGGTACCACTTCGCCAGGAACTCGTCACTCCTGCCCCGCGCCACCATCACCGGCTGGTCCACCACCGCCCTCCCGCCTTGCTCACCCCGGATGGCATCCAGGCGCGCACGCAGCGGCAAGTAGCCCATCAAGCCAAAAATCCCCGCAAAGCGGCCGGCGTACGAGGAGGCGAGGCCGAGGACAAGAGACAAGGCGCAGCCCTGGCTGAAGCCGCCGACGGCGACGCGCGAGGCCGGGATGCCGCGCGCGGACTCGAGGTGCCGCACGATGGCGAGGATGTACGCGCAGGAGGCCATGATTCCCTCGTAGTCGTCGTCGGTGGCGGGCTCGAGGGCGCGCTCCGGGACGAGGGTCGGGCGGCGGTACCAGGCGCGCACGGGGGGGTCGCCGAAGTAGTCCGCGGTGGGCAGAACCCAGAGCGTGTGGGGGAGCTTGTCGGCGCTCTGGTAGTGCTCAACGAGCTCTGTAAGCGTGTAATGTTAGAACTTGGTTTATTACTAGAAGCTTAGTTGTGAAGGGAGAGAGAGGGGGGTTTGGCTTGCCGCGAAAGGACTCGCCCCGGTCGCTTAGCCCGTGGATGAAGATGACGGCGGACGCCTGCTCGGAGCTGGGCGGTGCGACTTTGGGCTCGATGTATATTGGGTCAGGACGAGGTTCAGCCATTTTGAAGCTTGCAGGCGAGATTTTGCGTGTGTAGAGAGTGATTCAACGTTCGTTTGTAGAGACTGATTTGAAGTTGCGGGGTAGACGAGAGTTGTACGGTATAGGGTAAAGAAAGGGTTTTCATGTTTGCTGTTGCACAAGGCTCTCCCGCTCTGACTAAGACGCTGTGTGGACAGATCTTGGCGGCGAGGAGGAAAGGATTGAAAAAAGTAGTTTATCAAGGTGTTTATAATACACCGGTCTGCTAAAAGAAGTTCACGTTGATGAGGCTAGCTGCGACAGCTGCATCGACTGCACGAGATGGACAGCGAGTATGCTTGGATCACTGCGATAAGCTGGCCTCGGCAGTCACCTCGGGTTCAATGAAACAAGGCCAAATTCCGTCAAAAGTTCGCTAGAATATTCCATGCCATTATTTCTACCTGACGATAACCAATGTTGACTTGCATGAAATAGGATAATCTGCAGGGCGCATCTGCAAATGTCGACCCACAGCTTGACGACTTGCAGGGCGTGCTACATAGAAATGTATAAATCATCCATTACGAACTCCTCAGAACCAACTCTCGAATCACCCACGCCCATCTCATCCAATCCCAACCATCCCATCCCTCCACCATGTCCAAGCTCACCGACTTCAAAGTCCTCTGCTTCGACGTCTACGGCACCCTCATCGACTGGGAGACCGGCATCACCACCGCCCTCGCTCCCCTCTTCGCCGCCTCCTCCCGTCCCGGCCCCCCCCGCGCCGAGCTCCTCTCCGCGCTTCACACCCTCGAAACCGCCCAGCAGCGCCTCACGCCTACCCTCCCCTACCGCGACCTCCCGCCCCCTCCCTCCCTCTCCTCCGCCTTTGGCGCCTCCGTCGGCTCCTGGCCCGCCTTCCCCGACACCGTCGCCGCCCTCCGCCGTCTCTCCTCCTCTGGCTACAAACTGGTCGTGCTGAGCAACACCGACCGCGCCTCCTTCGCCGCCACCAACGCGGGACCCCTAGAGGGGGTCCCGTTCGACCTGGTGCTCACCGCAGAGGACGTGGGCAGCTTCAAGCCGGCGGCGCGCAATTTTGACATCATGCTGAAGGAGGTCGGCGACAAGCTGGGCGTGGGCAGGGAGGGCGTGCTGCAGACGGCGCAAAGCCAGTTCCACGACCACCACCCGGCGCGCGCGAAGGGCGTGCGCAGCTGCTGGATCGCGCGGCAGGGCGCCGTCATGGGGAACATGGACGAGGAGGTGTACGACTGGAAGTTTGTCACGCTGGGCGAGATGGCGGACGCGGTGGAGGCGGAGCGGGCGGTGGTGTCATGAAGCTAGGAGATTTCGTCACCATGTTTTTACTCTTTTATATAATGTCATTGTCTCACGGTAATTTCGAAACTCCACATCCACACCTAATACAACGCATTCATCCTCATCGCGCAGTACTCCTCCACCGTCACCGGGTCGTACCGCTTCGGCCGCTCGGGTCCGTGACACGTCGGCGCGCAGTCCACCACCGTGCCCGGGTCCGCGCCCACGAAGAACGGCATCGAGTAGCGTCTCCTCGTCATCCGCACCCCCGTCCCCTCCTCCCCCGCCTCCTCCGCCGGCGTCCTCACCCTGTGGATCGGCGACCGCAGCTCGTCGTTCGTCCACCGCATCAGCATGTCCCCGACATTCACCACCACCGCGCCCTCCACGCGCGGGACCGCCTTGAAACCGCCGCCGCCGCCGCTCCTGTCCTCCACCTCCAGTCCGCCGACGTCGTCCTGGAAGAGCAGCGTCACCGTGCCAAAGTCGCTGTGCGCGCCCACGCCCTCGGCCAGCCCGCGCGCCTGCAGCGACGCCGCGAACGGCGGGTAGTGCAGCAGCCGTAGCTGGTGGTCGCGGCGCGCGTGGCGCTCCGCGAAGAACTCCGGTGGCAGACCGAGGCCGACGGCCACGGCGGCCAGCAGCCGCTCGCCGAGCGCGCCGCACGCGTCGAAGAAGCGCATGCACGCGTCGCGGAAGCCCGGAAGCGTCGCGGCGGGCGGCCAGATGTTGCGCATCGCGGCGGCGGGGCCGTCAGAGCCCAGGTCGAACGACTCCTTCTGGTCGGGCACCTTGCGGTGCTGCGCGAGCGAGTCCGCGTCGAAGACGTTCTGGGAGACCTTCTCCAGGCCCACGCGCGAGTAGCCTCGGTGGTACCAGCCCTCGGGCGGGTGCGGCGCCTTGTCCTTTTCGCTCTGCGGCAGGTCGAAGAATTTGCGGCTCTGCGAGGGAGGTCAGCATGTCGCGATAGAATACATTTCGGCATAGAACTGTGCTTACCCAAGAGAATGCTTCTTCAATCTCCTCTTCCGGGATGCCGTGGTTTTTGACATATGCCAAGCCTACCTGGCGGAACGCCTTGCAGAGCTGGGCGCCCTGCTCCTCTAGGCTCGAAGCCCCGAGGTCAACAATCGGGAGGTCGTGCACCGAATCACCCATCATCAAAAAGTTTAAAAATGCCTCTTAAATCAAGTAGAGAAAAAAAGTAGAAGCATGTATAAAAATTGGCATTTTTCATGAGCTAGCTCTCAGCGCATGTAAACCTTTATAGCCATTCATAGCCTTGATAACCTTCCAGTTAGTAAGTAGATCATCGGAGAAACAAAGTTCGCCGATGCGCCCCGCAGATGCTCGATGACAAGACTCCGCATCATGTTTGCTTCTTTTATTCTAGCCGCACATGGGCGCCCAATAACATGCGCACACCTGGCTGTGCGATGACTGACACATGCAGCGTTAGCGAATCATGCCTGAAAGCAGCACAGCGCATCGGACATTTCTAAACCGGTCCCTATTCTGCTAATCTCGCCGTGCACACACAACTCGCCGCACGCACTCTACGGTGAAAAGCCTGGGGGAGGGTGTTGCGAGTCTGAGACCTTGATGGAGTCCGTGTAGTACGTCGGCGCGTCGCTGTTCGCCCAGGTGTCCTTGACCGACTGTAGGATGTGCCGGCCATTGAACGTGTTGGAGTCGAGGCTCAGGTTCGGCGCGGGGATGGGTAGGTTGTCGTTGGAGTTGAAGTAGCCGCCGTACGCGTCGTTCCAGTAGTAGCTCTGGAACTCGGTGGCGTTGTCCCACGTCCGGATCGTGTCGCCCGTCTTGTTGGCGACCATCTGGTACACGTTTGCGCCGACGTCCCAGCGGCCCAGGGTGGGCAGGTCCCAGTTGGCCGAGACAGTCGCGATTTCAGAATAGTGGCTGTAGAAGCTGGCGTCCGTGGTGCCGACAAGCTGCGACGGGACCGCGTCGCCGACAAGGATGCCGAGAATGTTGTTTCTAATCGAGTACGACTCGGACTCATCCCACGTCACCAGAACAAGCGTGTTCTGCATAAAGTTGCTGTTTGTCAGAAGCGGTTCGAGGAACCAGCGGCACCACGTTCCGGCCGTCGTGACACTAGAGTCGTGGCCGTCAGATGTCATGTTGGGAGTGATGAACATCCACTGAGGAAGGGCATTGTTCTCCAGGTCCGTGTGGAACGAGGAGCGCGATGTATCAATGTTAGACATGTTCTTGACCCGGGAAAGTCTGTCCGTGGAGTCGGAGACGCTCTTGTGCATAATGGCGGGATTGTGCTTGCGGACGTAATCGTTGCGGCCGCGGCTGTTCTTGTACGAGCTGCCAGTGTAGCCCGTGTAGGGCATGTCTTCCTCGTAATGAGCCCAGGAGATGTTTTTGGACTCGAGCAGGTCAATGACGGTGGCAACCTCCGCGGGAGAGTCGACGACACCATCACCATCGAGACCAAAGTAGTCACCGGCGATACTGGCCATGTAGTTGGGCTGCGATGGGTGGGTTGCCGCAAAATAATTGGTCAGCGTGATGCCCTTGTTGGCCAGCCAGGTGAAGTTGGCTACAGACTGTCAGCATCGTCGTCCAGCACACTCAGCCACGGTTACTTACGATCGCCAAAGGCCTTGTCATAGTTTTGGTTCTCAAAGTAAATGATGACGAAACGATCGAATGCCTTGCCTTTGACACTGCTAGTCTCGACAGTGGCAGCAGCGCTTAGGCCGGCAAGGGCCAGGATCTTCGCAAACAACATGCTGAATAATAAATATGTATCAGAAGCTTGACCTGAACATCACTCGTGTAGATCCTGTTAGCACAAGGTGCGGCAGTCTCGGTATATATGCTTCGAGGCCAAACCTGGCTAATTCAGTTTGGCCAACACTTAGTCTGGTGTGCTAGAGCGACCCTACCCGATGTCAGATCGCCCATTGTCGCAAAACCAGCGGCAAAGGCAAATTTGCGACCTTTTCATGACATTAATAATTGACATTAGTACCACCCGTTCGATAAGTAGTTTTCGCGTGAGCCAATCAAATTGCACTCATTACCGAATGTACCACGCCAGTGTCCCATCATGATCCCCGGGGCGGAGCCGACTAAAACTGAGTGGGAAGGTCGAGGATGTCCGGCACGTGTTTTCTCCCGCACGCAGCAGAGGAGAGGAATCCATGAAAAAATGCCTAACCGCTCAAAGAGACCGAGCCATCGCAACGTGCTGCGTCAACGCGGCCTGAGTGGTGTGCTGCATTTTCAACAAGAATTGGCGTTGCAGCAAGACGGGCCGCCCGGCTGAATGCTGCCATTCTCTGAGAATTGAGACGCGACAGGCGGGAACTCCCAGATAGAATAGAGGAATACGTTATCAGATATCTTGACCAGAGATTCAAGGGTGAGCAGATAAGTGTCGCGTGCCTCATGCCTCAAAGGGTACGGGGATGACAGTCGCCTTCCCAAAGCCTCCTAGTTATCATGCGCCGGCCAGGTCGAGAATAAGCTGGGTTGGGGCAGTGTGGAGGATCTGCGCCACCGTCGCCGTGCCTAGTGGCCCGCCAAAGTGCCTTGGCAGCCAGATTCCGTGCTCGACGGGATGGCGAGCCGAAAATGTGTTTCACGTCTGGGGATGGTGGCTGTAGGATCTCGGGCCCGCGGGTATTGCGGGGATGCCATACGATGGCCATCACGGTGCGGCCCCGTCACACTGCAAAATGGAGCTGAGGGGGCCGAAGGCTGACTCACACCACAGGCTGCGGGAAATTGGGGCAAGATAATCATCTGTCGAGGGATATTGTGCGGCGTCTTGTTGGAGTAAACCGTTCCAGTCCTGCCGCGCCTCGCTTGGTGCCCTCTCATATGTGCAGATGACCAGTAACACCCAGCGAAGGAGACTACTGTCAAAAGTCCACGAACGAGGAAAGCGATGCAGTGCCAGAAGTTGTTGCAGTTTGTTCACGTACAAGGCATCGCCGGTCATATCCATTCCGAATCGGGACCATAACCTGCAAAGATAGAGAACAGTTGCCAGGCGAAGGAGTTCTCTGCTGTGTGCGGACGGGGTATCCGTAGCGCTGGTTCTCGGCATTGACAGCAGGTCGTGCAATAGCGGCGCGAGGTGGAACTGTGGGAAGAGAATATTTGCCCAAAGAGCATCGCCCTCTGTTTCTAGATGGTAATTGATGACTATGCTTATGTTCTCAATACCTTCGCAGACCAGTGAGGCCTGGACGTCATCGGGTAGCTGCGCCGGCTCGGTCGCTTGCCGAGGCGCGATTTCGCTTCGTTGGGAGGACAATATCGCCCTTGGTTGAGGAAATCTTGGCTTGACATCCCGTAGGAAACTAGCTCGCAGGTCAATCCTGTTCGGAGTTAGACTTGATGCACCCACGTATCTTGGAGCCCTTCCTCGGTAACAAACCAGAAGATCATAGTTCGGAGAACTGGCAGATTGTCAATAGCCTGCAGGCCGCCAACGTAGCTCAGTGAGTGGCACAGGCCGTCGAGATGAATATTGACTAGCTCTGGGTCGCTAGTTAAGTTCTAGGGTTGATGAGAGAAAGTTTCTTTCGAAATACAATTAACGATGGAAAGTCTTACCGCATAGGCTGCGAAGGTCAGGATGGCAACAATTGTCTCAATCGTGACTCGCTTGGATGGCTCAGACAGCATGTGGCACAGTGACCTGGTTGCCATTACTGAGTATCTGGCATGCTCTACTGCGCTTGAAGGAGCGCCCCCTGCCTCGTTGTTCATGTGCCAGGCTGAAGTCGAGAGCATCTGTGTAAGAGCCGCAGATCCCCTGAGTAGGTGAAGAAAGCCGATCTCGACCATCGACTTGAACACGACGCACGTTCCCCCATACACTAAGACAAGTCAGTATCTCAAGTACAAGGTTTTCGTTTTGGAGATCTTACAGTGCTGCCAGAGTACTTGGGCGCGTTTTCGCTCCTCTGGGCCCATGAGCTGGAAAATGTCGGCGCCGCCGTGATCAAACGGCGGCGGCCGGGGCGACGCGACGCCATCACAAGTCGGCCGCTGTCTCCCGGCTCGCTGCGATATTAATTGGCCGCTTCCAACCTTTTTCGCATCTCGCGATACCACTTGCAGCCATTCCCCAACGTCCAACTCGTGCGTCAAAGCAAGTCTCGGTGGCGGGGGGTTCTTCCGGCGGTAGTCAGCCTGTGCACGACTACGAACGCGCTTTCGCGTGACCGCGTCGCCTTTGATGTTTTTCCCAGATACGGAGATGAATTCAAAGGCCTGCGATTTGTCTGCCATTGTTGGGCTCCAATCGCAGTCTGAGCAAGCGGGCCATGCATGGTTTCAGATGGTGGAAAGTTTTGGGGACATTGACGAAGGCCGTTTGCTGCTTAGTTGGTTGCCGCAGTGGAGTCGCCCTAGCGGACCGTTGCCATCTGGTGATATTGCTGCTGACTATCAACGTCATATTCATACGTAAATAAATTCATTAAAACTGAACTCAACTATCTGAGACAACTTCTTGTACCTAGAAGACTAGCTCAAAAAATTGAAAATCTCTTCTGCTATCACTCCGGTATGACTCTCCACCGCAAAGTGTCCGGCGTCAATAAGCTTCACTACGGCGTTGGGGAGATCTCTCTTATACGCTTCTGCCCCGGGCGGGATGAAGAACGCGTCGTTCTTGCCCCAAACTGCCAGGAGGGGCACCTGTGAGGACCTGAAGTACTCATGAAACTTTTCATACAAGGGGATGTTGTTTTGGTAGTCTCTGAACAAATCCACCTGGGCCTCTCTGCGCCCCGGTCGCTGCAGCAGGGCGTAGTCGAGCGAGTAGCTCTCCGGCGGAATCACAGCCCCGTCCGGCGTGCCGTTGACATACTGGAACTTTGTGATTTCCAAGCTCAGCATGGCCTCCGCGATCTTGGCCCGGTCGGCGGCGGTGTTGTTGCTGGCCCAGAACTCCTTGACGGGACCCCAAACGTCGCCGAAGCCCTCCACATAGGCGTTTCCGTTCTGCGTGACGATGGCCTCGATGGAGGCGGGCTGCCGGAGGGCAAGCCGAAGGCCGACGGGGGCGCCATAATCGAAGACGTAGATGGAGTACTTGTGGATGGCGAGCGATGCGAGGAATTCTTCAACGACGTCTGCGAGGGAGTCGAACGTGTAGGTGAAGCTCTCGGGCACCTCGGTGAAGCCAAAGCCGGGGATATCGGGGGCAACGACGCGATACTTGGGTGCCAGCAGGGGGATGAGGTGGCGGTACTGGTGAGACGAGGATGGGAAGCCATGTAGAAGCACAATGGTCTTGGAAGGGTTTTGTGGTCCCTGCTCTCGCCAAAATAGATTCACCCTGCTTTTCGGCAGAGTAACGGTTTTGATTTGTATGAGGGACATGTTGTTGGCCGGTGGTGGGTGGAGAGAGCAGCGTGGAATTTGTGTAACTAGCTGCTTGGTGTCAGACTGAACAAACTTGAGAAAACTGGTGTGGGAAAGCCCTCCAATTTATCATTTCCATATCTCCCTACATCCTACTTTACCCTCTACATTATAAATCAACCATAAAATAGCCGAAACATTATTAATAGTGAAGCCAGATGTTCGAGTATTCCGGCTACGCAAACCAGTGCGATTCCAAACGGCCCCACAATTTTCCCAAAAGAGGCAATGCTGCTTTGGCGTCAATCAATGCTTGGCGGGGCATTTCAGTAGCGATCTATAGTGGGCTGCCCAGGTAATTCGGCAAGGTCAAGAAGTACGCTGTACGCTTGGCAAAGCAATTCGTATACTAAACCGTGCAGAAACTAACTCCCGAATTACTGTCTACTTTACTCCAAGCCAGTGCTACTCTATCTTTCACTCGTCTTCATATTATCATAAACGTCCCGAGTTTCTATTTTCTGCGACGTAGGCAACTACATTAGCAGTGTCAGTTGATAAGGCTCTTTAAGACGATTGACATTGTACATATGTATTTGACTTATCATTCTCTGATTTATGTACTACGCCAATCGAAAATTTATACCTGGGGTGTTGTTAGGTGACCTTCTTGAAAGTGACGGTATAAACGTTAGTACCGTCCGAGTTATCCCCCATTTGCCTTTTGCTGCCCTCAACCCGGACGGCAGCAGCGTTGAAGGTACAGATCATGAACTCTCATCGATGGCTGATCACACGGACTCTCCCGTCGCGGACCTCATCGTCTTAAGCTACGACCAGGATGCGCCTGGCCTGTGTCGAGCGGGCTTCTTCTGCCTCGACCTCAGGACAGTTGACGAGCTCTTGGTAGTGGCGCGGGAATATTTCGCAAAGCCTCTCAAGGAGAATTCCAAGGATATGTATAAGATTAACGATGCTTTCAAGGTCTGCGGGTATGCCCTAGTGACATGTACCGCTTCTAAAAGTACGACTAACTGGGTCGTCTAACTACAAACCCCTCGGCCTAGACCATGGCAACGTCGAAAATTGGAACGCTGGCACATCAATACCTGCTACTCTGTACTCTTCTTCCTGCGACCCAATAACAACGCCAGCTTTACGGACTCGGAGGGCGTGTCCTGGAGGGCCGTCGACTGGCTAAGCAACTGGTTTGACAACCCATCGCCGCAGCCACAGAGAGCAGCAGGAGTCAGCTATGTCGACAGGTAAATATTATGTAAAAGAAATCACTATAGACTATAGTAGCTTACTTTATCTAGTCTAAGATACAGGCAGATGACCTTCTTTAGTTGTTTAGGAATTCAAAATTAGATGCTCCTGTTGGTTCACTGCTTGTAGCAAACCCTGGCTTAATGCTTCCCGTCGAGTACGTGATTTGAGTGGGCAGGTACCTCGTCCGGCCCCCAGAACCATCGACTTCCTTCAGTAGACCCTTTTCACGGATAGAATCGGTGGTTGGATGTGGTAAATGTGCAACTCGGTCTGCCTCAAACATCCCAAGAGATTGCACCCACATTGCCACACGGCTCAGGTTGACGTGAACACGATAGCTGCCGCCTTGTGTTGCGCGGCGACGTAGGGCCACTACAATCCCCGCGGCTCCCAATATGGCAGCGAGGTAGTCATTCAAGAGATATGTGGGTGGGAGAGAAGGTCGACCATCCGATCGGAGTGAGCCTTCTTCGTGCGCAAACCCCGTTGCTGAGCAGGCGAGCTGGTCGAAACCACCTCGTTGTTGCCAAGGCCCTTCCTTGCCCCATCCGTGAAAGTCGCAGTACACCAGGCCTGGGCGTGCTTGTATGAGCTCGGCAGGGCCGTAGCCTTTCGTGTCCAGCGAGAGGTAACTCGAGACGTAGACGTCAGCGCCGCGAAGGACCTCCCAGAACTTGGCCCGATCTGCCTCATCGTCGAGATTGCAAAATGCAGATCGCTTGCCGAGTGCGGTCTCAGTAACCATGGCGCGCGGGTCCATATGATCTGGTGAGCTCATGAGAAGATTTTGTGCGCCATGTTCGCAGCAGATTCGTCCAGCCATTGGACCTGCGATAACATGAGTGTTGTCCAGTATGCGCACCCCTTCAAGAGGCTTCCCCATGGAGGAGTCCAAAACAGGGGGCAGAGGCTCGGGTTGACTCTCTCCAATCTTTTCTATTTCAATGACTGGACTTCCCTCGAGAAAAGGGAATTGTGGCGATTTGCGCCACTCTTCACGGGTTCTAACCGCGATGCACGTGCCGCCTAGAGAGGCGATGCGCTCTTCTAGTTCGAAAGCATCCCATTGGGCGATAGCCGTAGCGAAGCTGTCGGTTTCAAACGGGCAATCGAGCACTCTCAGGTTGATATCTCGTAAGTGAGGATAGCTGTTGAGGAGGAAAACAAATCTGTCGTCCTTGGCTCTGTAGAAGTTGGAGGTACTGAGCAACTTGGGATCTTCAAATAGCCGATGGGTAGAAACACCGTTTATAGTCGTCATGAAGACGGCCATTAGCTGAGGAATCGCTGTGGCAACAGAAACCCCAATCGCTTCCTTGACGCCTGTCCGCTGCTGCCACAATGCAGCCATGGAAGTACCCAGCGCTGCCAGCGCCGTGGCAGCAGCATCACCCAAGCGGTGCGGGCTCGGCACAATAGGGTCATTGCCATGGATCTGCACGTCCCAGGATGGTTCAATGCCTAGCTGGCTGAGTAAGTCGAGGTATATATCTTGACTGCATGGAAACTTGGTAGGTTGAGGAGAAGCCATGATGTATGGATGTATTGCAGTGAGAGCGTGCTTGTTTTGTTATTGCATAAAATTGCGAGATGAAATGGTCGAATAAACAAGGCAGGAACGGGGTTCGCTGGAGCATTAAAGAGTCCTTAACGTTGGACAAGGCCTCTATTAAATAGTATATTCTCTTCTATAATTACCACCCAATGGAGACACAGCGAGAAGCAAGAAGCATCTGGACATTAAGCACACCGCAGAGGCGTCAACTACCGAATTTGGTAACGTTGGTTAAGTAAATTCGCCGAGAGGCACTTGCTAATAATAGGGCCTTGTGGAGATGCTGCGCGGGGCGGCTTAAAATCGCCGCAGGGCGGCTTAAAATCGCCACGGCGAAGCTTAAAATCGCCGCGGGGAATTCCTGGTTTCTGCCTTTAAACCCGTGGTGATTCTGGGTTTTTTTCTCCCAACGCACAATACCGAACAATCATCGATACAACTAGGTTTATTGAGGCAGTCTTTCATAGCCGAGACTGTATTCGGCGTTTAAGCGCTCACGAACAACCCTTACCACCACGCCTACGCGGCGAGGTGCTGCCGAGAGTGATCCCCGCAGACATGGCCGACAAGGGACAGCCGAAGGCGAAGCTCGCCCGAGCTTGTACTGCGTGTTATCAGAAAAAGGTAGCCCTCGGGATTTCTGCGCTCCATGTCTAGTTTCTGCTAACATTGGTGTTGCCAGATCCGATGCAATGTGACCTCCAAGAAGCCATGTTCAAGTTGCGAATTACGCAGTAGCGCTTGCGTGTACGCAGTGTTAATCTTGCTTTATAAGCCAGTCTAAGCTGACACATTGTCAGATTACGGTCTCGAAAACGCAAGCACAGTCATTTTCTTCACCATACAGGCCAAGTTGAAGGCGTCTCTGAACCCCCCCTGCTGTCCATTACACCTGAGCCCTCCAGCATAAGACGAAACAGCCATGCTCCAGGTACACAGCATGACTTTGAGTCATACTCGCCAGGCAGTTCGGCATGTTCCCCTGACGAGCCTGTACTTGCCCAAGTCGATTATGAAAACTACTATGGCGGGCCGGTGCTTCAGCAGCAGCAAAACCGAGACCAGGACATGCAATGCCGTGATCCGGGGGTCAACCAGGTAAACATGGCTGTACTCCGATTATACAACGCCTTTGATCTTCCCTCCGCGGCGTTTCAAAATTCTTTAATCGACAATTTTATGACCCATGTCCACCCGCTGATGCCGATCGTCGACATGAAGAGTGTCAATTCGAGAAGAGGATACTCGCCACCAGTTGCACTACTGAAAGCAGTCCTACTTGCTGGAGCCCGGACAACTGATGCAAAGCTCCCATTTTCATGCGAGCAATATTACACCGCCGTCAAAGCTCTACTGATGTCTGGCTACGAAAAGAACCCTATCACCTTAATGATCGTCGCTTGCTTGTTAGGCTGGCACAATCAATCCAGTCTTTACAATGTCAATATAGATTCCAGCAGTGCCTGGCTCCGCTTTGCATCGAACATTGCGTATCAGGTAGGCCTACACAGAGAGCCCAAGACCAACATCAATACAGGCTACAAACGCAGACTGTGGTGGACATTGGTGGTATGTACCTTCCTCTATCTCGGAGTTTTAAGCTGATCCAACAGGCTCGAGATTGTCTTGTGTCAGCCGGTCAAGGCAGACCACGGATATTCAACCTAGCAGACAGCGACATTAAGCCTATCTCGACTGAGGATTTTGGAACCGATGGACAACATGCCGCAGTCTTTGTTGCCTATGTCAGAGTGTGTCTCATCCTAGGCGATCTCTGCGAATCCTACAGACGAAGAGAAATGTCAACACTACAACGAGACAGCATTAGGAACCGACTCTTCTGGTGGCTAAAGGAGCTTCCGCAAGAGATGCAGCACTTAGGGTCCTCCACCCATGCCTCATTCGATAACCGATTCGAGAGACAACTCTTTGTCATTTATTTTGCAGCAGTGACAATTCTCTACCGGAGCGACTTGTCTAAGCAGATGGCGCATCCTACTTCACTAATCGCATCGTCATTTTTAGTTTCTTTACTTGAAGATTTCCTTTCCAGAGACGAAGTTCAGCGGCTCCCTACAATGTTTACATTCTACGCCGTTTCAGCGGCCGTGCCTCAACTTGTGGCTACGCGACATCCGAAACTCAAGCCTGCCGCAGAGAACGACCTGGCAGTTCTTTCACAGTTTTTACTGGCACTCTCCAAAAGATGGCCGACCTCTGCGAGTGCACAGAAGCTATTCGAAGCCTTCAAAACATCAGAACCTGCAATTCAAGACGCTCATATATCCTTCGAGACATTCTCAGGTCATGAGAAGCTTCTTTTCGATAATTTTGATCTTTCTGCCTGCAGATACTCGTCGCTGCTAGCAGATTCTGGCGCGCATTCGTCAAGCACTGTGAAACCAACAAACATCGTACAAGATGCCGGTTCCCTCCCTACACCACTCTCTACAACCGTTGCGAACATACTCCGCGAAACAGACCCAGATTCAGACCTACTGCAGATGAGCTTTCTGCCTACGGAACAGCACACTAGTACCTGGGAATGGCCTCCGGATAATCTAAACGATAACTTTGCAGTTGAGTTCTCTAAAGCGATGGGAAGCTGGCTTTATCCACCATATGCTTGGGACTTCGCACCGGTACAAGGGTTGGATATGTAACTATTTTTGCATGGTTGGGTATTTTTTGGAATGTATATCTCGAACGAAAACGTCTGTCTGTCCGTCCATGCCGGCGAGTGTATACGGGGAACACTAGATAGCACTATAGGACCAACGCCACGGTCGAGGTAGAAACATTAGACCTCAGCGCCCACAGGGAAGTCATAAATAAGCCCTCCTCAATCCGCAATAGAGATAGGGGACGTCGCATGCCCAAGATGCCTAAAATTGCCCAGAGAATTATCGGTACTTGTTTGCTCTAAGCGAAAACCCCCGCGGCGATTTTTGAACCCCATAGGATAATTTCCCCTAGCCTCCATTACCCCAGATTGGCGGAGCCTGGGGAATATGGGGAGATGGCTGTGGGGAGACCAACGAGACCGGATATGATTCGCAAGGCACAATAGGTGGCGAGGAAGCAAGATGCCCATTATATATTGAGGAGAACGCCTTCTCAGTCACGATGGTTCTTTTTTTTTTCACTTGGCAATCGTGCAAAATCCACTGTCATCATGGCAACTCTAGATAAGTCTGAAGTCATCACTGCTGAAACGCTAGAGAACCCTAGGATGGCAGACGAGGCAGGCCTCCAAAAGACAGATACCATTGACACAGTCCACGGCGACGAGGCAGCGATTGTCCTGGCCACCTACCATGGTGAGCTCACTTGGGACGATGACGAAGAAAAACGCGTCAAAAGGAAGATTGATCGGCGTTTACTCCCTATCCTTTGTATTACGTATGGTTTGCAAGTACGTCTCCGAGCTTCCAAACAGTCGCTGACCCTCGGCACCGGAGTAACTCACTCTAACTCTACCAGTACTACGACAAGACGATGCTGTCACAAGCGGTAAGCACAAAGCCTTCCAAACCGAATCCGTTTCTGACACCCGGGACGTACAGGCGCTGTTCGGACTTCGCAACGATCTCGGGCTGGAAACGGGAAATCGGTTTTCATTCTGCGCCTCCATCTTCTACTTGGGATTCATCGTCGGAGCATATCCTGCCATTGTTTTGGCCCAGCGCTTCCCTATCGAGCGTGTTGCTTCGGGCATCGTCCTTGTTTGGGGGATATGCTTGACCTGCACAGCTGCCTGCCACAACTGGCAGTCCTTTTATGCGCAGCGGTTCTTTTTGGGACTCTTAGAATCCGGAGTCAGCCCAATGTTCATGATGGTCGTCGGCCAATTCTACAAGAAGGATGAGCAGGCTCTTCGAATGGGGTTGGTTCGCTCTACAAATGTCACCAATAAGCCTCCCGCTGACCTTCTGTTTCCACTAGAGCTTGGTGGTGTGCTACAGGATACATCTCGACTGTTTCCCCTCTCATCAATGTATGTGCATCAGAACCCCTGGGTCAAAACCGTGGCTACCCAGCACCTTCTCTATCATAAGGAAGAACAAGAGTGTATGGACGATACTGACTTTCAACCTAGTACGGCCTTGGACACATCACCGGGTCCCTCGCTCCCTGGCGATATATGTACATCGTCGCAGGAATGATCACAATCCTGTGGTCCACCGTCATCTTCTTCTTCATGCCGCCGGATCCGGTTCACGGACGCAATTTGAATAAGCGAGAACGATACATCGCCGTCGCCCGCCTGAGAACGAACAACTCCGGTGTCCGGAGCAAGCACTTCAAGAAGGAACAACTTTATGAACTGCTCATCGACTTGAAGTTCTGGCTTGTCTTCTGCATCACGTTCCTGATTATGTGGGCAAACGGCCCGGCTTCTACCTTTATACCAACCATCATCCACGGCTTTGGCTTTGGCACGTTGACTTCTCTACTGTTGGTGATGCCCGCGGGGGCGATCATGTGAGTAATCCTGGAGTATATCACCAGTGTCGTAGCCCCTCACTAACCGTGGGTGTTTCCTCGAGATAGCGGTACCCTTCAGCTAGCAGCTTGTTATACTGCCTACAAGGTCCCGAATTCAAGGTCCTACCTAGTTGTCATCTGCGAATTGGGCACAATCTTGTCCTGCCTTCTCTTGTGGCTGCTTCCGACACAACAACTTGGAGGTCTCTTGTTTGCGTCATACATCCTAGCCGCCAACAGCGCCGGCTATGCCGTGCTTATGGGCATGCAGCTGGCCAACACGGCTGGGTATACAAAGCGATCGCTTGCCTCATCTAGCGTCTTTGTGGGCTACTCTGCTGGTAAGCAACGATGCCATCCCACTCGTATCTCCTTACTCCACAACCACTATAGCGATCATCATGTCTCCGTATACCTCAGCTAAGGACCCTTCACTGGGTGTAGGCAACGTCGTTGGGCCCCTCTTGTTCACAGCCACGGACGCACCAAGATATCCTCACGGATTTATCGCAGTCTTCGCCTCTGCCTGCGCCACAGTTGTTTTGGTAATTGTCTATCGCTTGTTCTGTGCGTGGGAGAACAAGAAGCGTGACGAGGCTGGAATCATGGAAGGTTATGAGCATGCCTACGACGACGATTTTACGGACCGCACGGTACGTCTTGTCCAACCGTGTGACTCTACTAATAGTGGCTAACCTATGACTTATAGAATAAGCAGTTCAGATACATCTACTAGAAGGTCTGGATTGTGATAGGGTTTTCCATCTTTCATCCCATTCTATGCCCTGTGTTTGGCAGGGCATTAGTGTCCCGGACTGCAATAGATAGTTGTTATTAAAAAGAGTAACAAAGAAGACCGCACCAACAATGACTTGCTACTGGCAATGGAGGTCGCTCACAGTGGACTCCCTAGACGTTTAAGCCCACTCACATTCCATATAGGATAGTATAATTACTACCTACTATTAATATTCTGAATAGAAGAGTTAATGCCAAGCTACCACTCCCTATGTGGCCGGGGCGAGAATTAGTGCGGCGATTAGGTGTTTATAGCGGTTGATGCTAGCTGGGGAGGCCTCGTAAACGGGCTAGGCAGTGGGTTAAAGTTATCGCAGGGCTTCCACATGGGCCTCTAGAAGCGTAGAAGGAGATAGGTATAGATAATAGTGGAAATAATTAAGTAATAGAAATATATTAGATGAAGTTAGCTAGATGATCTTACTATGTGATAGGTTACTATCTTAATTATTATTACTTATTAGTATGGTTCGTGGTTGCCCTATACACGCGGCTAGAATGGCTAGTCCTTATGGTTACATTCGCTCCCGCCTCGCCCCAGTTGAATTTAATGGCGATAAAGCTGAAACAGTAGCTAACGCATAATAATAGTGTGGTTAAAGGACGGATTCTACTAGATACACAGTCTTATTTTCACTGTATTATTGTACTTGAAAGAGGAGCAGAAAAGGGTGACGAGAGCAAGAGGCAGTCGAGACCGGATTTATCGGGCTGGCAGACTTTCCTGGGTAAAGCAGAATGTACTGTAGCTGAAATAGCAACGGTCAAGCGCTGACATAAGATGAATCGCCTCCTGCATCATCTAACGCCCATAAGGTGTCGAGAAGCTTGAGGAGTCTATCATTAACCTGCCACTGATATGGGAGGATGAGAGTAGGACACGGGCGCGGCCTACGTGCGTATCGCTGGGAGGACATCACGCGAAGGTCAACGACTGGCCTTTTTTCACGACAATTTATTTCCAGGGCATCAACGCGCGTTGTACGACGAGTGCATCTCGCCCCCTCCTGACACATGCCATTGTGCAGAAAATAGATGACAAGACCTCTTTCGAATTCGAGAGCCAGAGGTAAAAATCACCAGTCGATCGGGAAATTGTGGCATTTTGGTCGATGCCAACGGCACGCCATCTACCAACACATCCACAGGTTGCTCGCCTAAAAAACCAACACCATCGCACACGGGAACATGATACCCCACACACAATGTAAAGACAAGGAGAGCTTCCGGTCAGGTTTCAATTATGGGACTGTTTCATCGAAAAAGAAAAAGAGGGCAAGGGGGCTGGGTTCGTGCTTTCACGGCGAGAAGTGTACCAGTCTCCCTGGCGGTGGAGGAGGATGCCTACCCTACACTTATTACAGCTTTCCCGACCACGGCCTATCTCCCGCAAATGACCAAGAGAGAAACCTTCCTCGACATTTCCAACGGCTTTCCCGGTTGAAGCCACCCCGCTGTGTTGCGGGAATGCAATATCTTGTTCTAAGAGGCGCTGTAAAATGCGGTCAAGGAGCACATGTGAAGAACGGTCACGGATGCCCAAAGTGACAAGGCCGAGCGACGGGGGTGCATCTCCGACCTTGGGTCCTTTTCTTGTCTATGACGATTTTATGATAATAGAAGATGATAGAGATAATTATAGACTAGAGGTGAATCAAAAATAGAAAGATAAAAAGATAGTCTTCGTACAGCTCGGGGGTAACTTGTGGATATGTCCGCGGAACGGTGTCGGGATATCCCCACATCTGTCCGCGGATCGGCTTGCCGCCTTGGCCTTGATTCCGTTTCCACCACCACCAGCCCCCAAGCCGACGGCTTCGGTAATAATCCATCATGAAGTGAGCAGATCACAGCTCCGAAAGCCCACCCGCGAGAATCAACCATGGCGTACCTAGACGAGGGCAGGCCGACGTCGCCGCAGAGCTACGCGCGCCGCCCGCTCAGCTGCTCGACGTGCCGCGTCAAGAAGATCCGGTGCGACAAGCGCGTGCCGTGCTGCCACTGCGCCAAGGCAAACCTGCGCTGCACCTTCCCGGCCCAGCGCAAGCCGCGGGAACGCAAGCCGCACCTGAGGAACCGGTCGCCAGAGGCGCACGGCCAGGAGAAACAGCTGGCGGACCGGCTGCGCAGCCTGGAGGCCCAGGTGTCGTCGCTCCAGACCCAGCTGATGGATGCGAGGGCGCCGCCGCCACGGTACGAGGAGCTGGTGAAGCGGCGGTCGGCGGTGCATCCGCGGGCAGCGGTCTCGCACATCAAGTCGTCCTTTTGGGCGAGCATCAACTTCGAGGCTGGTCATCTCCTACAAGGCTTTGTGACAAGTCGCTAACTCTTAATCTCACGCCTAGCTGCAGCAGCAACTTGCGTCTCCGCGCTGCAAGAGCATGCAATTACAGTTCCAGTACAATACCGTGGTAGCGCCCGCGGCTCCTCTGCCAACTCAGCCCGACGTCTCGATGCTGCTGTTCAAATCCTTCCAAGGAGCGCGCCATCCTCTCCATCATCCGCCAGAGACACACATGATGCTCTTTTGGCACGTCTTCAAGGAGAACGTCGAGCCCATGGTCGGACTGCTGCACTGCCCGACCATGGCCAACCTGGTCGAGAGGGCGCTCTGGCACAGACACACGCTGTCCACAGCCGAGCACACGCTGCTCTTTTCCATGTATTACGTCTCAGCCGCAGCAATGGGCGAAGAAGCAGTACGTTAATATCCTCCTCCTCGCACACTGTCTAACTCTTTCGCTCCCAGATCATCCGCGAGTTCTCCGTCTCCAAGAGCGCCCTGCTCAGCCGCATGCGCGTCCTGGCCGAGCACGCCCTCGTGGCCGCCAAGTTCGCCAGCGCCGCCGACGTCACCGTCCTGCAGGCCGCCATGCTCTTCGTGCTCGTGCTGCGCAAGACGGGCGGTGCGCGCAGCGCCGGCAGCCTCGTCGGCGTCATCGTGCACCTCGCGCAGTGTCTGCGGCTGCACAAGGACGGCGCCGACCTGCACGACCTCACCCCGTTCGAGACGGAGATGCGCCGACGGCTGTTCTGGTCCGTCGTGGTGCTGGACCAGCGCTCCGCCGAGGACCTGGGCACCGACCCGCTGCTGCCCGAGACGACGTGGGACGCGCCGCTGCCACTCAACATCAACGATGAGGACATTTGCGAGGGCTCGCCGGTGCTGCCGGAGGAGCGCGCTGGCATGACCGACATGACCTTCTTCCTGATCCGTGTGCACACGACGCAGACGTCGGTCCGGGTGCGCCGGCTGGCCTCGGAGGAGGGCCAGACGCTGGAGAGCCTCGACGAGCTGTGCGAGGAGGCCTGGCGGGCGACGCACTCCACGCTGCGCCGCACCTTCGTGGACCCGAACCCGAGCCACGAGCTGGCGTGGGCCGCCGAGGCGATGACCTCGTGCATCGTCGCCAAGATGAAGCTCACCGACCAATGCTCCTTCTTCTACCCTCCTGGCACCGACGCGCACGACGAGGCGTCCAGTCGCCGCCGGTCGACCGCGCAGCTCGCCGCCGCGATCCGCGTGCTGGAGCAGAACCACGCGGCCAACGCGGACGCGCGCTGGTCGCGCTGGCGCTGGATCTTCGTCGCGTACGCGCGCTGCCACGGGTCCGCCGTGCTCCTGACGGAGATGCTGCGGCGGCCGTGGGCGCCGGTCAGCGAGCAAGGCTGGGCGGCGCTGCACGCCGTCCTGGGCGACTCGCAGCCCGGCGAGCTGGAGGACCAGCGGGGGATGATGCCGCTGCCGTTTGGGTTCGTTTATGAGCTGACGAGGCGGTACCGCGAGTCCGAGTACGAGCGGCTGCGCGGCGCGCCGGAGGAGGCGCGACGACTGCTGCTGCAGGAGGAGGAGGGGGGGAGCAAGGAGGATGGTAGTGGTGGTGGTAGTGGTGGTGGTGGTGGTGGGACTAGCGGCGCCGATCGCCCCGGCGTTTCGGCATCATCTCTGGAGCGCTGGCGGCGGGCGGCGGGGCTCGGGGATGTCTGCGTGGCGCCGCAGCCACGCGGGCTCATCGCGCCGGAGCCCCTGGACGATTATGGGGAACAACGCATCTCGGGTCTTGGAGAGGCGGTGGCGCTCTCGATGGCGCAGTCTGTGCCTGAGATGCCGTCGACGGCGGCAGCACCGGGCTTCGACATGGGCATCGAGGCGTGGCCGGTGGGGGAGATGATGCCGGTGGAATACATGGAGAGCATACTGGACGAGCTGTTCTAGAAGATTGTAGTATGGAGGATAGCGTAACGCAAGATGCAATATTCCAGTTCGCGATGGTACTCCCTATAACACTAGCAATTATGCAACCTACGATCCGCTCCTGCGTTTCCCATCTAGGCATCCCGCCCATAGAGTCCCGGTTGTGTTCCAAATCCCTGCTCGGTTGGGCATACTTCCAACTGCCAGTTTCTTATCCTTTCTCGCAAACAGCGTCGGCAACTACCTCGCCCAACCCAACCCCCCCCCCTCCCTGGCGGGGTCAATGCTACACAACCAACTTGTTCACAACCCTGCGCATTGCTCGTGTCTCATTGCCATGTTCACCGTACGATTGAAGCAAGGACACGTCCCTTGACATAATGACGCAGAAAACTCATCATCCAAGCCTTGACCGATACGACAACAGGGCGCCGCTGCTTCCGACCAGCAGGTTCGCCGATCTCAAACCGCTACTGGCCTTTCGCCGTTTCGGCCTCTTTTCTAGCTCGCCACTACCGGGCACGCTCGTCTGGCAACCCGGCGTCGTCGGCTTCCAGCCTATCCTCCTCGAAGTAACGTCTTTTTGTGCTTGTTTCGAACCGGTCTGCATGTGATGAATCCTCGGTGGAGATGTAGCCGCAACTGCACACATCGATGCAGCATGGCCGAGTATAAGAGCCGCAGCGCCTCCGCTACCGTTTTCATCCTCCTCACTCATCAGACACCTTTTCTTTCACAGAACAGTACTTCGCAGACATCTTCCCGCATCGCTTCCTAGACATGGCCAAGACCGCCAACGCCACCCCCTACGGCGGACCCTACGGCCGCCGCCTCTACGTCAATGTCGTCGACGAGACCGCCCGGGCCGAGCCGGACCGGCCCTGGGTCTACGCGCCGCGGTCCTCGGACGAGCGTGACGGCTTCCGCGCCATCACCTGGCGCCAGCACGCCAACGCCGTGAACCGCGCCGCCAACTGGCTCGTCCGGCGCCTCGGCAAGCCCGCGCCCAAGTCCTTCCCCAGCCTCGCCTACGTCGGGCCCAACGACGCCCGCTACCTCATCCTCTTCGCCGCCGGCACCAAAGCCGGCTACCAGGTATGTTGCGTGCTTATCCGATCTTACCATGACATTACTCTTTTTTGTGGTGCGCTTCCGTGGCTAACACGGGGCCGGCCCGCTCGTCTTAGATCATGTTCCCCTCCACGCGCAACAATACGGAGAGCCAGGTCTCGCTGCTGCGCGTGACCAAGTGCCAGAAGCTGCTGTACGGCAGCGAGTACGCCAAGAGGGTCCAGCCGTGGGTGCGGGAAGCGGGCATCGGCGCGCTGGAGATGCTGGGCCTCGAACAGCTACTCGACGATGCGCCAGAGCCGGTGCATCCCTACAACGAGACGTTCGAGTCGGCCGAGTTCGATCCCGTCACGATACTGCACACCAGTGGCAGCACGGGGACCCCCAAGCCCATCTACTGCAACCAGGGCCTCTTCTGCTCGACGGACAACTACCACAATTTCCCCGAGTATGAGGGCTTCCCCTTTGTCATGTCCGGCATGGCAACCTTGTCGAAAAACTCATACTGCCCGCGTAAGCCGTCTTCGTCCTCTTACCCTCGGACGAACCATCCACTAACACATCAAAGTGCCGCTGTTCCATGCCTTTGGCCTGTACTGTTTCATCAGCATCCCGACATTCTGGGGCAAGCCTATGACGCTCGGCATTGGCGACAAGCCTTTGACTGCCGAGAGTGTAGTCCGGGGCTATGAAGCGGCGGGATGCGATGCTCTGATTCTTCCGCCATCCATCGTGGAGGATATCTCCAAGCTCGACGGCGGCATTGAGAAGCTCAAGAAGCTGAGTTATGTTGCTTGCGGTGGAGGTAAGCGACTCCTGACCAGTCTGCGCCGAACAGCTCTCGCTAACGCCGCCTTGCAGGTGGCATATCGCCAGAAGTTGGCAACGATATTACCTCCAAAGGTGTCAGGCTCAACAATTGCATCTCCAGCACAGAGTGAGCCCAGCAACACGTCACCACGCTCGAACCTCGCTGACAATGACAGGTACGCCATGTACCCCACGTACTGGCAGACCGACTACAACAACTGGGACTGGTTCATCTTCGACAACAAGCAGTTCGGCTGCCGCTACGACCACGTCGACGACAACATCTACGAGCAGACCATCGTCCGCCACGAGCCCTTCCAGCCCATCTTCTACACCTTCCCCGACGCCACCGAGTACAAGACGGGCGACCTGTTCGAGAAGCACCCCACGCTGCCCGGCCACTGGCGCTCGCAGGGCCGCATGGACAACATCATCGTCTTCAGCAACGGCGAGAAGCTGAACCCCGTCACCCTCGAGGCCACCGTGACGCTGCACCCGGACGTGCGGCAGGCGCTCGTCGTCGGCCACGGCTACTTCCAGGCCGGCGTGATCCTGGAGCCTGCCGCCGCGCGAGGACCGCTGGACAACGCGCAAAAGGAGGCCTTCATCGCGTCGGTCTGGCCCGTCATCGAAAAGGCAAACGCGGCGACGGTGGAGCACGGTCGCGTGGCAAGGCATCTCGTCACGGTGTCCGAACCGAAGAAGCCGTTCCTCTTCTCAGCCAAGGGCTCCTTCCGACGCGGCGCGGCCATCAAAATGTACAAGCCGGAAATCGAGGCTCTGTTCTCGGCGCAAGAGGTGATTGAACCGGCGCAGCTTGACACCGCCACCCGAGAGGGCTTGGCCGCGGGCATTCGGTCCCTTTTCAGCGGAGCTACTCCGGAGGGTGCCATGGACGACGAGGACGACTTTTTCCTACAGGGTATCGATTCTCTCCAGGTCATCAACCTTGCCAAGAGAATCACGGCGGGCTTGAGGGTCTCCGGTGTCGCCGAGGATGTGGCCGTTCTGGCGCCGCGTGACGTTTATGCGCAGAGCACCGTCACCAAATTGACCAATCTTCTGTTTGGCCGCATTCATGGAACACAGAGCAACGGCGTGCAGAGTCAGGCCGAAATCTTGCAGGCTCTGGTGGACAAGTACAGCGCTGGGCTGGCTAAACGCAGCGATCGCCCTCCTGCCAAGTCGACAGGCAAGACTGTGCTGCTGACCGGATCAACCGGCAGTCTCGGCTCCTACTTTCTTCATTTTTTGATCCACGATCCAGATGTCGCTAAGATTGTCTGCTTGAATCGGTCCGAGGGTGGCGGCCGTGCCAAGCAGCTCAGCGCGCAGAGGCAACGCGGCTTATCAACCGAATTTGAGAAGGTCGTATTCCTCCATGCCGATCTCTCCCGATCCGACTTGGCACTCGAGAAGGACCATCTCCTGGAGCTCGAGAGGTCCGTTGACTGCATCATCCACAACGCTTGGCCGGTCAACTTCAACATTTCAGTACAGTCGTTCGAAGGCCACATTCGCGGCGTGCGCCACTTGATCGACTTGGTGCAGAAGGCTGCCGTCAACGCCTCAATCATATTCATCTCCTCCATCGGAACCGTCGACCAGTGGTCCGACCCGTCGCCGATTCCAGAGACCAACCTGACGGACTTGAATCTCGCGTCGATGGGCTACGGCCAGTCAAAGCAGGTCGGCAGCATGGTACTGGACACCGTCGCCAAGGTTGCCGGCATCCCTGCCGCGGTTGTCCGCCTAGGGCAGGTCGCAGGCCCGACGACGCAGCAGGGCTCCTGGAATGCGCAGGAGTGGCTGCCGACGATCATCCAGTCCTCTGCGCACCTGGGCCTTCTGCCCGACAGCCTGGGCAGCATGACGGCCGTCGACTGGGTGCCGGTCGACAAGGTGGCGCGCACCATCCTCGACATGGCAACCACGACATCCCAGGCTGCAGACTTTAGCAGCGGCGCCAAATTCTTCAACCTAGTCAACCCAAGGCGGACGCCCTGGTCGACCATCGCGCCCGCCGTGGTGAGCTTCTACCAGCAGAGAGGCAAGCAGCTGCAGTTGGTGAGCTTTGCGGACTGGGTCAAGGCGGTCGAGACGGCTCCAGCCTCACCAAGACTCTCGGCGATCAAACTCCTCGACACGTACAAGGCTCTGTCCGGAGCGGCAGAGAATGGCGCTCATCCAGGATTTGCGACGGAAAAGTCGCAGCAGGCGAGCAAGACATTGGCGACGATGGAAGCAGTGACGCCAGGGCTAATGGCTCTGTGGTGCCAGCAGTGGAACTTTGGTGCATGAATTTTCGACCGGGGGGGCTTTTTTTGTCGTCAGCTTATTAGTATCGCAATATAGAAATAGACTTTATACAATTAGCATTCCAGCATGCTTTCGTGATGGATGAGGAGACACTTGCGGGGTCGAAGGCATCAGCGGGCTTGGCATAAGGAGAGGCTGGTTACTACTCACGAGTTTGTCGGCTATGTCTTTGGGAGATGGCTGTTCAATTGACCCATGTCGTCGCCTAGGTTCGTCTCAACAATCACAAACTTGGCGGTTGGTGCCTTTTTACTGGGGAGGGTGCTGAAGAAGTGCATGCTTCAGGGTGAAGCTTCACCGGCCAAGGCGTCTGACTAATCACGCCTTGCAGGTGTCTCAGCAACCACTCTTTTGCCGAGTTAATCAGTAGAAAAGCTGTCTAGAAATGTTTGAAGCTTTGGTACTACTGTGCCTAGTCGGGTCATTTTGCCCAAAGCTGTATGGTCTCTGGATGGTACGCGAGAAATATCATTGGTGCGAGGACTGACCTGGCGCCCTCCTGTTGTTGGTCCAATACGGGACCGCCCCGCGCCATCAGCGCAACAGAACTTTCAATGCAGTTGTAGATGGCATTCTATTTTTGCAGCTTTGTCCGAGTCAATCTGCTCAGTATAATTCAACGTTGTCATCCGACGCCAGGATGTTTGGTAGTCATTCACATATGGCTCCAGGGTACCACGTCTTTGTAGTCCATGCGGCAGCGGAGACGGTCGTCAATGCACCGTTGAGCGAGTGCCAGTTTTCGTCTGACTCGGATGGGAATCAGGTACGGGAGAGCTCCATGCCGTTGTTTTCTTTTATTTTTTGTGGTGCTCATCTGCCTAACATTATGCAGATCGGGAAAGTGCCGACGAGGTCTTCTGCGCCCATGCAAGGCTCAGATGAAGATTGCGGGAATCCGTAAAGAAGGTCGGCGATAATGAATAAGCCGCATGGAGCAAGAGATGATCAGTAGCGAGATTTCGGGTCGTATCCTCCAGTTGCTTGGTAAGTAAGATGTTGCTCCGCCTCCGTGATTGCACGATTCTATAGCCACGTCGGTATTAACTAGCTAGTTATACGTCTAGAACTTGAGTCGAAATTTTGGTAGAATTATTCGGCGGGCTTTAAAAAGCACGGAGCACAGATCCGCAAAGCTAGCATCGCCGTTCCTCGATAGCATTCGAGAGTACGGACGATGGGCCGTCTCTTGATCTGCACCACCCACTCCCAAGATTAGCATGACGTGTTTTGGTCCGCAAGGGAGATTTTGGCAACCAGCAGCATTGCAATAGTTGGTTGCTGACAGGAGTCGATTTTGGCCTCCCTTTTGCTCAACGAGTCATTGTGGTGGTTTGCCCTATAACACCAGGCACTATTACTCCGTTCCTGGCCTGCTTCTTGGAAACCCTTGGAATCAGGGTTTGGCGTGGCCGCACGAGATTTCGGTCGGCCATCCCATTGGGGCTCTGGCAATGCGAACCACGGCGCGAAGGCAATGACAAAATGTCCTAGGCAGCAATGCCGCCTTTTATATATACATATATATATATATATATATATGTATGTATTTTGATTAATTTATTTTCGCGACGGTTTTTGGTGGTGCCACCATATCCGGAATTGGCTTGGAAGGAGACCGACGATTCGACAGACTTGCCAGAAAAAACGTGGCTTGCAAATAGTTTGCAGGGGCTAATGCAGGGGAAATTACGCACGCTTTTCATCTATTCGTAAGGCTCGGGGAGCTTGGAGATGGAAGAGCAGCCAGTATGATAGCGTTACGGCTCAGTCGGAGCGGGGGTTCTCTTCTGTCTCACTTGGCTTTCCTGATTTAGTATCTAGGCGAAACACCACGAGTTTGAATGTACGATCCTAGCTGTGAGCATCTTTGCGCCCGATACAAGCTTGATAAGCCGTTGGCCTTTTTTTTTTTTTTTTTTTTTTTTCCCTGTCAATTTCAGGTGGTTATTAGTGTCACCTCTGTGCGTGAGCACGCCTTTTTTTTTTTTTTTTTTTTTTTTTTCCCTGTCAATTTCAGGTGGTTATTAGTGTCACCTCTGTGCGTGAGCACGTTTCTCCCACTCATAGCAGCTCATCTTCGAAGGAAGGCCTCGCTTCGCGCGAAGGATTTTTATTACAAATTTCAACTATGACACAGGGTACCACTGCACATATCCCGCGTCGAGCAAGCCCTTTTCTGCCAGCATTGACGGACCCCGGTCGCATTGCGTTGTCCTTAGCGTTATCATCGTTTCTGCTCACAGCCTTGCTTGATAACCATTCTCTCATATACAGTCACACTGCATCTCCACATTCTCCTCCTTGCCCTCGCCTTGAATGGTCTGCCAAACCTGTCGTGGAACTTTTCCACGGGCCCTCCCTGCTTAGCTCGGTATGACCGGACACGTTGTGACCGGGGGCCCAACCAGCCCAGCAAATCAGCAGTCAGTGGCTCGGCTGTCCCTTTTTGACGTGAACCACCCCCTGCCAGTTGACAAGCTGAACCGCCTCGAAGTTCTAGACGGCTGGTGGGCGCATCAACAGCCCAATTTACCCGCAAGTCCCGCATGAATGGGGACATCAGATGGCAGAGGAGTGATGAGGCCCCCCAAGCCCGAGCCTGACCTGAACGGCCCTTTTCTGACTCGCTGGGTGTTGCCCTCGAAAGGAGAGGCGAGGCGCTTATAATGGGACGAGGCGCCATGCTCGTCTTGAGAGCCTTCTTTTCCCGCAAGATTTCTTCGCCTGCTCGTCTTTCCGTCTTTTAGAGCATCTTGAAGCTCGTCCAGTGACGTATCCGCACGTCAACCACATTCGTTTTTTAATACTACTGTAATTTACAGTCCACACTCTTTTCACGAGCAACATGGGCCCTCTTGCCACCTCTCTGGCCGTGCTGTTGGCCGGAGCCAGCACGGCTTCCGGTGCCGTCTTCTCCCTCAAGGAGACTTATGATTCGACCAACTTCTTCGACAAGTTTGACTTCTTCGAGGTATGAGATGGCTGTTTCTTGGACTCGGCATTGTGGCCGCGGCATGCTGACATGGATTTTAGAGCAAGTTTGGCACGGGCAAGCCTGAGGAGCAGGATCCTAGCCACGGCTTCGTCAACTACAAGAACCGCGATGCCGCCTTTGCCAGCGGTCTGGTCAAGTATGAGGGCAAGGAGATGTACATCGGCGTCGACTCTACCAACACGTGGTGGGATCCCGATGGCCGCCCCAGTGTCCGTCTCGAGTCCAAGAACGAGTACACCAAGGGTCTTTTCATCGCCCGTTTCAGCCACCTGCCCAAGCTTACCTGTGGTGCCTGGCCTGCATTGTGAGTTGTCCAACCGCATCCGCTTGATCTTCGTTCAAAGCATGCTAAGTTTGCTCTAGCTGGACGTACAGCCAGTCCGGCGCGTGGCCCAACGGCGGCGAGATCGACATTCTTGAGAACTGGAACCTGGACACGATGAACCACCCTACCTTCCACACTGGCGACGAGTCCTCAGTCGGTCGCTGCTCCGTCAACACGGCCGGCATGAGCGGCACTGTGATGCGCGCCGACTGCTCCCACGACCCGACCAACTCTGGCTGCAACGTCATCGACACCAAGGGCCCCTGGGCGACTCCCGACGGCGGCGTCTGTAAGTATTACTCATGCCCAACCTAGAAAGTGAAGCTACAGCTGACATGACAACCCTTGACCAGTCGCCATGGAGTGGACCGACAGCTACATCCGCATCTTCACCTGGTCCCACGCCAACGCGCCCAGCAACATCGACTCCAAGGAGCCTGACACGTCCAAATGGGGCCTGCCCGTGACCGAGGTCCGCGACGGCCTCTGCAACATCAAGCGCCAGTTCTCGCCCCAGAAGATGGTTCTCAACATTGACTTTTGCGGCGACGCCGCCGGCAACCCGTTCCTCTGGAACCAGCAGTGCCTGGCTGCCACGGGTGAGAAGGAGTGCTACGAGTACGTCCGCAAGAACCCGGGCCAGTTCAAGGACGTCTACTACAAGGTCCAGGACATTCGCTACTTCGAGGAGACTGCCCCCAAGCCTCCCTCGTCGTCGACCTCGACTACTTCCACCTCGACTACCACGACGTCTTCTTCGACCTCGACCACCTCCAGCATTGCCACTACCAGCTCTACCAGCAGCAGCATCACCTCGTCCGCCAACTCGACTGTGACTTCCTCCAGCTCCAGCGCCGTCGGTACCTCCTCGTCTTCCGTCATCACCACCGGCAACGCCACCAGCAGCAGCAGCAGCCTGACCAGGTCCTCGTCCTTGTCCTTCACCTCCTGGGCCAACTCCACCGTGACCACCCGCTCTTCCACGAGCACTGCCCTCCCCGGCTCGGGCTCCTCCTCCGTGACTTCTTCCGCCTCTGGCTCTTCCGGTGCTCCCGTCATCACGGGTTCCTCTGCCCTCTCCACCCCCGCCGTGACCTCCTCGCAGGAGTGGACGACCTCGACCGTCTACACTACCACGACTTACACCATCACCAGCTGCGCTCCCACCATCACCAACTGCCCCGGCGTTGGCGCTGTCGTGACCGAGACCATTCCCCTGTACACCACCGTCTGCCCGGTCACCCCGACCGCCGTTCCCCAGGCCTCGTCGGCGCCCGCGGGCGGCATTGTCCCCGGCGAGCAGCAGCCCGCGACGTCCACCACCAAGATCACCAAGGTGTACACCATCACCAGCTGCGCGCCTACCGTGACCAACTGCCCGGTCGGCAAGGTCACCACCGAGGTCATCACCAGCACCGTCCGCCCGGGTGGTGACAGCAACACTGGCAAGCCTGGTGACAACACCGGCAAGCCTGGTGACAACACCGGCAAGCCTGGCGACAACACTGGCAAGCCTGGTGACAACACTGGTAAGCCTGGTGACAATACCGGCAAGCCTGGTGACAACACTGGCAAGCCTGGTGACAACACTGGTAAGCCTGGCGACAACACCGGCAAGCCTGGTGACAACACCGGCAAGCCTGGCGACAACACTGGTAAGCCTGGTGACAACACCGGCAAGCCTGGCGACAACACTGGTAAGCCTGGTGACAACACCGGCAAGCCTGGCGACAACACTGGTAAGCCTGGTGACAACACCGGCAAGCCTGGCGACAACACTGGTAAGCCTGGTGACAACACCGGCAAGCCTGGCGACAACACTGGTAAGCCTGGTGACAACACCGGCAAGCCTGGCGACAACACTGGTAAGCCTGGTGACAACACTGGTAAGCCTGGTGACAACACTGGCAAGCCTGGTGACAACACCGGCAAGCCCGGCGACAAGCCCGCCGGTTCCGAGCAGCAGCCCAAGGGCGGCGTCGTCGCTCCCTCCTCGGTCCCCAAGCCCGCCAGCAGCTTCGACCTCGCCCCTCCCGCCGGCTCCCCCACCGGCGCCGCCCCCGGCGCCAACAAGCCCGCCAACACCATCGAACTTACCCTGCCCACCGGCGGCTCCAACGGCGCCGCGCCCTCCGGCAGACCCGTCGGCGGTTCTCCCACGGGAGTTCCCGTCGTCACGGGCCGGGCCGCCCCGGGCAAGGCCGTGTCCACGGTCGCCCTGGCCGCGGGCGTGCTTGCCGCTGCGCTGTTCCTGTAAAGTGTCGCGGGATGGAAAACTTTTTGCTGTTTGATGTAATGGGCGGGGGGGCATTTTTCTCTTCACTAATTTTTTATTACACTTTGATGAGCTAAATAGAGACAGTGCCAAAGCAGACCTTGTAATGGAGTCTCATAGATTAATTCACTGGTTATGACAATTGTTGCGGAATGTCTAGATGGGCAGAGCTGTACGCCCAACTTCAGAAAGTGACTTGTTTCCAAGAACAAGCGATTCACTCTAGATTCATACGTAACCAATCGGACAGGGGAAGAGGCCCCCAGTACCTAAGCGCACAGCAACTCGCTATTTACATGACTGCATTATTACTCTACTGGAGATGCATCCACCCTCCTAGCGATGCGGTATTAGATCCAATCCACGCAAAATACCAGCTTCTATCCCCCCCAACAGTCCAAGGGATCCTCGCCATCTCTCCTCTAGCCGCGGACCTTGAACGGGTGCGCCTCCGTGTTGAACACGAACTGGTTCGCGCCGTCACCCTTGACCTGCACCGGCGTATCATCCGCAAAGATGAGGTACGCATACTTCAACGTCTCCGCCAGGAAGAACGACTGCTGCAAGTCATCGAATCCACCCCCGTCCTCCCTCCGCACGTCCCGCAGGCCCGAGAACCCGCTGCCCACGCGGCACCGCTTCGCGATCGCGCTGAAGCCGCTCCACGCGAGGTCCTGGTACTTCTTGTCGCCGGTGGCGCGGTACGCGTAGTACAGCGACTCCATCGTCTCCGGGCGCAGGATGTACGCGCCGCCGTCGACCCAGAAGCCGGCCTTGGCGTAGAAGGAGGCCTGGTCGGCGGGCGGCTGCTGCGTGCTGGTGTTGGCGGCGGTGTCGACCCAGCGGAAGGTCTCCGGGCCGATGCCGCTGGCGGTGGCTGTGTAGGTGGCAAAGTACGACTCGGCGAGGGCGAGGCCGAACTGGGTGTACTTGTCCTCCTTGAGGACGGTGCCGGCGAGGATGAAGTTGCCGCCGGCGAAGCTGGTCACTGTCCCAGATGTTAGCATCATACATGGGGGGCCCTTTCCCCCCCCCCCCCCCTCCCCCCCTTCTTCTTGTTGCTTGGAGATGGCATGGCAGGAGATTACTTACAGTGGCCGGTGACGGGCTCCGTGTTCTGGCCGTTGAACTGCTTCAGGAAGGTGAGGTCCTTGCGGGATGTCGGGTTTGACGCGAGGTGCTCCATGGTGGAATCCGCCGCTGCGACCCAGCGATCGCGATATTGGCCGTAGCTCTTGGGATCGTAGACGTACATCTTGATGAGGTACTCATAAAAGCTGTCAGCGCCGCCGGACCATCCGCCGGCGCTGTTGAGGAAGGTGCCGTTGGTGGTGCTGATGTCGGTGCCCACCAGACCCGGCCAAGCCTCCGGGCTGCCCTTCGGGGCGAGCAGGTGCGCCTCGCACTTGGCGGCCAGCTGGGCGTACTTGGGGTTGCCGGTGAGGTCGCTGAGACGCGTCCACTCGAGGATCAGGGTGCCGACCTCGGCGAGGTTGCTGCTGGCGGCGCCGCTGATCTTGCGGGACGGGTTGAGGACCAGGTAGCCGTCGGCGATGCCGCTGGGGGTGTCGAAGGCGATGCTGAGGGTGTCGGCGAGGCTGGCGGCCTGGGTCAGCAGGGCGTCGACCTTTTTGGGGTCGTTGGCCAGACGCTTGTAGGGGCCCTTGAGCAGGTCGTAGGCTGGGAGACTGTCAGCGCGGGGTGGTCTGTACCGCTGAGCAGACCGCCGATGTAGCGGATGGTGGTCTCAAAGAGCGAGATGGTCTCGCCCACCTTGCGCGTGGTGGTAAAGTCGACGGTGGGAATGAAGTCGAGGATGGTGTTGACAATGTCCTTGTCGTTCATGACAATGGCGGTGTCGAGGCCGTCGATTGGGGTGAGACCCCATTGAGCGCTGCATTAGTGGAAAAGATGATGTTGTTAGTGACGAGGAATTATACCGAGGGGTTCTCGGATCATTCAAAGGCGACGAGTTCGCTCGTACCGGTCATCCACGTAGGTGTTGCTGATGGGGAGAAGCTCATCGTGAGGCCAGGCATATTTATAGTAGCCCGCCCAGGCCGTCTTGTAAGCAGCGCGGACGGCGCCGGCACGGGCATGATCTGCAGTGGGAGTCGGAGTTCGAATCTCGCTGGCAGGCAGGGCGAGTGCCTGTCGGACGAGAGCGGCGAGAAGATACACACCAAAGGTCTTCATGATGAGGCGATGCAATGTCAGCCAGTCTACTGCGTGAGGGAGGCGGGGGTTAGAGAGCAAAAGGGTCATCATACCAGCGGTGCGGGCAGCTGGCATTTTATATACAAATGTCGCAGCTACTGCAACCTCAAGCTTACTGACCATGCTTGTCATGCTACTACCATCCTTCGCGTACCTTTGTCTTAACGTTACCCCGCATGAGACAAAAAAAGGCTGGTAGTAACGGTGACATTGTCTCTTCATTTGGAGAAGGATCTTGGTGATGGAAATGCGGCGCCACCAAGCCACAAGTGGCTAGTTGGGCGTCGATCTAGGCGTAGATCCCGTCAGTTCAGGGGAGATGCCGTCTGGGAATTGCCTGGAAGGGTGTTTTGTTATTTGAAAAGACTAACGTTAAATATAAAGCAGCAAAGTTTCTCCATCCATCTCATCCGGCCCTGTTCTATCGGCCCTTCCCCGCGAACCCGGCATCTCAGCCCCGACCCGACTGCCTCACCCGTCTACACCGAGACAATCATCACCGCCGGTTACCAGCTTCAATTGCGAATGCTGGGTACACAAGCTAGCACAGGTACAGCCAGGCCAAGACCTGCTAGAGACGGTCAAGTCTGGCTTCACCTCGGCCCTATTTCTATCGGGCCTTCCCGCCATCCCCAGCATTCCGCACCGCAATCCCGGCAGCCTTGCCCGTACAACTTGTAAGCGAAAGCCACTGCAATGTGCCGTCGGTCTGTCTGCGCCTAGCAATATCTAGCTCCAAAAAATCATGGCCGCTATCCCCACCCGGGAAGACAAAGTGCCGAGAAGCGTGGCTCGCTGAACGAAGGATGAGATGATGGTATTAATAATGGCAGCTACGACGGTCTGTTGATATTGCTCGTACTATTGGCATCTGCCTGCAAATTCAACAACTTGAGAAACATGTTCCCTCACCGGTTTCCAGCATCTATCCCTGGTCTGCGGAGCGATGAACCCATCATCACTTGGGATAGATAGAAAATGGATGGCCTTCCCTTTTCAATGGCTGGTGAACCCTCAGTCAGGTGAGGCGGCCGTCTACATATTGCATTAGTGCTGCTACTTGACCCTGCGGGCTATGTGACTGTCGCACACTGTGCAGCGGGGAAGCCCCGGTTGGCGATCCGGCACCGAAGGATGGTCACGACAGTCATTATCTTGATCCACCACGTCGGACCGGTCAACAAAACACCTCATGGCATCCTGCTGCCGGTTTATTCAACAAGCCCCTTTGCGTAGTTTTTTTTGCCGGCAGTTGCTCCTCATATCTTGATTGGCTTGATCCGGGTGCCGATCCATTACCTCGTGAATGCTGCGTTACCCTGTAGATTGCGCATGTCTGAGCATGTTGAATATCGATGGCAACCTCTTCCTTGTAGCTAGCGGTGGTTTTAAGCGAAGAAATAAAACACGCATATTTTCTCGTCGTCAATTTGGCGAGTCATGAGACGTAGTACAGCCACCGGCACATAGTTCGCACCATGTGAACCCAGGCAAGCTATCCATGCAACTAGCGAGGTCAAGACCAACAGCCCTTGCTTGGTAGATTTCACCTCACATCTCTGTGGCTGTAGACGAGTAATCAGCATTTGCTAGTCAATGCAGACTTTGACCAAGCAAACTCACTCGAGGGCACGCTACCCTTTTACAGATAGTGTCGCCCGGGAAAGGGACCAATGAATCATCAAGTCCCTTGCTGTGCAACAACACGAGAGCGAGAGCTGAAAGGCGTGATTGGAAATAACTACCACGACATGTCCAGCTGTGTAAACAAAACAATCTACCGCGTTCCTCATACTCTTTCTCTTTCGTCCCTTCGTCCAGCCCGAACCTTCCTCTCTGTATCACCAGCCTCTGCCTGCTCTTCCTCGCACAAACCGCCACCTTCATATATCGCCGTAAGCACCACAATGGCACCATTAAGGCCTCACTCGCCCTCCTCTCCCTCGCGGGCCTCGTCGCCAGCCAGTGCGCCAGCGATCCTCCCCCGCTTCCCCCCCCCCCCCCCCCTGCTGCGTACGTTGCTGCCCATGACCACGACCGACAACTTCCGCGGGGGGCATCCTCGATCCTGGAGCTATACCAAGCTAACACTCGCGCAGGACACCTGACTCGTCGGCACCATCCAGCCGACGGGCTGCCAGCTCATCGACCTGGCCTGCATGTGCAGCGAGAAGCACCGGGCGACGGTGTGGAAGACGGCCAGCCCGTGCTTGGAGAAGCACTGCACCGCGTTCGGCGATGCAGAAGATGCTGGCCCAGTCCCGCGCCCGCCACGCTCCGGCGGCGGCGGCGGCGGCTTGGGACTAGGAAGGGCCGCTGATGAGCTAGCTGGTCTGTCGAGAATGGGCTGTCGGCCGGGCTATTACTACTCGTCACGGGGCACTACGACCAACACACTAGGGCCAGCACCAGCCCCCTCTGCTGCTGTCATCACTCTCTCTCTCCGGCTTAGCAGAAGGATATTGATAGCTGAAAATAATAGTATGTTCTAAGTTGTCCTTGTATAAAACACAGCCTTCGTTTTAATAATCTAGCCCTTTGCATCGTGTCCTTGTGTAAACCACCGCCTTCGTTCTCGCCATTAACGTCGCAAAGCACGATGAAGGCCGCTCTTGTCCTCCTCTCCCTCTTCGGCCTCCTCGCCGCCGGCCTCCGAACCCCCCCGCCACGCTCCCCATCTCCGCTCTCCCTTCCAGCCCGAAGAACAGAGACAGTGTCTGCCTCTATCAGCATCCCATCCCCCGCTCCCAATACCAAGCTAATTCCCTCCTCTCCTCCTGCCATAGAGGAATTGCATCTTTCGGGGCTATAGAAGGCGGACGTGCTGCCTGATGCCCGAGATGAGCTGCTTCTGCGACAAGGCCAACATCCTCAAGGCCTGGGAGCTCATCCGCCACTGCATCTGGTGGAAATGCCCCGGCTACAAGCTGGCCTGGGCCGAGGCGGGCATCGTCTCCTTTTGCAAGGAGGCCCCCGTCTTCACCGGACCATCCAACTGCACCGGGTGGAACAGGACCAGCCGCAAGATCATCACACAACCCCACGAGTCGCGTCCTACCGTTGTCGATTAGTCGTTTCTGCCTGGCGCCCAAGCTAGGGCTTTGCATGGTCGAAACGCAAATATCACACTTTTTTTCCCCCTAATCCTTATCCTCGCACAAAACTGCTGCCGCTTTGTTTTCCTTTGTCAACGCCATATAGAACGCACGATGAAGGCTGCCGTGGTCCTCGTCTCCGTCGTCGGCCTCGTCGCCGCCATCATCACCCCTCCCTGGGTCCCTGGGTGCTCCGTACGTCTTGCCAGAAAACACCACCGAGGTTTCTCATCCACCTTTCTCAACATGCCCATCTCCTCCCCTGCCGGACCATGACCAAGCTGACCTTGCCACTCCCCCTCCTCCCAGCGTCCGTGCCTCGGGAAGCCCATCGACAACTCGGGTTGCCGGACCACGGACATGCGGTGCCTCTGCCAGGACTTTGTGATTGACAAGATCGTCAACCAGGCCTGGCCCTGCATCGCCGGCAAGTGCGGCATCTTCGACCAGGTCCAGGTGCACAGGAAGCTGCGCTTCCACTTCTGCAGGTGGCCGAACATGGTGGAGCCCCCGGGGGAGAGGCCGCCGCCCACCAATGTCAAGCAGCCGCCGAAGAGGCCGAAGCCGGTACCTTTGCCGTGGAAGATCCGACAAAAGCCCTCCAAGACCCAGTCGACGCCGATACCCACGCCGACGCCATCAGCCGGCGGTCGTGGTGTCGACGATGAGGCTGCGCTGGACGCTGGAAGTGACGAAGTTGCGGTGGACGGCGGTGAACTTGACAACGTTGCGCCGGACGCTTGAATTGACGGGGTTACGATGGACGCTGGAGTCGAATAGATTAACGATACCAGGAACTTCATTTTGCTTTCTCGTACGAACACGTGTGATGTATATGAGAAGTGATGATGTTATTAAACCGCACCGCTCTTCGAAACCAACGCTTGTTATCATATACTTGCTCTATCAAAATACCATACCCCCCGTGCATGGCCATCTGCATGTATCTACCCATCTATATGAACCCAGATCCCTTTCCTCTAATACCCGCTCTGCGTGCACAGTTTCTGAAAAGCCACTGCCAGCCTCACGCTGCCCACATCGACAACCCTATAAAACAGATCCGCCACGCCCAGCGACACGGCAAAGTTGACCGCCGTCGCCAGCACCATCCCGGCCGCCCAGCGCGCCTCCGTGCCCTCCGGCCCGACGCCGCCCGTGGCCGCCAGCACCGCCGGCGTCACCACATACCCGACCGCGTGCAGCACCGGCCCGTGCACCACGTACAGCGCGTAGCTGACCTTGCCCAGGTACTGCGCCGCCGGCGCCAGGAACGGCCGCTGCAGCGCCGTCGGGCTGCTCCCCGCCGCGACCAGGAAGAGCGTCGCGCCCACGCCGTGCACGTACCGCTTCGGGTCGTCCGTCCACGCGGGGACCAGCCACCGCGCGACCGGCGCGAAGCCGGGCGTCTCCGCGCCGTGGTTCGGCGGGAACGACATCAAGTACAGCCCGGCAATCGCCAGCAGCGCCACCCCGAGGGCACGCGTCGGCCGCCGCCGCCGCCCCCACCGCCGCCCCCGGGGGTGTTGGTCGTCGTCGAGGCCAAGGCCCAGGGTCGGTGTCGCGGCTTCCTTGCGCATCAGATCCAGCTCCGCCAGCACCGCGCCGGTCAGGAACAGCGCCACCTCCCACCGATCGCAGCGCGCCATGAACAGCGTCACCCCCGCCAGCAGCGCCATCCGCGCGCCCACCCGACAACACGCGACCCCGGCCAGCGCCAGCGACACCACCAGCGACGCGCGAAACTCGAGCGTCACCGTCCACAGGTGCGGGTCGTAGTGCGTCCAGAACGGCTGCCGCCAGGGGTTGCACAGCTGCCACGCCTGCGCCCGCCAGTCCGCCAGCGTCCCCGCCAGCGTCTCCTGCCGCCCCGGGTGGAAGTCCGGCCAGTAGAACACGCCTTCGGGGTTGGCGTCCAGGTTGGCGCGGGCGGGCTCAAAGGCGCCTGCGTAGGTGAGGAGGGCGGTGGTGAGCATGGCGGCGAGGGCGGGGAGGTAGAGTCGGGGCGCGCGGCGGAGGAGGCCGCCGGCGACGGCGGGGACGAGCTCCGCGTGGCGGCCGGCGCGGATGAGGCGCAGCGGCTTAGCGGCGTTGACGTAGCCGCCGATGAGGAAGAAGAGCCCGACCATGGCGTGGCCGGCGTGGACGATGCGTAGGAAGGGGAGCTGGAGGATGTGTCGGTTGCGTGGCGGCTCTTCGTAGCCGTAGCCCTCGTCGACGGCGCTCGTGTGTGCCCAGGTGGCGTGGAAGATGAAGACAATGACGGCGGCGACGCCCCGGATGCCGGATAGGTAGGCCGTGGGGGAGTGGCCGCCCCGGGAGGGTTTGCCGGCGGCGTGGTGGTGTTGGTGGTGATGGTTGGGTATCCGGCTCGGTGATGCGGAGCGCGGCGAGGTGGCGGCGCTCCCGCTGGACCGGATGCTCCGGGAGACCGAGGCGGCCCGGTTTCCGAGGTAGCGGCCGCACATCACCGCCGTGTCGTATAGGCTGCGCGGCTGCTCCGTCGCCAGCGGCAGCAAGTCGTGCTTTTCGTTTGACAACTCCATCGTTTGTGGTCGTGTGTGTCCGAAGAGGGCTGCCGAAGCCGGTGCCGAGAAGTGCAGACGCAGAAGAAAAAAAAACAAGGGAAAAGAACAGGAAAGAAAAGATGAATATAAAAAGACAGGAAAAGGGTCTAGAAGGAGTGACTAGAGTTGAATCTCAACAAAAGAGAGCTCGGACACGGCCGCTGTCAGCGCATGAGGGTAAATGACGTCGCGGCCGTTTCGACGTGCTCAAAGTGGCATGAGGACGAGGATGAGGTCGGGCCGGCTGCTCTTGGATCCCAGCAATTACGGACGGTCCGTGTTTCGTCCGGCAAGGAGACCCGAAACACCGACCTCGAGTAGGATTTCCTTAATAATGCCGAAGATGGATAGGAAAAGGTTTTGCAGGAAAAAGGAACGACAGAAATGAATGAAGTTGCGGGAGAGAGATGGAAGAGGAGATCTGGCTAGGGGTGGACATGTTCTCCATTTGACAATTGCCCCCCTGGTAGCATGTTCAATCTGCGAACATTCTGCTACCAAGCCTGCGAGGCCCATGTCCTTCCCCCTTGAGCATTAATTAGTTAGCTGGCATGAGTTGGCATCTCAAGCGAAGCTTGGCAACAGCGTGTGGACAGCGGCGGATGCAGGACCCTCTTGGCTTCCTCAGCTCGGCGTTCCGCTGGTGGAGAAGGGGTTTTTTCTCTATTCAGTTGTGATGTTCGCACAATGTCAGCAAAAGTAAGCAAAAACCTAGAACAACCTGAAAGTTAATATGCTGCACGGCCGCCCCCCCTTTGTCGATCGATCCAAGCGTTGCGTGGCAGTGTTGACTGCTGTTGTCCGGGTCCAAGACAAAAAAAACATGGGACCAGCGTCACCTGGAACTTGGCATGCAAGTGTGTCTGCAAGGGGTTCTTTTGATGGAGATTCCATAAAAAAAAGCCACTTCGCGAACGGAGCCGCAAAAGCTTAGCCGTCGACTCTTTGGTGAGGGATCAGCGGCCCGAGGTACAACGCACATGTGTTCTAGGGCAAAGCTGACCTGGAAAAAGGAGGGCGCTAAAGAACACGATGTCGATGGCAATAACGAGGGGACAAGGAGCCATGTCAATTTAGGCAATGATTGCTATCGTGAATTGACAGGCACGAGGTTGCTGCGTGTCGCATATCTTGACTCGGCCCGGTCCCCTCCTCTCTCGACTCGTGTACCGCCAAGACCCCTGACAACAACAACAACTGCTTGGGGATTTTTCTCAAATGTTGACGACAAAAGTCAAATATCAGAGCAAACGCCAAAAAGCCTCGCGGGGATGATGGATTCCGTGCAGTATAAATACGCCACAAAATTAGGACGGGACCCCTTTGCTAGCTACAGTACGAATGGTCTGCTCACCCCGTCTACAAGGCTGCCTGTCATAAATCATGAACCGTCACATAATGATATTATAAATTGTTCAATGGGGGGGGGAGAGCCAAGAGGAGGAACTGCTTCCGGGACCTGGCATTATGTGTGCTAACTAATACCAAGGCCAACCTTGGCCCGATAAAATATCCGCATCACATCGAATTCCACTCATTCGAGGTCACCTTGCTCTGACCCCTGACCAACACACATCCCACGGACCCCTTATGAACCCACCAACTCCCTCGCCTTCCCCTCCAGCGCCGCCATCTCGTCCTCGCCCATCGCCAGCGTCGTCGCCAGCCACGCTCGCGCCTTGTCCACCACCAGCTCCCACACCTCCTCCTCGTCCGCCATCTTCGCCCGGAGGTATGCGACCGTGCACAGCGTCGCCGCCGCTTCCGACTCCACTCCGAGCCGCTCCCCAGCGCTCTCCGGCGTCACCCCGCCCAGTAGCGTCTCCAGCTCCGCCGACCACGTCCAGCTACCGCCAAATGTCTGCAGCGCAATGATGGCCTCGAGCGGCGTCGACTTCTTCTTCTTCTCCTCTGGCCCTGAAAGCGATTCGCGCGGGTCGCCAGCCGCTGCACCACCAAAGGCACCACCGGGCGGCGCCGCGCTCGCCTGCGGCGCCGGTGCTGAGAATGCTGAGAATGCTGACGCTGACTGCGGTGGTGGTGGTGGTGGTGCCGCGCTGCCGGAACCAAACAGAGCACCAGAGTTGCTGCCCGTGTCAAGGGCATAGAAGCTGGGGGCACTGGGGCCGACGGGGGCGCCGCCGAAAGCGACCGGCGCCGCGGGCATGGGTGCTGCGCTGCGCATCCTCATCGCGGCCATCGGCTGCATCATAGACCTCTTTGCGAATCGCGGGCCGGCGTGCTGCTGCTTGGCCGCCTCACCGGAGTCATCCATAAAACCGAAGCCGACGTCCTCGTACTCCTCCTCCTCATCGACCTTGTCATCTGATTTGGATCCCTCCGCCGGCGCCACCGACTTGCCCGTCACCTTCTTAACCGCGACGAACGAGCACCACTTGCCCGCCACCTGGTACTCGACCCCGAGCTTCACGGCCGCCTCCTTGGCCACGTCCGTCATGCGCATCGCGTACACCTCCCGGAGCGGCTTGCCTCCCTCCTTCAGCTTGGCGTCGCGCACCCAGCCGCGGCCCTCCTCGAGATCCTGCACCGCCTTACGCGCCGCGAGCTGGTGCACCGTGGTGCCCTTGGCGTCAACGGCCACGATAGGGATCTCCAGCGTCAGCGGACCTTGTGGCGCGGTGCCTCGCAGGACGACCGACTTGGGCGTGTGGTTCGCGCGAGCCTCTGAGAGCAACACGTACACGGTCGTCCGCGTGAATGGGAACAGCGGAGGAATGGTGTATGGTGCTTGTAGATATGTTGGTGTGGGCAGGGTGGGAAGGGGCAGCTCCTTCTCTTTGGCGTCGGGCATCTCCAAGTCCTCATTCTTGACCGACGTGTCGTGGAGAGAGATGGGCTTTTTCGCCGGCTCCTCGACGCTGTCCACGATGGTGCACTCGTTGACTTTTTCCACCAGCTCAAACTCGTCGTCGTCGTCGTCTTCGCCCTTTTCGTACTTGATCTCGAGGCTGTAGTCGTTGACATGGGGCGTCAGGGCGCCCTTGAGCATGCGCACCACCTTCTTGCTCATATTCTCGTTCTCGCCAACCGACTGCGTGAAGCCGCGGCCTGCGCGCGCCACACCCTCGATGAGCGAGTGGCTCACGTCCGCGCCAACGCCCAGCGCGAACAGCCGGATCGCACCCTTGGCCTCCTCCACCGCCTGATTGACAGCGTCAAACGTCGCCTGCTCGTCCCACGTCTCGCCGTCCGTCATCAGGAACACCTCGAGGTTGCGGGAGGAATCGCGGTTGGCGAAGGTGGCCTCGATGGGCTCGCGGATCATCGTGCCGCCAAAGTCGGCCTTGAAGCCGCTAACGTGCTTCGCCGCCTGGTCTAGCGTCGTTTGGTTGTAGGGCTGCGACTTGGGCCACAGGAACGAATGCGTGGAGCCGAAGCTGCAGATATTGAAGAGCACGCCGACGGGCAGCGACCGTAGAAAGACTTGCAGTGCGGCGACAAGGTTGGGCAGCCTCGTGCCCGTGTCCATGCTGCCGCTGCGGTCGCAGATGAAGACCACCTCGGGCGTCTCGGCGGCGAGGTTGAAGCGCGGCACCAGCGTGGCCATGACGGCGCGCCGGCCGGGGATGGTCGCGTGCGTCTCGAGCACGGCCGAAGGGTCGCCCAGGCCCTTGGCGCAGACCTGCACGATAAAGTCCTTGTCGAGCGCCACCTCGGTGCGCGTGAGGCTGGCCGAGGCGCATTGTAGAGACGGGTCTTCATTAGCCTGTGTAGATGTAGTGCCGATGTTGACCGAGATGGGGTGTGACGGGGACTGCACGCTCTTGATTGCAGCACCGGTCGCCAAGTCTACATCAACCGTGACGCCGAAGGACGCGTCTGCCGTTGTTACGTTGGACTGGTTCACCGGGATGGGCAAGACCAGGTCGTCGGCATAGCGCGGGGCGATGCTGGTCGGGATGGTGTAGCGTAGGCCGTCCACCTCGGCGTCGTGCTTGAGCTCCCCGAGGAAGGTGATTTCCACCTTGGCCTCCTCGTTGGGGCCGACGTTGCCCAGTGACGTGGTAAAGACATCCGATGCCCGGTCCGACTGCTCGAGCAGGCCGGCCTGCTCACCGCGGGCGACAGCGGCGTCAAACTCCTTCTTGGCCTCTGGCTTGGACTTGACAATGCCCTTGATGACAGTCGTTCCAATGGTGCAGGTGAAGGTGACGACGGAGACGCCGTCAAAGAGAGGAAACACGTAGCGGGATTCCTTGATGGTCTCGGATGTCGGGTTCTTGAAGGTCTGGGTGAGGGTGGTGCGGGAGGTGGAGGCGAGCAGCGTGGCGTGGGCGCTGACATGTGTAAGAGGCAGGTATTTGCGTTCATTCTTGACGATGACGATGCAGCCACAATAGCCGGCGCTGATTCCGGGGTACAATGGTGGTCTCCAAAAAGGGCTCATGGTGATGATGTGTTTGTTGTATGTTTTGGTTGTGCGTTTGTTGGTGGCAAATGACGTCGGGAGCTGTCTGCGGGGTACTCGTAAGTTGCAAGGTTGTAGTATGTGTTTGCTGCAGTTGAGGGGTTGTGATTATGATGAAGAGAAGAGAAAAATCCAGTCAACAGCGGCGAGGTAGGTCTCTATTATATACCCGTGTTTGAGGCAGTATCCTCTCCCCGCTTTCATATTCAAGAAGAGTGATGCCTATTAAGATGCGTCGTGTCCATCCATATCCATCCCCACGATTGGCCACAGCTCCAAGGCTGCACCTGCGATCGCTGCTGCCTTCCTGGGAGGCCGCCTTACGGACCGCTAAACCTAGTACTAAACTAGAGGCTAAGGGCCTAGGCTGAACGGCAGGGCCTTCCGAGAAAGCAAGATGGCGTGGCATACCAGTTTTCGTGAGTCAATCGGCAGTTGCACTAGTATTAATTTATAATGAATAGAGAAGGCAGCGATTCGATTCGGCGAGCCAAGACGCAAGATCGGGTCGAGGTGTGGTGTCCACGCGGCAGCATCCAAGTTGTCGTCACATCTGCCATCTTGACTCTACCTGCAGTCTGCAGGCTACAGTGGATTGTCGCAGTGGATTGCAGGTGCAGGGATCTCCTCTCCTTTATTCACGTACCCATGTCCATCGGTGCAGAGGTTGACCACCCTCACAGCCAGCATTCGCGATAAACCGCAGCAACCCGAGACAAGCTTCGCCCACAACTCCCACTCGCCACAAGCCAAGGACGAGCAATGGAGGAATACAAAGACCCTCGCTTATTACTAGCGCAACGACCGTTGAATCCTGAATACTAACTAAATGATTTCAAAGCGTTCGCTGATACAATAGTCTACCGCCCTAGCCGTCCACTAGCCTACCTCTCTATCGTTGGCCCTTGTTCACGACCCCGGCCCTGTACCTGCAGCCTGGTCTGCATCTGCACCGTAAAATTTCTAAATCTTTGAGGATCCTATTAATAAAGAACCCCACGCCCGCCAAGGCCCCCCGTCCGTCTCCTTTTCCTTTCGCCAGATCTTCTTCTCCCGCCCACCCCATGAATTCAACATCGGCGGCGGCCACGGCCACCACGGCCACGGGGCTCCCGGCGCTGACCACGCCCTTCGCGCCGCCCGCCAGCTGCACCGACACCTTCAACACCACCCTCACTTACCTCGCCGGCCTCGACTCCGCCCACCCGGACGCGACGCACGTCACCGTCCTCGCCGCCTCGCCGGCGTCCCGCGGGGGCTGCCTGGCCTCGGGCGCCAACGTCCACCGCGACGGCGCCACCGTCGTCGTCCGCCCCGGCGTCTGCCCCAGCGCCTGGGTCGCCTACAACCTCAAGGTCGACGGCCCCCAGTACTACCCGAACCCGAGCGACGCCGCCTCCATCACCTTTGAGGCGTTTTGTTGTTCTAGGTACGCTAGACATCTCCTCGTCATCATTGCAACGCTAACAACAACACACCAGCGGCTTCTCCGCCGATGAGACGTCCACCGTCATCCCCGGCTTCGGCCCGGCCTGCACCAAGCTCGTCGCCCAGACCTCCGCCGTCACCGCCGGCCAGACCACCATCGCGCGCACCGTCAGCGCCCACGCCGCCTGGCAGGTCCAGTGGCGCGCCGCCGACGCCTCCACGCTGACCCCCGCGCCGCCCTCCATGGGTCTCTGCTACGACGTGCAGGTGCCCACCTGGACGCCCGGCGCCGAGGCCACGGGCCGCCGCAGCTGCCGCAGCATGCAGGTGTCCCCGGACAGGCACCAGTACGACGGGCTGCTGTACCTCGCCATCGTGCTGCCGACGGTCATCGGGTTCCTGCTCATCGCGGGCTGCATCTGCGGCTGCGTGTGCTACAGGAGGAAGAAGAATCGGCAAAAGAGGGAGGCCGAGAGGCCGATTGAGTTGCCGGGTGACGAAGTCTCCCTGACGCAGTTCAAATCACACTACTCCAGTAGTCGTAATACATAATACTAATGATAATGCATGTACATAGATGCTAGCAGGCGGCACATCTAGCAGCCTGGACATGACTTGAAATAGCCAGCATATTCTTCTTGGTTCAACATATAGATAATTATTCATAAATAATCTGCATCAAGCCCACGTGTCCCCGCGCTGCGAGGTGTCCATACAAGTTGTCCGAGTACACATCATGATAGCAAGTATCTTATATTACACCGCTGTGGGACGCTTCTAGCTATCTAGCGCTCTAATCTAACATCTATCTTCCATTTCATTGTCATTGTACAACTACAGCAGCGCTCGGTGAATCGAACTAGCCCTAGCCTTGGCTCAACGCCTCCGAGCGCTGGCTCATTGGCGACCGGCAATCATCGCTCTTGGCCGTCGCCAGCGAGCTGTCCGGCGTATCAATCGGCATCTCGAAGCTCATGTCGGATTCGCGGCTGCTTCTCGGCGTAAAATTGCGTCCGCGCGAGCAGCCGCCTTCCGAGCTCAACATGTGGTGGCTACTCTTGTCCGAGAGTCTCTATTCTCCCGAACGTTCAGTACCAGCACCACGCCACAGTCCGTAGAACCCGTCGCAATTCTTCCACATCTTGATCGTGCCGTCCTCGGAACCCGTCGCGTACAGCTTGCCGTCGGGAGAAAAGGCAATAGACCAGATGGGGCCGTGGTGGCCCTTGTGGGTGTCGATTTCAACCTCGTCATCGTAGCGAATCACCTTGGCCCAGGTACCAGGCTCCTCGCCCACGACCAGCTTGCGTCCCTTGATGTCGAGGGCCACACTAGCAATCGAGTTTGGGAGTGTGATGCGCTTCAGCTCCGTCATGGCTCGCTCCTCGCCCCAGAAGTAGGCTGTCTTGCCGGCTGCAACGGCAAGCACAGGCTTGCCTCCTCCAATATCGATGGGTGAGGCCACGCTCGGGCACAGCGAAATCATCTCACACGACTTAATCTCCCCGTCCAACACCTGTTGGTGAATGCAGGTGCGGCTTGGAACGTCCAGCCATCGAAGCGTTTTGCCCGACGCAGTAATGATGACGTTGGGGTCTTGAGTCCAGCAAATGAACTTGATCGAGTCGGTATGGATACCTTCGCCAATCTCAAAGCCAGCGGAAGCCGGGATCGTCACAGCAGAGCCAGGGCTAGAGGCAGAGAGCTCCGAGAGATCAAAGACTCGCAGCTTCTTTTCCATGCCACCAGTGGCAACGAGGTCCGAGTTGTCGGGAGGGTAAGCGACGGCTCGGACAATATGGTCGTGCTGAATGGTGTAGAGTATCTCGCCGGTATGGGTGTCCCAGATTTTGCTGCAGAGTTGTTAACACAAGTATTTTCATCCTTCAAAGATGACATACGCCGTAAAGTCTGCCGACGCGGTGGCTGCGTTGGATGCGTCAGGGCTCAGCCTAGCCTGCCAAACAGCTCCCTTGTGGCCGATGAAGGTGCCAATCCTGCTTGGTCAGCTCGGCCAAGGAAGTCGATACGTTGCGACTTACCAGTCTCCAGTAACGCCATCGCGAAGCATAGGGTTTCCATCTACTCCTGTTAGCAAAGGAAATGGGCGCAAACGCACGACGCTGACAAACCTTTGCAAGCAGAGATCAGGTAGTACGTGTCCTCCTTTTCCAAGTTGGAGAATCCAATGTGCGGAACGGGACGAGAGTGGCCGTGGCAGGTCAGTGGCACATACTGGCGACTGGCCTCGGTAGCCATGTCGAGGGGATGGAATGAAGGCAACGTTTCTTCTAGTTGGTCGATGTTTCAGGTGCCGCTATTCTCACGGCGAAAAGAAGCAAACAGATCGTAACGGTCTCGTAAATCGTAAATGTCGTCAGGTCGTGGCACGTGGCAAAGAGTGTAAAGTGATGCATAAACCCCGTAGATGGTTTTCGGATGTGGTGAATCCGTCCGGTTCCTCACAAGAAGCGGCTTCCTCTGCGTAATGAGTGAAACGCACGAGCGCCGTGGTAAGAGAGTGTGTCGAGGTTGCTCCTGGGTTTTACCCGCGGGGCAGCGCTCAGACCGGCGACAGCAACGCCACAAGCTGTGGCGCGGATGTGGCGCAGCACCTTCCTCGCCAACAAGGAATCAAGGGCTCAAGGAGGACAGAAAGCTGTATTCAAAAAAAAAAAAAAAATCAGAGCTAACGTAGAAAATAAAGGAATATGAAAATGGATAAAAAGATGGACATCATTGCTAGAACAGTCTATTTTGGATACACTGAGTTTGTCCCCTAATAAACCAGGCCCCTATTTTGACAAGTTTTCCCACCAAAACATGCATTTTCCCCTCCACGCCCTCCCCCACGAAGATCACCAGCAACCGCATGCGATTGTCAGGTCACTATTTTTGCTTCCCAGACAGCCAATCGTCAATGTACCTCAGCGAGACCTCATCACACTCCACCGACGAGATCTTAAATTCCCGACCTGAAAACATCGGCCCCCTCCAGCCGCCGACCACGCCGCCCTTCTTGATGTGCTCCCCCATCGGCGTGCACGAGTCCAGGTCGATCAGCACGGCCCCGCCCTCGGCGTCGAACATGATGTTGGTCGCTGAGACGTCGTTGTGCGCGTAGCCCAGCCGGTGCAGGTGCGCGACGGCCGCGCCGACGGCGCGCATGCACGCCCGTCTCTCCTCCGGCCCCATGCGCTCCTCCGCCGCCGCCGCCGTGCCCGGCCGCATCCTCTCGACGCGCTCGTACAGCGACTCCACGTACCGGGGGAAGGCGAGGCGGACGATGCGGCCCTCGTGGACGACGCAGCCGACATAGGCGCCGAGGTGCGGATGGGGCGTCGCGAGGAATTGCTGGTGCGTGCGGGCCTCGGCGAGGAAGAGGTCGGCAACGGCGGTGTCATCGCCTCCCTTCCACTCAGCCGCACTGGGTGACTTGAGGAAATACCGCCCCTCCTCCTTCCCTTCCACCGAGCCAGGGTCGAACTGTGTCAGACCCTCTTCGAGCAACGGGTAAATGGCAGAATCGGGTATCCTGTGCATGGTGGACAGGAAGCTGCTGAACGTGGCGTCGTCCAGATCCTTGTAGATCCCAGCCATCCACCGACCTCTGGCGCTCAGCGATCGCGTCCCGACATAGGCTGCATAGCCATCGAAGGCCATCAGCTCCAGCCGCTTTGGCTTCCAGGTGGTCTTAGCCGCAGCGGCGCCGCCTTCTTTGTCGGAAGACTCACCCCAAACCTCCTTGACGTGGAGCCATGTATCGGTAGCCGACATCGTGGCATGGCCTTGCTAGAACAGCGCTGTCGACAGGAGTCTAGATCGTTCGCGATGCGGCAGCCGGCGATAGTTTTCCAAACATGGCGATGTCGAAAGAGGAAAGAAAACAAATGGGTGGAAAGTCAGGTCTCAGCCACCAGGTCTCACAAGGACGGTGCGGGACCGGTGAAGTTGAGCGCTGCTTCTTGCATAGTCGATTTTGAAATTTACATAGTCGCGCTAATACCTTGTAAGCTAACACCACACTAGGTACCTAATAGAGCTCTACCGAGTAGCGCTCCCGAATCTACCGTCGAAGCCGGCGCCGAGGAGGCTAGCGATAGTGATGGTGATGATGGTGATGATAGTGATGATAGTGATGATAGTGATGATAGTGATGATAGTGGTGATAGTGGTGACAGTGGTGATAGTGGTGATAATGGTGACAGTGGTGATAGTGATGATAGTGGTGATAGTGGTGATAGTGGTGATGGTGGTGACTCTGCAAATTTCAAAATCGACTTTGCAAAAAGCAGCGATCGGTGAAGTCGGCAGCAAAATGCATCTATGCAGCAGCCGAGACACTTGTGCAATCGTGTAGGCCTTCTATAGGTCGCGCGAGGTCATATGATGCTTCAAATGGTTGCACAAGCATGCAGCCCCCTGGATGCCCGTCAGCTACCCCAAGTGTTAGCCAGGTCCTCGCATCTGCAGCAGCCTCTGACATCATTCACCTTGCCAGCCGTGAATTCCCATCTGAGAATCATGTATTCGCGCCCAAAGATGTGGTTATGACCTCGTGTAACTCAACTGCTGCCCAAAGCTTGCTTGCTGTACAGCGAGCTTGACATAAAACAGGACGGCCTTCTCTCTCTTGTGGACTCAGATAATTACCAATTGACCCTGACACAAAACGACATCCTCGAGCTTACCAGACGTCTCAACCGATTACATACGACCATGGCGCAAGGCACCCCGACCGAACTGGTCCCCAGCTGCAAGTGGGACTCAAAGATAGCCCCCGACGGTACACGAGAAACAAAGATCAAGGAGGACTGCAACCAGCCGACCTGCCCGGCGTCGGTTGCTTACAGTGGTGTCAAGAAGTGAAGGCCCGCGTGGGCATCTTGGTCTCATGAGGTACGCAGATCCACCGCCCTGCATATTCCATCTTGCAAGTTGATTGTACGAGGCGTGCCAGGCGAGCTGACCTGACTCGCAGTCAAGCTGAGGCGCGCAATAGAAGAACGCAAGATGGTTGTCATGTTGTCATTGACTGAATGGCTGCTGCGGCTTTCACCGTACCGCAATATGCGTCGAGTGAGGATTTGAACCGCGCGCGGCGGTAACGGAATCCACAGGAAGCTCAGAAAACACGCGTGGGGAAGCTGCATGCGCTTCATTTCACATGCAGGAGAAAAGTACCCGTTTTTTGTGCCTTTGGGTATATTGGCTGCTATGACTGTATCTAAGCAATGGTCTGTCGCTCAAGTTGCAAGTACACTCACTTTGTGCGCTGCCATCGTGGGCCATACCTACCAAGTATACCTCCCTCCCTCTTCCCAGACCAAAACCCAAAAGCTTGATTCCCAGGCGGCAAAAGGGGGCAAAAGAAAAACTAGGGCGAAAAAGAGGGCGCGGGTGCGCCTTTGCAAAGTGATTCTTGCCGCAACGACAGACCTGTGGCATCTGCAGGATGCTTCTGCCACCTTGCCTCAGCACGGCTAGGACCGGTACATCAAGTATGAGGCGAGGGATTAATTAATATCAACTACAAACCTGATTGGCGATGGACATTTTTTCATATTTCTCCTCGGCCCCCACCCAAGCTGCATTGACGTTTGCAATGCGATGCAATGCGATGCAAGGCCAACGCCCTGCAGCGTCAGCAGCAGAGCCTGGATTGCACTTGGCCTGGCGCAACTGGGTACTGAGAAACTCCGTTTCGCTATGGATAGGAGGGAAGCTTGTGTATACGTTTATGCAGCATACAATATGCCATGTATGAGTCTGCATGTCATGGTAGGGCTGGCGCTACGACGTGCAACGCCTCACCATCACCAAACCGGGTGATCGGAACAGGCCAACGCCCAAGGTGGCTTTAGGGCCTCCTCCATAGGCTCTACAAAATTAAATGCTGCTGTCTACAAGGGTTGATACTTGTGACAGAGCACCAAGACCATTGAGCGTGGAACTGCAAGCTTCGATGGACCGGTCCGAGGGAACACCAGCAAAGCCAGCCCTTGTCCGAGTTGCCATGAATACAGAGCACACACAACACTTGGTGGCTGAGATTGACCAATATGATGCGCTCATCTTCCGCTTCTAAATATACACAGTTAGAAATACCTTCCCGTTGTCGCACAAGCCCGGTTCGGGTCGCTATGTGCGACGACGGGTGTCCTATCACTCCGCGAATCAACAACCTCAACACCATGCCATGTGCCCTAACAAAATCGCATCCCCAAATCCCCATCTCTTACAAGCAGCAGCAATTTCCACTTCCTCGCAAAGACCATGGCGGTGCCTCCTCCTCCTCCTCCGTACGAAAACGACCCCGACTTCCTCGCAGAGCTCGCCAAGATCCGTAGCGAGGCCATGTCCGGCCCCTACTCCGAGCACCTCATCCGCATCTTCCACCGGTGCAACGAGGTCTTCCAGCTGTCTATCTCCCAACTCCAGCAGCTCACCGCCCAGAGCCACGAAGCCATGGTCCTCCTCCGCCCACCGCTGCTCGACGACGCTTCCTCGCGGCTGTCCGTGCTCTTCCACCTTCAGCTTCCAGCCCAGGAGAGCCACTGGTCGTCCGCGCACACGCTGCCGACCGGGACCTGTTGCAGCGCGCAGGCGTGCTACACCGCGACGCGACGGGGCATGCTCATCGACTTTGACGCCGCGCTGGACACGTCAGCGGCCAGACAGAGCAACAACAACGTCGCGGGGACGCTCGAGTACATGGCAGTCGGCCTGGCCAGGGAACAGGGGCCGCACACGTACAGGCACGACTTGGAGTCGCTCTTCTACGTCCTGCTGCATGCCGTGGCCAGCAGCTGTGACGGCACCCTGCCGGCGACGAGCCGGCTGGCGCGCTGGGCGTCGGCTGACGACTAGCAGTGTGCCATCGAGGCCCGCGTCAAGGACATGGCCAGAGACAACTCTACGCGCCTACTCACTTAGTGGGATCCGCAGTTTCAGAGCTTCAAACATCTCGCTTGGGATCTCTGGCGTCTTTTGTTCAGGGACGGCGACGAGCTTTTTTGGGGCACCAATACCTCCGACGATGGCATGAATGCCCTCTATGACGGCTTCTTGGCCGCCTTTGATAGCGCAATTTTCCGATACAAAGGTGGCACTTCGATGAAGCCAGAGAAAAAAAGATACAATACGTATTAAGCTATCTCCTCGCTTTGCCCATTTTCCCTCGATTTTACTCATCAAACTTAATTAGGTCATCGCTGAGGTCCTTTGTAAAATCCAGGGTCATCCCTCTCATACGTTCTTCTCTTCCCGCTTCAAGCACCAGTTCCCCATCTTCCAGGTCCACCAACGTCTCTCCCATATCTCCTTCTCTCACCTCACGAGCCAGCGCCTCTAATTCTACAATGAACGCATCATAGCCAAGCTCAATCATGTACTCGCTATTTTGTGAGCTGCTATTCTGGCTGTGGACAATCGACGAGGGGGTCTTGGTTATGATGGTCACTGGCGACGCCTTGTCAACTCGCTCCAGTGCTCCTTTGGTGAGGCTTGTAGTCGCTAGCGCGGGAATGAACGACGCTTGTCCACGCTGTGGCTGTTTCGGCAAGATTGTGTTTTGGATAGCTTGCTTTTTGATGCTTCTCTGTCGCATCCCGTCTTCCAATACTTCGTCAACTTTGCAAAGCTCCCCACGGCATCCTAGCTCTTCCGAGACCGAGTCCCAATCTTCCAGAGAGCGAATTAGGGTAGTTCGGTTGTGAACAGGACACAAGAGTGGCAGTCACCTTTCTCGCAGCGGACTAAGAGCCTCTAGTACTGGGCCCCAAGTTGTGCTCTCTTTCAGGTTTGTCGCATTGCCAAAGATGTACATGACATTTCTAGCTCGGCTCAATGCCACTGTTGCGCGGTGTGTGTTTTTAACAAAACCAGCGCTTGCCCGTTGGCTTGATGGCGGGCTGCGGACAACGGACAAAAGAATGACGTCGTTCTCGCATCCTTGGAAGCTGTCGACAGTCTTACAAACTCTTGACAGTCCGAGCTTTTCTTCGATTAGCTCCTTTTGCGCAGTATAGAACGTTAGGATTGTCAGTTTCTCGAATGGTATGCCACAGCTGACTAGATATCGAGCAAACTGCACGACCATCTCAGCCTCTCCATTGTTGCAAGTGCTCTGGCCAGAAGTGCCACAATTCCTTTGTTCTGGCCACGAATGGTCGAACCACCATAATGGTACACTTAGGCCTTTGACCTTGTCGCGTTTCAGCACAGTGCTGTGATCGCCAAGCCCGGGATAGAAGACATTGACAAGTTGTCGAATTTCTGGTATCATGCGTCTCTGCATATTCAGAACCTGGCATGGCATGCTATTTCTTGTAATCAGTCGTTCAAACAAGGAAACATCCAAAGCGAAGACAGGTTGTGTTAGAACAGGATAGATGGCGCGTGGGGTAAGCTGCTGGTGATCACCAACCAGAGCAAGGTGTGTAAGCGAAGGCAGCAATGCTGCTGTGATACTTCCTTCTGTAGCTTCTGACGCTTCGTCGATAATCAAGGTGGTAGGGGCAATCTTGCATAGTAGCTGCCGGTACTTTGATAGACCAGTGATGGTGCATCCAATAATTTGAACGCCAAGTTTTGTGACCGCGTAGTCACGTTCTATCTTGCTCTTTTGAAGCCGACGACAGGCAGCCTGGAACTTGGTATAATACTCTTCAAGCTTCTCTTGACTTTGTTGAGACAGCTCAGAGCACATGTAAGTAAATAGTTCGGCTCGGTGCTGGGCTTTGACTTTGTACAAGTCCCCGTGGCGGGCCAGCGTAGACTTGAACCGAGTAGCCAGAGGCTCATCAGGGCGCTTCAGCATTTGAATGAACGGGCCGTTAGGCTTTTCTGGGTCTGGTAGTCTTTTCTCTTTGTCCATGTCCGCACTGTCATTGTTTTGGTCTTGGGTTCTGGTGACAGGCTTCCATTTTTCTGGCAACCCGGCTTTTGGCGGTGTTAAGCTCGAGAAGGATTTCCAGCCAAGCCATGCTAACAAGAGATCTGATTCCGCCGAAGTTTCCCACCCCTCATCTTGCAGGGAGTCAAACTGCTGCGTTGTGATGATCTTAGCATCCCTGAAGGATTTCGCATCGTAGTTCTGCTGGCCTTGGAAAGCCTTTTTTAGGTGTAGTTCGAGTACTTCACGTGCGGTTTCGAAATCCCGGTAAAAAACAACCGGCAGTCTCTTACCGGCAGCTTTTCCCTTATGTCTTTGTTGTATTTTGAATAGGGTGTATTTTTCGATTGTTTCTGACACTGTGCGGCCTCCAAGCCGACAGATGTCTAGATCTTTTTGTAGACAGCGATCGAGAAGCTGATCGACCGCATGGTTTGTTTGAGCGGCGATGACGATCGGTTTTTCAGGGTTGTGATACCTTAGTATCTCTTCCACGGCTGCCACCACCGTGTGTGTTTTGCCAGTCCCTGGCGGACCTTGGGTAACTGACAGCTCATGGCTTATCATGGCAACACTAGCGGTTGCCTGTGATTTGTCAAGAATGTTTCTGGTGCTCAGTCGTAATTCGACATCATTCTTTGTGACTTGGATGTCTCTAATGTCACTTGATAGAACATACTTGTCTATCGTGGACCTTCTTTTGTTAACCAGGCTATGTAAGAGATGGTGTGGCAACGTACTTCTCGAAGGCCGCTGTTCGAAGCGCCACCATTGTGTGTCGGACGGACTCAAAGTACCCATCCTTTGCTTCTAACATGTAGAAAGTAATGTTTGGGTCCAGAAGCTCACCTCCCCATGTCGAGAAAAACAAATCGACCCTTGATGGTGTATTCTCTGGTTCTGGCGGATCTGCGTCAAGGTCAGGCAAGAGACCACCAGCCAGGAAACGATATGCCACTGTGGCTACATAGCATTTGGACTTGAAGTGATCGGCGACCGGCGAGAGAACCACAAGAGATCCCTGTTGAAGCCGGCTGGGATTGGCCCAATCAATCGGTGTTGCTGCTGCCCTGTCCGTTGCAAACGAGACTCTGGTAGCAGCACCCTGAGCAGTCAAAACGATGCCCTGCACATGGACCTGTCACAGTGAGGTTAGTTGTGGTATTTAGTTGGTAAATAACTTATCTGGTGGAAGCTACTCACATCTGTGTAGACGTAGGCGAGGTCTCGTTCTGGCATGTCGGGTGCTTGGCGGAATTCCGAGACCGCCAGCCGCGTTGGCTCAACGGCTTCGTATCTCTGCATTCGATAATGCTTTTCGAGATATTCACTCTTAGAGGTAATGCTCTCATTTTGAATTGGTAGAAGGAGTGGTGAAGAGCTTGACAGAATCTCTTCGGCTGAAGGTAGTTCGGGCTCCTCCAGCCAGTTTGTTGATGACTTTGTATGACTGTCACCCATACCCCCCGGGGGGAGGAAGAACGAATTTAATTGCTAAACAAGGTGGTTAGTTAAAATATATAATGGTAGCTGCGTAAATACTCACCAATGCTCTATCTCCTTTTTGTTCAGCAATTCTGATTGGCAGAATCAGACAGACTCGAGTCGGAATGGCACGATTGAAGCAGGACTGAGAGACAATGAGAAAGCCGAGTTGCATGCAGCCTCTGCAATGAAAGAGATGAGTTGAAGAATAGTTGAAGACTGATTTTTTCACGAGCTGGATGTGATGTAGAAGAAGAAGAGGAGGAGAGGGGGAGGGGGATGAAGATGAGGAAGAGAAGAGGGAGAGGAGGAGGATGAGAGGGAGGGAGGGAGGAAGAGGGCGCCGAGAGAGAAACAAAAAATGCAGGACCTTGGAAGGGAAAGAGGGAGCGAGATTTGTTTGGATTGCTGCTCACCTTCCAATGATTTCGCCAGGCAGCAATAAACAGCAGGTGCCAGGTATCTCTCTGCCAACTGGCACGCCCGTTTGCAGGCAGCTTCGGCAGGCAAGACTTGCCGGTCCGTTTAAGTTTCCTTGGCGACCTGATAATACAGATCGTACATCGTTGTGAAAACGCCCAGATGGCAAAATATTGAATATTCTTCAGAGAATGTCGTTTCGGCTATGTGTATGTTGCAACTGTCAAGTGTGCATCAGTTCAGCTATCTTAACTGGTATTAGCTGGGGTTGACGACTTTCAGTTCACTGTGTTTCATGCACCAAGTCTGAACTGCAGCCATTCAGTGTGACGCTGCCATTTTTAAAAATTATTGGTATCCATCGTTTATGTGTTTATTTTGCACTGAGAAGTTTGGCCAGAATCACGATGTACCTTTTGTTTGCCCATCGCCAATCGCGAGACCATCAAGGCTGTTGATACCCGGCACCTACTTAGATTGCCAACCTGTTGAAGTATCAAGACTAGCAACCTGCAGCGAGTAGTTAACGTTGCCCGCTTGTTTCTAAAGAGAGTAGTATCGCGCTACTAGAATAAACGGCCAAGTGAGTCAGAGTGGGACATGCATCATTCTGATTGCATCCATTTAGATCTAATAGGTTGTCCTACTGCCTGTTTGGGATGCCCATCACCAGTTCAGCTGCAGGGAATAGCGGACCCGAACACTACATTCAAAAGGCGGCAGTTCCCAGCCCTTTGTCTGCGACATTCATTTTGTCAATCAACCAAAGACGAGTCCCATTGGGTCTATTGAAGCCAAAGAAGAATTGCCTGTTTTTCGTATTCTTCTCACCGTTGTACACCGCAACCTACCACCATGACAGACCTGAATTACACCGAGTACCTGCAGTCCGTCTATCCGGGAACAACGTGGGAGACCACCCGCCTGACCGGGGGCGTCGTCAATTCCACACACCGCGCGACGAGGCTTTCTGGGAGCGCCGGTCCGGCCAGTCTCGTCCTCAAGCACGCCCGTTCGTACGTCGAAAGCGTCGGTCCAGGCCTACACTTTTCTACCCAGCGACAGGTCAGGCTGCCCCCTCTTACCAGCATCCGGTCTTCCTGCTAACGGACGTCGCGCTAGGCTGTCGAGGCGGCGATTCTGAAACTATGGGATGAGGACGGCCCTCTGTTCGAGTCCCGCAAGACGGTGGCGCCATGGAAAACGCCGCGCCTCCTCCGTCACGACAGCGGCAAGGAGTCGGTCTTGAAGCTGAGCGTCTCGGATCAGGAGGCGTCCATCTTGCTGCTCTCCGACCTCGGGCGACTCGTCAACGTTGTCGAGTTTATCAAAACCGCCGCCAAGGACGCCGTTGCAACTGCCGACAAGATCGCCAAGCTCGGTCGCGACACGGGCTCCATCATGGCCCTCGTTCACAGCCCAGAGACGGTGCGGAAGATACAAGCCGAGCAGCCTCAGACGTACGAGAAGCTTTCCGTGTCCGTATCGAAGGGCATTGTCTGGGAATTCGCCGTCCTCCCCATCAAGGAACGCATCAAAAGCTACGCCAACGCGGACAAGCTGTTCACCGCCACGGCCCAGGAATACAACGACCCCGAGTACGACTACCGACCAGCCCTCAGCATCGGCGACTTCCATCCCGGCTCCATACTGCTGTCCGATCCCGCGGTCGCGGTGGACCTCACGCCCGCGCTGGTGGACTGGGAGTTTGGCCGCGCCAACGGCCGCGGCGTCAACGGCGACGTCGCCCAATTCCTCTCCAGCATGCGCTGCGAGATCCTCGACGCCCAGGACGACGCCGCCCTGCACGCGCTGCTGGTGCTGTACGTCACGAGCTTCTGTTCCGCGTACCGAGAGGCGGCCAGGCTCCGGGTGAGGAGGGACGTGCGCGACGGCAACCTGCAGCTTCTGCGGTCTGCGTTCTCCTTGCACGGCCGCGAGGACGTCAACTTGGCGCACGACGTGTACCATGCCAGCGCGCGGCGCAGGGACATGATTGACGTGGGTGTGTGGTATCTCGAGAGGGCCGGCGACAGCGCGGAGCACTTTGTGTCGGACGCCAACTGGGAAGAGATTAAAAAGGAAGACCGGTGTTTACTTCAGTCATTGTTCATTATGGAATAGGATAACATTCCGTCATCCATGCCGTCTCCCCCATTTGACCTGGCCACTACAAACAGCCAGTAGTAGCGCCCAGCCACCATCCCCGTCGTATACAGCAAAAAGACAGCAACACCGAGTGTATGAAAACGGCAAAAGAATAATAAATGCGTGATCTGGGAATCGAACCCAGGGCTCCCCGACGTTGCTGATGGCAACGGAGAATTTTACCACTAAACCAATCACGCTTCGTTGAATTCGACTCTCTTATCTGCCATTATCCATCTCACACGATAGTTTTCCCAACTAGGGCAAAAAAGGGGCCAGCCATCCACAAGTCCCACCAGCCCCCCTCTTCAAGGTCAACGAGGAAATCGAAATACGTAAAAAATGGCAAAAAGAATAATCAATGCGTGATCTGGGAATCGAACCCAGGGCTCCCCGACGTTGCGGATGGCAACGGAGAATTTTACCACTAAACCAATCACGCCTCGATGAAAGGCGCGTCATTATCTGGTTCCATGAGGTGCGTGTGGAAAAGCTTCCAGCCAAGCTGTCGTAGGGAGCAGGATGGGCAGTTTTTACCTACTGAATGATGGTGATTAAGTAGGCTCTTGCTGAATCAAGGGTATGAAGGGATAAAGAAAAATGTCTTGTGGGTATATTCCCGATGTCTACGCCATGCCAGTATGTACAAGGTCTGACGACCAACATCCCACCACCTCCATTTACACAACGAGCCGCAACATCAGCACACACCACCGAGTATCGACGTGGCACCCGAGATGGGCTGCCTCCGCCAGTTGAGGTGCCCGTCCGGACGGACCTGAAAGTCCGCCGCCTCCTCGATCAGCTCCCACACACCCGTATCCGGATCCTTCCGCACCGACCGCAGCACCACGCTCGCGCCAAAGTCCTCAAACAGCACCTCGCGCCTCCGCAGCCTTACCCACTGCCTTGCCTCATCATCCCCGTCCGCCGCGACCGCCCGCTCAACCTCCTCGTTGCGCAGCGCGATCGCGCGGTACACTCTACTATCGCGCAGCGCGTTGCGCACCGGGTACTGCCCGAGGATGCGCGTCGCGTCCGCGCGCACCGCCGCTTCGCGGCACCCGAAAGCGGCGATGAACAGCGGCCAGGTCCAGCCCGAGTCCATCGCGAAGCCGACGCCACCGTCAGGCGGCTGCCAGCGCGCCTGCAGCAGCGTCTCAGCGAGCGCGGCGATCTCGCGGTACTGCGGGGTCAGCGCGCGCGCGGTGACGAGGCCGGCGTACCGCGGCACTGTCGTGTACACGCACAGCACCAGGTACTCGACGCGCAGGTTGATGGCGTGCAGGTACGCGGCGGTGGAGGCGGCGTCGTGCCAGCGGCGGCGCACGGCGGCCCGGTACAGCGGCTCGTAGGCCTCGGCCCACCGCCGGATCCAGTACCGGCAGTCGGCGATGAACTTGCCGATGGCGGGGTCCTGCCGGACGGCGGCCAGCTTGGCCTCGACCTCGGCCTCGGAGCCAGCCTTGGCGAGGGCGAGCCGCGCGCTGGTGGCGGCCAGCAGCGGCATGTACTGCACCATGTTGCGCTGCACGAGCGCCCAGTAGCCCTGCGTCTCCTCCATGTCGGCGAAGGTGCGGGGCATCTCGCGCAGCGTGGTGATGGTGGTCCGCTTGGGGCGGAAGTACGGCGAGTGCTTGGTGAAGGGTGCGATGCCGGGCGGTCGCTGCGGAGGTCCGCTTGTTGGTGGCTTCGGCGGGCCTTGCTGTCCCGGACCAGGCGGGGTTGTGGAGGATGGGGAGGCGGCAGAGGGCGGTGATGTGGATGATGATGTTGGTGCGACCGGTGTGGTATTTTGACTTGACGGGCTGTCCAAGCTGCGTGGGCTGAGCACCCCCATGTGCTGGCTCTGTGGTGTGCTGGGGTCACTCTTGGGCGACTGCACATTACTTACTGCTGCTGACCGCTGCGGACTTGACATCGGCGACATCAACCGCGGGTCCCCCCGCAGTGATGGTGGCTGTCCCCCGGGATGCCCTGCCAGCTGCGGCGGGTCTCGGTCGCCCTTGAAGAAGGCAGCCTTGTAGGAGCCCAGGAAGGACCGCGACTGCAGTTCGAGCGGCTTGTAGCAGTCGAGGATCTCCTGGACCATGGCGGGCGGAGCGGGCGCGATGCTGACTAGATCGGGCGCGCGCGGGGTGCACCCGGCCAGCTCGTTGAGCATGGTAAAGCCGTGGGTGACATGCTTGAGCGCGGCGGGCGTGTTGCCGCGCAGCGCCTCGAAGCAGATGAAGAGCAGCGACGAGAGCAGCGCGGTTCGCAAGCCCTCGCGGGTGGGGCGCGCCGCCGACTGCCGCCGCAGCGCCTCGCAGTAGAGCATCACCGCGTTAAGGTAGTGCCGGTTGTCGTCGGCCAGTGGCGCGTTGCTGGATCGGCAGGCGCGTCGCAGGGCGCCGACGGCCATTGCGCCGTAGCGCAACGTCGGTTCCTCGAGGCTCAGCTGCGGCATGGTGGCCGTCCATAGCCGGGTCTGGTCGAGGCCGCCACTGAGAAAGGTGACGGAGAGGTGCGCCCACTCGTCAAAGTAGGCGCGCTCGTCCTGGCTGGCGAAGCGCAGGATGTTGACGAGGGGCTCGGTCAGCATCAGCGGCGCCTTTTTCGTGTGAATCAGCTTGGCGTTGTCGCCCGCGCCGCCGTCCTTTGCACCTCGTGTGGCGTCGTCGGTGGCATATGAGTCACAGTAACCTCGCCATTTGATGCAATTCAAGCACGCCGGCCTCGTTTCGTCGCACTTAACATGTCGCTTTCTGGGTTGAGAGTTAGAGCCTGCAGAACCGCTGTCGTCCCCTTGCTTGCCGCACATTGACTTACTTGCCTAGATGGTAGTCAACGGTTAGCTTTGTCACAACCCAAGTAACGTAGTACTTCGATAAAAGTCGGCTTACATGTCGCACAGCCAGTGCGCGCGCGAGTCGAACTGCGGCGGGTGTGTCTGGTACGAGATTCTAGAGCGAAGCGATGTGTGCCGCCACCGCGCGCCGAGGTGGCTGCGGCGGCAGCGGCACTGTTTGATGACTCGGCTGCCGAGGACCTATGATGGCGGCAGGCGCGGAGAGTGCTTAGCTGACCAGTCCCTTTTTCGCAGGAAGCTCACGCGTACGCTGGGGCGAAGATGTCTCGATCGTCTCCGGGCCCGTTGCGATGGCATGGGCGCTGGCTGCTGGTGGACTCACCGTGCTGAAGCCGCGTTTGTCGGCCGGGCGAGCGGAATCGAAAATTGAATCTCCATGGCCGCGCAAGTAAGTATTCGTTGGGCCTAGGCCGGCTTCGGGCGTCTTGGGCCAGGCGCGCGCACTTTTCCCGTGATGCCGCCAAAGGGATGATAAGAAGATGCAGCCTTCCAAATTACATGGGGAGACGAGAGGGGGAGTTGACGTTGTTGAGTTTCTGGCAAGTGTGCGGAGAGCCCAGCCGATTTAGCGTCGCTTGGCCGAGAGAGCTTGCAGTCTTGTCTGGCGGGCGGAGATTGATTTCGCTAACAATCAACCAATAAACCTGTTTGCCAGCCTTTTAGTACCAAGAATCGCCCCCAGTCCGTTGTGCAACGTTTGTTGGCGGCGAATGGGCAAAAGGGAAGCCCACGAGGATTATGGTGGCGTCGAGGATTATGGTGGCGTCAAGGTTATCAATCGTACTGGAAAGTGGGATGGATGGTCCTGCGGCGCGGAAGCCCAACCCACAAGCCAAGCCTACCTACGGCTTTTGTTATTACCGTCGCGAATTTCCAACTTCCCTGGCCCCAAAGCTTCCTGAAGGAGTTAAAAACTATGACTGAGAAGAAGCAGCCCATCGGGGTCCGGCCCGAAGGCGCTTCCTCGAGGCCGACTGGCTGGCGGGACGCCGTCCGGGAACGCCCAACCCAGTGACAAAGCTGAGTTTGGCTTGCGCAAAGGTGGGATAATGGCGTTGTGGTTGGTCCACAAGGCAGACTATTTACCTATTTATGCCATTTATTAAACACAACCCTGTCTGGCCCGGGAACGGCGGGATGTCATCATTCACAGCGCATCTGCTTATTAGCAGACTTTCCATCGCGACGAGTACAGTGTCGACAGTGTCGACAATTTGATTTATTTCCAATTCTGCACTCTTGTATGAGTTACCAGCCTTGCACACATCCGGAAGCCAAGACCGCGACAACGTTACAAGGTAATAAATCAATCCGTTGACATATCTGCCTGGGGGATCATCAGTGCATTCACCCACCATCACTAGCGCGCCGCCACTGACCTGAGTTTTGCCCACCTTTGTTTTTTCGGTGGGGGAACTTGGGGGAGAAGCGGGTATATCGAACTGCATGTCATAAACGAGCCTAGTCTGCAATGAAGATACGGGAAAGGCTCCCAGCCAAGTCAGTTCTCGGTTAAGGACAACCGTTGTCGACTGTGGAGGTACGGACAGATATACGGCGGCCCAGCAACCGCCACATCCGCGATGGACGGTGCTATACCACAGAGGATTGGCAGAGGGATAACAGGTTTTCACCAGAAATTATAAGTTGGCCTAAAGATATCTTAGATGATAGAGAAGGGGGCCTGATCACCGTCTAGGCGAGCTAGTAGCCATGGGGCATCCCGCAGCTACCCTGTACTAACGGCCTCAAATGCAATAAATGGCGTACTGATGACTCTAGGACCAAAGACCATATTTCTATGTGTTTGCATTATCGTATTCATAGCTTCTAGTGCCTGAGTGAGAGCTGAAGTGTAGTGATCAATCTGTAGTGTAGGCTGCCCATTGACAGGTGGTTGTTGTTCACACTCATTCCCCAAGCATGCAAATCATTTTGGTACTAGTACTTGGACAATCGGAAACAAGTATTCGCTCTTGACAGCCGCAAGGAAATACATCTGTAACAAGTCGAAGGGTATTTTCACATTTGCCCCTATCAGTGTAGTCGAGGAATATTGTCGGTGATGCCTGTTCCCTTGACTCGCAGCTGTTGGTTGGTGCTTGCCCTCGGACAAGTCGCGGCTCTTGGCGAACTCGGTAGGCCGGCGGCGACAATCGCGGCAGCTCTGGTGATGCTGCGCATTTCTGCACTGCGGGCGGCCGACAATAAACCAATGTTTCTTTTTTTTTTCTTTTAATATTTACCAAGGGCATGGTGGGAACTAAGTTTTGCAGCACAACTTCACAACTCGCATTGCGGAGCGTCCAACATGGTCGGCAGGTACAGGTGCCTCGCATTCTTAAACGGGCGAGCAAGGCACACCTTGCGCAACCACCAAGACGTCGCGTTGGTTACGAAACGGGCGGCTGACAGGTCCAGCCTGTGCCGCTGTGCCGTTGAAGAAAGGTTTCCACTAAACAGACTCGGCCGTGCCACTACCTTTGACGGATGCGGCTGACAGCCTCGCTAGGCGTGCGAGAAATTAGCGCTCTTCTAGCTGTCCGTAGGCTCGTTACTTGGAAGGTTTACGAATCATCCGTAGACGGAGCAGGTCCAAAGGGAAAAGGTGCAACAAAGAGCCTGCACTGGGAACAAGGCCCGGAGGTGGCGTGATTTTCAAAGCGTCAAAGAATGAAGAATTTTTTAACGAGGTCCATTTTCCAGTACAGGGTTGCACTGACAGTGTGATGATGCACAGAGATTTTCCGCTTTTCGCTCAAGGGTATCCGTTCGGGCCATTTATTAGACACGGAGATGGACAGGACATAAAACCGCAGCTATTAAGCCGCGTCAGCATGGAGGGGCGACACGGGCGAGTCGTGCACATATGCTGCATGCAAAGGCAAAAGGCCCAAAGGGTCAAGGGCAAGGGGCAAGAGCAAAGGTATGGATCGGCAGAAAAAGAGGCGAAACAGTCGCGGGTGGATCGGCGACACCTTCCTCTTTGTACTGGTGCGGCATCTTTCAAAACCAGGAGGCGAGCCTGGCCGAGGCTGGACGTGTCGCAGAGGTGCAGATCAAGCCTGAACAGACGAAGGGGGAGGCGGCCGCGGTTCCTGACATGCTTGCTGGCTTGTGGTGGTGCGAGTCGTATTCCGAAATGAGGGCATTGACTCTGAATGCTTGATGCGTGTGAATGGGTTACGTATACTTACACAGAAGGAACGGATGAGGTGGGTTGTCAGTTGTCAGTTGGGGTGGGATGAGTTATTAAGAGAGTCTGGACTGCTGTCGAGTTTGTCGAGTTTTGTTGGAGCGCGTGGGGGAAGTTGAGGGAATTGAAGAAAAACACGAGATTGGTCCTCTTTTTTAACAATCAATCTCAGAAGCTTAGCAGGGGTGAGGAGGGGAGGGCAGGGGAGGGAAGATGGGAACGGTGCATGCCAGCGGATGGGTTGCGAATGCAATTGTGGATTGGATTCGACCTTGTTGGTGGTGGACGGACGAGCGCAAGGGTGGTGATGTCATGATAGTTTTAGCACAGGTTGTCTGGAAGACACCTGGTAATAAGACGAAGAAACCAAAAGGCCGAAGACGGGGGGAGAAACAAGGTCTTTGTCTGTCTACAGAACAGATCTCTGACAAGGCATGTCAGCTAGCAGGAATATTGATTTCTGCATTATTACCCATTGACCAAGTTGCGACAGGTTTGCGCCGCGTGAATCAAGGGAGAGCCTTGTGCTTTGTGGTGGCGGCATGGCGGGCTAAAAAAAGACGTGGCGTACTGTTTAGTTACCCGCCACAGTTGGTTGGCTGGAGGAATGGTGTGGTTGCTTGTTACCTACAGTACCTAACTTGGTAGAGGTACAGCAGGTCGCGAGTTGTTGCTTGTGCAGGTACCTAGTTGGAAGCCGTCGCCGCGTGCACAGAGCCGCTGCGGTGCCGGGCTGGTGATGTGACAGCGGTTGCCCGAGCGACTGGCATTAGTGCGGCTCTTGTCCTGCCCTTGAATGGAATTGAAGAGGGCTGATGCGAGATGAGATTGACAGGTATGGACCGACCGAGTATTGTTTTTTTGTCTTGTCACTTTGCTTCCGCGTCTTTGTTGCGTCTTTTGTTTGTTCTTGTCGAGAGGGTAAATTATCAGTGACCAAGTGGAAGCTCACCTCGTAAAAGCTGGCGTGGCCGAGTGTGGCTGTGAGGATGGCCCCTTGGCGAGCCAAGCGGGATGAAAGAAGAAGAGGAAGGAGGAGAGGAAGAGCAAAAAAAAACAAGAGAGAGGATTAGCTAGACTAAAAAGAAAATTACGTAGGCCTCATCAAAGCTTGCAGCAACTAGTTATCTGTTCATAAATAGACAGACAGACCTGACACTTTCTCGTGTCGTGCGGGACTTGGGTACATTAGTGGCGCTCTAGCATCTAATCAGGTAGCGGCAGACTGAGTTGCGGCTGGCGTTTTTTTGGTGCAGTGGTGGATTAGCGCGGCCTCGTACAGGGCGATCAGTTGACGGCACTCGCTAAAATTACAATGGATGGAGCCCTGAAGGTGTGCTGAAGCCGTTGGCGGAAATGCAATGCCCTGATGAAGCATGGTGGGCATCTTCGTTCCATACCAGGCCAACCAGACAAGGCAAACTCCCCGCCGCATCATGTTCCTTTCAACAATGCCATCGTTTTGAACTATAAAAAAAATAATTAGCATTACTGGTATTGTCCCCTAGGTTGTTTAGTAGGCTCGTACCGAGTAGCACCAAGGTACTCGCTTTGTATAGGCGGTCGGTCGAGGCGACTTCGCTGTTGCTTGGCATGGCTGGCATGGCCTGGCATGGCCTGGCATGGCTGGCATGGCAGTTTGGCTTCAAGGCTTGAAGCGAATGCACCCTCCGGATCCATCCACTTTTGCTTCACCCACTCCCTCCTGCTACTGCTTGCCTCCTCCATCCACTCCTCTTCTCACCACCACCCAGCTTGCCTTACTGTGGCCAGTCTACCGGTATCCGTCACCACCACCCGCTGCAAGCCCACGCCCAACTCAAAACGTCCACGCCCTCAGCCCGCTCTCAATCGTCCCTGCGCCTCTCCAATCTCATCACTTCCCAGTCTATTCCTCTTCCTCTAGTTATTCCTCCCCCATCCCCTCCCATCCTATCCACACCTTCAACCTCTCTTGTACCTTTCCCTGCCAACCACAGCCTTCTTCTACTCCCTCCCCCCCCCTCTGCCCTTGCCGTTTCGTCCCTCTTGCGCTTCCCGCGAACAACCTTCCGGCTTAGCCTTCTTTCGCCTTCTTCTCCCTCCACCACTCTATCCCAAACCTCCTGCAACTTACCAACAACCAACATCCAACAGGTCGGGTAGCTGGCAGCATCGCCAGATTTGCCCGCCGCTACCGCTGGTCTGCCTTTCAGGCGCGCACTCTTCCTCCCTCAGCGTCGCCTTGGCCTGCTGATGACGCCCACTTGCTACTTACCTCCGCGTCGCAATCAAGCTCTCAACCGACCCAGCTCTCCCGACAGCATCCACTCCTACGATTAATCGCCTGACAATATCGACTTGCTCAATTTTGCCCACCCTTGACTGCCTCTATATGCCCCGTCCTTGACGATATCTAATCTACTACTGGCCGACCTGCCGACCTTGTCCCGCGGGACCTTTTTGATTCCCAGCGCTCTCTGCTTTGCTTCTCGCCGCCGCCATGCAGCACTATTCTAACAACGACCCTTATGAGAGGGAACCTCTTGATCCCGCCTACGATAACCGCTACCGCACGCCCAGCCGACGACCTCAATACAACGAATACGCGCAGGAATCGCCGTATCATGACGACTCACCCGGTCGCACGCCAGAACCCGCGGCTCATTACGACCAGAGAGCCTACGACAATGTGCCTGTCCACCAACAAGGACCCCCGCCTCCTCCACACATGAACCTGCACCCACACGACGGCCCTGCATCTCGCCAACATGCTGACGACTACCACCGTTCTCCTCCCAGCGACTCATCTGGACCCGATAACTATGGCTATGCACACCCCGCTGCCATGTCTGCCGGTGCTTATAACCCCGACTCCCTCCGCACCGCCGGTCAAGTCCTTCCTCCACCTTCACGGGCAAATGCACCCAACAGCTCGTCGCCTCATCCCAGCCTGCACAGTGGCCCCTATGCAGCCGGCTACGCCATGGATGGTGATTCGCGTTCCACCGTCAACCCCTTCGGCACAGTCGCCGGGTCATCCGTCGGCTCGAGGTCGCCGTCTAGAAGTCCAAACGTCTCGACCGACCACTACCTCGGCGGGCAAGAAGCCTACTACAATCACTCCGCCTCGTCTCGACTAGACGCTCCCTCCTTGGGCGTGGTCGATCCCATGTCCATCGCGGATGACGGCGATGACGGCCTACACTATGGCCGTCAGAGCAACAGGAACTCTGCTCATAGCGGTAGCAAGCGAGCCGTCCCTGGCGCCATTGGAGCGGCGGCCGGAGGCGCCACCGCCGTAGCCGCCGAGCATGGTAGGTCTTAAGTTCCCGTCCTCGTCTACGTATCCCCAGCTAACCCTTTAGACACGCGTGGATTCTATGAACCCGCCAAGCGCGAACGATCCTCAGATTGGCTCGAGAAGAAGCAAGGCCGCTCCAAAAAATGGAAATGGGCCATTATTGTCCTCATCTTCCTCGTTATTGTCGGAGCCATCGTCGGTGGTGTCGTCGGAACCCTCGTGGCCGGTAGAAAAGACGACAGCAAAGACAAATCTGGCTCTGGCACCAACGACGATGCTAGTGGTGACCTCGGTCTCAAGAGTGCCGAGATTCAAAAGCTCCTCAACAACAAAAACCTGCACAAGGTCTTCCCTGGCATGGACTATACTCCCATCAATGTCCAGTACCCCGACTGCCTCAAAAACCCGCCCTCGCAGAACAATGTCACCCGCGACGTCGCCGTTCTCAGCCAGCTCACCAACAAGATTCGCCTCTACGGAACCGACTGCAATCAGACTCAAATGGTCCTTCACGCCATCGACAGGCTGGAGATGAAGAAGGATATCAAAGTCTGGCTCGGCGTCTGGCAAGATGGCAACAGCACCACCAACCAACGCCAACTTTCGCAAATGTGGGACATCCTCGACCAGTACGGTGGTGATCAATTTGAGGGCGTCATTGTCGCCAACGAAATCTTGTTCCGCAAAGAAATGACCATTACCCAGCTGTCCTCAGTTCTCACCGACGTCCGCGCCAACCTGACAAAACGAAGCATTAGTCTACCTGTTGCCACGTCGGATCTCGGCGACGACTGGACGACTGAGCTGGGCGCCGATTCTGACCTCATCATGGCCAATATTCATCCGTTCTTTAGCGGAACCCCGGCTGACCTGGCTGCGGGATGGACGTATAGCTTCTGGGAGAACAAAAACGGCCCCATGTGGAAGCCCGACAAGAAGAAAAATGTCATTTCGGAAACTGGCTGGCCTTCTGGTGGCGGCACCAGGTGTCCCACTTCGGCGCCACAGTGCACTACCCCCGCCAAGGCTGGTATCGACGAGATGAACCGTTTCATGGCTGACTGGGTGTGTGACGCGCTGAAGAACGGCACCAACTACTTTTGGTTCGAGGCATTTGATGAGCCGTGGAAGTCCCGCTTCAACTCGGGCAACGAGAACTGGGAAGACAAGTGGGGTCTGCTGGATGTGAACCGAAATCTGAAGAGTGGGATCAAGATTCCCGACTGCGGAGGTACCACAGTATCTTAGCGAAGAAGATGTACGGAAGGAAGGTGTCCCGAAAACGCGTAAGATGACGAGAAGGAGCAGAAGGAGGAGGGACGCGGATAATGCATGGAAATACGAAGGACTCGCTCGATCACCCGAGCTATTGGGATCATTCACGAGGAATACTCTGAATGTGCATGGCTATGCATGGAACTGTTGGCATTGACTTGATGGCATTCATCGCTGGGCTGCCTGTTGGCCCCGGCTCTCTTTTTTTATTTTTTTGGTGGCTCTTTGCTGTTTACATATGCGGCGTATTTGGGGTTTCATTGATTTACTTACAAGTGTGAATGCTGGGCATGAGTTAAAATAGTATATGTGCGAGAAATGTATTTACACACGACCAATTGACCGTTTCTCTACTTTTTGCTTGCTGCCCGTGCCCTCGTTTATGATATCCTTGTCTGTAGGCTCCTCCTTGCTGCCCGTGTCCTTGTTTATGATATCTTCATCTATAGGCTCCTCCTTGCTGCTCGTGTTCTTGTCTGTGATGGTCTTGTCTGTGATGTCCTTCTCTACAGGCTTGTCTGCCTTTTCGTCCGCCGAAACAAGCGCTTTTCCCCCTTGTCTTGAAGCGTCGCCCGAAGCCTCCTCCACTACAGCGCCTCTGCCCTGCTCAGACGAGGGAGGCCTGGCCGCGGAGGGTTTCGCCCCTTGCGGTGCAAAGTAGATGCTGGTGCTGGAAAACGCCGTGCTCGCCGCGTCCTGCGGAAACTCGTGCCGCGTGTACGTCCGGTCCATCCTCTTCATGTTCTCCAAGTCCGTCGCCTCCTCCATCGTCACTCTGCGCCGTGTTAGCGAGTCATCATCCCTCTTGCTTGACTTGGCCCCGAACCAACAGCCCACGCCCGAGCGAAGCGAAAACCAAAAAAGTAAAAAAAAAAAAAATAAACTTACGTGTCCCAGACGTCCCACCCGGTGCCGACGAACATGGCGGGTAGGTCTGGTTGTTGGAAGGCGGCGGCGTAGATGGGGCGGTAGAGGTGGACGGCGAAGAGGAGGGTGGTGCCCTCGACGAGCGCGTACGCGGCGGGCGAGGGGACGACACGATGGCCGAGGGCGGTGAGGAAGGAAATGTCTGAGGGCGTGAAGATGGGGTCCTGGAAGACGCACTCGACGGAGAGTTGGGTATATTTTTCTGGTCGTCTTGTCAGCAAAGGCTGCACAATGATGAAGGCCATGAGACTAAAACGTGGCGGAAGTAGGAGCAAGACAAGACGAAGGGTAGTACAGAAGCGCATACCTAATTGAGACACGATGGTCGAAAAGGCGCAGAGCTGCACGTACGCGGCGCGCTTGGCCTCCCACGCGCCGTCGGCCGGGTCGAACGTGCCGATGCCGAGACACACGGCCCTGCGCACCGGGACGACGACTCGCGGGGGCTGCGCGTCAAGCAGCCGGAGCAGCGCCGCGCAGGCGGGCGAGGCGAGCCACTCGGCGCGGAGCTTGTCGTAGTCGGCGCGCAGGGCCTCGGGCGGCCGGAGTACGCCGGAGGTGCGCGGCGCGAAGGTGTCTGGCGAGGAGTGAGGTTGTGTCGAGGCGATGGACTTGGCGGAGGAGGGGCGATGGCGGCGGGATTTGCGATGGACGCGGGTCCAGCCTTCGTCTGTGGACATGGGTCGGGTACGTATGAGCTTTGGATGAGTGGGATATGGGATTGGATATGTTGGTGATGTGAGTTTGATGGTATCGCCGGTTTTTCGTCAATAAGAGCTTGACCCGCTTTTCTGGCAAGACGTCAAGAGATGCTCCGCGATATGCGGCTAACAATGCGGGAGATTTTGGATGAGAATGAGGAATAGGAGTTGGTTAACGATCTGTTGAAAGGAAGTAGCCATATATTCCCCTGCTTGCAGTTTTTCTCTTTTTTCCTAGAATATTATTCCTCCTTGCTATTTCTACACGGATATCGCTTTTAAAAGTCGTGTCTCGTTCTAGAATTTCTTTCTAGAAAAATATCTTCATTTTATCTTTCTCATCTCACCTATCTTTCTTATCTTTTATATCTTTTATGTCTTTCTTCTCTTCTTTATTTCTACCATACTTCGTACACCTGGTCCTATGAAATGTCTGCCTACCTAACTCATCAAGGTTGGAGCTGCCTAGACAGGCTACCCGGTCAGATCTGATCGTCTCCGTCTTCTTGTTTTCCTAAAAACCAAAAGGAAAAAAAATAACCGTTTCACGTTCTTAACCTTGCTCCTCATCGCTGTTTTTACACCTCTCTCTTTATTCCACCTGCTCTTACCCTTCCTCCTACATATTCCCGGTGAGGGGCAGTTGCAACACCGCTCCACACCAGCTCGGTCGGCATCCATCCACCTGGTTCCACGGTTCCACGGTTCCACGACCTCCACCTCCTACACCAGCCTGCCATTTGTCAAACGTCACTGTGTCAACTCTGCGTTACTCGCTCTGATTGCGCGGTTGTTGCGGACTGTACATTCTTCTTTCCTTCGGCATCCCCCCTACTCAGCAACCATGGTCAATTTTAAGCTTTCCGCGCAGCTCATGGGCCATGAAGCCGACGTGCGAATTCCCTACCCTCCATGTCATCCCCGCCTCTGCGCTAACAGCAAGCACAGGTTCGCGCTGCGGCGTTTGCCTCGCCCGATACCATCGTCACCGCCTCGCGAGACTGCAGCGTCCGCCTCTGGCATCGCTCCCAGGGCGCCGACGTCTCCTTCGACGGCACCCTGCTAAGCCGCGGCTCCGAATACGTCAACGCCGTTGCCTTTTATCCGCCCAACACTGAGCACCCCGATGGCCTGGTTGTCTCGGGCGGCAAAGACACCATCATCGAGGTCAAGAACCCCCGCAAACAACCCAGCGACCACGCCGAGCGCCTGCTCATCGGACACGCCCACAACGTCTGCGCGCTGGACGTCGCACCGAACGGCAAGTTTCTCGTGTCCGGAGGATGGGATGGCCAGGCCCGCGTCTGGAACTTGAACACCTGGGAGACGGAATTGGCGCTGAGCGGGCATGAAGGCATGGCAGTGTGGGCGGTGCTGGCACTGGACGAGAAGACGGTGGTGACTGGCTGCGCCGACAAGAACATCCGCGTCTTTGACCTGACCAAGGGCAAAGGTGGAGAGGTGGACGCCTCGTCGACGATATACACCCCCGATGTGGTGCGCGCACTGTGTCGCGTCCCATCGACGCACCCGAGCGGCGCTGATATCGCCAGTGCGAGCAACGATGGTACCATCAGACTTTGGAAGCTCAATGGCCAGCAAATTGGCGAGCTTCATGGTCACGAGAGCTTTGTCTACTCGCTGACGAGTCTGCCTACGGGCGAGCTGATCAGCTCTGGAGAGGACCGCACCGTGCGTGTGTGGAAGGGTCTCGAATGCACACAGACAATTACACATCCTGCTATTTCAGTCTGGACTGTTGCCGCCCATCCTGAGACTGGCGACATCGTTTCCGGCGCCAGCGACGGTGTTGCTCGTGTCTTTACCCGCAGTCCCGAGCGAGTTGCCGACAAGCAAACGATTAAAGACTTTGAAGATTCTGTCAAGGCGTCCTCGATTCCCCAGCAGCAAGTAGGAGGGGTCAACAAGGAAAACCTTCCAGGTCCCGAATTTCTGCAGACCAAGTCCGGTACCAAGGAAGGTCAGGTGCAGATGATCAAGGAGGACAACGGTAACGTGACGGCGCACACGTGGTCGATGAGCCAGCAGCAATGGATTAATGTCGGTACGGTGGTGGATGCGGTTGGAAGCACTGGCAAGAAGGTGGAATACAAGGGCAAATCATATGATTTCGTGTTTGACGTGGATATCGAGGACGGCAAACCGCCGCTGAAGCTACCATACAACCTCTCGGAAAACCCATATGAAAGCGCCACAAAATTCCTGAATGATAATGAGCTGCCTCTTGGCTACTTGGACAACGTGGCTCAATTCATTACGACAAATACAAAGGGGGCTACGTTGGGCCAAACGGAGCAGAGTGGCGGGCCTGACCCCTACGGCACGGAGTCGAGATACCGTCCCGGTGAGGAGGCGCAGAAGCCGCGGATACTTCCGCAAAAGGAATATCTTAACATTACTGCCGCCAAGTACGAAGGTATGTAACGTTTCCTTCATCATCATGCTACAGATACTAACTACAATAGCCATTTTTAATAAAATTTCGAGCGTCAACAAGACGATGATCTCCAGTGGCCGCAAAGACACAGCTCTTAACCCTGGCGAGGAATCTTCACTACAAGCTCTACGTACTGCCCTCGAATCATCCAGCACCATTCCGACCGATGCTTTCCCTTCTCTTTTCAAGGTTGTGACGGCGTGGCCGTACAGCGATCGTCTGGCTGGTCTGGACCTACTCCGCTGTGTGGCGCGCTTCCCGACAGCGGCCAAGTACAAGGACAGCACGCATGGCACCCTGATAGACCTGGCCGTTGCCGCGTCCCTGCCCGATGGCGACGCTCCCAACGAAAACGCAGCCATGATGGGCGCGCGCACTCTTGCCAACCTCTTTACCACGATCGACGGCCGCAGCCTGGCCAGTGCGCGTGTAGACACCTTGCTATCATTCCTGGAGCGTGTAACAGGCATTCAGGGCGGTGACGCCATCGGCCCGCACAACCGCAATCTTCTAATCGCGGCGACGACCCTAGCCATCAACCTAGCGGTCCTGGTCAACCAGGAGAAGCTGCTGTCGGCCAGCGAGAGACGGCGACTGGTGCAGGTAGTCGGCGCCCTGCTCAAGGGACAGAGCGACTCGGAGGTGCTCTACCGGGGGTTGGTCGCGCTGGGCACCGTGGCGGCGACGTCCAAGGGTGACGTGGCCGCGGTGCCGGGTGTCGGCGGATGGGTTAACGAGGCAGCGGGCAAGGCGTCTGAGGATCGGGTGCGGACGGTGGCGGCGGAGTGCAAGAAACTGGTCGCATAAGCATTGCATTTGTAACGATAGGGCGTAGCACCGGGTTAAGAGAAACTACGGTAGAGAAAATGAGTCATGCATACATAGATGGTATATTGAGATACAAGCTAGATGTGAAGCCGTGAAATTACGTCGCAAAAGCAGCTCAACAGAAAAGGTTCCCGAAAGACAGAAAACGCCAAAACACCATGTAAATGAGAAGAGGGCGTGATTTTGACGCATAGACAAAAGTCCATTTACAGCAGCAGCAGCGCGGCGCTGGCGAAGAGCAGCGGCGTCCAGCCGACCCAGCTGACGGAGTGGAGGGTGCGCTCGGCGGCGGAGGTGGTGTAGTTGTCGGTGCCCGAGTCTTTGGTGGTGATTGTGTAGATTTGGGCGAAGCCAATGTCTGTCGAGTTGTAGCAGTTGGACTCGTTGACGGGGGCGATGCGCGGGTCGCCCTGCTCGGCGAAGATGATGTCGACGCACTGCATCTCCGTGTTAGTTCTGCTGCGATGGAGGAGGATGGGGTTGGTTGGGGGCTGGCTTACCGAGTAGAGGGCGGCGCCGTGCTGGGCGGTCTCGACGACCTGGATGGTGGCCTCGTCGCCGGCCTTGACCTTGGCGCCGGCGGGCAGCGGGACCTGGGTGAGGCAGACGGTGCCCGGGTAGGGGTTGTTGCTGGGGCCGATGATCTGGAAAGGGGCGATCATGGGGTTGCTCATGTTGGGCGGGCCGCCGTGGATGTTGACGCTGGGGTCGGAGCCGAAGCCGAGGTTGATCTGGACAAAGGCGAGGGAGTGTCCGCGGAACCAGCCGGGCTGGAAGGCGACGGTGCCGCCGCCGATGGGCCAGTAGGTGCGGTTCTTGGTGACGCCCATGCCGCCGCCTGGAAGGTTGTTGGTTAGCAAGAAAACTTGAATGGCGAGGAAGAGCGAACGAGGAGCACAGTGAGAACGAGGAGTGGCGAGAATAAGCAGTGCTTCGAGAACGAAGAGCACCACGACCCGCCGTCGAGCGAAGCGAGGAGAAAAGACTTACAGGGATACATCCATTGCATGCCGTAGGGAAAAGTGTCGTTAGTGATGAGGTTATTACCGCGCCAGCCCGGGTAGGAGATGACGGTATGTGCGGCGGCCAGGCCGGCGAGGGCGAGGCTGATGAGCAAGTTGAGCTTCATGACGAAGGCCGACTTCTTTTTGTGGTATTAGGCGATGAAGGGATCGTGAAACGTCAATCAACCCGGACCAGCCAGATTGAGGACCTTGGTGCGTAAAAAGCCGAAGCCACAGGCGAGCTCGCGCAGCAAAGAGTCAATTTCACAGTAAAGCGAGGCTGAGGAAAAAGGTCGCGGCCAGGCGTGTGCGCATGGACTTGGCAACACGAAACGGGAAGCGGAGCGAGATGGGGAAGAAATACTTGAAAGAAGAGGCAGATCCCTCAAGACGGGGGAGGCCTGGAGGGAAAAAAAAGAGGCCGGGCGGCCCTTTTTCTCTCTGGTGCCGGCTGGGCTGCATGTAATACCATCTGTGCTGTGGTACACTTGGGCAAGGGTTGAGATGTGTGGGAGGGGCCGGAGGAGGAGGAGTAGGAGGGGATTCGGACCAGTAGAGGAGGGGGAGTAGCCGCCGAGGATTCAGCCACTTGGGGGGGGATCGAGCAGCGGGGAGGGGTAATTGACGGGAAGAAAAGAGATGGGGAGGAAAAGGTGAGGTGATGGGCCATTGAGAGATGCAGAGTGGTTGGCCATTTAGACTGACTGACTGAGGGGACCCCTGACCCCTGTATGTGATGGGAAGGATGGGAAGCCATCAACGGGCTAGTGGCTGGTGGAAAAGATGCTGAAGCCTGACGGGAGCATCTGAGTGGACGAGGTCCGGGTGCAGTGGGTCGGTCCGGAGGGAGCTTGATGGGCGATGGGCATGCTGATTGGCTGGCGATGTTGATGGGTTAAGCGCCCACAACCCTGCACAGATGTCGGCAAGTGGAGCTGATTTTACAAGGCTCTCCTCCTCTTCTCCTCCCTCTGCACTCTGCCTGCACTCTACAAGTCAGTGCCTGCCGCAGCGGTGGTTGGGGCAATGTGATGAGGCCTGCATGGCGATAACGGGACCGACGGAAGGACAGACAGCTGCAAACACATGCACGCACATCCAATGGCAAACACGACGGAAATCGGCATCCCATCGACGCTATTGATGGAGACCCGGTAATAACCTACTGTACCAGCCAGGAACCAGTCTCGGCGCTAAACGGCACATTTTGATACGCGCATCCGGACAACTCACCACGCCGACGTGCAGCTAACAATTATTGCGGTGCAAATTCTAACTGGGTTTTTCATCCGATGCAAAGCAGCAGGATTTTCTCGGAACCGAGAACAGGCTTGTGGATTGGATCACGCCAAGAACTGCAGCGAACTAGGCCGAACAACCACTACAAACGGTCACAGCAAACACATAGGGCTAACAACATCATTATCATTCATCAACAACAAAATACAACAAACACTTTCTTTTCTTCTTCTTTTTCCCAGGCTTGAACCCACCCCTACGTCGAGCGAAGCGAAAATAAGAAAGGAAAACAAGCTACTTTTCCCCGTGCTTGTACAGCCCAGCCTCGAGGCCCTTGATCTGCAGCGCCAGCAGCCGCGAAAAGTATCGACACTGCGCCATGTTGCCCCCGTGGAACCAGAAGCCCGGGTGCCCACTATCCTGCCACATGGTGCGATACTCCCCCTCCTCGTTGAGCCCCCCGACATCCTTCACTCTATCCGCGAGCTCGTCGCCGTACATCTCGCGCGCCTGCTCCCGCATGTTCTGGTACCCCGTCGCCAATACAATCTCGTCCGCCTCAAGTTCCTCGCCGTCCGCGAACCGCAGACCGTTTGGCAGCACCTCGCTAATCTCTTGGCCCTGCTTGATCTTGATCTTGCCGTCGGCGATGAGCTGCGAGGCCCCGACGTCAATGTAGTAGCCGCCACCGCGCTGGAAGTACTTGAAGAAGAGGCCCGCGCCGTCAGGCCCGTCGTCGACCTTGAACCCGGCCGCCGCCAGCCCCGTGAGCATGGGCTCGTCGTGCGCGCGCTGCAGAACGCCGACTTGTACCTGCACGGTCTTCAGCACGGCGTTGGGAAGGCTGTTGAGGAGCAGGTCCGCGTCGTCAACTGGCGGCGACGTCTCGGAGAAGAGACCCTTGAGGGCAATCTCGGTGATGGCCGCTGACGACACTACGTGCGTGCTCGATCGCTGCACCATTGTCACGTCGTAGCCGTTTTCGTAGAAATCGTGCGAGATGTCGTGCCCCGAATTACAACAACCGACCACAATCGCCTTCTTTCCTTTCCCGATATCCTTCTTTGCGCCGGGGAAGTCGGACGAGTGGCACAGAACATGCCCTTTGAAGCTGTCCATGCCCTTAATATCCGGTAGGTACTTCTGGCCCGAGTAGCCTGTCGCCTGAATGATGTGTCTAGGGCGAAACGTGCGCTCCTCCACGCTCCCGTCTGTTTTGGTGCGCCGTAGCTCGACCGTCCACGTCTTGGGGGCCTCATCCCACACCGGCTTACTTGCCAGCTCGGTCGTCATCCACACGTTCAGCTCCATGCTTTGCGCGTACGACTCGAACCACCCCGCCAGCTTGTCCTTGGGTGTGAAGATGGGCCAGTTGGGCGGGAACGGTATGTATGGCATGTGGTCGTACCAGACCGGATCGTGCAGCACCAGCTGGTGGTACCGGTTACGCCAGTTGTCGCCCACGCGCTTGTTCCGGTCGACGATGAGGGCGTTGATGCCCAGCATTTTGAGTCGGACAGCGGCTGTGAGGCCAGCCTGACCAGCACCTGTGTAAAATGGTCAATTCATTTTTTCTTCTTTTTCCTCGCTTCGCTCGACGTGGGGGGATGCAGCAAAAGCGTCTTCGTAGATGGTACGTACCAACAATAATGACCTGAGGCTCGCTGCCGTCGGTGTAATTCACCTCGGCCTCGCGCCTGTCCGCCCAATTCTTTCGTCCCGGATGCTGGCCGTGAGCCACACCCGCCGGCCTTTGCCCGTTCACCGGCTCCTCGAAGCCCTTGAGGCCCTGCAAGATGGTTCCCAGCGTGTAAATCTTCCACCCCTCGCCCCCCGTGCCGACCAGCCGCACCGTGCCCGCGCCGAAGCCCACGGCCGTCTCAAAGGTGATGAAGAACTGCAGCACGTCCACCTTGCCGTCGGCGTCGAGCTTGACCACCGCCGACGGGCGCCCGTCGTCCAGCGCCACCGACCGCAGCCGCAGCGTCCCGTCGTCCCGCGACGCGGCGTCCCGCAGGAACGCGGCGATCTTGGCGGGCGACTGCACGGTGCGCAGCGCCCAGGTCAGCGCCAGGTGGTCGCGCCAGTAGCCGTCGTCGGCGAACAGCGAAGCCAGCGCGGCGGGGGCGTCGTCCGCGCGGGCGAGGGAAGCGTTGACGGCGGCGACGAAGGACTGCGCGGTGGTGCGGGGGTTGAGCGCGGCGGTGCCGGTGGAGTTGGGGAGGCGAGCGGGAGGCAGGTTGGTGCTGCCGGGCATGGTGTGGATGGTGGGTGGTGGTGCGGCCATGGCTGCGGCTTGACGTGCGTGTCACCGTATGGGAGTTGTACGTAGAAGAAGACCAGGGGGGAAGATGGGAAACGGGAGGAAAAGGGTGAATGAAGGGAGGAAAGGGGGACTCGAGAGTGAAGAGGCAGCTCAGCGCGGCTTATATGCAGCATGCGGCAGCTAGAGCGGGGGCTCCGTGACTTGCACGCCGGCGCCGGACGCAAAGTGCGCAGCCACGCGTCCTGCGTCTTTTTTTTTTTCGTTTGACGGTTTGCCGTCAAAGCAAACTGTGCGCGTCTATACCTGAACCCCGAATTTGCCAATATACGATTTACATTAGAACGAGCAACTTGGGATGAAGTGCTTTCCGCTAGTTACTAGTTTTGAGCACAGGCATGAAGCGTCGGCCTTGGGCCCGGCAGGGGCTGGACCCACCCCCACAATCGGAGCGCGGGCGGGCTGTAGTGATTCCAGGGGACCTGCGGCGTTTCCTTCGTCAAGCTAGGCAAGAAGGTTCTACTCTAGAGGACGTAGTAGCAATTACAGTCGATTGTGACAATTATATGACGGAAACTCCCATCCTCTGTCCCGTCGTTTTGCGACGCAGGGGGCAGAGGCGGGGTTGATTGCGGGTATACAAACAGTGGTGTAGCTCCTCGCAGGCTTGAAGAACCTGGTCACACTCTACGGTTAGTCACAGGATGCGTACGGATATATACCGTCACAGCCACAGATAAGTTGCTCGTATCAATCCTTTCGCTTTCATCACTGTACTTGTCTTCCTGCTTCCCTATACCTAGTGCTAGTATTGTCAGCCCGCCCCATGTGCAGCGCATCGCCACACGTCTGCCAGCTCCACGCACCAGATCATCGTCCGTCGCCGCCTTACTCTTCAACCATTCCATCTTAACCGATTCTAGACTTTGACTGCCCAGATTAATGCCTGTAGATCATTTGTTAGGGACTATTCTTCTTGTCTGTTTTTCTCTTCACTTTTCTTCCTCCTTTCCTTCTATTTTCTTCTCTTTTCTTTTAGCCGATGCGGAAACCGACATCATGACTTACATACGTACATCGTGTACTGGGTTAGTTAGGCCCGTCTTGTAGAGCTCCTGCGTAGTCGTCATCTTGGCGACAAAGACATCTGCTTCGCGCGCCGCTTGTCGCAGAAGCTTGACGACGATAGTGCTGTGGTCGTTGGTGTCTTCACAGTCATGGGGATTAGGGCCGCAAATTGGCGCTGACCGGCAATTCCCCACGCTGAGATTCGCTGGTCTCTGCTGCATATTCCGCTGTCGATAACAGCCTATGCCAATTCTTTGGCTCCGATGCGTCGGTAATGTCGGACGGTCGAGCCCCGGTGTCGGGGGCGTATGAAGAAATTGGTCCTCATCATGTCTTAGCCGTTCCTGTCGAAAATAAATTCCTCAACTGCCGCTAAAACTATGTTCTCGGTCGTAAAGCTGCAGCTGGTGCTGAAGTGCCGAGAAGAAGTTGTTGGTGTGTAAGTTGGCGCGAATTCTGGCTTCCTGTGTTGTTGGTTGTTAGCTACCCTATACTTGTCGCGTGTCTCTCGGCAGAACCGTCCCAGGAAGATACTCGCAAAGGCTGACGTCGGTGGCATTGACGCATTGCCATCATTACCTGGTAACTTGGCTCAACATTTCATGGCGTTAAGCACTACGGTTGGGATCCGTGCCTGAAGAGCAGTGCTGCTTTTGGCCACAAGATCTTGTTCACTTACGCATAGGTGTGCGGTGAGGGGTCGATTTTGCCCCGTTTTTCATGCTGGGTCTCCTGTGGTACAATGCACAAAGAAAGTCGTCCCTGAATTCTTAACGATGACATCCCTTCTCTATATGCCAGCAGGTGGCGTTGCTTGTGTCTGTGCTCCCTAGAATGGAGGCCTTAGCTGCAAAGTGAATCACTCTACTTCGGCACCTTCCTGTAACACCCTTCACATTTGTTCTGCCCTCAACGCGTAGCCGCCACAGACAGCATGCAAGTACTATCCACCTTCACAGTGGCCAAGTAAGTACGTTGTCAAGACTACACTGACAAGCTGCCGGTGTGTAACACGCGTGTTATGTTTAGCACATCAGTTTCCAATTTGTTTGGAGTAATAACGTCGTCTTTCCCAGTGGGTGGTACACGTTTTCAAGGGTACACCGTCTTGACTTCCTAGATGTCATGAATGAATAGGTGAATATGGCTACTTGTGACATCAGGACCTGCTTCTCGAGTTGAAAGAGTAGTCGACAAGACACGAGGAGACGGGCACAGAGGCTGGGCCAGACATAGTCAAAGGCGGCAAGACGACACGTCTGGAGGTACAGTTAGGCCTTTGAGCTGTTGAAGTGCCTGTGTATCGCCACCTTGTCGCAGCTCATCCACGGGACACATGCCGCCAAAGCTAGCCGGATGAATGAATGAAGAGCGAGTAGAAACACAATGACGAATTCTACTGTGTTGCATACGGCACGTACATTTCCTTGTCTCTAATATAAAATGGCAAAGCTCGCCTGCATAGAAAACGTATCTTGTTTCTTGTTGTCTTGTTTTTCTTCATACACCTCCCTTTCTCTCTTCTTCCTTGCTACATAGGCACCCCTCACATACCACGCCAACAACCTCCCAGCAACACTCATGCAGGACCATCCTGCCGGGTGGCTCTGGCTCAATGACGTTGCTTATCGCGGCAGGCACTGCATCGGTCATGTCTTTGAACAGGAAGAAGGGGTTTTTGATTGTCTTAACGACGGCAACGACGAACTGATCAGATTAGATGGCTCAAGCTACAACTCCCTACCATGGGAACTATCGAAGAAGAGTAAATCGATACCCACGGGCGAAGCTGTTCTTCAAGGTACGCAAATTACCGTCGCTTTCACGGACGCCGACTATACGAGGGTGATCGATCAATCTCCCAATGTACAAAGGTGTCTGCGTACCAGCAACAGAAAAGTTTCCATTGTTACAGGCTTGGTCATATGCTCGGCAGCAAATTTGATTACTTTTCGAGACCAGGCGGGAGGGAAACCAGGGAAGGAGTTCGTCTTGAGAATGGCGGACCGCAACGTGGTGGTGCCACCCTCTTACTTTCCGGAGCCGGCAGAGGGCGAGAGAATTATCATGATTAGATTGGAAAAGATTGAGTGAAAGGAATGGAGTTGAGCTAGGAGAGTCAATACGACGAGGCTTAGGATTGGACATGCGTCGAGACGATCTGCTTTCGCTTCCGTACTTACTTACACCTTATTAGAGGCTTGATCACAATGCAATTTTTTTTTAAAAAAAAAGGGAACTGATTAACAGAAACATTGCGCTAATACGTGTTGCACGAAGCCTTTGCGTAGTAGTACTCTCTCTTGAGCAGACCCAGTGCGCTGCTGTGCTGGGTCTCGAGACGCACTGTTGCATGTCAACACGCGGCCACCAAGTTTTTTTTTCGAAAACGACAGGAACTCTGGTATTATGCTGCTACCCCGGTATTGTTTTCTCTTGGTAATAACAAACTGTCTAGTCCCACTCAACCCGTGGAAGCGCCTCCCAGAAGACTTTTTCCTTTTGTGCCAAAATTGCCTCCCGCCCATAATCTTTCTCTCTATTCCAGTTCGAATGTGTGTATGTACCCATGTACTGTAACCGGTGTTAGAGGGAGACCTTTGAACTCGCGAAGGTCCAAGATCTTGTTGAAGAACGACTACGGCTGAAGGAACTTGCACCTGCCGTTCCGCTGGGCCATTGCATCGAACACGCGACGAATATACTTGCTGGTATAATACCGAGCCCGAAAAACGCCATCCAACAGGGCCACCGAGTGCCGGACGATCTCGAGAATGTTCGCCGCTATCCCAGCGGCAATGGGCGTCGCGAATGATGCGCCGGTTGAATAGACTGTCCTTACCTGGCCTGTTCTTTTAGGAAAAAATTTCGGGCATTGGAATTGCAGACCCTAATGTCGCGAAGTAGCCTTCTGTCCCGGTGCTGGCATTCATGGCGTCCGGCTTGCCGAAACTATCCGTAACGTGAATGGCGAAGATGTCGTCTCTGCTGCCTGGGTATGTAAGCTCGGCCGTCTAGACCTTGTTGCTGTACGCTGCGGCAAACGCGATGAGAGGATGCGGCCTTATGTCCAAGGCGCCGTGAAGGGCGGAATCGACATCTGGGTGTGGCCCCGGTAGCGCGAGAGACATGCTGATGATGTCGACATCCCAGACTTGCACTGCCCCTAGGAGTGTCTGTAAATCACCTGGTAAGTACCATTCTTTCTTTTCTGTTTGCTACTCAGACCCAGGCATATCACTTACGTCGTGCAGGCTAAACAGGCTGGCCTCGGAGCGCTCCAGCGTGTTGGTTATCTTGGCGGCAAAGACATCTGCTTCAGGCGCCACAATACATACAAACATACCTATACATCTCCCCCCTTTGCCTACTTCTTGATGCACCCATCAACATCTTTCCTTCAACGCCATCATGAGACCAAATCCGCCAAATCCGCAGGGATTCTTTGGCCCCATCTTTCGAACGGTGGATTTCTGCATTGGCGTCTGTGATGAACTTCGCCGCAAGCGAATCGAGAGTCAGAGCCGCGCTCGCGTTGAATCCCTGGCAATGTGTTTGAGGCAATGGGGCAAAGCTCTGAGGGTCTGGGCTGGCGACAAACTCGAGTTCTGTTTCAAAGCTGGACCCAACCAAAAACTACATTCGAAATCTCATCAACGTGTACCTGGATGCTTTACAGCAACATCCTGTTGATTGTATGTGACAGCCGGTCTCTTCATCCCAGCACGTCCTTCCTCTTACCTGTGTTAACTGGTTTCTGAATCTAGCTCTGAAATCCATCCCAGAGGGAATCGACCCTTCCACCTTGAATTATTCCTTTTTTGACGAGTTGTTTACTAAAACCGAGACTTGAATCAGAAAACTGCTCGACCTTGCTGAAACGCTGCTTATGCATACTCCGTGTGGGCTTGGATGGAGAGTCGCTGATTTTCGCTCCGAGAATGAAGACGCTGCCTTGAATCGCTCCGTCACGACGATTCTCGGCGATAACTTCCCCTACCTGCTGCCCCGACGGCGAGTTGGGAAGCTGTCATCATGGTGGAAGAAGATAGGGCGCAGCCTTGCGTTGATAGCAAAGGTCCCCCGTGTTGCCCTCCAGAGAAAACCACAGCCCCCCGGCGGTCTATATGTTTGCTTGGATGCATATTGCGTCCGGGTCAACCCACCTACGTTCGAAACTCGGGAGCAGTTCAAAAGGCATATGAGATAATAACATAGAGTGGGCTGGACAAGCATGCTTCAACCGAATATTTTCTGGACTTGTCGAATATGCGAGGACGTGTCTCCTTGCGAGTTCCGGTCTATTCATGACATGACACAAGATTTGGTCCGCCACATAAACGCGGAGCACAGTCAAAGCGATCAGAAGAAGCTTGCGCTAGACCTGGCGAGCTTGAGTTCCGGCCGTTGGAGGTGACCAGACGAGACCTGTCCCAGCTGCGGAACTTGCTATGGGTCCAAAGCAAAGAAGTCTTCCAAGGACAAGGAGACGGCGACTCTCCGCCCGGCGCAGGATGATGACGCCAAAACTCCGAGCGCGGACGACATTTTTGCAAAGTACAACGAGGAGGACGAGGACAGTCTAACTGCGAGCATATATCACTGTTCTACAACGCCCACGGAGGAATATGAGCAAACTCTGGCTACAAGTATGGGTGACATTTCTGTGCAAGAAGGTGAGGACGCCGAATCTAGGCACACGGCTCCGCGACGCCCGACGAAGACTGGGGCGCAGTGCACAAGGCCGAGGACTGCATCGCGAGTCACATGAGGGATCTTTCGCTTCAATTCACGCTACCACGACTAGGACAAGCGACGCCAACGTTTCTCAAGCCGGCGATCCCGGCGATGGACTCCTCGGCCGATTCCTCGGACGACGATGGTCGGCCAGAGTTGGATGTATCAGTGGACCTGTTTGACCCCAAAAACATGAAGGACGGTATTCCGTTCGAGTTTTACATGCGATTTCTGAAACTATACGAGAAGCTTTGGTTGAGGTTCGAAGTGTGTTTATGGTGGCTAAGCACTTTCGCGGCCTGCAAGATTGTATTCTTGGAAGTTTACGTTCATAGTAACTAACATTGGGCAAGGATGGCAAGCGCCATCACCAGTCACTTTTGTAAATGCGCTAAAACTTCATGCAAATACAACTTGATTCTCATGAATGCAGCAGATCGTTATGAATGGAGTTTGATGCGAGTTTGTTTGTAAATACATTAATTCTTTTTAGAAAAAAAAAACCGCCTTCTTCTTGGACGTAAGGTTGCTACGTGTTGCTGTACAGAGGCATGATTTGATAAGCAGCTTGAAGCGAGCACTAACTTCGTAGTTAGCGCCTGCGCAACCAAAGTCGCCGTCTTCAACCTCCAATTAACAACTTCTCGCAACCAATTGACGTGTCACGCGGCCAAGCAGGCAAACATCGCAAACAAACAATACCGTGGATCACAGAAAATTTTGTCATCAACAAAGAGAGGGTTAAAACCTGCCTCAAGCACCTAGCGATCGCCGCCTGAAGGTGTGCCGTGACCACAGGGCTCCTCCACGCGCCTCACCCGTTGCCAAGGCCTCTGGGTCGCGCATACGATACTGATCACGCACAATGGATGAGGAGGAGCGCTTCTCTGCAAGCTCTCCGGAATCAGAGCGAGAAAATGAGCCCGAAGAGGTGATGGAGGACGAGCCTGCCGAGCCCGAAAACGACGACCACAACGAGGAAAACAACGATGAAGACGACGACGACGGCGAGCAAGACGAGGCCAATAACATTGGGACGCAGAGCAATGATGGACAAGATGCGACGCAAAAAAAATCGAGCAGTCCTCAACCCCAGTTTCCCTCGTTTCTGAGGCCCACGGTCCGCCCCGAGTACATCACCGCCCGTCTCTACGACATTGTTCCCACCATGGCTGCGCCCCAGTCGACCAGTGTCAACGCCATGGCCATCACGCCCGACCTACGCTACTGGTTTACCGGTGGCTCAGATGGCTACATTCGCAAATACGACGGCCCAGGCACCATCAATGGCAAGCTGGCGCTGACCGTCGCGCAAAAGCACCCCTTTGTCGACAGCGTCACCAAAGCCGGCATCCTCATGTCGTACTGGGAAAACGAAGAGCCTTCACCGCCTGGCACCACCAGCCACGAGCAAATACTGTCGCCCGTATACTCGCTCGCAGTCGAGTCCACGGCCCTGTGGCTGCTGTCCGGCCTGGAATCAGGCGCCATCAACCTGCAGAGCGTGCGGCACGACGAGGGCAAGAAGATTTGCAGTCTTCAGAGGCACACGAATGCTGTCAGCGTTTTGACCATGGCCCCGGACGAGAAGTCGGTGTTGAGTGGCAGCTGGGACAAGACAATCTTCGACTGGGATCTTAACACGGGGCAGACCATTCGCGGATTTACTGGTACAGCAGGTCAAATATCGGCGGTCGAGCTACGACCTGAATGCGGCGACCCCGTACCCGCGGATGCCGACGAGCCGCCACCGCACATGACGATGACGACGAATGCCGGCCCACGTCTTACGAATGGCTTTGCCAGCACGAACGGCGTGGCTGCACCCAAGGAGGAATCGCAGGCGCATGAAGAGAGCCAAGAACTCGCTGCTTCGCCGGCGCATGAGAGTCTATTCGGCGGTAGTGATGCTGGTAGCTTATTTGGCGAGACGACAGGCGGGCAGGCATTCGCACAGGACGACGACGAGTTTGGCGGCAGCATGGGCATGATGACGGGACAAGAGGGTGGTATGGACCACTCTGCGGATATGGCGATGGCAAGCATGGACATGGAAAAGGAGAAGCCCGCGGAAGAGGCTCCCGCCGCGCAGGAACAGTCTGCGCCGGGGGGTGACGCCATGGATATTGATCCACCGCCGGTGAAGCAAGAGGGCCAAGAAGCGGCCAAGACGGAGCCTGCCGAGGACCACGCTCAGGGCAGCTCCACGCAACGGACCGACGATGCTACTGATATCAGCGCAACGCAACCGACGCAAGCCGACGCCCTGCCGGGCAACGACACGGCGCCCAAGTCTCCGACGACGGTGTCGGATGCGGCGGCCGGCAAGCAGCGCGACCAGTCGCAGACGTCGACTACGACGTTCCTGGCGTCGGCCATGGACGGGACGATCCGGATCTGGGACCGGCGTGTGCCCAACGCGGTGGCGCGCATCACGCCGCGGGCGGGCGTGCCGCCGTGGTGCATGAGCGCGTGCTGGAGCCCGGACGGCAACATGATCTACGCGGGCCGACGTAACGGCACGGTGGAGGAGTACGACGTGCGCAAGGCCCGGCGCGGGTGGGAGCCGGAGCGCGTGCTCAAGTTTCCCGCAGGGAGCGGCGCGGTGAGCGCGGTGAAGCCCATGGTGAATGGACGGCATCTGATCTGGTGAGTCTTCCTTCCCTCTCTCTCCCTCATTTTTTTTCCGTGGCGGCAATGCGCTGTGAATACGCATGCTGATCCCAGAACTTTTACCCCATAGTGCTTCGCATGATATTATGCGCCTGTACGACCTGCAAGACCGGCGGGCGTTCAAACACTCGACGGTGCCGTTCCTCATCATCCCCGGACCGCCGCGCGCGGGCGTCATCTCGAGCCTGTACATCGACCCGACCAGTCGCTTCATGCTGAGCGCCGCGGGCACGAGAGGCTGGAACGGCACGAGCACGGAGGTGCTGGTCGGATATGAGATTAGTGTGATGAATAGCTAAAATGATTCCCCAGAGCCTGTTGGTGGTTTCTTTTTTTGGCCCTTTGTTTTTACTATTTATTAGGTTCGGTTGGGGGCGTCAGGTGCAGCGAAGTATTGGGTAAAAACTGGGTTACTTTGTATAGCATACCATTATCGGTTGCCCTTTTTTTCTGTATTCGTTTTAGATATTCGGCTAGCAGCGGCAATGGGAAGCGGTTAAACAAGCGACTTTACTTCTTTTTGCTTGCTGATTTTTTGAGACTTTTCCACGAGTTAGAGGTGTAGTTGGGATAATGAGGTTTGTTAGTTCCTCGCCGCGTTCAAACACAGGCCAGTGACGGCTGTAGAAATCCATTAAACGTTCTGTCTATTATATTTCCAACTAGGAGATGACATGAACATGAAAGATATGGAAGGAAGAGTTAGCGATATAAATACAAGTACGTATTCGTATAAGGCTCTTTTGGCGCGTTGTCACGGTAATCTAATGAATTATGTAATGCAGTGGTTCTGCCAGGTATCTGATCCCTAGGATAATTGAGATAGCCAAGATACGTAAGGGTATATATATAAAATAGTAAAAATATGTGAAATACTTCAAACATGTAAAACACCTAAGATATACGAAATACCTAAGATATGTAAAATACCCATATATAAAATACCCAAGATATATAAAATACCCAAGATATATAAAACACCCAAGATATATAAAATACCCAAGATGCCTGAGAGAGGTGAGATACCTCTCAGGGGAAAAATACATGTTGCCCATATGGCTGCCTAGCGCCACCTGTGCCTCCGCCTACAATATCACAACATCCCGCCTAGGCAGCCTCAAACTGGGAAAGCCACCTGCGAACATTCGTTATAGCCTCATCAGGACTAACTTGTGTGCTTCAACTCAGCAATATGGGCTGATATAGACTCTTGGGCGGATAGCATCGAAGTGTTCACAGATCCCGCGACGACAATGCCGCAGACACCATTGAGCAAGCGGCAACGTTCTGTCGACGACCTAACCCCAACACAGAGAGGTTGCTTTGCCCCCTTCTCCTTGCTTTTGATCGGCCCGCGCTAACAGCGGTAAAACGTGTGCGCAGTCAGCGGTGTCGGCGTTTCCGAGCTCAATCTCGGCGATTCCTCCGAGCGCGGCTCGACGGCCAGCTCGACCGGGGGGCGCCCGACGAGGCGAGCCTTGAGCCCTAAGAAGCGCGAGGTTGCCCTGCGGCAGGCCAGGCAGTTCCCCGTCCGACGCCAGCACATTTCAGCCATGAGCGACCCCAGCAGCTTGATGCGGGAGCTCGCCAGGACAGGGCAGGTCAGGTGCCTGTCATACCGAGCTCCTTGAGGGTGAGCCTCTTTTACGAGTTTCAGGCACGACCCGGCTTGTTAACGTTGAAGGGGGGGAGGCGTCGAAAAAAAGACGCGAATAGAGAAGGATTCTGACTGGGCAAACCAGCCGCGCGACGCTTGGTTCCTGGACAGCCCGACAACGTCTGAGGGCGCCACCGAGAAGGATGACGTCTACATGTATCGACGCGTTCGGCACATTCGAGACAACACTCTCAAGGCGCGGCGGCGGATGGCCCACGAAGCGGAACGCGGAATGGAACGAAGCTGTCCATTGGCCTCTGTTAGAACTAGCCCTCGACGGGAACAGATCTCATCTGCCGGCGTCGTCTGCCGGAACGTGTAAGTCCCACCAAAGCAGAGAAGAAAGGGCATAGCAAAATGCAGCACTGGCCCCCTTCCCAAGATTACCAAGTGATTAAAGTTCCTTTCTAGCACGCAATGCGCCGTCTATCCCGAGTTGCGCGAACCGGATCCCCGAATCACGGACACCAAGTCCGACTACGCGCTGTGCCTGGACCCGGAGCAGGGCTCGCGCCTCGCAGGGCTGCTCCGCGCGTACAGGCAGCTGGGCGAGGAGAACAGGACCTCGCACATACAGTTCAGCGACGAGGCGAACACGCCGCCGGCCGTGGGCGTCGAGACCAAAAGCGGCGGCGACGGGGGGACTCGTCGACGCAGAGCGGCGCGCAGGGCGCCTCGTTCGTTCGTGCTCAGCATCGCCACCTGGCGCGCCTGCCGAGCGCCGCGGCTCGACCTCTGCCGCGACTTCCCATTGTCCAGGTGCTAGGCTCTTGGTAGTTCATCGACTTTGCGCAGAAGACGGAACCTGAAACGGTGCGTATGAATTTGGAGGTTGTCGTCCAAAGGGAGAGTGGTTTGCGGGGGTTGGTCATTAAAATTCCAACTAATTCACCACCAGATCATCTATGAAAGGCTTGAAATTGGTTCTTCAGACAGCATACACGGATGCTATCTTATTTGCAGCGCCATGTCCATCCTCGCACGATGGTGCGCTGAGGAATACGGAGAGTGGCTGGAAGCAGCCTTGTCGCCGCCGCCTGGTGAGGCAGGTCAGCAGCTGGAATAATTGCGCCGACGCCCGGCATCAATTTAACAGTGCTAGGTCTTGCCGAGTCTATAGCTAATGAAAACAATAAGAAAAGAAAATTGATACCCAACTTCTTTGCCGGTGCACCCTAATGCTTGTGGTGGGCAGATATCGTCGTCGATCGCTGTCATCACTATCATGACTATCGCCGCTATCATCGCTATCATCGCTATCATCGCTATCATCGCTATCATCGCTATCATCGCTATCATCACTATCATCGCTATCATCACTATCATCACTATTGTGTATATCATCACTCGCAGCCAAGCCCGCTCAGCTGCTGCCGGTCCAAGGCGCGCATCCCTTTATACGCAGTTGCACCAGCCGATAGATGTAATATGCGCGCGATGGCGCAGTGCAGCGCAAGAAGCCGTGGCGCAGGCGGCTCAACGCTTCCATCTGGGATCAGGTACAGCTCCCTAGTTATGAGCAATAGTTTTTGGAACCCGTACTTGGCGCATGTCTGTATGTAATAGGTATGCGCGCGGTCCGAAACAGGCTTAAAGTGATGCTCGAAAGTTCCAAAGAAATCACGGCATAGTGGGTTAAGTGTCATGGCATTGCGCGGTGTGTTCATGTCGGCGCTATTGATGAAATGAATAATACCGTTGTCCAACATGTCAAGAATTTCGAGAGCTGGTTCCCTTGCTTCGTTGGGCTCTCCCATGTCTAATCCAACAAGGACCAATGAGTGTGGCAGAACATGTGCCACTTGTAAAAGGTCCAAAGTCATCAACTTCGACGGGCATACCGTCGTCGTCCAACGACTTGTGCAAAAAGAAGCGTTTCCCATAGCAAGGCTGGACGGCTGCCTGCACGACGACAAGGCTGAGACAGACACAGGCGGGGTGTCGTTAATAATTTTAAACCATGTACCTAACCTGGCCCGTTTGCTCTGCATCCATCCCCTCCGGAGCTGCCCAAACTTCCGCCAGCGTCGAAAACTACAATTCACCAACAAGTCATCACATCCTCATGGCTCACAACTCACAGCGCGTTCCGTGGGATCTGTTCCGCAAGGGCCGCATCGTCGCCGCGGCAGACGTTCCGCACGCAGCGTCCCAGCACGACGTCACCCTCAAGAGGAGCTCCGACCAACAGCGCAAGCTGGACACGGCCACCCTCATCGCCGCCCTCTGCGACGCGCTCCAGCACGACATCCACCAAGAGGCCGCCCGCCACGCGTTTGCGCCGGAGCCGCCCGCCGACGCGGACCTGGTCATCCCGGACCCCGTCGCGCGCACCATCGCGCCCATGGTCCGCGCCTGGCGCGCCTCCGTCTTCGCCGCCAAGGAGCTCGAGGGCATCCTGGAGCTGGGCGACGACGAGTACCGCCAGTGGCAGCTGACCTTTGACGCGCGCCCGGAGGGGGAGGGCAGCGGCAACCCGGCGCCGACGGCCGAGAGACAGCACGGCAGTGACCGGGCGTGCGTGCACGAGGTGGCGTTTCGGTGCGGCTGCGTGCTGCCCAGGAGTGAGAGGACCGCGGGCGCGTTTCGGCGCGGGCACCCGGGGAACAGCTGCTACACGTTCCACGAGGTCTGCGCCAAGGAGTACTTTGGCGCGCTGGTGATGCAGTCGCTGCTGGTCGCGGGCGAGATGCAGCCCTTTTACGACATGGGACGAGGCGAGACCAGCATATTTGCGTGGGAGAGCGTGGCAGAGTGCTACTGCGTGGTATGTCATCAATGAATGTCTTGCTGCTTCTTAGGTCCCAGCTACCATGCGCTCACCGTTATAGAGTTTCCATTCCATCGGCTGGGGATGTCTGCAAAACAGCTGCTTAATATCTTACATCTACCTCAATGCGCTGTTGGCGTTGAGTGACGCCGGTGGCGCCAAGTCGCTGCTCTCCTCTTCGCAATACCGAAACCGAGCCACGACCAGCGCTATGCTCCAGCGCTTCCAGATCAGCGACTGGTTCGGGGAGCACCTGCACACCGAGTTCCACCAAGACACGACCGGTAGGGAGTCCCTGTGGGAGCGCATCCCGGGCCCGTCACTACAACTCAGTCCAGCAGCAGAAAAGGCGGCGCGAGAGGCGCTCCGCGCAAAGGGGCTCCCGGAAGAGCTCATACTACAGATACTACGGTCCAGGACGCCGCTGGCGCGTATCCGCGTCCCGGGCGACCCCCTTCACCCGGAGAACCGGAAGGCCGTCGCCGAGTACCTGGAGCTGTGCTGGGGGATCATCGTTCGCTGCGGGGTGCTCCAGAGCTGGAACACGTTCGCGGAGGCCAAGGGCAAGCCTGCTCATAAGGGTCAGATCGGTTCCGTGGTGAGGGAGCTGCAAGCAAAGCTGTGGAAAGAAGTCGAGGTGAAGAAATGTGCGGCACCTGTGGAAGGTTGACGCCCTGTACAGATGGCGGCTTCTTCCGCTACAGAAGCTCATTCATGACGCAATGGATTTACGAGGTTTGGAAATACGACTGTTGAAAAACAAAGAAATTTCATTGTTTTTCCTATCTACTTGTGAATCGAACTACTGGTCAATCCAGCAACTTATCAATCCAACTTGTCAATCCAACGACTTATCCATCCAAAGTCCCACGACTTGTCAATCTAGCCACTGATCAATCCAAAACTTGACAACTCGAATACCCATCTATCCAAAACTCATCAATCCAACTATCCATCAATCTCAAAACTCATCGATCCAAAAACTCATCAATCCAACTATCCATCAATCTCAAAACTCATCGATCCAAAAACTCGTCAACTCAAAAACAAAACTCATCTATCTCTGGACAAAGGAAACGGCAGTTCCGCCGCCATGCGGCGCTCAGTGACGCTGACAACCGCTGCTGCGTCGCGAAGACTTGGCCGTCGCCTGGCTGATGGAGCTCTCCGGCCTGATCGTGCTGTTGGTCCGCGCCGCGCCGCGGCGGTCACGCGACCCAGCCCGCTGCGACACCCACTGGGAGGTGTAGCTCGGCGGCGGCGCGCGATCCTCCTCGACCGTGGAGAGCTTCTGGGACGAAGAGTAGGAGTGGCGCTTGCAACCGCGCGTAGTGGACGACGGCGGGGGCCCATTGCGCGTAGCCGACGATGGCGGGGGGCCGCTGCGCGTAGCCGATGACGGCGGGGGCCCGTTGCGCGACGCCCCCGAGGGCGCCCGCGAGGTACGCTCGGTCTCGGCGAGGCTGGACGCGATGTCGCCCAGGTCGAACACACGCGACGAGCTAGTTGGCTGGGAGCGCCGGCGGGACGACGACGCGGCCGACGACTCGGCGGCGCTGTAGTACGGAGCGTCGAGCAGGAGCGGCCGGGGCGGGCTGGCGTTGAGCGACCGGACGCTGCTGCGGCGCGAGCACCGCGAGCACACCTCGGACGGCACGACGCTTGGCGCGCGGCCGCGGTCGAACCGGTCCGACAGGCGAGAGCACTGGCATGAGGACACGCCGGAGGGCGCGACGCTGGAGGGCGGCGGGGCGTCGAGCATGCGGCGCTCCGAGGCGCGCGACGGCCGTGGCTCCGAGGCGCGCGACGGCCGTGGCTCCGGCGGCCGGTGCTGGCCGTGAGACCAGGCGATGGCCGCGATGGGATTGTCGCTGGTGACGGTGGTGCGCTCGTAGCAGTTGAAGCCGCCGTCGTGGCGCGGGCGGTAGTCGGTGCAGGTCTCGATGTCGACCTGGTGGCGGCCGCGAGGAGCGGGGGGCCGCCTCACGGGGAAGCCGAAGGGAGCGATGAAGTCGCCATCGTCGGGAAAGGGACAAGGGGGGGGGATCAGGGGGAGGCAAGGCTGGCCAGGGATCGGAACGTAAGGAGGGAAGGGGGGGAACATGGTGATGGAGGGCGACACACAAGATGGTGTGGTGTGTCTTTGCTTAAAGAACGAATCTCTTTGACGGGCTGTCGTGAGGGTGACTGCGACACACAAGATGGTGTGGTGTGTCTTTGCTTAAAGAACGAATCTCTTTGACGGGCTGTTGTGAGGGTGACTGCGACACACAAGATGGTGTGGTGTGTCTTTGCTTAAAGAACGAATCTCTTTGACGGGCTGTCGTGAGGGTGACTGCGACACACAAGATGGTGTGGTGTATCTTTACTTAACGAACGAATCTCTTTGACGGGCTGTTGTGAGGGTGACTGCGTGTAGCTTGGGAGGCAGGTAGCAGCAGCCACGGGGGACAAGATGCCACAACGAGGTTCAAAAAGGAGCCGGGACAGCGGAAAACGAAGGTGGTAGTCAGTGAAGGTTGTTGCACAGCTTTGACTCTTGGCTATTGTGACTGCAGAACAAGAGAGACCTTGTGGAAGAGGAGCGCTGTTCGTGAACTTTATACACAAAATTTCCAGCTTGGATCACAGACTAGGCTACGCACTGCCATGTAAGCAGCCTCATCACTCTGCAGGTCTTGTAACAGTACCCTGCATCATGTTGTCTTGTCGTCACAGTCCCACGGCAGACTTCCTGGTGTCTGTTTGTTCTGGGCTGTGACTGAAGTTGCAAAGAAAAGGGGGAAAAAATTGACAGAGAGCCCAAGTTTGTTACCGACACTGCGAGATCAATATTTGCTTACGGTCTCTCGTCCCGTTGACGCCCGACCTGCAGCCGCGTGAGAGTGAGACTGCATGTTTCTATTTCGGTCGTACGTGATTGTCCCGGTTCATTCAAGAGCGAGAGAGCGGCTACCCTGAACTCAGATTATGCGATTGTCTTGGAATACGAGATCGTTCTGGAAGGTATAGATGTAGGCCCAAAAATATCCGGAGTCTAAATATAGGGATATCTGCATGCCGATGCATCAGCGATAGCTGCTTGGATCCCTGTCGGGGTATTATTGACTTGGGTATTCAGCACAGAATAATTATAGCATCGCGCAGTAGAGTAACGGTGGGAGAGTTACTACATAGTTTGCACAGCACATCTCATTAGTTAAACATTCACTTAGTTGTTTCTTTTTCCATGTTTCGGGTCCTGCTGTATGGTATACTCCGACTCTTCGCTGCAACGAGGCTGATGTCCGTCGCATCACTTGAGGTAGCAGAGCAAGTATTGGCGCCAGTCAGATCATGGCAGAGCTTACGGGCGTTTGAAGTCTGAATTTACATTAGCTATTGTCAAGCATATCTGTAGAAGGTTTCTACCGTGTGTTACGGTGAACTGCGAGCTTCGTCCATCCTCAAACGCTGTCGGTGCAGGGTAGGTCATTTCCGTATGCGAGCGGCATTACGCTGGCTAACGTTAGCATGTGCCTCGGCAAAGAGCGGACCACCAACCACCAACAACCAACCACAAACGGCGCGCTTCTCGGCCCCAACTACATCACTGACAATGCATATGCATCATCAAGCAACAACACACCCACCAACAACCCCGAGCCATCACGCGACATCACACGACAGCGGAGCACCGCATCGCTCCATCGCGCCGACCGCTTGACATCCCAACCAACCGCCACTGCTGAACACCACCTCGTTATCGAACATCGGAGACGCCCGTCGCCGCCCTCTCACAATGCCCGCGCAGTCGACGCTGCCCAAGCGTCCTGCGTCAACGGTCGGCCAGATCCTCGCCATGCCGCCGCACTGGCTCGCCTCCTACGAGGAGTTCATCACCAAGAACGCCAGCCAAGTCTCCCAGATCGAGAGCGCCCTGCGCAGCCTGACATATATCATCCCTGGTCCGTCCTTCTCCCCCTCTTCCATGCCGCCCATCCCATCCATCATCTAACCGCTCGTCTCCGCAGGCCGCTTTCGCGATGCCGAGATCGCCTCCGAGTCCATCCACTCCTTCGTCCAGCTGCTCAGCCTGTACCACGACGGCGTCCTCGCCAAGGCCGTCTCCAAGCTGCCCATGCCCCCCGTGCGCACCGCGCACGCCCGCTACACGCGCTTCTGGGCCGACAAGAGCGCGCTCTACCGGCGCGTCGCCACCGCCCTGCAAATGGTCGTCTACACGCAGCTGCTGTGCGAGATGTCCGCGAAGCGCCGCGGCGGGGACCGCGCGCGGTGGCGCGTCGTGGTGCTCCTCGAGGCCGTCAAGGCCGCCTGCCGCCTGCTGCTGCTGCGCATCACGCGCACGCGGCAGGTCGTCTCGCCGCCGCTGCCGGAGCGCGAGCCCATTCCGGACGACGCCGACCAGGAGAGGAGTGACGAGGAGGCCCTGCTTCAGGGGGGCAGCGAGAGCGAGTTTGCGCTCGAGGACGGCGGCAGCGTCCACGGCGGCGGCATGACCGCGCGGGAGGCGCAGGACCTGCTGCGGCCGCCCGCCCACGCGCGCGAGTGGACCATGCCCCGGACCGGCATGAGCATGCCGTCCCTCCCCGAGTCTGGCGACATCAGCGCGTACCTGCTGTCGCGCGTGCTCACCGCCGACGACATCCGGCCGGCCACGCGGCTGCTGAGCCAGCTGCGCGGGGTCGCGCACGCGGCCGAGGTGCTGCACGTGCTGGCGCCGCTGGCGTACGCGGTCGCGCTGATGCGCAGCAAGGACAAGCGCTCGTGGACGCCGTGGCTGGTCGGCCTGGCGGTCGAGTACGCGGCCCGGCAGCTGCGCGACACGGGCAACGCCGGGGGCCTGCAGCTGCGCGCGACGCCGCTGGAGCGCGAGGAGTGGAACAAGCGCGGCTGGGGGATGCTGTGGTGGACGATGCGCGGCGCGTTTTACGATAATGTCACGAGCGGCGTGGTCAGGGGCGTGTCGAGGCGCATGCCGAGCTTCATCGGCGGCATCCTGGAGGACTACGAGTATCTCTGGGAGAACTACTACTTTAGCACCAGCGCCTGAGAGCGACGCTGTAGATGCAATCCGCTCTTCTTCAGCTTCAGCTCGATTAGGTGCAATGTCTGAGGTATGGAAGAGCGGAAGAAGGGGTGACGGGTGAAATCTCCATTGCTGCACAACCAACGCAACATGGAACTGTACAGATACACGGTGTATGTATACATGGCCTTGCCAAGAGGAACCCGGTGCTACGTTGACGACATTGGTCACCAACACGGCAACGTATCCTTCCTTGCTTATTTCTTTTTCCTTGTCCTGCCACGTCATCTTGGCATCTCGTTAGCATTCTAGTTCTCGGAAGGGTATAGAGGAGGCTCAATCAACATCAGATGAACCAGTTGCATTCCCGTCTGCGAGGCCCGATTCCCCGCGTATACGTGCCGTCCGCCAGTTGTAGCAAGACCGAAAATCAAGGTTGGAAGTTAGGGCAGCGATACGACAGCATGACCAACCCACCTTGTCTCTCTCCGCGTCTTTGCCGACGTTGCCGAGTACAACGTCGGGCCAAGCATCCTGTTTCCGGATTTTGCGCGGCGCTGCTCTTGGCTGACAGACGTACAACGTTTCCTCGGGGATCACGGGCTCGCCCACGATTTTTCAAGGTCTAGCGTTGCGCTACACCATAGGTACAACTTTGCCCACAAGTCTATACTAGGGACAGACTGTCGGATTGCGCGGAGCACGATGAACAGCAGTCGGTCCGGCGCCTCGACTTAGCAACCCAGGGCGTTGCGTTGGCCGCGACAAAGACGGCCCTTTCCGAAAGGGGCGGGCGGGCGTCTTTTGCCCCTAGAACGGTTTGCTTGTGTACGCTCCCAGACAAGGACGAGATTTCGTCGCAGTTTGCTCGAACTTGGCCCGGTCCACGGAAAATGCTGCAGAAGTGTGTTGTGTGACCCATCGACAGCATTTGCTCGTCCGTTCTCGCTGCGACGGCGGTGCACGTCGCCCGTTTTCGTGGGCGGCGCTGAGATCAAGCCCCCCCCCCCCCGGGGCCAAGGGGTCCGTCTGTACAAACCCAGTACCAAGTATACCAGTTCTTATCTCGACCCTGGGACTTACTGGAGAATGAAGATGAGCTTGGAGACAAAAGTCGTGGTCGTCATGTGGCTCCTGCGTCTTCCCAAACCACCGTCAACAACGAAGCCACCTCCCCCTTACTAGAGAAGGGAATACCACCTTGGTTTCACCTCATTACTTAATAGGAACGATAACATGGCCAGATTTCAGCATAGCCCTCCCTGCCTTTCACTGTTGCGTCCCGACTCAAGAGCCAACTTGGCAGTGTTGCGCCAAGACCAACCAGAAACGATGGTCAGCCGGTCGACCCTCCCCCTCTGGCAAATTGTGCATTGAAGGATAATATGAAAACTTGCTATTGGCGGCGTTTAGTCTCGCGCAAGGTTTGGCATCTCCTCACCATCAGATAAGTCGATTCAAGGGTTCAAGATTCACAGCGCGGCCAGTTCCGAACCTGCCAGGCCGGCAAAAAGCCTAAATTGACATCATTGCCTGGTATTCGATCGCAGCGGCCATGGCCAAGTTGGGCCCTCTGATATGCAGCAGCGTCGCGATAATGTGTTGGTGCATTCCTGGCTCGATTCTTCATTAGTTAGTAAAAAGGTAAAACTGCATCCGTACGTACTTGTTGGCCCTTGCCAACTCACTCACTCAGCCACCCGCCCCCTGCGTCAAAACAAAACGCCGGAATACCCAGTACTTGTGCCAACACCGACGTTGCCCCGGATTGCACAAACAAGCGCACATAACGAGGTTCGACTTTCTCCATCAGCGAAGCCAGGACGCCACATCAACATGCAGCTAGCCACCCATCGGTGACATCGTCGTATGTATGTCTGGCGTCGGCAGATCTAGCTCCTCGAAGCAGGGTTCTAGGTTGGCGGGCGAGCGACGAGGGTAGCGGAGAATGCATGTACCACCATGTACACAAGTACCGCTTTGTACCTCGTGCGCGACAAAGCAAAAAGCTCCAAGACAGATCTGGGCCTTCTCTCGACCTTGTCGCAAAATGATACTTCCCGTACCCTGCTCCGAGCCCGCGCGCCGGTGCAACATAAACCAATAGTGCCGCCGCCCGCTGTCAGAAAACGCCGCGCCTCCGTCGATTCGTGCTGGCCCTAGGATAGATCCCCCGCGGGTGTCCAGAGAGAATATGGGATAGGACATATCCATTCTTGTCCTCGTTAGTTCCTAGTCCATCGGAAGCGGCGGTTTGTGGTGTACTTGCAGGTACGTCAGGACGCCTGATTCTGCGTCGCCCGGCATGAACTAGTCATGTGCAGATATGTACGTAAAAGGCAGCCACGCAGGAACAGATGCTGCCTACAAGTTGAATAATCAGCAACGCTGACCCTAATTCTTCCATCACACGCCTTCTTTCGGTTGAGCGAATGCTCAAGACCGAAGCTGCCATCGTCCAAGACGGTACACAGTAGCGGTAACCCCAGGCAGGCAGACAAGACAAACAAGGTATTTTTACGAGAAAAGCTCCAGGGTAACTAGTATTGACTGGAAAATAAAGACTGCAGATTTTTGGCAAGACGACTGGGGAAATTGCAAACCTGAATCGATGGCTTAGCTTGCCCCAAGTTCGCGGCCGGGGCGAGAGATAGATAGAATCCGCTCCGAGTCGAGAACAGCACCATCGACCATTGACTACAAATGGCCGTTTCAGTGCATCTTTTTACAGTATACAACTATTTGAGTGAAAGGGCTGCAGCCTTTGGAGTATGTCTGCAAGGACTTATCCAGGCTCTGAGGGGGTGACATCAGCCAGAGCGGCACCCCTTCACTATGCTGCATGTTTGCGGCAACGGGAGATTATGGCATGAAAACAATCACAGCAAGCTTCTAGGCGAGGAATTCGAGTTTCAGCTCAGAGTCTGTCAATGTTGTGCTGTGCTGTTTCTTCATGTGCATGCGTTCTAAGCCAGTGACCTGAACCTTCGGCGACGGCGACAGGAGCATGCATGACAACTGGGTGGCTAGGTCAACAAGGTATCAGGGCTGCGAAAAGCATAAAAGTAAATCTCGCGTGGCTGGGGTGCAAGTGTAATAAGAACAGAATACGTACCTATCACAGCACGCGGAGTAATTTGCTGCCACAGTTTTGCGGTGGCGCAAGCAGGCAGGCAGGTATTGAGACGTCCAAGCTTAAGCTAAGATTGATTGTGTTGGCGACACTCGGACAAACAAGCATGCACCAAGACAGCAGATGGAATTTTGGGATGGGTATTGCCGAAGTATCAGCAAAGTCTGCCATAAAAGGTAGTCAATCTCCGAACGGCTCGGCTTCATAGATTATCGTGAGATTTCGGGTGGAATGCATCGGGGGAATACAATACTCCTCAAGAGCATGCCAAGACACCAGCTTCGCATCTTGGAGTTGCTATTTTTACGCGCCGGCAAAAATGGCCCCCAGAATCAACGACGGCAAGGCAGGGCGCACTCACTTGCATGCCGGAGACCCTTGCACGGCTGAAAAGCGCCGTCCCGAAGATGATGGCGTGCGCGGGCGATTTCATGGCTGGCAATAATCTGGACGGTGCGCTCCTCGGTACCGTCCCTTTTCCGCCCGAGCAGTAGAATCCACTTTGGAGGCAATGCATGCGCTCCTGGGAAGCAGCTATCCGGCTTACCGGCTTGTCTGCTGCCTGTGTAGCATCTGGCCTTGCAGCACTTAGTCAAGGGTCGAAGGAATAGCCGCTTTGAGCTTTGAGCGTGCAGTCAGTGCCCCAGAGGAAGCGGAAGTTCGAAGCCAAGTGTACCAGTAAACTGTAGGGATACAGTAGATGATGGGTAGTTCAAGGCTGACTCACCTATTATTCCCAAGATTCGACGCCGGGCCGGCTGGAGGATCTTCTGGCGCCGTGAATATAAGGGTCCAGAAGCCATAGCCCTGTCTGCGGTTGAACGCCCTAGCGATTATGCAGCATATTACCGTCGCTTCCCAAACACATTAAATGGACTTGGTAGCCTTGACTAGCGAGGATCAATCAAGCTAATAACACAAGACCGGAGAGGCAGCGGTTGGGCGGCAGAGGACCGCGGGCGCTGCTGGCATCCTAGTTCGACGACGACATGCAAGTCTCGGGCGCGCACATCCATCAATGGCCGGCGAGGGTGGCTCCTGGCTCCCCGCGAAACCTGGATAGGGCGCAAGGCCAGCTGAAATCTGCGCTCGCCGACAAACCCACCTCTACCAGGCTTGCTTGCTGTTTATCTTCAGGATCAGGCGCAACGATTGCTGCGTGTACGTGTGTGCATGGCTCGTCGAGAGCGGTGTAGAATGCGGCGGCATGGTCTTCACCCGCGCCATATAACAGCCAGGTTTGGCTACCTTGGGTAGCCAGAGTAGTATGCTTCGCGGAATCCAGCCTGCTCTCCACCCTATTCGCTGCGGGGGTGGCTCTTTGCAACGATGCATGCTGATTGTTTCCCCGAGTTGGAGCCGCTGCGTGAGCTTGTGAGGCTCAAACTGAGCCAATTCGCCAACAAAGGCTATCCGATATCCTAGTCTTTTGACAATGATCCGTTTGAAGCTGTTCCAGAAAGAAGGAAACTTGAGATGACATTGATGCGGGTTGATGCCAAGCTCTAGGGGAACAACGATTTTTAGTGCTATGGGGACAAATTACAGCGCCAGCGGGTTCCCGCAAATGCGGCACGTCCGTCACCCGATGTGATTGATGGATGCATTGAATCGCGAATGCGACCCAGTAAATAGATAGCATACGGAGTAGAGAGTGAGGCAACCTGTCGGTATTGCGCTGTACAATGGATCGCGCCGGGACGTGCTTGGTTCCGAGCAGTTGAGAATGGCCAGCCAAGTACTCCGTATAGTACGTCTTTCGGATCTGGTGTCCCTTCAGTAGTCGTTGAAAGGCGAAGATGTGCTCAGCAGATGCAGAGATAGGCAACGTGCGCTATTGGGGGGTCTGACGTTTCCCGTTGCAGTATCCGTACATGGAAATTGTATCATG